AAATGATGATCAACATGTCATCTTTCATTTTCTCACCCCAAAAAAACCACCCATGAAACAAATGTTTCCCAAACTGGAAAAGTATTGCCTTCACAACGTAACATGGCTAAATAGCGTCACTTTCGGACCCAATTGCGTCCAAAATGCTCAGAATTGGAAGCCCAAGTCCAGGCTAGAGTCGCAGTCCCACATGTCTTCAATTCCCCAATTCCTTCCATTGCTCTCAGAACTATCCAATACATGGTGAGTAAAAAAAAACCCACGAAACCCAAATGTCGGAACTATTGTTTTAGTGGAGTTCTGCATGTAGCACTTTCGTTTATTACGGATAATTGCGCATGTGCATCTCTTATACGAGAGGAAGGGTTAGCGCGAGGGAAGTAATCGAACACGCTGAGTATTAGCCAAGGTACTCCACTCCCCCCCCCCTCCCCCCCTCGATCCACTTTGAAATGCATGTTTGGGAATGTAGTTTCTGACTTCACCTATACAAAACCCTTGCTAACCCTGGCCTTTAAACCATACCCCCCCCCCCCCCGTGTCCATGTACACGCTCTATATTCTACTGCTATATTCAGCACGTACATCAAACAAACTCCATGACTAACATAAAAGGGTTGGCCGTCGCCTCCGCCCGTTGCATATTATCTTGCTTCTTGTCTCTTCAATACTTCAGCGTTAACCTTCAACAGTATTGAGTAAGCTATGTCAATATATAACATCTGCATTGTGTTGATGCATTACGCTGACCCCACCTCAAGGATAGCGTTTCAAATGACCAGATTTGTTTGGGCCTCATGAATAATTCGGCGCAAACGAATCTACAGTGTTTGACTTTCCTTCGAGGGCTCCTTTTGATGCTAGAATCAGTTGAATGAAAAAAAAAAAAACACCCCCGGCAAACACGTTTATAATACAAAAACAAGAAACAACAAACAAACAACACTGTAAAAAAGTTGGGCAAAATGGGTTGATAATTCGACCAGTGCTCGTTGAATTATCAACTGCCTACAGTCTTGGGCAAATTCTTCCCAATAGTTTGACAGTTTTTACCCAATTCAACACAATATGAGGTAATTTCATACCAATGTCGGGTAAATTACATTCATTCATCAGTATTTTACCCAACGTTTTTACAGTGCACCCCAAATACACTTCATTTCAACAAGACTAGGACCCAAGTAATTGAGTGCTGAAAACATGCAAACAAAATCAGGTCAACTTTACTCCCCTTTTAGCCAGCAAAATTCTCCGAAATTGTATTGGGCAAAAAATAATAGGTCCTCAGTATTTCACCGGCCAAGTTCAAAGCAGTGGCGCAACCAAGGGGGGGGGGGGGGGGGGGGGGGGGGGGGGGGGGGGGGGGGGGGGGGGGGGGGGGGGGGGGGGGGGGGCTTGAGCCCCCCCCCCCCCCCCCCAAGAGGTTGTCACTTTTCTTGTCTTTTTTTGTATGTTTTTCATTTGAGTCCCACGAATTGACCTTAGTGATATATATGTGGCCTATTTTCGAGTAGTATAATAGGGGTAAGTGGTGCCACCAACGTCAAAATATTCCCGCTCCCCCCCCCCCCCCAAAAAATACTGTGAAAAAACCCAAATGAGCCCCCCCCCCCCCCACAACTAAATCCTGGTTGCGCTACTTGTTCAAAGTCTCTATTCAGTATTTGTGAAGGAGACTTTTCTACAATATTTTGCACTTGGGAGGGAAGTCGAGTGATTTTGAAAAGGAGGCTAAAGTCTAGACTGGTACATTGTCCAACCATGGTCCAACTGTTTGAAAAAACCCTCTTTATTCAGTGTCATAAGGCTGGTGGCTGACTATGGAGAAATGAGTAGAAAGTAGATACTAGTACCAGGCATGCCAGATGTTTCTTTTGGCACAGCTGATGCAGTACTAAAGGTTTGTTTGACTGGTTGTTTCAGTACCAGTCTATTGTCTTGTATTGCATGCAATACCTTCAGTTTTGGGACTCTCGTGCATATATTTATATACACAGTGCCGAGAGTCCCACATTTCCGGATTAGTTAGGGATATGCACTGCCGCTGGAACAAACTTTTGCCAGGGGTGCTGGAATTTCTAAAGGACGGACAAAATTAATGCCAAAGCGGAGCGCAAAGCCCTTAGGCCTACGTCGTGGCTTAATTTGGAATATGGATGCTCTGTGGTGCAATCTGAGGCGTTTTTATGAGGAAAAACTTGCAGAGGGTAAGGCCAAAAAAAAAAAAGTCGGTCTCTGGTCAGCGCGCGCGTCGATTTTAATCATGCGCGTCTATCTTTTTTTTCCCCAAAATGTTCCGCGGTAGCTCCAACAGCGCCCTCTATTTCCGCACCTACTCAATTTTTTTTTCCAAAGAGCACCAAGGAATGGGAAATTGCACAAGGCAAATGATCGAAAGCACCAAGGCAAATCATGGAGGACACCAATGTACATGACACCAAGAAAGCAAAATAGTACCCCACCTTGTCTGTTCAATCCAAGCTTGAAGAAGAAAAAAAAAGAAGCCCCCCCCCCCAAAAAAAAAGCCGCATGGCCCGCGTCAATTCCGGAACTTTGGTCTGACCATGAACCAGAGACCGAGGGGGGGCCTAAAACATGAATAGCTTTTTTATTAAAACGAAACTACCCTGGAATTGGCGTAATGCATGACTAGTTTCAATAAAAGCCCGTCCCACTCCTATTAGGTTGGGGATGTGTGTTCACCTTGCTATTTGTTTATCTTGAGTATACAGAATGCTAGCAACGTTCAATGAAACTTTTAAATGAAAAGAAAAACTTTCAGGGGAAAGGTATGAAAATTTGCCCCTCTTGAAAGATCGAATGGAAAAAAAATCCTGGCAAACCTAAACAACTTTGCCACCATCGTCATGGCCGAGGTTATTGCTTTCGGGTCAAAGCTTCTATCATGGGCTTTCATGGCGGAAATTTCATAGACATGTCATGATTTTAGATACATTGAGAGAAACATCGATTCTGCACTGCCTGAAGATTTAGAAAATACCTCCTCTTGATATTTTACAGTGTTTGTGCTAGATTTTCGAAGCGCCGCGCTTAGCCGCGGCAAAACTAGAAACGAACAAAACGAAGGAGATAGTTGTAGAGCAAGCATAATGTATAGCGTAGCGGCGTAATTTCATTGTCGTAGAACACTGCTGGCTGAAACACATTTTTGCCGGGGAGTAGGGAGTGCTGAAGCATATTCCAGCACCCCAATCCAAAAAAGTCGGGGTGCTGCAGCGCTTACAGCACCCCTGTTCCCGCGGGCGCGGCTCGGGGATATGAAGGTGCGGGGAGGAGAACGCGAGCCCACTATACGCAACTAGTATAGATAATCACCTTAAACCTAAGTGATTAAAAATACACTGTACAAAGGCTTTCATAGTTTAAACCTATTTCTAAACACTTAATTGTTCACACTATCTTCACATGTTTGAATATGCGACGTGTTTAGATTGATGAATATTTGTGACATCTTGAAGTACACAATGGAAGCCTGTTACCACAAATAAAAGTAAATAAAAATGACTCACGGGTAGAAGTTGAATAACAGGCTAAATACACACTTTTATCACTCTTTTTTATCAACCGTCTCAGAAAAAATAACGATATTTAAATTAGCCTTAGTTATTTTTGCGGGTACTAAAAACAATCATAGGGCCTATATCTTAAGGCCAAAAATATTAAGGTTCCGGTTTCTGGTCTGCGCGCGCGTCGCCGTAGCCATGCGCGTCGGCAAAAATTGAAAAAAACATTCAATTTGAAATGATGTCTCAAAACCGCTAAACTCACTGGTTTGACTGGAATCCTGCTGCTGCACAATTTCGACGTGTTTTTAGATGGGTTACGATCGAGTATAAGCTTTATGTGGCCTCTCTCAGGCTTTCTGGGCTCTTATATACATTTTGCATTTAATTTAGTTGGGCACCATTTGCAGTCATCAGCACACACTTGAAGAAAAAAACAAGTAAAAAAAAACAAAACAAAAACGCGTCGCTGCACCACTTTTGGGGCAGGCTCCATACCAGAAACCGGAGACTATTTTTTGGGGGGCCTAAACTAAACATGTGAAAGAAGTGGGTACAAAAAGTGTTTAAAACCCAAGCACCATTTTCACCGTGCAGACTGAAAATGTCAACCGAATGTTGAAACAAAACTCAAGAAATTAAGAAAACGTACCATTTTACAAATATGCTTGCTTAAAAGAACATACACATAGACCTACGAGAAATGCGTCACAATAAAATTATTCACTGCGTTCCATCAAGTTGCTATGCCATAATATTAATCACGAGTGTCGATAATTGTACACCGTAATACCTACACTTGTAATAGGTATTACAGTGTAAAAATTATTTGACACTAAACTTCCCTAAACAAAACACTGATACAACCACTTCATTTAATTTTACATAAGGGGCAATTCATAATAGTCAATTAAAATTGTTTTTTCGAAATTGTTTTGACCCACCCAAATACCCCAAATTTTGATTTTTAAATGCTGAATGCCTATTAAATACATCATATACACTGAAGAACAAAGTAATGCTTCAAGTAAAGCTGATATTTCTCCCAGCTCCAGCGAGTTTTCAATGGCCTTTCCAGGCTTCCAGCATGCAACTTTGTAGTTGAAACAGACGGAAATTGGCAAGCACACAAAACTTAGTACAATGTTTTCGGTTTTCTAAGACACTATATTTAAATAATAAAAAGGGTTATTTCGGCTTCGTTATGATTAGCTTTTGCTGTGTCCAATGACAGACATGACAGACGATCTCGAAGAGGCCGCTGGGTATACCGGTAATTAAAGAAAAATCCCCCTTCTTGCATTATATTTTTCTATTACTTTAATTGAAAACCGAATTTCGTTTTCTATTTTTTCTTAGAACCACCCACCAACAATTTCGAAAAAAAAAAAGATCTATTTTTTTACATTGACTATTCTGATGGCCCCTAACATTTCCTGTTATTATTACACCAATGGATTATTGTTCTTAACTTACCCGCAGTTTGATGACACTTATCGAGAGACTAGCCTTTCCTATACCGCTTCCTCTTGTTCCGAGTGCCGACTGATGATAGGCCCAATGTTAAATTCCGGTCCCCAGGTGCTGAACCACCAGCAGAGCTGGAGCTGGAAAATTCCATTCCAACTAGAAGTGCAGGGCGTATTTTTTTCTGCAGCACACATTGTATTTTAACCAATCACATCACGCACCCAACATGAATATTCATCACGCTGTCTGGATGGAAGACACTTAGGTTCTCGTAGTGTTTTCCCTTTAATTAAACTTATCCCAAATCAACACAATTATTTAATGAAAATGGACACGTGTACCGGGTTCCAACCACAGATCTTGGGATCCATAGTTCATTTCACTATCCACTAGGCCACTGTGGCAGCTCGACAAAAGCCGTTGCTGGAAATGTTATGTACATGCATGACTGAGTGATAGCAATGGTGTGACTTCATTGTTATTTTCTCATGAATATACATCGAACTAGCTGAATAATCATGATCCATTGACGACGTGTGCTGCAAATAAAAACACCGCCAGCAGGGCATCTATATATCACGCGACATTCACGTGATCACTGGCTCATTTGAATGCGCACAATGTCGATTAACCAGCTGAAACTTTCCATCAACTTTTTATTGGCTGTTTCGGCAAGTTGCCGAAACAGCCTTTTTTTCGTTAAGATGTTGGCTGTATGGGCAACTTGCCTTGTATTTTTTTTTAGACTCCTGCCCATTGCATTTGTACACGTTTTCGGAACACGGAATATCTGTTTTCCGATTTGTTTTTAATGGGTCATTTTCATCTCTATAAGATGCCAAGTTTTATTTTCACCTTGTTTGAAAAAATGAGGGATTTCAAAGTATTGTTTACACATTTCCTTGTAAAAGCTCATCAATGGCTTTTTTCAATGTGCAACCAACGAACGGCCGCTCGGTTTGTGCCGTTGGCCCCGGCCGCACGCGCAAGACGTGATAGTACGTAGTGACTACAGGGTCGGCTGTGCATGAGATGTACGCAAAGCACTCTCGACAGTAGTGAGTCGCGGCAAGTTTACGAATGGAAAAGAAATATTTTTTTTCACAAAATGGCTCGTATTTTCTTTATTGTACACTAAAATACAAAGTGGGTAGCAGCATGACAAAACAGGCGGTTGTGCCACGTACGCATGAATTTGAAAATGTACATTCGCAGAAAATAGAGCAAGTGTATCGCCCCCCCCCCCCCAAATTGTGTTCTGGATCCGCCCTTGGTCTGCGTTACAAAATTCTGCATGAAACGTGAAGCACGGTTTCAACTGAACAGAAAATAATTATGACTTCAACATTAAAGTTTGAAACTTTGGTGCCACTGTGATCACTTGCAGAAAAACAGTATAGCAAAATACATGTATCCATGCGCGTATTCAACGGTACACGTACATGTACATGCACGAGTCACATGTGCACAGTAAGTTATACCCCTGTAATTATCATTCTCAGCTTTGCGATGATCCTTTTTCATGATTAAAAGTTTGCAAAGTGGTGACACAGGAAAGAAAAGCTGAACTGAGTAATTTTGTTACGATAAAAACGAAGAATTATATCATAATATTTTCCGGTAAAACTAACTCATGTACGTAAGAATTTATACCAGAGCTTCGTGGATAGGCTCACAAACACAAGGTGATCGGGCGATATTTATGATGTCAATTTGATGACGTCAAAGAGTTTTATGCAAATAACACCTGTTAGCTCTATTAGTAACTCCGAAATCTTGGATTCTTTACCGAGGTCGCCAAAAAGCTCAAATTTCTCACACTGGAACAGTAGGTTTTTGTGACAAAGTACACTGACAATGAAGCACCTGTAACTGACTCAATGCCATATCGCTTCAATAAAAAGATTAGCCTTCTCACGGCATGTGTTGTGTGATTATGTTTTTGAAAATGGTCATGCACGTGTGGGTTTGCATCATGGGTTTAACTCCACTCACTCACTGAAACGACAGATTTTTGTGGCAAAGTACATGTACACCGACAATAAAGTACATGTAGGCCTATTATGACTCAAAGCCGCCTTGCTTCAACGACATGAACAGTTACGGCTAAATGGAAATTTTACTTTGAAATCTACATGCCAGATATCACCAAAGCAATTGCCAAAACAGTATTGTACGTGATTTTAGTTTGATACTGAAATTCGTATAGTCACGAAATTGACACAGACCATTTGATTATATTTTGGCAGGTACATCTATGATAAATCTGTCGATTTCAAAAGTTTGTCCAGTGTTGCCATTAAACCCGGAATCTGGAGGAAAAACCTGGAGATTTATCTTATTGTTTGGGGATAACAACAGTATGGCAGTTTTTTTTTTTGCGTATGCAAATTGTGGATTGAACATCTGTTTTTTCTAAGACAAGGTGAATGCCATTACGTTACAACAGGTAAATAGTGCAACCCTTAATTTAACTATCGGATATAATAATGTACAACAGTCAAATACACTCTTCAAATATTGTGAACGAAAACAAGTTTTTCCCCGTTTAATTCTCAGTCAAAATCATTATTGGATGATTATCTAAATATTATATGTCGCAATCGCATTGCATCTAAATATTGCGGACATGCATGGTGCAATACTCATGTCAATCCAAAATAGTAGATCATTTCTTTTTAATTTTTTTTTTTTGCAAGCTAAAATTATCCCTTGGTCTCTGTGACCACTCATGTAAAGCAATCAAAATACTTAACACACGGCGGCAATATAATATACTAATACAATGTAACGTTTATGATGTGTACATGTAATAAATAAATTGGACTTTTCACCAGGGTGCAAATTTGCGTAGGGGTGATGTTAATTCAATATTTGCACTTCACCGACATAAATACGTCGGTCAAGGCCAAACACTTAAGCAAATAATATTCAAGCTGATTAAGGATCACACTCTTCTTATGTTACATTATCTGACAACCTCGTGTGTAACGTAATTAGGCATTCACTTTGTTGTCTAGCCATTTTCCCATAGCGTTATACACACGTGTGTAGAGGTGCAATTTTCATTATACAAATATTTTGTTGTTGTTCAATTGTTCCTTATACAGTACCGTGAATTGTTCATTTGGTAGCAGCCTGACAATTTTACAATAATTTGTGAGGCAGGGGATACTCTGTCACCAAAGGTGTTCACAGCAATGGGAGGCTATATCTTCAAGAAGCTACCCCTAGAGGAAAGACGAGTCAACGTAGATGGCGAAAAGTATAACCGACCTCCGACATGTAGATTATGTGACCCTAAGGGGCGGTGGAACCGGGGGGGGGGGGCTGGGGCAGTTCCCCCCCCCACCCCATTTTCCCAAGTGCCCCTTTTGCGGCCATAAATGTGCCCCTCGAGCATAAAAGTGCCCCCCCCCAGATAAAAAAAAACATGTCCCTAAAAGTACCTGACTATTAATTTTAAGCAACCATTTCGCAAAATGGTATAGATAGTTTGATAGATAGTTTAGATATATACGAGGAAATACGAAAACCAAGGCCCAAAATGCATAAAATGCGCCCTGAAAATGGGTACACAATGCGTAGTTACCAAAAAATGCTCGGTTTTGAAGAGCGCCCCTATGTTGGAAGATGGTACCATCCCCCCCCCCCCTCCCATTCTTTGATTTTACGGAGACCAAGTGTCTGGTGAAAAAATACGTGCAGACCTTTCAGCACGGATGTGCAAAAAAAAAAATCTGAGCAAGACTGCCCCTTTCTTGTGATGCCCCCCAGTTTCAAACCCGTTCCGCCGCCGTTGGTGACCCTAATTACCTCATAAGTAATTAAGGACATGGAAATTCAAACTGCATGATTTGAGCAGCGAGTGCAAAGAGGTGGGCCTACAGATACACAAAGCGAAAACAAAATACGTGACAAAGTTTGAAACATGCAGATGAGACCATGAAAGTAGAGGACCCAGAAATAGAGAGTTGAGGAGTACAGGTACCTGGGCCAAACACGTAAGTTAAAAGGAAGAAGTGCCGAGAAGGGTCAAATCAGGATGGAGCTGCTTTGGAAGACACAAGGAAATCATGTGCAACAAGATCATACCCATTATCTTTGCGAAAGAGAATTTATAACCAGTGTGTTCTACCAACAATGACATATGGGTCAGAAACGTGGTCAGCAACCAAATAACTGGAAAGTAAACTTCAGTTAGTCCAAGGAGCAATGGAAGAACAAGTGCATACACATCTCACTTAGAGACAGAGTGACATGTGCTGTCATTCGACAACAAACTGGAGTTAAGGATGTCAACATAAAGATCAATCAAAGTGGAGATGGGCTGGGTACTTAGCTCGCTGAAATAACAACACAGAGATAGACAAGATTAACAGAATGGTAACCAAGGACAGGACGTTTTGAGCACCAAATGAACAATTCACGGTACTGTAATTTTCGGGAAAATTCAACAACAAGACCGTTTGAATAATGGAAATTGCACCTTACAAACGTGTGTAACTCTGATCTATGGGAAAATGGTACCGGTATTAATGGTGTTATTTAGCTTTCAAGCTAGCTAAATCATGAATAAGGTTTAGCGGGTACTAAACTTTTCAAATACTCTTCAAATACTCTGAAGTGATTATATACCCAATTCTTTGGTCGTCAGGATAATCCTGTACAAGTTTAACACGTTTAACTATAACATTTCATTCCGTAGGTAAAAATAACTCCTTTAGTAGAAGGAATTGCGGCCGTTTAATTTGAAGGAACTCATTCAACAGATCAGTGAATGGATATAGGCAGAAACTTGCCGGATTTCCTTCGTAGTTCTTGTTCTTTGAAAAATATAACCACATCGATTATATAATTTCCTGTAACACAAAAACAGGTTATTCACATAAACTTGGTACAATAACGGCAATTCAATTTTTGGAATTTGTCCTTTCAAAATTGAAACTCACCCTCCGTTTTCTCGATTTACTTTGAAATTTAATGCGATCAAAAAGTTAGGCCAACAAGTAAAATAAACCAACATACATGACATGAAGGTGAAAAAAACCAGCCTCGACTCCATAGGCGCGTGCGCGCTCCTGTCGCGCAAGGCATGATGGGAAACAACATGGCCCAGCAAGATCGTACCCATGGAAACGCAACCACGTCCTCAGTGCCGACTTTATTTCCAACCTCGTTTTCAGTAGTATGAGAGAGCAGGTAGTGGTGGGCGCGTACTGCTCGACACCCTGGGGACGAGGTTGATGGAAACGAGGTTGGACAAAACCTAAGAAATTAATACAAGAATTACAAATGTGGGGCGAACACAATTTTCTTTTGTTTTCGTTCATTATTATTTATCCGAGTAATTTTGCATAATATAAGTTGCAAGCAGGCTATCACAATTATTTATCCGACAAAAATAATAGGAGAACATCAAACCGGAGTATTACAAAATATCAAATACAAATTGCATACAAAACAAAACAAATGAGAAGCTATAGTGTACAACTTTAACCCTTCAATGCAAACATACATTCTGTGCCAAGTTGTCCTTGCAGTCAAAATCAATCAAGTGACTGTTTTCAATCCTTAAGAATTCCTAGATTCTTGATTTGTATATGGAATAACCATTTTTTATTAATATGATTTTTTTCACAGTTGATAAGATTTTGTGGTGACTAGCTGTTCTATAACGTTCCGACTTCCGACACCCCTTTGCTCCGGTTAGGGTTAGGGTATGGGCATGGGCGTCGCGAGGGGGGGGGGGGCAAGGGGGGTCACTTGCCCCCCCCCCCCCCCCCCCCCCCCCCCCCTGGAAAAGCAAAAAAAAAAAAAAAAAAAAAGGAAGGGAAAAAAAGAAAAAAAAAAAAAAAAAAAAGAGGCGCGAAGACAAAGTGGTGTAAATTTAATGAGTTGGGGGGGGGCAAAATGTCCCTGCCCCCCTCTAAAACTGATAAATCGAGAATGTGTTGAGAAATACAAACATTTTTTGGCAAACATTTTTTTGCCCCCCTCTAGAAAAAATCCTGGCGACGCCCATGGGTATGGGTGTGTGTCGGATAGGTGTGTCGGACCACAGGTGTGTGTCAGAACATAGGTGTGTCGGTGTTTACGAAGACCTGTGGGAACGTAAGTGTGTTGGAACATAGGTGTATTGGAACATAGGTGTGTTGGAACATAGGTGTGTTGGAACATAGGTGTGTTGGAACATAGGTGTGTCGGTATTTACGAAGACCTGTGGGAACGTAAGTGTGTGTGGGAACATAGGTGTGTTGGAACATAGGTGTGTCGGTATTTACGAAGACCTGTGGGAACGTAAGTGTGTGTGGGAACATAGGTGTGTTGGAACATAGGTGTGTCGGTGTTTACGAAGACCTGTGGGAACGTAAGTGTGTGGGAACATAGTTGTGTTGGAACATAGTTGTGTTGGAACATAGGTGTGTTGGAACATAGGTGTGTTGGAACATTAGTGGGTAACCTAATTGAGTCCATGCAACGCACGCTGATTTCAAACTGAGTACTGCTGTCATTACAAGTAGTCAGTCGATTTCGCCTCTGATAACTTGGCCGAAATTAAAGACAGAGAATCAATGCCGGGACAATAGCTGTGTCATTTCAGAAATTTCACGAGCGACGTCCGTAAAGTTATAGTACACGTAACCACGGTAACATGTAAATGCGCATAAACGTCAGCTTTTTCACCTATTGTATGTGTAACTCTTACTGATTGCTTGTTAAATTTTAAGGTAAATCACGACTTATTTTTTTCGAGATAAGTAGATATCTAGAAAAAGTGCTCATTCTATAAATCATACGATTAAATATAAAAATATCAATTAAAAACTCATTATTTTATAACTACGTTTCCTTAGAACTGATAAGAAAATACATCCTTAATTTCATTTAATGAAATTAAAAAAATCGAAAATCAACAAGACCAACAAGCCCGCTGGAACAAACTTTTGCCAGGGGGCGCTGGAATTTCTTAAGGACGTACAAAATTAATGCGAACGCGGAGCGCAAAGCCCTTATGGCGTGGCTTATAAAGGGCCTCGGGGATTCTGGAAAATGGATGCTATGTGGTGCAATCTGAGGCGATTCCTGGCCTCTTTTATATGACTTTTTTAGCAAAAAATTTCTTTTTGGAGATTATAAAGACAGTTTATTTCACTTTTTTGTTTAGAATATACTGTTGCTCTTATAATGTTTCTACTGTACTGAAAAGTCGAGAACCCTGTACTTTTATCTCCATTTTTTGTTCCATTTAATTCTGTTAAAAAGAATTGTATCATTATGCATGACATCGCATGTAAATATTATTGTTGCAAGGGTGCTTTCTTACACTTAGTAAATTCCGTCGTGAATGTTTTGTTTTATTTTCCGAGCCCTTACGGCGTGGGGCCACAGGGCGAGGGGCCTGCTTTAAGGCCCCGGAAAGTGTTGGATTCTGGATGCACTGTGATGAAATATAATGAAGTATGTACTTAAACTTATAAAACCCGAAAGGATGTTTTTTGGTTCAAGTTAAAACAAGATGGTTCCACTGGAAGCGGATGATGTCTGTTCATAAAAATATTCACATAGGCCTAGACGATGTAGCTCTCGATATATTTGCAGTGTTATTTTGTTTGTTACAGGGAATGGCAAATATAAAAGACTAACACACCAAATGCATCTTTGTGTTTATGATCGGTTGATGGCAAGTTAAGGGCTAGGCAAGGATTTATCGGTCTACTGAGTTTTTATGAGAAAAAAACTTGCAGAGGGTAAAACTTGAATAACTTTTTTTTTAAACGAAACTTCACTGGAATTGGCGTAAAGCATGACTAGTTTCAATAAAAGCCACTCCCACTCCTATTGGGTTGGGGATAAATGTGAACCTTGTTATTTGTTAATGCTGAGTACAGAAAATGCTAGCAACGTCAATGAAAGTTTTAAATGAAAAGAAAAACCTTGAGGGGAAAGGTATGAACATTTGCCCCTATTGAAAGATCGAATGAAAAAAATCTTGGCAAGCATAATCAACTTTGCCACCATTGTCATAGCCGAGGTTATTGCTTTCGGGTCAAAGCTTCCATCAAGGCAGAAATGTCATAGACATTTCATGATTTTAGATACATTACATTCTGCACTGCCGGAAGAGTTAGAAAATACCTCTGATGGCGTAGCCATGGGGGGGGGGGGGGGCCGTGGGGGGGGGGGGGACGACAGCCATGATGAAACCTTGTCGCCCCCTAGTCGCCCCCCCCCCCACCGAGATTTTGAGTTTCTAAAAAAATTATCATTGATCTACATGACGCCCCCCCCCCCCCATGAAATGTTCCAGCCCCCCCCCCCCCCCCCCCCCCACTGAAAAATTCCTGGCTACGCCAGAGGCTCTCCTGATTATTTTACTTTGTGCGAGACGTTCGAAGCGCCGCGCTTAGCCGCGGCAAAACTAGAAACGAACAAAACAAAGAAGATATTTGTAGAGCAAGCATAATGTATAGCGTAGCGGCGCAATTTCATCGCGGTTGAACACTGCTGCCTGGAACACATTTTACCCGGGAGTAGGGGGTACTGAAGCATATTCCAGCACCCCCATTTAAAAAAGATGGGGGTGCTGTAGCACCCACAGTACCCCCCCCCCCACGTTACCGCGGGCTTGAAGACCAAACATTTACGAAGGCTATTGCATCAATCAATCATTTTAGTCAACCGAATTAGGTCAAGTAACGAGCACCACAAAAAATAAACCAACAAATTTCATGTCGCTTAGCAAAGCACACAAAGCGCACACTATAAAATCCACTTACTAATTAAAACACTGACGATTACTGACTGATATAGTTATATCTATTCTACTTTAAAAAGACTATTCCAAAAATATCATCTACAATCCATAAAGTACTATTTTTATATAAAAAAGAATCACATGGATTGTGCCGAGTATCATGAGATTTAGATACAATTACCTTAATTAGAAATGTTATGTTGGTACAACAGAGGATCTTTAACTTTTTTCTAACTTTCAAAGAAACACCAAAATGAGCAGGCTACATCTATGGAGAACAATTAAAATTGAAGCCTTTGAGATAAATGAGCTGGTTTGACATTTACGCGTTTTGATCTAGACACCAGTTTGCAGAGCTGCAGTGAAGAAAATACTTTTAAGCAAATGTTTTCAGCAACTCAGCCGGGTACCAGTCATGATCAATAAACACTGCATATATGGCCGGTAACCCATGTTTACTTATAGCTAGTACTTACGTTGCTAACCAAATATCGGTGCTGCTTAATAACAGCAGTCGTCAGTCTTTGGAACTTCAGAAGGTCTAAGGAACAATTTAAAGGCCCAATGAGCAGGGGCAATACAACACTAATGCATCAAAAAAATCTTCAATTTAGGCCCTTCAGCAATATGAATGCTTTTCTGCTTTTCAATGTACGCATGCTTTGGTGCCATTTCAAGTACTGAATGGTGTAAAGAATTATATGTCAAACAATAAGACTGACTCAAATACATGATTATAAAACCTTTTTTAATATTGTAATTATTCAGATTATTTTCTGTAAATTGGATATGTAAACAAATTCAGGGCCCTGTAATTGGACATCTTTCAGGATGTTTAAGCAGCCCGCTATTCGTTGGTCTTTGTTAGGCTCAGTTCCAGGCGTGGCGACGACAATGCTCAACAGTCTAGTACAAAGAAAAAAAACATGCAATTTAGGGTCATTGACCTTTTACTATTAACTGTACATATGGGGCATTCTATAAAGTAAGGGTCCAAAGTGTGACACATAACTCCTGTCCCTGTTACCTTGGTACTTTGTAATTTGCCATTCAAGTATCATTAAGAATTTGTTGGGTAGGTATAGTTTGCTATTCATAATCACTCTTGTATGACTGCATTAAGGAGTGAATCAGAATTTCGATATCACAGATGTCGAATGTTACAGGGACAGGAAAAAAAATGGATTCTAATTTTCCAGAATGACCCATAGGTCATTTCCATTGCAACCAAATTCATAAGGGAGGTCAAAACGCCGTACAATAGAGGGCACTATCGACAAGATTAATCAAATCAAGTCTTGGGAATGATGGCACTTGGACCCAAGTAATTCCAACTTAACTCAGGCACACACATTACCTTGAATGTATAGTGCCCATGCGACGCTGCTTGAAATTCTTTGGGTCCAATTGCCAAAATTCCCAAGTGCCTAAATTCTCAAAGTCCAAAATCCAGACATGAAACAAGACTACAAATGACAGCAATGATGGAAACTCTGACTTACGTTGCAAAGTTTGGCGTTGTCCATACTAGCACACCAGAACACTGGGCCCAGCATGCAGTTGTTGGCTGGAGGGAGGCTCTTCCTGGACTCGCTGCATAACATCAGAGCCTGAGAAAATCAGAGACATTTTAACATACCAGTCTCTCTATTGCCCAAGAATTTACTCCCTGTTCTGCCCCAAGCCAACCTGCCTGTTACCGTACTGACCCAAACCTACCTGCCTGTAACTCCCTGTACTGCCCCAAACCGCCCCACCAATCCCTGTACTGCCCCAAACCACCCTGCCTGTTATACTCACTGTACTGCCCCAACCGCCCTGACTGTTACTCCCTGTACTGCCCCAAACCACCATGCTAGTTACTCCTTGTACTGCAAAACCACCCTGCCTGTTACTCCCTGTGCTGCCCCAAACCACCCTGCCTGTTACTCCCTGTACTGCCCCAAGCCACCCTGCCTGTTACTCCCTGTACTGCCCCTAGCCACCCTAGCCTGTTACTCCCTGTATCGCCCCAAACCATCCTGACTGTTACTCCCTGTACTGCCCCAAACCACCCCGACTGTTACTCCATCTTCTGCCCCAAACCTGCCCGTTACCTCTTTTACTGGGCGTACCAGCCTGCCTATTACCCCCTGTATCACAACTAACAACTAATCTGCCTATTACTTAGGAACGTTTAGCACATGAACATACTTCACCACTCTCCAGGTGACGTTGCAAATAAGAATTTTTGTTGTAATTACAATTTTCTCCTCCCTAAATTTCCAGCGAAAGAGCATCCCTAAAATATGATTTGCAAGTTCATCTATATGTGTGTCCATGTCCACGTACATCCAATTCGTACATTGTTCATCTATGTGTGTCCATGTCCATGCACATCCATTTCGCCTATGCATTATAGGCTAACATGTAGACAACGGCATAAATGACTAGTGACTAGGACTCGAACCAAATGGCTCGACTACAACACCGATCCCAATAGTCCTATTTTGACAAACGACTCGATATTTTTCTTGAGTTTTACCTCGCAGATAGTATCTGGTGACAAAAACTCCACAATCAGATCCACAACCAGATCCACAATGTAGGAGCCGAACGACTCAACCAAGTTCTTACACTACAGTGGACAGACAACAAACACGAGTTTTTAACGACCACATTTTAAATAATTAAAAATTAAAACTTAAGAAATACTCGGCTTGCATCACAGATGTCACACCTGCCAGTTCCAGCGTTGTTTCTTGGGGGCCGTATCATAAGTCCGACGCCTCATAGGTCCGACGCCTCCCAAGTCCGAAATTTCGGACTTATGAGGCGTCGGATTTACGAAGCATTATTCCGCCTCATAGGTCCGACGCCTCATAAGTCCGACGTCTCATAAGTCCGACAACGGACAAACGATGTTTCGGACTTATGAGGCGTCGGACCTATGAGGTGTCGGACTTATGAACGGACCAGTTTCTTGCCTAGTGCTGTACAAATATGCAATTCCTTAGATGGTGACATATGTGCAGCAGGCAGTGTGCATACTTTTAAGTCAATGGCCAACAAGTATCTAAAGGTCCTTTTAATGTTTTCTAGTGTTGCTCGTTATTGTCCATTTTTTTTCGATCACGCGTGTTCTTATTTTTCTCGATTTTTTTTTATTGTTGTCTCTCGATTTTGTTTTCTTCAATAAAAAGTGGCCCTGCCATTTGGGATGCTTTTTTTTTTACTCACCGTGTATCGTGTCTTCGTTAACCAATGTTGTAAGAGAACAACATGGCAGCTATAACCAATCAACAGCTTTGGCTGAATGTCTGCTCTAATGGACGTTATCACAACTTCTAATAGGGCGGCTCCGATTGGCTGGTGCGCAGGGTTGCATAAAATTGGCATGCACGTATTTATCAGATGTTTGTTGCAGTTTGACTCTACACACGTGAACGTCAGGTTCTCAGACTAGGGACGGGGCTGGCTTACCTCTTGTTGATAAGTCTGTGGGAGCAGATCACAGAGCTTGGCAAGCAATTCCAGTATTATGTCTGCGATCTCTTTCACCAAGAATTTCACCGAGTCTTCAATCACAGTGACTACCGTCCTGCAGGCATCACATTGGACCGATCCAACGGTCAACCTAAGTCTCGCTGGAAATCAAATAAATATAAATTCAGGGGGCTATCGTCCTTACTCCCAGCAGAATCTGAATTGCGAAGGACGCAGCTACAACGTGGTCGAGCCTAGCCGCAGCCACGTAAAGGCGCCTTAGGCAGCCGCCGTACGACCCATGTATGACCACGGAGCACATCAGCCAGGTTGAAAGTGTTGATTTTTGCAGAGGGAGGAAAAATCAGAGGCGTCTCTGTAGTCCGAAGTACTATTGGTCCGAAGTCCCATTGGTCCGACGCCCCATAGGGTTAAGGTTGGGGTTAGGGTTAGGGTCAGTCAACCTGAACCAGTGGAACTACTCAGTAGTGTGTATTATCATTATTGTCTAGTTTCTTTCGATCACGCGTGTTCTTGTTTTCTGGAGTTTTTTTTATCATTGTCACAGGCAAAGTTATGTTTCGTGGGACTTCAAATGGGACTTCACGTCGGACCAATGGGACGTCGGACCAATGGGACTTCGGACCAATCGGACTTCGGACCAATCGGACCAATGGTACTTCGTATTATCGAGACGTAATCGGAAAACCAGACAACCCAGAGTAAAACCCTCGTGGCACATGAGAACCAACGTGACATCTACTCACATGACCCGAGCTGGGAATCAATCCCGGGCCACAGCACTAATGAGAGGCGAGCGCTTTTACGCACTGCACCACCAATGCCACCCATTTCTCAACGTTAAAACAACAATAATTTGTCATCTGACAGCATGACAGAGAATAATAGCTTTGGCAACTAACGCCAAATGTTTATGTGAATGTTTTGGCTATTTTGGCATTCAACACTGACTAGTCTTGTCAGAATGAAATTACTCACATTTACTAACCATTTACTGATCCCCCCGCACCCTCTTAAAACAAAAACAAAAACAAAGACCATGGAGATGTTCTACAAGTAACTCACGCTGCAGAAGGCTGGAGGGAGTGCAAAGTCCGAGGTCTTTGCAGATTGGACTGAGCTCGGAGTCCACGATCAGTTTGAGCAGCACGGGTCCGTAAATGTCAAGGAAGCCCTTGCACTGTTGGTTCAAGGACCCTGGCAGGAGGGGGCAAACCTTCTCAATCAAATCAGTCACCTCCTCCTGAGAGATTTTGTAATTAAGAGGGAGACAAAATCAGAATTATAAGTAATTATTAAGTAAGGTATTTCATAAAATTGGGTAGTTTCATGTGTTTTTTTTTAAGTTTGCAAAATGTTGTCCATTACCTTTTAGCGTGGTCAACTGAGAACTGAGAAGCAGTCACAGAAGAGCGACTAATTGGCAAGTAAACCTGTTTCTGCTCACAAATAATGTTCGTGATTACCGACTTAATGATGGCCTGGGCCCAATTCCATGGCTCTCAGGCTCTGTCAACCACAGCATGCTGCACGTACGATCACCATTCTGCGCCAAAGTAACAGCGCTAGCAGAAAAACTTTTTTCTGTAAGCACAGCATCGTTGGTTACGGGATGAACGCACGCAAGGAATCAAAATTCCTCGCTTACAATGAAATACGCTTACCGTAAAGCATGCACATTAAAGTCAGCCCATGCCACTACTAAATCAAGCCATTTAAAAAAAAAGAGGTGAATACCCCCCAAAATATGCATTTATTAATAAAACAGTTTTACGAATTTGCCGTTTAATCCAAAAGCCTACTTACAAATCTTTTGTTGGTTGCCAGCTGGGTCTCATTCATGCCAAAAAGGACATCGCAGACTAAACAAAAGGCGTCACTGTCCACCTTTCCAACGGAAGAAACTGAAAAACAGAAGAAATAAATTATTCGTCCACAATTTGTTTATTTACTCCCTCATGCTAAATTTGAGCAATCAAACCAGAATAAATCAGACGTCATTAAGTCTAAGCAGCTTGTCAGTTCAAAACTAGGCTGTGCCCGTTACAGATATTATTTCATTGGCACTGAAAAGTCAGAGCTATTGGAGAAAAAAATCACGGTAAAAAGAAATTGTAAGAACTAGCGCTGGGCAAGGAACGCGGTACTCACGAGTCGTGTTTGGCACTCGTTGTTCTATTCATGGTTTTTCAGCTACTCGAGTACTCGTCCTGGTACGGTGCGAGTAGAAGTACACTAGGTATTCAGGAGTAGCAATTTTATTTTAAAAGTGCCGACTTCAGAAAAAGTAACCACTTTGCTGAATGTGTGCCAAACGTGTCTTTTGTCATTCTTCGCCCCCCGCAAAAAAAAGAGGAATTGCTATCTCCATCTGTTTCCTTAGGCTTCAACGAGCATTCTGAATACATCAATTTTTGTTTAAGTAAAATGAGCCAAAAATTTGAACAGTAAGGATATTTCAGTCCTGCAAAATGTGGTGTGTCTTCCACACTGTTTATTCATAACTTCCTTCTTTAGTAATGTTTATGCCATTTTTTCCCGTTTCATGGGCATTTTAGTAAAATACTCGCGAGTACTCGACCACTCGCAAGTACTCGACCACTCGCCAGTACTTGACTACTCGCCAGTACTCGACTACTCGCCAGTACTCGACTGCTCGCGAGTAACTTCTTTGCGAAAGACCTACCGACCACCAAGCGACATGTAGAAGCTCCTGCCAGAGCTTACAAATGAGGCGAACACAATTTTCTTTCATTTATTTTCATTCATTGTCATTTATCCGAGTAAGCAGAATATAACTTGCGAGTATCACAATTTATTTATTAAAAAAAAAAAGTTAAATATAAAATCGGAGTACCACAAAATTGTCCAATACCAATTGATACAATACAAAGAAAATGAAAGGTTTATAAGGTAGCACTTCCAATTTCTGCAAATGTACCCTTTAGGGAGACAAGTTATCAACAAAAGCTATACTTTATGTGGACTAGATAGAATGAGGAGACATTTCAGTCCTATTTCGAGACAAAATGTTAGTCTCGCAATGCAGGCTAAATCGTTTCCTCGTGATGCAAAACCCAAATTTACAAAGCTTGGTGAAGGTAGGACAGGCCTGGAGGCAAGTTCATCACAAGTCCAGTCACAAGTAAATCACAAGTCCAGCGGTCACATGAAACAGTGGATGAACATTGACAAAGGAAAGCATGTCAAAGCTCATCTGAATAGCTTGTGATTTGAATTGGGACTGGAGGACTTGTGATGGCCTTGCGAGGACTCCGTGATAGACTCGACTACATCACTGAGTTTGTTTCTGCATTCAACAGGGGACGTTGAACAAAAGAGGACAATAGGGTCCCCCATTCTCGAGAGGCCCCCAGTTTGGTTTCGTGTACAAAACATATGGGAGGCCTTCCTAAAAAGTTCAAGTCCAAACAAAAGACGGACAATAGGGGGTCCCCGGTTGCAGGCAAATACACACTTGGCTGTGGTAGGTTAAGGTTAGGTGAGGGTTAGCGGTCATAAAGTAAGGATTTGTTGCACAAAAGTCTGCAAATGTCTCCCCAGGGAACCTTTTCCCGTAATGACATTCTCACTGATAATAAAATACATATTAAGTAGTACATTAAGGAACTATTGGACGCAAATAAACTTCATATCATTAAAAACAAAACATCGGAATCTGGAATTGTATTCGGAACAGCAATTTTCTATGCTATGAATATTTTTTTTCAAAGTTGATACGATTTTGTTAATGCAACGCATGCTGATTGAAAGACAAAGCTGTCGTGACAAGTGGTTGATTTCGCCTCAGAGGCTTGGCCGAGATTAAGGACCCAAAATCGATGTCAGGACAGTAGCTGAAATAAGGAAAATGTATTCAGCGTAACCATGGTAACATATATACTTCAATAAGCGCCAACTGTTTTCAACTACTTCTACTGCGTATTTTGCTCTATGGTTGTGTTTGCTTATTATTTTGTAAAGTTAATCACGACGGAATAATTTTTTTTTCGATAAGTATATATCAAGAAATAATGCTCATTATACAAATCGTACAATTAAATATAAAGATTTCAATAAAAACGCAAATTTTTTTGTTAAATCTAATTTTTCTTAGAATTGATAAGAAAATACATATTTAATTTCATTTAATTTCATTTCATCAAACAAACAACTTCCAAATCAACTGCAAGGATACAAAATTACAGACTGGTACTATTGCATCAACCAATCATTTCAGCCAACCGTATTTGGCGACATTACGAGCTGCATTAACCTTTTACATACAAATTTTACTCCGTTTTGGAAAAAAACACACTAATCAACCAAGAATACAGTCTCCAAATACAAATTGTTGATTTAACAAAGCGTACAATACAAAATACACTCTAATTTAAAACACTGGCAATTACTTACTGATATTGTATCTATTCTACTCTATAAGCTATCGCTAAAAATATCACCTACAGTCTAAACATTACTATTTTTGTATCCAAATTAAAAATAAACAAATTCACATGGATCGTGCTCAGCATCATGAGAATTGGATACAAATCCCTTTGAAATGTTATGTTGGTACAACGGAAAGTAGTGAAATTGTTTTCTAACTTTCAAAGAAATACCAAAAGATCTAGGCCTATGGAAAACAATTACATTGGAAGCCTTTAAGATAAATGAGGTTTTACATTTACGTGTTTTGATCTATATAGACACCACTTTACAGAGTTGCAGAGAAGGAAATGTGTTAAGCAAAAACAAATAGCCGGGTACCAGTCACGAACAATAGACACTGCATGGCAATTTTAGCTGGCAACCAATGTTTACTTAGCTAGTATTTGCTTTGCTTACCGAAATGTCTGCGCTGCTTAATTACAACAATCATCAGTCTGTGGAAGTTGAGAAGATCTCAAGGAACAATTTAATGGCCCGATGAGCGGGGGTAATAACAATGCATCCAATTATTTTCTTCCATTTAGGTTTTTGAGCAATATTACTGCTTTTCTGCTTTTATAGGTACAAATGTTTCCGTTCCATTTCAACAATCGTACGGTTTCAAGAATCACATGTTACACAATCAGACTCAAATACATGATTACAAAATCTTTTTGTGATTGTTATTATTGAGACTATTTTCTGTAAATTTGAAATGTAAACAAATTCAAGGCCCGCAAATAGAGATTTTTCAGGATGTTTATTAAAGTAAACCGCTATTCGTTGGTCGGTGTTAGGCTCAGTTCCAGGCGTGGCGACGACAGTGCTCAACAGTCTATAATACAAAGTGAAAAAAAGATGGTTTATAGGGTCACTCCACTTAAAGGGAATATACAACATTTGCAAACATCGAAGAACAAAACTATCAAATATTTACGAAATACCTTACTAGGATGTTGGTAAATGACAGTCTAAAGCATCCTGTAAAATTATGGCACCCGGTGTGAAGTCATTTTCAAGAAAAGTGGTATTTTGTATAAATTCCAACAATGGTCGGCCGACCACCGTTGGAAAAACCTAACTATTTTTCAACTACTGCTCCAAATTTACCGGGTTTTTTTCAGTCCAAATTTTGTTTGCTATTGGTTACACGTCATGAACGGGTGCAGACCAGCTAGACTAGTTCCCTTACCTTACAGTTTCCGGCATCTATATAAATTGATCCATTTCATCTTTAGTGGAGTCAGGGAACCAGACTACTTGAACATTTTTGTTTTGCTTGGTTTTTCCAGCATTTTTGAACACAAAACTTCACACATTTCAGTGAAACAATATTTGATCTATTATACTAACCCCTTAAATAGTTCATTTCTGAAAATTACAGCAAAAGCCAATGATGTACATTCCCTTTAAACTATTAACTGAACTATGATTGTCATATGTGAGGCGTTTCTGTCTAAATGAGACAGACCTGGGCACAGGCGTAGTGGAGAAAAATGCAAAAATGTGAACGGGGGTAATTTTTTTGCCATTTTCCGATTTATTGATATTTGTTACCTTTGATATGTCTACTACTGATATTTTAAAGAAATAGTATAAAATAGTAGAATACGGGTGCTTTTTAAGAAAAAACAATTGGCGTCTTTCATTTTAACAAATACAAAACTCGAAACTTTAAACGCCTTTTCCCCCAGTATTTTACTTTTTGACGTCCATTTCGTCAACGGAATGTCTGATTGAAGTGGTACAAACAGTATAGTACGGTGCATTATATTCTCTTTCCTAATATCAATGAACCCTCATTTCGATCTCTGCCCAGTTCAGTCTCATTTTGCCAGAAACCCTCACAGCAACCTTCTTTGATGTGCATGATAAGCCAGTCCCTTATAAGCGCGGTCAAGACGCGCATCGCAGCGGTAGAGGGCGTTATCAACCAGAGGAATCAATTCAAGTCTTGGGAATGTTGGCACTCGGACCCAAGAAATTTCAGGCATACCTCAAGTGTTCGCGTCAGCTTGAAAATATCATGCAGAGGTATGCCCAGAATTTCTCGGGTTCAAGTGCCTAAATTCCCAAGCTTTGGATTTGATTCATTTTGTTGACAGTGCCCTCTATCGTCACAGCAGCTTGACCGAGCTTGCCAGGGACTGGCTGCTCAAGGGGAACAAATTCAAATCCGGTCTTGCACCAAGCCTTCCTATGACAGCAATGAAGGGAAGTATGACTTACGTTGCATAGTTTGGCGTTGTCCATGCTTGCACACCAGAACACTGGGCCCTGCATGCACTTGTTGGCTGGAGGGAGGCTCTTGATGGACTGGCTGCATAACTTCAGATCCTGAGAAAATCAGAAACAATCTCTGAAAATGCATGCCTAGAACCCATTAGTCCTTGTACTACCTGAACTGCCTGAAACCAGTCCCTGCCTGTTACTCCCTGTACTGCCCCGAACCATCCTGCATGTTACTCCCTGTCCTGCCCAAAACCGCCCTGCCTGTTACTCCCTGTACTGCCCCAAACCACCCTGCCTGTTATCCCTGTACTGCCCCAAACCACCCTGCCTATCTTACTGCCCCCAAGACACCCTGCCCGTTACTTCATGTACTTCCCCAAACCTGCCCGTTACCTCTTTTACTGGCCAAACCAGCCTGCCTGTTACTCCCTGTTCTGCCAAAACCGCCCTGCCTGTTACTCCCTGTATTGCCAAAACCGCCCTGGCTGTTCCTGTACTGCCAAAACCGCCCTGCCTGTTACTCCCTGTACTGCCCCAAACCACCCTGCCTGTTACTCCCTGTACTGCCCCAAACCATCCTGCCTGTTACTCCTACACTGCCCGAACCACCCTGCCTGTTACTCCCTGTCCTGCTCCAAAACTGCCCTGCCTGTTACTCCCTGTACTGCCAAAAACCGCCCTGCCTGTTGATCCCTGTACTACCCAATTGAACCGCCCTGCCTGTTACTCCCTGTACTGCCCCAAACCACCCTGCCTGTTACTCCCTGTACCACCCCAAACCACCCTGCCTGTATCCCTGTACTGCCCCAAGCCACCCTGCTTGTTACTCCCTGTACTGCTCCAAACCACCCTGCCTGTTACTCCCTGTACTGCCCCAAAACCACCCTGCTTGTTACTCCCTGTACCACCCCAAATTTAAACCACCCTGCCTGTAACTCCCTGTACTGCCCCAAACCACCCTGCCTGTTACTCCCTGTACTGCTCCAAACCACCCTGCCTGTTACTCCCTGTACCACCTCAAATTTAAACCATCCTGCCTGTAACTCCCTGTACTGCCCCAAACCACCCTGCCTGTTACTCCCTGTACTGCCCCTAACCACCCTGCCTGTTACTCCCTGTACTGTCCCAAGCCACCCTGCCTGTTACTCCCTGTACTGCCCCAAACCGCCCTGCCTGTTACTCCCAGTACTGCCCCAAACCACCCTGCCTGTTACTCCCTGTACTGCCCCAAACCACCCTGCCTGTTACTCCCTGTACTGCCCCAAACCACCCTGCCTGTTACTCCCAGTACTGCCAAAAACCGCCCTGCCTGTTGATCCCTGTACTACCCAATTGAACCGCCCTGCCTGTTACTCCCTGTACTGCCCCAAACCACCCTGCCTGTTACTCCCTGTACCACCCAAAACCACCCTGCCTGTATCCCTGTACTGCCCCAAGCCACCCTGCTTGTTACTCCCTGTACTGCTCCAAACCACCCTGCCTGTTACTCCCTGTACTGCCCCAAAACCACCCTGCTTGTTACTCCCTGTACCACCCCAAATTTAAACCACCCTGCCTGTAACTCCCTGTACTGTTCCAAACCACCCTGCCTGTTACTCCCTGTACTGCTCCAAACCACCCTGCCTGTTACTCCCTGTACCACCTCAAATTTAAACCATCCTGCCTGTAACTCCCTGTACTGCCCCAAACCACCCTGCCTGTTACTCCCTGTACTGCCCCTAACCACCCTGCCTGTTACTCCCTGTACTGTCCCAAGCCACCCTGCCTGTTACTCCCTGTACTGCCCCAAACCGCCCTGCCTGTTACTCCCAGTACTGCCCCAAACCACCCTGCCTGTTACTCCCTGTACTGCCCCAAACCACCCTGCCTGTTACTCCCTGTACTGCCCCAAACCACCCTGCCTGTTACTCCCAGTACTGCCCCAAACCACCCTGCCTGTTACTCCCTGTACTGCCCCAAACCACCCTGCCTGTTACTCCCTGTACTGCCCCAAACCACCCTGCCTGTTACTCCCTGTACTGCCCCTAACCACCCTGCCTGTTACTCCCTGTACTGCCCCTAACCACCCTGCCTGTTACTCCCTGTACCACCCCAAACCACCCTGCCTGTTACTTCCTGTACTGCCCCTAACCACCCTGCCTGTTACTCCCTGTACTGCCCCAAACCACCCTGCCTTTTACTCCATGTACCGCATCAAACCACCCTGCCTGTTACTAAACAACATTTAGCACATACTTCACCACTCTCCAGATGATGATGCAAATTATAATGTTTGTTGTTATTAAATGTGTTCATCCCTAAATTTCCAGCAACAGTGCATACCTAACGTATCACTTACATGTGTGCATGTCCATGTCCATGCACATCCATTCCATACCATACATAGACCTATACATATGTACATGCACACAAATGACTCGTGAATCAGACTCAGACTCAGACTTGAACCAAATTACTCGACTACAACACTCATCCTAATAGCCCTAATTTGATTAACAGCTCAAGATTTTTCTCGAGATTCACCTTGCAGACAGCATCCGGTGTCAAATACCCCTCCAGAATCAGATCCAGAATGTAGTCGCCGTACACCTCAATGTAGTTCTGACACTACAGCGGACAGAAAACAAACACAAACTTTTAATGACCACATTAAACCTTTTTTTTTACTTTCTGGAAAAATATCATATTTTTGTCCTCATAAACCTTTGATTCTGAAGGACTGGCAAGGTTAAGGTTGAGGCCAAAAAAAAGTCTCTGGTTTCTGGTATGGAGATTGCCCCAAAAGTGGTGCGGCGAAGCAGGTTCCCCCCCCCCCCCCCATTTTCTTCTTGAAATTTCAGCTGATGCATGTTGCAGATGACGCTTCGATCTCTTAAATCTCCCAAAAATATCCCTCAGGGTGGAGCTTGAGGCATCCTCAGTAAAGCCATCAGGCCTGAAAATTCTGCACCCACTTACGATCTCGACCGACACGAACTTTCTTCGGGAAATTTATATAGTCAAGACAAAAATCATAGAAAACTTTAACGTCAGACCATACAGCAACATCAACACTGTGCATGTGCTGCCAGGCTGGTCATTAGTCTGCTCCCTTGCATATTGGGCTAATTAATAAGCGTTTACTGAGGTTCCAGATACACGACCATCGCGTCCTCAGTCTGGCTTCCAGACGCACAATTACAAAATTACAACACCGTCTGCAAATGGTACTGACTAAATTTAGTGCAAAATATATGGGAGCCCAGAGAGGCCACATAAAGCTTATACCCGATCATAATCCCATTAAAAAGCACTTTTTGTGCAGCAGCAGGATTCCAGTCAAACCAGTGAGAAAAGAGGTTTTGAGACATCATCTTATATTGATATTTTTTTTTAATTTTGCCAACGTGCATGGCAGGGTTGTACGGCAATGCGAGCGCAGACCAGAAACTGGAGACTTTTTTGGGGGCCTAACAGAGAACTCTTAGATTCGTTGGAATTATGACAAAACAAAGGATTGTTGGTGTATTGTAAAGACTAACTGACCGTGGCCTCGCTCTTAAATAAATTTGATTTTTTTTTCCTGTCTACTTTTTACCTTTTGAGTTTTTAATTTTAACGGGGAAAAATGCTTGTTCTATTTTTGCCAATGGAACCCTCGTTACAAGGCTTTTATGAGGACTGCCTTTGAATACAAACACATGAGCCTTGTAAATAGACTGGTTCCTGGTCTGAATCCTAAAGGGGGTTGGGAACCAGTCTACCCTGCGAGAATTACTGTCAGATCGCAAATATTTTGAAATTTTAAAAGTAACAATTCCATCAAAGAAGGCCAATTTAAAACCTATTTTTTTTGGGGGGGGGGCTGAAACTTGAAAATAGTGTTGGATAAGTTGATGATAAATTAATCGGAAGGCTTAATTTTTCGACAATTGCAGGGAGGATGTAGTCTATGGAATAGATGCTTGCCATCTATGATATGCGCGCAGCTTATGCAAAATACTGCGTCTTGACCTCCAGATTCTGACCATTCAGTGGACGCCTTCTATTGTGTCCTCGACAACCTGATGTTGTATGAGAACAACATGGCAGCTATTGACCAATCAACAGCTTTGGCTGAATGTCTGCTCTAAAGGACGTCACAACTTTTAAAGGTGGCTCGGATTGGCTGGCGCGCAGGGTCGCATAAACAAAATGGCAGCTATTGACCAATCAAATTGGGCTGAATGTCTGCTCTAAAGGAAGTCAAAACTTCTAAAGGCGGCTCCGATTGGCTGGCGCGCAGGGTCGCATAAAACAACATGGCAGCTATTGACCAATCAACAGCTTTGGCAGAATGTCTGCTCTTAAGGATGTCACAACTTCTAAAGGCGGCTCCGATTGGCTGCCGCGCAGGGTCGCATAAATTGACATGCACCGATATATCATATGTTTGTTGTAGTGTGGCTCTGCACACGTGAACCTCTGATCCTCAGACCAGGGAGGGGGCTGACATACCTGTTGTTGATCATTCTTTGGGAACAGATCACAGATCTTGGCAATCGTTTCCAGTATCTTGTCTTCATTCTCTTTCACCAAGTCTTCCGCCACAGTGACTAGCTCCTTGCAGGCGTCACATTCGACCGATCCGCTGGTAAACATCAGTTTCGCTGGAAATCAAATAAATAAATAAATGTGGGGGCTAATCGTGCTTACTTGCAGCAGAAGCTGAATTGTGAAGGATGTAGCGACAACATGGTCAAGCCAAAGGGATGTAAAGGCACCTTTAAGGAGCTACCATATGACCCTTGTCTGACCACGGCGTGCAGCCAGATCGCAAGTGTAGATTTTTGCGGGAGGAAAACCGAAAAAGCCCGGAGAAAAGCCCTTGTGGCCCAGGAGAGAATCGATGCACAACCCTACTCACATAATGACCTGAGCAGGGAATTCGATCCCAGGCCACAGCTGTGAGAGGCGAGCGCTTTTACGCATTGTGCCATCCATGCCACCCGTTTTCCACAACATTAAAACAAAAACAATACGGTTCATCTGACAACAGAGAATTAAAGCTTTGCCATTTCACATTCACTTTTTAGGCGAATGTCTTGGTATTTTTTACATGATCAATTGACTGAAGTTGAGGACAAACTATGTCATTTTATTATACTAAAAAAACACAAACTATTTCATTTTATTATAGGCCTACTTGTGACGAGTTGTTTTATAAAGACACTACTGAGGGAACGACAAAATGACCCCGATCAAACAGGTAGGCCAGCAAGTCCGCTGGAACAAACTTTTGCCAGGGGGTGCTGGAATTTCTAAAGGACGGACAAAACTAATGCGAATGCGGAGCGCGAAGCCCTTACAGCGTGGTTAAAGGCCCCTACAAATTTTGGATTCTGGATGCTCTGCGGTGCAATCTGACTCGATTCCTGGCCACTTTCATATGACTTTTTTAGCAAAAGTTTTTTGAAATTATAAGGACACTTTATTTCATCATTTTGTTTAGAATATACTGTTCCTCTTATAACGTTTCTACTGTACTGAAAAGTCAAGAACCCTGTATTTTAATCTCCATTTTTTGTTCCATTTAATTCTGGAAAAAGAATTGTATCATTTTGCATGACATCGCATGTAAATATTATTGTTGCAAGGCTGCTTTCTTACATTTAGTAAATTCCTTCGTGTATGTTTTATGTTTTGTTTTCCGAGCCCTTACGGCGTGGGGCCTGGGGCCCGCTTATTTGGCCCTGGAAAACTTTGGATTCTGGATGCACTGTGATGAAATAGGTAGTCGGGCAGCCAGAGGGGTGAGCCATGTTTAATTTGGTGGGTATGTAATGTTTTTGTGTATATTCTAACCAAGGATGTCATACTATTAAAGAATTTGCATGATAACATCTTCAGTCAGGGTTGAGCAATTTATGATTTCGATTATTTATTGAGTGATCGGGCACAACTGGATCACGTTTTAGGATTGTTCGAATAAATCTTCTTTGTTTCTATTTTTCATTCTCCGTAAGTTTTCTCAATAGTTTAATGGCATAAACGTGTAACTTTGAACCAACGTCATCCCTGACCCCGAGTGGTGCATATAACTCTGACGTCGCGATGACGTCATCGGGTATCAAATTACAAACGATTTTAGTTTTAAAAAGTTACCAACTTCTTTCACTTATAACTCTTGAACAAAATATATTTTGTAATCGGATAGATCATTAATAAGTTGATTAACGTTTTTTTGTCGTGTACAGGTCAAGTCGTCTTCGCTGGAGGGTGTCAACTATTTTCTCAAACCTAAAATAGATGAGACAGTTCTGTCCTGAACTCAATAAATAAAGCAAAGGAGAAGCAGTTTTAACTTCAACAATGAAAACATCAATTTAATAGCACATTAAATAGCAGGTTAGCTAGCAAATTAATTAGCAAGCAAGTTAATTAGCAAGGCATTCAAAAACAAACTTTGCAAAGGCAAATATACGAAAACTAGGATTTAACGACAAAATTTGGTTATTTCTCAACTGAGTTTCAAAACAAATGTTAACAACAAATTTGCTAATCCAGCCAATAAATCAAGAAAAGAAATACAAATCAAAGTCTTTAAATAATGCCAAACTGGTTATAGAAAGCAAACTAATCCAAAAAACTGATCACTCCTCAGCACACTAATTAATTGAAATCAAAGAAAATATATATATATATATCAACTCGGGTTTCACTCCAATACAATTCCAATTAACAGATATCGACTATATGGTTCCATATATCATATTGTTATACCTCTGTATTTTCATTGGCCTAGAACGATCATGTGTTAAGTTTATAAAAAGTCATGGCACACTCCCTGTGGGATATCACGTACACATGTACAGTACGTACGGTGTGAAACGCTCGTATCGTCGGCACCCACCATGTTTGCACTCATGAGTGGGAGCAGCGAACTAGCAGACGATCAGCTGTTTCGAGCACGCGACATGCATGTAAGTTGACGTTCGATTGTCATGATTGTTGTGTTTACTGCTGTCTGTTTTCGTGATTTTTACATCAAAATCCAAAGAATTCAAGACAAAGGGTATAACAAGACAATTGTTGACTGCTGTGATGTGGGATATGATGTTTTGAACACCCTCGGGGCACATAGCATCCTCGGCGAATATGCGCCCCTCTGGTGTTCAAAACGTCACATCCAATGTCACAGCAGTCAACAATTGTTAAATGTTATTGTTCAACCTTCCGCAGTACCTATGAGGTCAGTGGTAAACCCGATCAGTCACCGCCTGGCTAAAGTGGGTCCCTGCCGTCTATAGATTCGGGCTCACAGGAATGGAGATGGTGATGTTCCCACCGCGGTAAATGGTTACGGCAATTCCGGAGAATACAACATTGGTGTCAGGCTAATGCCGTGAGACGTCTGGTCAAACGATGAGGAGAGTGTCTTAAAGTACTCTTGTACTTTAAACTGTGGCTCTCGGCCTCAACAATATTGGTTGGCTGGCGTGTACCTGCGGTGGCTGTATCCACTCGCCTGTTGGTTACGCTGGTGGCAACCCAACACCACTTGACAAATTCAACACTCTTGGACACGTCTCTCTCTCTCTCAAACGCACAAATGGTTCTCACACATTACACCACACGTCAAACTTATATGTCCCCCAAAAAACTCTTTTTCACATGGATGCTAAAATTTGGTTACAACTTCCAATAGGGTTGCATACACGAATTACAATAAGAGGGACAGTGAATTACCATAACCATTGTAACCATAACCATATTACCTATAGGGGTTCTTCCTACTAGACCATTGAATAAAAGAGATAATTGGGTCTTCTCAAAATCAGGTGTGCGTTCCGTGGAGACATCGATTTTGAAACTAGTATTGTGTAACTAGACCAAAGTGCGTTATAAGTTGGGTCAATTCTGTGCAGGGTAAGCGAAAAGAAAAACATTTTATGCACGAAAAAAAAAAGGAACTTGGATATGAAGATAATAGGCATAAAAGCACTGGCATAAAAAAGAAACAACTTGACAGAATTGGATTAAACTGCATGGCTCATCAGATGCAAGACAGCGGGCTTGGTTGGATCAGCTCAGCGCGAAGAATCTCACAAGAGGACGTGTTGCTCGTTATTGGCCGATCAGGTTAGGTATGCGACGATGAGGGACGGATACCTTGGATCGTTGTAGGACCGCTGTAGGACCGCTGAGCTCAGGGAGTACGGTCACCCTGGCGTGCACTACCACTATCGCCCCCGGCAAAATTTGCCGTTTGGAGACCCTCAATACCCGGATCTTCCACCAATGTGACGAGTCGTTTTATAGAGACACTATTGAGGGAACGGCAAGTTGACTTCTTATGGGTGATTAATTCAATTCCTGTAGGTAAAAAGACAAAAATGTACAGTACATGTTGTCAATTCTTGCATGACAAGGTAATCTCAAATCAGAAATGTTTAGACTTTAAATCAAAAAGTAAACATTAAATATTAAGTAAATTATGTTAATTTAGGCTAAATACACTAGTCGCTTGTTTACAAACAGGCTGAAATAATATGAATATAAATCAAGACTTCTTGCATGTGCCCCGAGTAAACCAAACAAAGTAATGAAAATGTAATTCTAAGGAATCAAGGAACATCAAACTAACAGTTAATTGAATTAGACACTAAAGGAAAGTGGGAATACAGTATAATCTTGAACTACAAAATATATTGGTGACACACTTAAGATTTTGGAATTGACCAATCAGTGATTGTTGTCTTCCAAGCAAAATATTTCTGAGTTATTCTTTTACATAATGAAATCTTTATCAATATAATAAGCTTACACTTCATAATGATATCTCTAAACAAAAGTTACTAAAGTACACTAAAATAAGAAATGGAAATAAATCAAATACATTACCTGTAGGTACGAAGACAAAAATGTACATGTTGTCAGTTCTTCGCATGACAAGGTGATGACGAAGCCCGCGAAAAATAATTTAACAAGGCCAAACCGCCGAGGGTGCTACGCAAAAGCTATGTTAGTAGTAGAAACATTTTTAGTAGTTGACATGTTGCGTAACATGTCAACACAAAAGAATTAAATGGGGGTATCTTGAACTTGGTTAAATTTAAAGGAAGTCTTGTCACTTTCATAGAAATATTCATATTGCAATTACTTTGTCTTAACATATGGTTGTTTTGACACCAATACATAAAAAGTTGGCAACAGTATTTAAAAACATGTCAAGGCCAAACCAGATAGCCTATAAGACCGAAGTTTCACTTCTTGTTAACTGTTAGTGATACAAATGACTTTCTCTCGTCTCTATTTGTTATTATAGAGTTACTGTTCAAATATTCGTGACTCGAATTAAAGGTGAAGTCCATCATTTGTAATTTGTGCATTTTGTTCGTTTGAAGCAACAAAAATGCTCTCGATCTAAAGAAGGATGCTGAACATCTAACCTGATGAAGTTTCAGCTCGGCTCCAGCTGTATGTTTTGAGAAAAACAGCATTATATGATTTCGATTTCAAATCAAAAGTTGCTGAATCACGTTTTGAATTGGGCCTGAATTCAAAGTCCGAGACACGTTCTCACTGAGCCGATTGCAGCTACGCGATGTCGCGCACCGATGCGACAACTTTTAGCAACTGCGCGTGGTGTGCGTCATGTTAACGATTGCGCGCGCTTTGCCGAAAAAAAACCCCCAAACTACTGATGGAAATTTCCAACGGTGCGTCTTAAGAAGCACCGTTGGAAAGGCCTTCTTTTGTTGATTACTTCAAAATGACAGCTTGCCAGAAAAAATTATTTTACAGGGAGTTTGGTCCCCTTTCTTTCATCCAAGTATGTTTTTCAACAATTATTACGTCAGTTACTTTTCGGATAGCTGCAAATGATGGACTACAGCTTTAACTCGAGCAAAAAATTTGCCTCCACTCGACTACACACTGTGACTCGACTTGACGCGACTTTCTTGACTTTGACTAGACTTGACTAAAGTCACAAAAATCAGTGACTCATTACAAGTCTGGAGTACAAAGATAAAAAGCTGGTATAAAAGTTGTTGAAATGTCAATAGCGAAAAGGCAGTGGAAATCTCAGGCCTCTCCCTCTAGTGTAGTGTTCCCGCTTTGCTAAAAATATTCATATCATGCCATGAATCCTCTTTTAACCCTAACTCCCTAGGCCTTTTTGCTAGGATGTAGCCTCAATCCTGCAAAATCCTCCAATTGGCCTCATGGAAAAATTGCATATAACCTCAATCCTGCAAATTTCTCCATTATTTCTTGAATATGGTTCGGGAGAGGTGACCACTGCCTGAATCCTGCAAAATCCTCCGGCTACGACTGTCAATAGGCTGAGGCAGAGGCAGTGACATCCTGGAGCAGTGCGGAGGATGTCAAGTATAATCTAGGACTCAATTTATGCATGGCTGAGCATAAACAACACAAGGTCTGGCCCAAGACCTTGACATAGTGCGTCCTCCGAAATCAGCAACGCACTTTTGCCATATAACCTCAATCCTGCAAATTTCTCCAATTTGCAAAAAGGATTTTGGAGGATTCAGGGCGGTTAGGGTTAACAGAAAACCCGAGCTGGCCGGTTATATTTGGGTTTTTGATCAAGACTGAACCAGGCTTTATAACTGATCTCTCTTATCTCAAGATTGATCTCCTATTTCAGGGCAGTTTAGCACCTGATGAATGCCTACCACCAGCAGGGAACGATTAGTATCGCTTGACCAACGACTTGCTGGCATGACTGAATCATTCTTCAGTGGTCTAAACGCACCTAGATTTTTCATTATATTAAACGTAATATTCGTTTTGGTCGGTTAATGAAACCGTGTTTTCTTGCTTTGATCATTGAAATTGATGCACAAACAAAAGAAATCATGAATTTATCGGAATGTGCCTGTTCATGATTGTATGGGGCTTCCTAAAGTTAGATCCAGCAGGAAGTAAACAGTACCATTAGGACTGGCCTCATGTGGTGTAACTGATGCCCTTAAGGGATAACCAGATAATGTTACACTGTTCAAAGATAAACATTGAAAGCCTGGTATAAAAAGGGCCCATGATTTTAAAAGAGAAATTCACCTCACGTCTACTATCCTACCAAATTTTATGGCAATCAGTCACTGCATTTCCTACATAAGAAGAGGAATAAAATCCCCCTCCCAGCCCTCCCCAAAACAATCGTAGAAATGATGTAACTCACGCTGCAGAAGACTGAAGGAGGTGCAGAGTCCGAGGTCTTTGCAGATTTCGTTGGGGCTGAGCTCCGAGTCTACGATCAGTTTGAGCAGCACGGGTCCGTACATGTCAAGGAAGCCCTTGCACTGTTCGTTCAAGGATTCTGGCAGGAGGGGGCAAACCTTCTCAATCAAATCAGTCACCTCCTCCTGAGAGATTTTACAATTCAGAGAGAGACACAATCAGAATTCTGATCAACTTATTGGAGTTGCAATCTTGGTTCTTTGATTGGTTCTTCTCCTAAATACTCCTCGTGGGAGTTTACGCAATGTGCAGAAAAACAAAACTGCTTAACAAACTTATGTGTTCAGAGATGCCACAGGCTAGGGTCTACTTGAAAAAACCTGAACTTAAATTTTTGTGAAAAAAAGGCACTCTGACACAAAGTCCCTGTTGTTATCTTTACTTTGTAGCCAAGCCCAGTTCCATTTATTTTTTTATTTTTGCTTTTATGGCCTTTAATGATAGACTTGACTTCCAGGCTGAATGCTACGTGTGCACAACACACCCGCACGCAGTGCAGCACGCGAGTCGCCGTTGTATACTGCGTGCAATTATGCGGGCTGCATGAATAGCATACAGGCTCGGCAACAACAAATAAGACTTGTTTTCAAGACTACTTCAGGGGTGCGCAATTTTAACAACATGTAGGCCTACATGTACTTAACTTGAGAGCGCTAACAAGGTAAATTCAACGCATTTCCACAGTTTTTCTTCTCTTTTTCCAGTTTTATTTTGACAGCCGAAAAAAACCCCGGAATTTCGTGAGATAAAAAAGAAAGAAAAAAGGAATTCCGGCTAAAACCGGAAAAGTGGCATCTCTGCTTTAAGCATGAATCGGCTGAGGAGCTGAGACACCTACTAATATGGCGGTTAAGCTCGTTTTTTTTGCTAACAAATAATTTTGGTGATTACCAACTCAATGATGACCCGGGCCCAATTTCATTTCTCTGCTAACAACAGAATTCCGCACTTACGATCACCGTTCTGCGCTAACCCTGCTAGCAGAATAATTCTGTGCTAACCCAGTAAACACAGAATCATTGGTTACGGGATGTACGCATGCGCAGAAGCCGAATTCCTTGCTAACCCATGAAACTACGCTTACCATAAGGGATGCTTACCATAACTACGCTTACCATAAGGGATGTGCATTGTCTACAGCCAGCTCATGCCACAACTAAATCAGGCCAATTCTAAAAAAGCTGAATACATAGTAGCAATAAAAACATTACTAAAACAGTTTTACGATTTTAATCCAAAAACTGACTCACAAAACTTTTGTTGGTTGCCAGCTGGGTCTCAAGGATGCCAAAAAGGACATCGCAGACTAAACAAAAGGTGTCACTGTTAACCTTTCCAAAGGGAGAAGCTGAAAAAGACAGGAACAAAATTATTCACCCACAATTTTGATTAATTTACTCCCTAAAGCTGAGGAATAAAAACCCAAATAAATTAGACATGGTCAATAAACTGTAAGCAGTGCTGTCAGCAGCACTGTAAACTATTAAGAACTGTAAATGGGCAAATTGCTTGGCCTCCGGTAGACCCGCAAATGTGGCGGAACGGTATAGAGTGCAGCGCCTGTATAACAGTGCACTGTACCTCACCGTCGTGACCATCCCCTTCAAAAAAATGGTCGAGGCCCACCTGACCGGTGTGCGATATCTCCCCCTTCAAGAAATGGTCGAGCCCATACAGCCAACCACCATTTCCACGTGTGTTTAATCGTACCCTAGTCTGAGTATTTTACCTGTTCTCCACGGAGCCCCATCTCGGGTTTTGCCAGAGTCTATTACATAGACTACCCATAGCCATGGCGCGACCATAGAGCTATATTAAATTACTAGAGCGCTAACTCCTCATTCTGCGCGCGGAGACGCTTTGAAGCCGTCCTGGGCACAGACATTTTGAATTCGTGTGCGTGTTTGTAGAACATAATGAAATTAGATGGATTGAAGTTGGAAAGTGTACTCTTCATGCAACGCGCAAGTAGAACATACACAAACAACTTAAGCGCGTCATTGACGGTTAAAAGAAACCGTAACGGCAAAAAAGTATCTGCAGCGAATACCCGCACGCGTTGCGCTGTTTACGTAAAGCAAAATGACACGCCCATTTAATGATCATGCGTTTCGGTTTTGGGCGTATTGGCTTAGATAACGCACCGGTATGGAATACAATCGCAGATATGCAAATAGCCGTACCAAAGCGTACAAAATTTCTCCGATCCATGGGTTTGTGCACAAACATGGATGCGCCCAGCTAGCATTACTTTGTACACGAAGTTAGCACTCTAGTAATTTAACATAGCTCTATGGGCGCGAAATAGGGTGCAGCGCCTGTTCAAAATGAGGAGCAGTGCGTGGCACGTTCTGTATAATACACGTTTTATATGGTCTAGGCCTTCAAAAATGCAGCTTTTTTTGCAGCTTATTTGAGAACAGCTGATCCCAACAACTTCAAACTTTACACTGCACATTCTTGGGTGCTGAGCAATACACCCGCCGATTGTCAACTTCATATAGGGCCTGGTTCTGGAGTTAATTGAAGTACAGTCAGACACAAAGAGATTCCAGGAATTATAGTTAGATAACTCTATGATGAACACTTACTTATTTTGCTCTGGTCGCAGACTTTGAGGAAGTCGCAGATGTTGTCGGGGTCCATCTCTGCCAGCAGGTACTGGATGATAGGCTTGGTGTAATCATTGACAAACTCCTGGCAGTCCTTAGCCACGGTCGATAGAGGGACCTTACTGCACACTGTGTCCAGGAACTTCTGAATTCCAGCCTGGTGGAAAACAGTGTGGGCATGAAGAATTACAATAATTTGGGGGTTTTAATTGTCCTTACTTGCAGCTGAGAAGCTGAAACAGGGTTCGTACACTTGGAACAGCTCAACTGAAATCCCATTTTCCCGGACCAAAATTCAGCAAACATTGATGGTTTATCAGAGACTTGTATAAATAAATAGGGACTGGATCATTTGATCTGTACTAATCAAAAGTTGGCTACCGATTCACCCATACTGGTCAAGTCAATATTTGGCATGATGTTTGTCAGCTTTAGTGATCGTCTTGTCATATTTTGCATCATGGTTCCAGAGTGCTTACGTAAAACGCGTAGCTTATTGCGACAAATGGTGATTTCTTTTCCCCCACCCAGGCACCCACCTAAGTAGCCGGTAAATTTTGCCAGTTGACAGCTTATTTTGAAATCCCTGTCGTCACATTACTCTGCATGAATTTAAACTTTTATCATAAAAAGTGAATAATCAGGGACTTTCGAGGACCTATGATAAATTCCAGGACTTTCAAAGCCTTGAAAAACAGAGTTTAAATTCCATGACTTTCAAGGATTTTCAAGGACCATACCAGCCCTCTGAAAAGCATGCTGCAACGTGGTCGAGCCAACGGCACGTAAAGGCACCTTTGGCAGCAGCCATATGACCCATGTCTGACCATGACACACACAGCCCAAGATCGAAAGGTGTTTTTGCAAGATCAAAGGAGTTTTTGCAGAGGGAGGAAAACTGGACGGCCCGGAGAAAAACCCTCATTGCAAAGGAGAAAACCAACGCATAACTCGACTCAAGTATGGTCCGAGCCAGGATTCAAACCCGGGCCACATGCAGTGGTGAGAGGCGAGCGTTTTACGCACTAGCCATCCATGCCAATGAATGGGTGTTAACAGCATGATATGATCATTTGTACTTGTCATAATTTCATGAACTGAACCAATTTAAGGGCCATTAATTTATAGCAGACATCGTTCCACCAACTCATATTAGGCATTCGTTAGACATGTAAAGGCCAGGAATTAATCTGAACACGATACACAGCGAGCCCCGTATACGTACTAGTAAATATCGGGGGTCCTGACAAACAAAGGACAATAGTCTTACCCCTTGTCTTTGAGTCTTAACCCTGCCCAACGCAACAACATGCAACAGCAGTCTGCTTGTAACCTTACCTCTGTTGAATTCTGGGATAGCCCGGTTCGCATCTCCTTGACGATTAAGTCACAAATCATGCACTCGGCAGTGGAATGAATCGCAGCGTCAACCATTTTGTCCATGGCATCACCTGAGGACGAAAACAGAACCCAGCCACATGACAAACTTGATGTAAAAAAAAAAATCTACTTTGGTCAACCTGAATAGTTCCTCGTAATATTTGGATCGGCACGACTCTAAAATGCTAGTCTGAAAAAGTGAGTTCCGCGTTTGATAATTCACGTGTCTCACCTGAGCTACACAGCCCTAGTAGTCCACACAGCTCCTCTGGTGTCATGCTGGTCACTAGTTTCAGGATCTCAGGCAGGTACTTGTCTACCACGCTGACGCATTCTTTCTGAGCATCACCAGGCAGCTTGGGACACACCTCGGTCTTCAAGAAATCCTCAATCTCCTTCTGCAAATATCAAGAAAAAAAGGAATGTATCTCAAAATGTAATGTTTCAAATTCATGAAACTGAGGAAGTGTTGTAATCAGTCAGTCAGACATAAGCTTTCACAAGTCCATCAAAGGTCCTGACAAGTCCGTCACAAGTTCTTGTAAGTCCTCGTAAGTCATAACAAGTCATCACTAGTCCTCTCAATTCCTTAAAAGTCCTCACAAGTCTTCACGAGACCTCACAAGTCCTCACAAGGCTTCACAAGTCCTCCAAGTCCTTGAAGGTTTATAAGTCCTTCAAACGTCCTCACAAGTCCTCATCTCATCCACAAGTCCATCAAGGCAGTGTCGTAATGGAGCTCATCAAAAGTTCTCACAGTCCATTAGTCCCTCACAAGTCCCTCACAGGTCCTCACAAGTCCTCATCAGTCAATCACAAGTCCTCACAAGACTTCACAAGTTCTCATGAGTCATCAAAAGTCCCCACGAGTCATCACAAGTCCTCACAAGTTAATCACAAGCCTTCACAAGACTTCATAAGTTCTCACGAGTCATCACAAGTCCTCACAAGTTCTAACACATCCTCACAAGTCTTCACAAGTTAAACAAATCCTCACAAATTCTTAACAAATAAGCAAAGTTGACACAGTACTAATAAGTCAATCACAAGTCCTCACAAGTTAATCACCAGTCCTCACAAGTCAATGACAAGTCCATCACCTGATACTTACCTGAGTGGATCCTTCCTTGAGGATTATCTCTACGTGTTCAGCAACCATCTCGCAAGGACCGCATGCAATTCCTCCCACAGTCTCAGGTACTTTGGCTTCAACTTCTGGGGAATGAAAAGAAAAAAATTAATAAAAAACAAAATATGTACCATTAAAAAAAACGAGGAGTCAAAATTCTGGTGATGCTAACGACCCTCTTTTTTCACACACTATCTGCAGGACATTGGGTAGGATTTTTTTTTTTTCATATTCAAAATACAAGAAGAATGTCAACTTGTTTCTTTGAGAGGAAAAATAGGATTTGATTTTATTTTCTAGGCATGAGAAAATAGATTTTGTTTTTACATATTAAAAATACTTAAGTACAGTAACAGTGTTTATAAAACACTGTCCCTTATAAGTTTATAGGGTGCACTACAGAGGCGTATCCGTTCAAGAAATGCAAGACGAAAAGCTTTATACGATAATTTCTCTGTTTTCAAGTTTGTGACATCACAAACTCCCAATGGACAATATTTGACCAAGGAAAGGGAAAGAGTTCCATACCTGGACATCACTTGACACCCTGTGCACAAACCATATGAGACTGGTCCGAAAAATTCCAAGTGTTTCCTCAGTAAACGTTTCAATATTTTCCAAGCTAAATTTAACTTTTTAGGATGTCCATGTATGGAATTCTTTTCAAGCAAAGTTCAAAAACAATTCCGTTCTCACAACATGAATCGTCATTGCAAAGGGTAAGATCTATATTCTAATAAGTTCTTTTTTTCCAAATGCTGAGAGTATGTTTTTGACAGAACAAATAAAATGCAAGCAAGGATACTTACGAGATGGTGTGCACAGTTTGAGCTCATCGCACACCTTCGTTGGGGTGACAAACTGCAACAGGAGCTGGATGATCTGTGGGGCGTACTCCTTGACGAACTCTTCACACTCTGTGCGGATGGTCGTGGGCATCAGAGAGCAGACGTCTTCCAGAACCTTCTCAATCTCTGCCTGCAGAGGTAAACAAGGGAAATTATACGCGACTTGGGTTTTCCAATTGTGCATCGGAATATTGAGATTTTCTGATTTCGACCTCAGAGATGAAAGTACATACACACAAGAAAGACAGATAAAAGTACACAAGTTAATACAGCACAATAAAAACAAACCAGATTCCTCAATGGCGAGATTTGTTAGGATTATTCCTGATTTCAAAATTTTTCAAGTTGGTGTATACATGCTTTTTGGGTGTGGCACTCTGGAAAATAGATCCAAGAAACAAGAGGATACTGTTCCAACAACAACTGTATTTTGTATGAGGTTTTCTTACTTGAGATGTTTTGCCATCCAGCAACTTGTCCACTTCCGTCATGACCAACTGACACAGAATACATTCGGTGCTTTCCTTGACGTCCTCAAGATCTAGAATCAAAACAGAATAATGTTGGCTCATCAACCTCAATAGTTAACCCTAACCGCCCTGAATCCTTCAAAATCCTCTTTGCCAAAGTGGAGGAATTTGTAGGATTGAGGCTACACGGCAAAAGTGCGTTACCGATTTCGTAGAATGCACATCTGTCAAGGTCCTGGGCCAGACCCTGTGTTGTTTTTGCTCAGCCATGCTGATGGTGGAGACCATGATGTACATGCACAGTTAACAAATTAAATGCGTGCGTGGTCAGGTATATACCACACACGCATTAACTGCAGCACTAGTCATTCAATAAGACGACCCCCTAAATGGACAGAGCGCATGCGTACAGCCTAGAGGGTATTGATATGCTCACGAGTAGGACACCCTTTTGCGACACCGATACATGCAGCGATCACGGGCCATGCCAAACCACTTTTCACTCGACTCTTCTTGGAAACCGCAGTACAGAAAGTAAACGCCAAAGCATGATTTGTTGAATGCCGACTTACGCAAAGGATTTTGTAATGCAGTTTATGGAAAGGGGACCGACAGTAACACGACAACTTAAGCGAAATGGCAACTTCTAAAAGCCGACTTAGAAATAAAAAATTCAATGGAAATGCATTATGGACAATCGGGACTTTATTCAGACGGCCGACTTGAGCAATTTGACGAGTTGTAGGATGTCGGTTTGGCCGGAGTTTACTGTATTTTTTTTAAAAACTGTGATGAAAAGGGCGCTTTGGGGCTTCAGGTTTTGTTTAGACACCCTGTAAAACAGGTATGACTTCAAAACAATTAAAATTTAATTATAATTTTTCATCAACAACAAACTATCAAACTGTGAGCAAGTCATTATATAACAAAGTGGCATATTCTTGAGAAAGAATAGCTTACCCCCAGTTCAGACAGGCGTTCTCGAGAACAAAATAGATTACGAGCGACTCGAGGTTGACCCAAATAGATTTGTGGTTTCATAAACAAACAAACGCACAAACGAACACACGATCTTAGCGACGAGCCAACATTGCACAGCGTCGTCGATGCATATCGGCTGCGTGCGTATTCCTTTGCATTTTTTCTTGCACGTCACGTCACATGCAAACATTTGTTTTTCAAGACTGTACGATGCCTGTACCATATGGATACTGGAAATCTCTGTTTTTCACTAAAAAATGTATCTTATGTATGTAAGTGTTGTATAGGGAACACAGAGGTATGTTCATTTAATTTAAGTTCTTGCTCTAAAACACAACGTCGAAATCTCGTGTTTGAAAGGATTGATTCTGCAAAAAGAAAACTTTAAATTGTAAGCACTGCGTCGCGCGTTAAACACATCGACTGCAGTCCTTATTTATATAGGTCACTACTTATTTACATACATTTACATTGACTTCTTCATATGACTAGAGCGACGTCTGAAATCAAGTAGCTCCCATATCGTTCTGAATGACTCCGACAGTCAATCTTCCGCCATGTGGCGCTCCTCACTGTTTCAGACCTCAAACTTTTCGTGTAGTTATATCAAATCTTGCCTTTTATTTTGGTTTGGCGTGACTCTAAAATGCCTTTGTAAAAATCTGAAGAAAAAATTCAAAGAGTGAAACCTGATGGGCTCACAAATTTGAAACAGACAGGCTCTGTTTATTTCTGTGTTGCGTCCATTTCTAAAATAAACCTTTTTGTGTACAGCACTAGTAACAGAATAATAGGATTCGTATCAAGAGTAATACCATACCTTTGGAACTGGTGCAAAGTCCGAGCAGTTTACAGATCTGATCAGGAGGGTACTGAGCCAGCAGTTTCAACATCTGGGAAACGTACTCATTCATAAACGCATCGCACTGCTTCGCGAATGCCGGGGGGAGGACGGCGCAGATGTTGTCTAAGAACTTCTCAATATCCGCCTGCGAGATAGGAACCAAATAGTCGTGTTGAAAAGATGTTTAAAGGGAATGTACAACATTTGCTTTTGCTGCAATTTTAAAAGTAAATGGATTTGGAGGATTAGTATGTGAAATCAAATATTGTAAAACGGACTTGTTTCACATTTTAAGCTTGTAGATGCTGAGGGAAACCAAAAAAAACCATTCATGTTTTTTGAAGTCTGGTTCCCTGACCCCACTTAAGATGAAACAGAGAATTTATAGACCTTGGGAAATTGTAAGGTTAGAGAATCAATCTAGCAGGCTTGTACCCCTTTACAGGTGTGTAATCAATTGCAAAGAAAACACGGAATAACTAATTATGAAAACTTAGGAGCAGTTTTTGAATAAAGTCAGTTTTCTCCAATGCTCGTTGGCCGATCAGCGTTGGAAAAATATCGTTTCTCTTGAAAATGTCAGAAAATCAGGAGCCACGATTTTATAGGATGCTTTAGACTGTCATTCCCTAACAATCCAGTAAGGTATTTTGTGATAATTTTATCATTTCGTTTTGTGATGTTTGCAAATGTTGTATCTTCACTTAAAATGATAATGATCAAAATGTCAGTATTAATCCTCCTGCTACTTAAAGGTAGAGTCCATCATTTGCAGCCATCCGAAAAGTAACTGGCGTAGTTATTGTTGAAAAACTAACTTGGTTGAAAGATAGTAAGGAGACTAAACTCCCTGTGAAATTATTCTTTCTGGGAAGCTGTCATTTTGAAGTAATCAACGAAAGAAGGCATTTCCAACGGTGATTCTTAAGAAGCACCGTAGGAAAATTTAAATTAGTAGTTCGTTTTGTTATTCAGCGAAGCGCGCACAAGTATTCGAACGACGCACACGCGCGCGCGGTTGTTATAATTCGTCGGATCAGTGCGCGACGTCGCGTATAGTTGCAGTTTAAAACAATTCAAAAAATGATTCAGCAACTTTTGATTTGAAATTGAGATCTTAGAATGCTGTTTTTCTCGGAATGTACAGCTGAAGCTTAGCTGAAACTTCATCAGGTTAGTTGCTCAGTATCCTTCATTAGATTTTGAACTCTTTTGTTGCTTCAAACGAACAAAATGCACAAATTACAAATGATGGACTCTACCTTTAAACAGTCACAGACAGTCAAAATTCACTTCCACTTCCCCTGCTATACTTTTTAACAAAGGCTAGTCATGATCACCAGTCATGCCAGTAGTCAGATAGATCACAAGTCAAGTAACCAGTGTGACTAGTCTAACTGGGTCAACAGACAAAGCAGGCAAGTTGTGGTCACAGCTGTGTTATCACTCGCCCAGAGTCAAAGCATTACTGTATCAAGTTAAACAGTCCCAGCCAGTCAATCCTGCTTTATGTAGGCTGGGAATTCTTAACCGTTGAAAACAGTCACTTGTTTAATTTTTACTGAAAGGACTACTAGGCACAGAATGTATGTTTGCATAGGAGGGTTACATGAAATTAGTTGTACAAACGTTCAAAACTATAAAAAAAATTGTCATTCTTCCTAAAAATGTACACACAAGATCAGGAATAATCTTACAAGGATTTCCTACAAAATCACACACATTTTCATCTGACTGTTGCATAGCAAATTTCTGCGAAGGCTTCGCTACTTAAATTTCCTTTTCACTTCATTATCAATGAGTAAATATTTGAGACGTTCTGGCAAAATGCGATGGATCTGGGCACAGGCCATAGTGGGTAAAGAATGAAAAAATTGAATGGGGTTCATGTTTTTTTTTATTTTCAAATTTATTAATATTTGTAACCTTTGATATGTCTACTACACATAATAAAGAAAGAGTTTTAAATTGTGGAATGGTATTGGTATCTTTCATTTTGAAGACTACAAAACTCAAAACTTTAAATATTTTATTTTATGTCAGTATTTTTCTTTTTTAACATGTTGATAAATGCGACCTTTAGGCCAAAAAAAAAAGCCCCCGGTTTCTGGTATGGAGCTTGCCCAAAAAGTGGTGCGGCGACGCGGCTTTTTTTTTTTTTACCTGTTTTTTGGGCTTCAAATGTCGGCTGATGACTGCAAATGGTGCCCGACTAAACTTAGTGCAAATATTATGGGAGACCAGAGAGGCCACATAAAGCTTATTCTCGATCATAATCCCATCTAAAAACACGTTAAAATTGTGCAGCAGCAGGATTCCAGTCAAACCAGTGAATTTGGCGGTTTTGAGACATCATCTTTCATTGAAAAAAAACTTTTTCATTTTGCCGACGCGCATGGCTACGGCAACGCGCGCGCATACCAGAAACCGGAGACTTTTTTTTTTTGGCCTGAGCAGCCACAACTTGTCAACAGAATGTCCGAATCACGTGCAAAAAAACCTTATTGTAAGGAGAATTTTCTTTTCTTTCCTAATACCCCCAAAACCTCTGCCTAGTTTGCCAGAAAGTCTCAAATATGTCACAAGACAGACCATCCACAATCATAGCAAAAAATACCGTGGTTCTGTTTTCCTTGAGAAAGACATCCAGCAGCTTCATGACTTCATCACAAATTTCGCACTCGACGGAACTTCCGATCTGAACATGATTTGTCTGAGCCACAGCAGCTAAAACAAAATGTGAAAATCAATTATCTATTACCTCACTGTCTTTTGCAAAACTAAAATAAATGGTTGGGGCAGTACTAAAAAGAGACATATTAAAAATTGCAGGATAGCAATCGGTTCTACATGTATTTGGCAAAAAATCACTTGGGAATGGCTTGTGGGAGCTTGTGAGGACTTGTGTGAGGACTTGCGAGGACCTGCAAAGGCTTGTGATGGACTTGCGAGGACCTTTAAAGGCTTGTAATGGACTTGGGAGAATTTGTAAGAGGACATATTCTTATGAGGACTGTTGAGATCTTGTATGAGAAATTTTGAGGACCTACAAAGACTTATGACTTGTAAAGACTTGTATGAGGATGTTTGAGGACATATAAGGTCTTTCAAAGACTTAAGAGGACTTGTGAATTTTTGTGAAGGACTTCCAAGGACCCGTATGAGGACTTGTGATGGACTCAACTACATCGCTGCCAAAACAAGAATATACTAAATGACCTCGCCTGTATGAGGACATGTACAAGGACTTGTGAAGAGTGGGGACTTTTGAGGCCTTCTATTAAGACTGATGAGGACATGTTCATGTATGAGGACTTTTGAGATCTTGTATGAGGACTTCTGAAGACTTTTAACGACGTGTAAAGATTTGTATGAGGACTTTTGGAGACACATGTACGACTCTCAAGGACCTGGGAGGACTTGTGTTGGACTTCTGGAGACGTATAAGGACTTCAGAGGACTTCAGAGGAGTTGTGAAATATTGTGATGAAATTCAAAGGACATGTGTAAGGACTTGTGATAGACTCAACTGCATCACTACCTAACTAAGAATATACATATAGCCTGACCTGTATGGGGACATGTACGGGGACTTGTGAGGAAGTGAGGACTTTTGAGGCCTTGTATCAAGACTCAAGAGGGCCTGTGGACTTCTTTGAGCCTGTGTGAAGACTTGTGGGGATTGGTATGATGACTTGTAAATACTTTTGAGGACTTGTCAAGGCGTGTGGTGGACTTCAGAGTAATTGTATGAGGATATGTTCATGTATGAGGACTTTTGAGATCTTGTATGAGAATTTCTGAAGACTTTTAAGGACGTGTAAAGACTTGTATGAGGACTTTTGGGGACACATGTACGACTCTCAAGGACCTGGGAAGAATTGTGAAATCTTGTGATGGACTTCCATGGACTTGAATGGGGACTTGTGTGGACTTGTGAGGACTTGTGATGGACTCAACTACATCAAACCAAGAATATAATACTGACAAAATATCAGGGTTTTTTGAAGGGGTATAACTTACCTTTTGCACTGGTGCAAAGTTGGATAAGTTTACAAATCTGGTCAGGAGGGTATGTATCCAGAAGTTGCAAGATCTCAGGAACGTACTCTTTCACAAACATATCACACTCTGTTTTGTACTTTGAGGGTAAGACACCGCAGATATTGTCCAAGAAATGTTCAACATCCGCCTGCAAAGAATGAAAAGGTAGCCGGAACAGGGGTTGTGACATTTAGTTTTTAAAAGGTTTTTATAAATGGGAATAAATATGTGTTTGGCCTGTATTAAAACAAGTAGGTTTATAACTGGCTAGGTGCTTGGATGCTGATAATGTCCTTGGATCTGTGAGAACATGTATGAGGACTTGAGATGGACTTGTATAAAGACTCTTGGAGGCTTGTGAGGACAACTTAGTGCTTGTGAGGACCGGCCAAGCACATATTTATTCCTTTAGTTATACATGAAGATTATGAAAGATAGACACCAAAACAAAGTACCTTAGTTCTATTCTTCTTGAGAAAGGCATCAAGCAGGCCTGTTACATATTCACAAATCTCACACTCGATGGCATTTCCAACCAGAACAGGACGTGACTGAGCCACGGGAGCTAAAAACAAAACAAGAAAAGCAATCATTTATTACCCCATTAAAAGTTTAGATGTGGGCGGCTGCTTTTTATTTGAAAATTGAATGCTTTTCTTTCAAAAGTAGCACAATTGAAGGGTGGCAAATGGTGCTGAATGTATTCAGCCAAAATCGCATATGACTGGCATAAAAGGGCTTGTGAGGACTTGTATGAGGACTTGTTAGGACTTATGAGGGCCTGTTTGAGGAACTGTGAGAACATGTATGAGGAATTGTGATGGAATTGCATATTTGGCTTGTGAGGACAAGTTAGGCGAGCCATCAGATAACAGACCTTTCGGGTACCGGGTCCGGTATGCTAATTTCTTTCACCCCAATCGGTATGAAGCCAGAAGCCACCCGGTCACTGAAGCGTGACGCCCCAATCGGTCCAAATTGGTGACTCAGGGTTTCACAATAGGCAACATAAATTGAAGTCTGGCCATTGTTGGAGGATTCTTTGGCCCGCTGGGATTTCCAGTGGCAACTTCTATGAAGCTCATCACAGTCATTGTTGCCTACTGGAGGATTAGCGCGTCGCAAATTGGTTCCTTCATGATGAGCCAGAGCCATGGTGTGGAAGCCTGGTGGAGTTAATTCAAGCCAATCGGTTCCATGCAAGGTCCCAATCCCTTCAACATACTGGGCGGGCTTAACCCCGAACGGTCCGGGGAGGGATTCTAATTTGAGGGCTCGCCTTATGGCTTGTGAGGACTGATAAGGGCCTGTATGAGGAACTGTGAGAACATGTATGAGGACTTGTAACCAGACTTGTAAGGGCTTGTGAGGACGTGTTAGGGCTTTGGAGAACTTGTGAGGGACTGTATGAGGCCTGTGGACTTCTTTGAGCCAGTGTGTGAATACTTGTGGGGATTGGTATGATGACTTGTGAATACTTTTGAGGACTTGTCAAGGCGCGTGGTGGACTTGCGAGTAATTGTATGAGGATATGTTCATGTATGAGGACTTTTGAGATCTTGTATGAGGACTTCTGAAGACTTTTAAGGACGTGTAAAGACTTGTATGAGGACTTTTGGGGACACATGTACGACTCTCAAGGACCTGGGAGGACTTGTTAAATTTTGCGATGGACTTCCACAGACTTGAATGGGGACTTGTGAGGACTTGTGATGGACTCAACTACATCAAACCAAGAATATAATTCTGACAAAATATCAGGGTTTTTTTGAAGGGTTAAAACTTACCTTTTGCACTGCTGCTGCTGCAAAGTTTGATAAGTTTACAAATCTGGTCAGGAGGGTATGTATCCAGAAGTTGCAAGATCTCAGGAACGTACTCTTTCACAAACATATCACACTCTGTTTTGTACTGTGAGGGTAAGATATCGCAGATATTGTCCAAGAAATGTTCAACATCAGCCTGCAAAGAAAGAAAAGGTAGCCGGAACAGGGGTTGTGACATTTAGTTTTCAAAAGGTCTTTATGAATGGGAATAAATATGTGCTTGGCTGGTATTAAACAACTAGGTTTATAACTGGCTAGGAGCTTGGATACTGATAATGTCCTTGGAACTGTGAGAACATGTATGAGGACTTGAGATGGACTTGTATAAAGATTTGTGAGGGCTTGTGATGACAACTTAGGGCTTGTGAGGACCGACCAAGCACATATTTATTCCTTTAGTTATACATGAAAATTATGAAAGATAGACACCAAAACAAAGTACCTTAGTTCTATTCTTCTTGAGGAAGGCATCAAGCAGGCCCGTTACATATTCACAAATCTCACACTCGATGGCATTTTCAACCAGAACAGGCCGTGACTGAGCCACGGGAGCTAAAAACAAAACACGAAAAGCAATCGTTTATTACCCCATTAAAAGTTTAGATGTGGGCGGCTGCTTTTTATTTGAAAATTGAATGCTTTTCTTTCAAAAGTAGAATAATATAAAAGATGGGTGAACAGTACTTAAAAGATGCATCGTAGCACAATTGAAGGGTGGCAAATGGTGCTGAATGTATTCAGCCAAAATCGCATATGACTGGCATAAAAGGGCTTGTGAGGACTTGTATGAGGACTTGTTAGGACTTGTGAGGGCCTGTTTGAGGAACTGTGAGAACATGTATAAGGAATTGTGATGGAATTGCATATTTGGCTTGTGAGGACAAGTTATGGCTTGTGAGGACTGATAAGGGCCTGTATGAGGAACTGTGAGGACATGTATGAGAACTTGTAACCAGACTTGTAAGGGCTAGTGAGGACGTGTTAGGGCTTTGGAGGACTTGTGAGGGCTAGTATGAGGCCTGTGGACTTCTTTAAGCCTGTGTGAAGACTTGTGGGGATTGGTATGATGACTTGTGAATACTTTTGAGGACTTGTCAAGGCGCGTGGTGGACTTGCGAGTAATTGTATGAGGATATGTTCATGTATGAGGACTTTTGAAGACTTTTAAGGACGTGTAAAGACTTGTATGAGGACTTTTGGGGACACATGTACGACTCTCAAGGACCTGGGAGGACTTGTGAAATCTTGCGATGGACTTCCACAGACTTGAATGGGGACGTGTGAGGACTTGTGATGGACTCAACGACATCAAACCAAGAATATAATACTGACAAAATATCAGGGGTTTTTTGAAGGGGTAAAACTTACCTTTTGCACTGCTGCAAAGTTTGATAAGTTTACAAATCTGGTCAGGAGGGTATGTATCCAAAAGTTGCAAGATCTCAGGAACGTACTCTTTCACAAACATATCACACTCTGTTTTGTACTGTGAGGGTAAGATATCGCAGATATTGTCCAAGAAATGTTCAACATCCGCCTGCAAAGAATGAAAAGGTAGCCAGAACATTTAGTTTTCAAAAGGTCTTTATGAATGGGAATAAATACGTGCTTGGCTGGTATTAAACAACTAGGTTTATAACTGGCTAGGGGCTTGGATGCTGATAATGTCCTTGGAACTGTGAGAACATGTGTGAGGACTTGAGATGGACTTGTATAAAGATTTGTGAGGGCTTGTGAGGACAACTTAAGGCTTGTGAGGACCGGCCAAGCACATATTTATCCCTTTAGTTATACATGAAGATCATGAAAGAGACACCAAAACAAAGTACCTTGGTTCTATTCTCCTTAAGAAAGGCATCAAGCAGGCCCGTTACATATTCACAAATCTCACACTCGATGGCATTTCCAACCAGAACAGGATGTGACTGAGCCACGGGACCTAAAAATAAAATACGAAAAGCAATCATTTATTACCCTATTAAAAGTTTTGATGTGGGCAGCTGCTTTTTATTTGAAAACTGTATGCTTTTCTTTCACAAGTAGAATAAAAGATGGGTGAACTAAAAAAGATGCATTGTAGCACGCGCAATTGGTTCTGAATGCATTTGGCCAAAAATCACATATGACTGGCAGATAAGGGCTTGTGAGGACTTGTGTGAGGACTTGTATGAGGACTTGTTAGGACTTGTGAGAGCCTGTTTGAGGAACTGTGAGAGGACTTGTGATGGACTTGTACAAGGACTTGTAAGGGCTTGTGAGGACTTGAGAGGGCCTTTAAGAGGACTTGTGGCCTTGTGAGGACTTGTGAGGACCTGTTTGAGGACCAGTCAGGATTTGGGAGGGCCTGTTTGACTTCTAGCTTGTAAGGACGTGCAATTGTGAGGGCTTGTGAGGACTTACATGTATGAGCCTCTATGACTTGCGAGGGCTAATTAGGCCTTGCGAGGAATTGTAAGAGCCTGTTTTAGGACTTGTGTGGACATTTAACGAACTGTATGAAGACCTTGTAGGAATTGTGAGGACCTATATAAGGCCTTGTTATGACCTCTCTGGTGACTTGTGAGGGCTTCTGACAACCTACGGACTTGTGAGGACTTATATTAGGATATGAGGACCTGTAGGACTTGTGAAAACCTAAATGAGAACTTGTCATTACACATATCAGGGCTTTTTGTGGAGTAATTCTTACCTTTGGAACTTGTGCAAAGTCCAAGCAATTTACAGATCTCATCGGTAGGATACGTAGACAACAGTTGCAAGATCTCAGGAACGTACTGTTTCACAAACATATCGCACTCTGTTTTGTACTGTGAGGGTAAGATATCGCAGATATGCACTAAGAAGTTCTCAATATCCGCCTGCAAGAGAAATCAAACAGTTTTGTTGAAACAGCTTTAAATGGTAACATCAAAAAGTCAGTCCTCGCATGTAATATATTGTTAGAGAGGGATTTTACTTGTAAAAAGTGATCTCAATATACCTTTTAAAGAAAAGAAGGAAAGGCTAACCCTTCAGTCACTGTAATGGCCAAAACTGCACTTGAATGCTGGCCGTGGGAACATATGGTGCTTATGCTCTTGAGCAAGGCACTTTACCATTATTGCTTTGTCCTTCGGATTGGACGTAAAGCCGTAGGTCGTGTGCGTTGTGTAATGCACGTTAAAGAACCCAGTAACACTTATCGCTAAGAGAAGGGGTTTGCCCCGGTGTTTCTGGCAGTGGCTGCTTAATGCGCCGCAGCACCTTGTAAACCCTTATAAGGTGCTACATAATGGGTCTCACATTTCTCATGTACTTCATTTACCTGTCTCTAACTTAGACATAATTTCCAGCGCCTTGAGTACCTAATTGTTGGTAGATACATGCACTATATAAGACTTCGGTATTATTATTATTATAATATGGGATGGTTTTGAGGGGGATACAAGAATGTATTGCACGAGCTGTAACAATATTGCATGAGTCAAAGACGAGTGCAATATATTCTTGTATCCCTGAAAAAAAGATGATCAATTTTATTATTATTACTTAATATTAGGCTGACTTGATCTAGTCTGAGTTTCTCCCGTTATCCACCGAGCCAAGAGTCCCCTGTATAATGTCTGATATGTCTAGACATGCAGATATATGCAAGCCATGCTCCAGCCAATCGAAGTCGACTTTACCAAATCGTGATGTCATTTCATTCCCAAATCAGGACCAAAACTGTGATTGGTCAATTCGAAACCAGTGTATTGTAATGCAACAACAGCCGCTCACGCATGTGTCACGTAACATAATAGCGCATGACCAGGGCCTTTGTTGCTGTATACACAGGGTTATTTCTATCCATGTCTAGATGCGACAAAGGTGAATGACGAAAGACCCGACATAGAAAGGGCCGCTAATTGGTCAAAACATAGAGGTCAAGATGCGTTTGTCTCGCCTAAGTAATCAGCGAATCCGCAACAAATAGATTTCAGGACGCTGTCTTTATTTCTCAAATTTCATTGAATTATTCTCTGCTTTACCGAAGAACATTTTGTGCCGCTCGAAGCTGCCATTTTGGTTGTTGACAACATGCGCAGATACCCTACAAGTACTGTGCGCTGCGTCCACATGAAAGCGCGATGGTACCGTGCATTTCGCTCTGTTGACTGGTTGACAACTGTGAATTTCTGTGCTCTAGGCTGTGTGGGCATCTTCGAAAATGACTGCAATATCAAAAATAATATTGCAGTCATCCGGGTACTTTTTACGAGAGCATACAATCATGACAATACGCTGATTTATTTTTTATTACTGGAAGCTTGATATAAATAATACTATTCCTTTTTGGCATTCAAAACTGGCACAGCACTGTATGGTTTTATACAGTATGTCCCAAAAAAGTGTCCGTCGACCTATTTTTAAAATAACAACAAAACCACCGATAGGATGCATGCGCAAAAGTGTTTGCGAAACCGGTCTTCGAATGCAAAGCTGTAATATTTGAGTTGTATGGTCGAGTAAGGTGTCCACCAACCAACCAACCCACCCACCCACCAACTAACAAACATAAGCAGCTCAAGCACACGGCATGTTTCACACCGCCGTCAGAAAAAGAGGACTTTACCTTGGTTGTGTTTTGCTTGAGAAAGCCTTCCAGCAGAGCCATTGTTTCTTCACAAATCTCACACTCGACAGAACTTCCGACCTGAACATGATTTGACTGAGCCAGTGAAGCTAGAAAAACAAAATGTCAAAATCAAATGCATTCAGCAAAAATCCCAATTTTTTTTTGGGGGGGGGGGGGTTCGGGTCCTTCAAACTATACAGGGTGGATAAAAAACACCCGAAACAGAGATATTATGGCTAATTGGAACAGAAGTAGGGCACATGTGAATCAAATGGAGATATCCTCTGTCAGGGTTGAATCTCCTCTGTAAAATGACCTGGTCATGTCATTATATTCAGGGTTGACTGAGCAGTGACCAATTTTATGAAAGGTCTATTTAGAGATTTGCGCAACTTTTCATGGTGAAATCAGTTTTTTTTTTTTTTAAACCATTTTTTGTCAATGCTGGTCGACAAACCAGCATTGAAAAAAAAAAAATTACACAGAGATACCACTGCTCTTGAAAATGTCAGCACACAAAGGTGCCCTTACAGTCATGTAAGGTATTTCATAATAATTTGGTAGTTTTGTTTTTTGATGTTTGCAAATGTTGTATATTCCCTTTAAACAATATGACAAATAACAAACAAATGCTTATTCAAAATAGTTCATATGATCACCCTGTGACTTGGCTTGGGACTGTGCAACTACACTGTGATTGACTTATGAGGACCTGTGAGGAAATCTGAGGACTTTTTAGGGTCTGTAGGGACTTGTGTTGACCTGTGATGGCTTGTAAGGACTTGTGATGGACTTGTGAGGGCTTGTGATGACTGGTGAGGGTTTTGTACTTTGTGTGGTCTCGTGAAGACCTGTATGAGGACATTTTGGGTCTGTGAGGACTTGTGTGGACCTGTGAGGACTCATGTGGACCTGTACTGTGAGGGCTTGTGAAGACTGGTGAGGGGTTGTAGGACCTTGTATGAGGAATTGCAAGGACTTGCAAAGACTAACGACAGACTTGTGTGGTTTCGTGAAGACATGTACCGTATGAGGACTTTTTAGGGTCTGTGAGGACTTGTGTGGATTTGTAAGGGGTTGTAAGGACTTGTGAGGGCTTGTGAAGACTGGTGAGGGTTTTGTACTGTTCATAGACTTGTGATGAATTGTGAGGGCTTGTACTGTGTGGACTTGTATAATGACTTGTTAGGACTTGCAAAGACTTACAATGGACTTGTGAGGTCTCGTGAAGACTGGTGAGGGTTTTGTACTTTGTGTGGTCTCGTGAAGACCTGTATGAGGACATTTTAGGGTCTGTGAGGACTTGTGTGGATGAGGACTCATGTTGACCTGTACTGTGAGGGTTTGTGAAGACTGGTGAGGGGTTGCACTGTTCATGGGATTGTGATGACTTGCGAGGGTTTGTAAGACCTTGTATGAGGACTTGTAAGGAATTGCAAAGACTTACGACGGACGTCTGTGGTCTCGTGAAGACATGTACCATATGAGGGCTTTTGAGGGTCTGTGAAGACTTGTGTGGACCTGTAAGGGCTTGTAAAGACTTGTGAGGGCTTGTGAAGACTGGTGAGGGTTTTGTACTGTTCATGGTCTTGTGATGACTTGTGAGGGCCTGTACTGTGAGGACTTGTATGATGACTTGTTAGGACTTGCAAAGACTTACGATGGACTTGTGAGGTCTCGTGAAGACCTGTATGAGGACTTGTGAGTAGTGGTGTGCATTTACGCATAGTACGGGAACCAGATACCCTATTGAAGTAAAACACGAGTACCCAGGTACCCATATAAGAAACCAAACCCCAATACTAAAATCCCAGAAGTTGTCTGAAGGGCTTTATATAGCTTCATGGTGTAAGCTGCAACTTTGACGAGCGTCATCTGTCGCATGTTAAAATGCACAAAAACATGAAATCTGTTTAGGTTTCCATCTTGCTGGTTTTCATTTTAAGAATTCCCAACAAATGGCATTCAAAACTTCTCTTTTTTAATTGTCCAACATCAGCAGTCGGGAACTCAAGTACCCGGTTCAGATCGCCCCAACTTGTGAGGACTTGTGATGGACTCACGTACATCGCTGCCAAATCAAGAATATATGAATGACATAATATCAGGGTTTTCTTGTGGAGTAGATCTTACCTTTAGAACTGGTGCAAAGTCCAAGCTCTTTACAGATCTGATCGGGAGGGAATGTTGCCAAAAGTTGCAAGATCTCAGGAACGTACTCTTTCACAAACATATCACACTCTGTTTTCAACTGTGACGGTAAGACAGCGCAGATATTCTCCAAGAAATGTTCAATATCCGTCTGAGAGATAGAAAAAAATAGCCGGAATGGTGGTTGTGAAATTTTGTTGAAAAAGAAACATTACATTTCATGAAACTCTGACAAAATTGTATGTTTTATTTATCACCTTGAGTGTAAAGAACGCCATGGTCCAGTGATACGGTGTTTGACTCACGCATGATGGTGCGTGGGTTCGAATCCTGCCAGGAACATGGTGTTTGTGCCCTTGGGTAAGACGCTTAGAATAGCTACAATTGCCTCTCTCCACCCAGGAGTATCAATGGGTACCCGTGAGGGTCGAAGACTTTTTGTTGGTACCACTTGTCCTAAATTGCATAATTTTGTACACACTATCACTGTTTTGGGCCAAACAATGAGTAAGGTTGGACTGCTAAGAAATTTCTGTTCTGATCAGTCGTAATTTGAGCAAGATATGCCCAGTACTTTTTGAGTTAAATAGGGGGACTTTCTTTTTTGGTTGAGTGTATCACACTGTAGTTGCCATGGATCAACCAATCAGTATCGAGGATTCAAGTTTGCTTGAAAATAAAAGTATATTCACCAGATGTGTAAGGACTGTTCTTTTGAGGACTGACTTCGCGTTCACTTTTGAACCGGCCTCACTGTAACTTGTAAACTTAATCAGTCATAGACCATTAAAGATGGGCATCCATAAAAATACCTTGGTTGCGTTTTCCTTGATTAAGACATCAAGTAGGTCCATGACATATTCACAAATATCGCACTGGACAGAACTTCCAACATGAACAAGATTTGTCTGAACGAGAGGAGCTGAAAACAAAAGAAACAACGATATTTTACTTTTAGATATTTTTTTGGCCTGTGTGTAGAGAGTTCAGAAATTGTCGCCCTGTTTGTAATTCTGAAAATAAATTACCTAACAAAACTTGCATAATTATATGCATATACATGTATGCTGTATTTGTATATATTGGAATTCAGTGTTTTTTGAAGCAGTTATTTTTGAACATGAAAATAAAATATAAAGTCATCTATCTTTGGAACATTTTGTGGGTTTTCTTTATCATGCTGCTTGTAAAGCAAGTCATGGCTTGTGATTTGACTAGTGATTTGACTTGAGGCATGATTTGTGATTTGACTTGTGATTTAACTTGTGACCTGACTTGTTATTTGACTTGTGATTTGACTTGTGATTTGACTTTTGATTTGACTTGTGATTTGACTTGTGATTTGACTTGTGATTTGAAGTGTGATTTGACAAGTTTGCGATTTGAACTTGTGATATGACCTGGAATTTGACTTGTGATTTGACTTGTTATTTGACTTGTGATTTGACTGGAGATTTGACTGGAGATTTGACTTGTGACTTGACCTGTGATTTGACTAGTGATTTGGCTTGTGATTTGACTTGCGAATTTAACTTGTGATTTGACTTGTGATTTAACCTGGGATTTGACTTATGAATTGACTTGTGATTTGACCTGGGATTTGACTTATGATTTGACTTGTGATGTGACTTGTGATTTGACCTGGGATTTGACTTGTGCAGTGCTTTGACTTGTAATTTGAAATGTGAACTGATATGAAATTGACTTGTGATTTGACTTATAACTTGACTCACGACTCACTTATGAATTGACCTGTGTTTCCAGCTGTACTTAACTGGATGACAAACTTTGTTGAAAAGAACATAAAACGACTGGTACGTACCACTTGAGCTGGTGCACACCCCCAAGTATTGGCAGATCCCATTTGCGGGAATCGACTTCAGCAGATCAATAATCGCCGTGGTGTACTTTGTGACGAAAGCATCGCATGCATCCTTCAAACTCGAGGGCAGGACATTACAGATGTTGTCCAGAAATTTCTCGATGTCTTTCTGCACATGACGATCAACAACAAATGGAAAATGATGAGTTTATAGGAGGATGTAAAGCCCAGTTCGCCCTGGTCTTCAACAAATTTTCACATTGCATGTTTTAACTATTCCAACCCAAAAACCTCACTTTTTTTATGTCTCCGATACCAAAAAATCTTTGTTTTCGGCACAAACGCATCCGCTTTGTGAGCAAACTGGCTCCGCTCCATACAATATCGACACTGATTGTGGGGTGGGGAACCAGCTCACCTCGCCATAATGGAATCATAATTCAAAAGTGAACAATTAAATTTAAAAACTAAACATGGCCCAATTTTTTTTCAGTCCATGTCTCATTTTAAGTTTATAACTTTTTTATTGCCAAAAAAAGAAAATCTCAGCAAAGAAATTTGTTTCTCAGGATGCAGAGTTGTAACCAAGTAATTTTTTTTCAAGTCAAGTCCCAAGTCAGATTTTAGCAAGTCAACTCAAGTCTCGAGTCATTTTGAAAAAAATATTAGATGCACATACAACGTACGGGGACCAGTTTATGTGTTCGACGACGGAGCCGGGGTAGAGATGGAAATAGAGTTGATCACAGCATGCATTATGTAGGCCTAAGAAGATTTTAAAAAATCATACTTTTCAAACATCTTCTCTCAAACACCTTGTATCTGAAGAGTTTAAAAACGCATTTTGATATAATATTTTCAAACTTGTTCCATCATGTTGAATGTTTGAAGGATGTCTGACAAAATGTCCTTTCGAACGTTTCCGTTTAATGCATGGTGTGATTTTTTAATTTTTTGTATTGTGGATTGGGGGTAGCAGCCGTTTTCCAATCGTTTAAACCCTAGTTGTATTTAGCACGCTTACGTTAAACCACTCAATGTGTACCTGTAGCCTATGGGCTCTATGGATATGACCGCTCTATAACAACGGATGGTACTAAGACTAGGCACGGCACAAACTTCGCCATAACACACGCATAGTGCTAGTCGTGTACATGACGTGTGGCAGGCTCAGGATGCCCAGCTATCGCATGCTGGTTGCTAATTCGCTATGTCATGTATGTATATCTGCATTCTTTGCAACCGATTATACTAGTGCATTTTTTCGTAACTTTAAAAACACTTAAATGTCAGCAAGTCAAATTTATTCGAGTCAAGTCAAGTCACAAGTCATATTTTTGTTCAAGTCAAGTCAAGTCTCAAGTCATTTTCCCCAAATCAAGTCAAGTCACAAGTCAAAAAAATAGCGACTCGAGTCCGACTTGAGTCCGAGTCAGCGACTCAAGTCAACAACACTGTCAGGATGAAACTCCAAAAAAGCACAGAGAACGCAACTTTAAAGCTGATTTCTCACATTTTTTAAAACCTCACTGTTGTCATCAGCAACAAATAATTGTTTTGTGAACTTTTAGAAAACAAAACTGACCACTCTTGAGATGAAAAAAAAACAGTGATAACTGCATTTTTCAAGATATGCTACTCTAGCCTCTTTTTATTTTTTTTTCAAGAAAAGTATCTGATAAATTGAAATATTTGAAATTGATAAATACAACGCTGTACCTCCGTAGCGTTCTTCTTCAACAGAACTTCAATTTCTCCCATCACAAGTTTACAAACTTCGCACTCAAGTGCGTTACCAACTTGTGTATTCTCTGGCACTGGCTTGGCAGCTGATTGAACAAAAAAAAACAGACAAAGAAAACTATTGATGAGGTGTATAAAAGGGTTTGGATGCTGGAGTGCGCTCTTGATGACACTGGTATGAAAGCACTAGGGAATTGAAGCCTTCACTTGGAGAAGTATCCGACGTTAGGCTTTTTAAAGTACAGACTACCGAAAGTGGACATGCTACATGTATGTTATTTCGTTAATAGCGTTTTCATGAAGGGATGAATTAGGCCCCCCCCCAAAAAAAAACCCCCCACAAATCTAAGTTCTTTTTTCGGCCGAAATCACTGAAGTGAACAGCAACAAACATTTTCGCGAATGTTTTTGGGTAAAATTTGGTTTAAATCAACAAAATCATGACACTCAATGTAGGGAAAATTTCACCTGCAGTGTTCACGAAGAGACAAATTCAAACTCTATCATGTTGCAATATGGGGCAAAAACAACGCGTGTGTAGACTTTAAGTTTTCACAAAGAGATGAACCGAGCCTGTGTGCAGGGTAAAACAACGCACACGTGGAATTTTAGGTTTTCACAAAGAGACGAATTCGCACAAACTGGTTCGGGCAATGGGTATTGGCAGTTTGCCAAAACAACAAACGGTTGGGGGTTTGGGGTTTTTACGAACAGACAAATCTCTCCGGAGATTATTCTCTGCCATCAACTGGTCTATTGAACTGTAAATATAATGGGTACATCTTTTAAGTTTAACATCTCAGCTTACTTTCTGAATCAAAAATTAGTCGGCATGTGCTCCAAAAAAAGGCAAAATCATTTCAAAAAGTGACCAACTTATCACCCGTTTTTCTCAAAACCACTGTTCAACACCCAGTGGCCCAATTTGTCCCTTCGTAAAAACGCAGACGATTTGACAACTTCGCTGAACAATGCAAAATATAGAATGTATTAAATCACCCGACCCACAGATTCTGTATCTTGATTGGCCGAGAGCTAAGACTTGTGGGGACTTTTGCGGTCTCGTGATGCACTTGACTTAAATGTTTGTAAGTTACAATGACTTTTTAAAAATAAACCAAAAAAACCTGATTCTGCATCTAAATATAGTACAAAATTTCCCTTTGACCTAGTAATAATGGGTTCTTATATAGCGCTTTTAACTAAGATCAAAGCACTTTACAATATTATTACCCCCGATCATTGGGCCAATTGAACATTCCAAATACCATCTCAGCTCCCTGGGGAGTATACAGCTCGATGCTGCCTGTTAGGCGCAAGAAAGCTAATTCAATCACATAACCATCTCTGCCCTCACAGGTACCCATTTACTCCTGGGTGGAGAGAAGCAATGAGTGACAAAGTGCCTTGCCCAAGGGCACAGGCACCATAACCCCAGGCTGGACTCGAACCCACAACCTGCAGAATTACCCGCAGACCACAAATTCAATGCCCCAGCTAGACCACGAGGCCACGGCACTGCACGTAACCTACCTGCTGTGCACACTCCAATCCCTTTGCAGAGCATGTCGACTGGTTTTCCTGACAGCAAGTACCCTGCCACGTCGCTGCGATACTGTATCATGAATTCGAGGCAGCCCTTCACGTTGCCCCCTATCAAGAGACACACTGCGTCCAGCGCGTAGCCAACCTGTTGCTAAATATTCATCATCGAAAAAAAGAAAGATAATCAAAACAACAATAAGCATTTCAGCTATTTAATTAAACATGGCGTTTGAGATTGGCATCCCATGTTCACACTGAATTAAATCATTCCCAAGACTTGAGTTAAGGACATGATAAGTTTGATGTTTGAAACAATGAAGAGTAAATACATCCAACTTATTTACTGTTTGACAACTTTGCGCCAGGATTATTTTTTCCAACAATTTAGACTTTCGCAAAAGGCTAAAATTTCCAGCCAACTTCTGATGAACAGCCAAATGCCACAAATACTGATTCGCAAGAGTTATTTCAACAGTATTTGCACGATATTTCTTCGGTCTGCCTCCACAAACTTCACAGACTTTGTGTGTGTGTACAAAAGGCACGAGGGATAAGCGTGTTTAGACGTCACCCAGAGGTGAGTCGAGGCAATCTTAACGATGGGAACTGGTAAAGTCATTTTGAAGGAGCCTAGCGTCTAGTAAATGGAACATTAATGTGACAGTTATACAATACAAACCCCATGTTGTTTTTGAATTACGTAATCATTTTCTATAATACAAATTGGCGAGCGCCCTCTTGATATCGAGTTCGCAATTGCGTAATTCTAGCCTTAAATATTGAAACTACCAAGGCATGTAATGATGGGGTATTCATTGTCACATTATATACCTGGGTAACGTGCGGTTTGATCACTTGAACGAGGTAAGCCTTGACGCGTTGGCACTCCAAACAGTCAAAGATGTCATCAAAACGGTCCTGCGCCGACACTGTATGCAGGCAACACAGAGAATTCAATTTCAATTCAATAAACATTTATTTCCACTCTGTGGAGGCAGCATCCTAATAAGCCGAAGCTTGTGGTGGATGTGCCCAACAATACCAGACAAAACAAGACAAACAACACTCACTATAGAATTGAGAAATAATAACAATAGTTAAATTTGTAACAGCTACACAAAGTAGACACGACAATAAACAACATTTCAATAACGGCTAAATCAACTTAACGTAATAATGAATCAGGCTCTCTGAGAATTAAGTAGGAATGGTTTTAGTTTATATTTGAATGTAATCTCGATAAGTCAAACTCTGATAACTCAAAACAACTGTTAATTCAAACAAAGAATCCATTCCCTTTAGTAGCATAATGATGATATACAACCCTGCATAACTCAAAACTCTGCTTAAGTCAAATTTTGAGCATGTTCCCTTGAGGTTTACTTATCGAGATTTCACTGTACTTGAAGGGCAATTAGTTATGGACAGTGAAAGGTCATTCCAAATTTTTGGTCCAGAGAAAGAAATGGTATGTTAGTAGTAGTAACATTTATTTCAATGATGTCATTCATTACAATTACCGGTATGTACAAACATGTATACATTAGAAAAAGTCACTAGTATAATATTAGATAGATATGTACACAGTGATTAATTATAAAGTGTGAAATTAGATGACAACATTTAGGTATAAGGTTAAGCAGAACGCTTTTGTGCCCTTACCTATGGACAAACATACGACCAAAGGACTAACAAAACAATACGTGAGACAGACAGGAGAAAGAGATGTTCTGACTTGAGGTATATGTCATTTGGATGAGGACCTAGTATAGTCAGTCAGTGCGATAGGTAACCAGTTTAAGTCACAAGTGACAGTCAATCAGTGAGATAGGTAACCAGTCTAATTAACAAGTCTGTGAGATAGGTAACCAGTCTAAGTCACAAGTGACCGTGAGTCAGTGAGATAGGTTACCAGTCTTATTCACAAGTGAGTCAGTCTGTGAGATAGGTAACCAGTCTAAGTCACAAGTGACAGTCAGTCAGTGAGATAGGTAACCAGTCTAATTCACAAGTGACAGTCAGTCAGTGAGATAGGTAACCAGTCTAATTCACAAGTGACAGTCAGTCAGTGAGATAGGTAACCAGTCTAATTCACAAGTGACAGTCAATCAGTGAGATAGGTAACCAGTCTAATTCACAAGTGACGGTCAGTCAGTAACATAGGTAACCAGTCAAAGTCACAAGTGATAGTTAGTCAGTGATATAGGTAGCCAGTCTAATTGTAGGTAAGCAGTGTAAGTTGCAAGTGACAGTCAAGTGAGATAGGCAACCAGTCTAATTCACAAGTGAGTCAATCTGTGAGATAGGTAACCGGTCTAATCAACGAGTCTGTGAGATAGCTAGTAACCAGTCTAATTCACAAGTGACAGTCAGTCAGTGAGACAGGTAACCAGTCTAATTAACAAGTCTGTGAGATATTCAACCAGTCTAATTCACAAGTGAGTCAGTCTGTGAGATAGGTAACCAGTCTAATTAATAAGTCAGTGTGATAGGTAACCAGTCTAATTAACAAGTCTGTGAGATAGGTAACCAGTCTAATTCACAAGTCACAGTCAGTCAGTGAGATGGGTAACCAGTCTAATTCACAAGTCACAGTCAGTCTGTGAGATGGGTAACCAGTCTAATTCACAAGTCACAGTCAGTCTGTGAGATGGGTAACCAGTCTAATTCACAAGTCACAGTCAGTCAGTGAGATGGGTAACCAGTCTAATTCACAAGTCACAGTCAGTCTGTGAGATGGGTAACCAGTCTAATTCACAAGTCACAGTCAGTCTGTGAGATGGGTAACCAGTCTAATTCACAAGTCACAGTCAGTCAGTGTGTCAGTTAGTCAGTCTGTCTGTCTCCCCGTCTGTCAGTCAGTCAGTCAGTCCTCTGGGACCAGCAACAAGTATACAGGAGGTGACCATTCGTTGACTCACCCAAATCTGGGCAGACATTCATCTTCATGCAGACGTCTTCAAAGGGTGTCTTGTCCATCCGCAGAGTGATGATCTGGGCACCGTACTGGCTCACAAAACCGTCGCATTCAGTCTTGGAACCGGGCGGCTGAAGGGAGCATGCTTTGTTCATGGCAGATTGGATATCCACCTGAATATAAATGGGGAAAAAAATGAAAACAAGACAAAGTAAGCCTCGTAAAGCTTGTCCAAGATGATATAAATTATGTTCTGCTTTAAATGGCTATTCATTAAAAGTTTTTTTCATGCCAATTCGATTGCATTGCTGGATAGTTCTACAGGGTGCATCAAAAAGAAAGTGTCCTGGGTCAATGATTTTGTTTTTCTTAAAAAACAATCAAATTTGATACAACAATGAAGTATGTTTTAAAAGAGCATGTTCTTCCACTCATCTGAAAGGAAAAAAAATCGAATTACGGAAATTGATCCATGCTATCAGAAGTTATGCATGTTTTACTTTAAAAAGAACCCATTTTTATAGCTGTCCGTGGAATGCCATTGGAAGCTATTGAGCTGAGTGAGAATTACAGATTACACACAGGCACTCAAATACAAATGAGATTTGAATCATTTCAATCAAGACTGAAACAGTATTTTTACTGCCAGATTTTGTGTTTGGAATATGAGGAACAAGTCATCTATTTTTTTCTGAAATATTAATGGCGATTTTGGTATTTTTTCCTTTGCAAGTTCTCCTCCATTCAGGTGGGAAAATGTCCATGTTTTACTGTATTTAGTGGGTATTCATCAGATCGTAGGACAGTAAATGATCAGTGGTGGACAGCTGAATTTTGTGATCTTCATATGTTCACAGTGAAATTTTCACAGTTACATGTACTACTCAATATGTACTTTATCATGCCTGTGTTTTTTTTGTATGAAATGAAACGAGCCACTTTTTTTTATATTTTATTTCTAATTCAGTCACTTTCTTTTTGACTCACTCTGTATTACATTGGCTATTAAATTTTGAAAATCTGCATGTGATTAGAAGGATATAGGCATCCTTCGCAATTAAGCTTCTCAGCTGCGAGTAAGGATTGAAAAAACAATTATAATATATTATATATGGGTCATTCTATAAACTTGGGGTCCACTTTTTTCCCGTCCCCGTTACATCTGACATCTATGATTTTCTAATTCTGAAGCACTCTTATATACTGAGTCACCCTCCAAGAGTGATTATGAAAAGCAAACTACTTATCCAAAAAATATTGAAGTCATTCTTGATGATACTTGAATGGCAAATTACAAAGTACCAAGGTATAACAGGGACAGGAAAAATATCACTCGTACCTAAAATTTGTGGAATGTCCCACGTACCTTTGTGAAGTCTTGCGGGTGAAATGAGGTGAGGAAGTCCATCACAAACTCACACATGATGCATGTAGTATCGTTTATTTGGGCTTTCGGTTCCGGAACAATACCTGACCAAAGACATTGGAAGAAATAAGAAAAAACTTTCGAAACTAGAAGGTACTCAGTGAGCGCCAACCTCCACCAAGGCTAAACAATTCCCCGCCTTGAATGTCAGTACACCCTAAAGAAATCCTCGCCTAAAGGGTGAAACAATATTTGACCAAAGGCATTGGAAGAAATACAAAAACACTTTCAAAACTTGAAAGTACTCATCAGGGAATTGTCAGTACAACCAAAAGAAATACTCGCATAAATGGTGAAGAATCCTCAAAAAAAAAATCCTGGATCCAGACCCAGATCCAGATCACTTCCAAAATCGAATCGATTTGTACTTGTACCAAGGACCACCCCTAAAACAATTTTCATGCAAATCCGTCCATAAATTTTTTTGAGTTATCTTGTTACCGTAATTTTTGGAATATAAGCCGCGCGGCGTATAAGCCGCAGTACGCAAAAATCTGCATATTAAGATTTGAAGTCGGCGTATAAGCCGCACCGGCGTATAAGCCGCACCGACCGCAGTGGTTTCAATTTTGTAGGGCCTCCAAATTCTAGTCAAAATGCTCTGAACCAGTTCCATTCACACTACGAAAGCTATAAAAAGGGCCACAAAAGTTATATCAAATCATTCACAGTTGATACTCTTACAATAATACAAACAAATATGGAAATTGATGATGAGAAATAAACACCGGGAATTACTGCCGGCTGGCCCGTCCGTTCCCCGGCCTTAAACGTTAGTGCATGGCCCAGCAGCTAGCGCCGGCAAATGATAACATTTTCCCCCAGCACTTGAGATATGTAACCCACCGTGTGTCGTCTGACTGGAGGCTACAAATGCTGCTTTGTGGCAACAGATGCTGATTTGTTTTGTCCTAAGAATAAACAGGTCCGTTTTTACAACAAAACGTATCAAATTGTTGTGATTACTAACGTCAAAATTCAAGTTGCGATCGTAACTTTCTTTGAAAATAGTCAACACGATGCTGAAAATTTTATGGACGAATCCATTCATTTCGTAAGGGGTGATTTTTAGCCCCTGCTTTGAGTTTTACATCGTTTCTTGAATACATTTCAAGAAAAAAAATTATATTGTGACATTGAACAGCTGATTATTGAATAGAGAAATATTTGGAACTCCATAAAAAGTATTAGTTATCTTTTTTTCTGTTTTTAAACAGCAGAAATATTGGTAATTATTGTTCCCAAGAAAGTACACCCCTTTATTACAACAAATGGTGTGGTCCATGGGAAAGGCATGCAGCATGCATGCAACACTGCACTAGAATCATGTACGGCCGGTTGTCGATGTCGATGCCAAAGAGACAGCTTTCGCTAACCGTACTTTTTACCGCTCGGTACCTTTTCGTTGGACGTGCTTTCGGTTTGTTTATGACTTTCTTAATTGATGATTCATTTCAGCAACAGATCTTTCCTTATACCAGTACATTAAATATCCATTTGAATATCATTTTTATTCTTCACGGCTCAGCGTATAAGCCGCCCTGTGTATAAGCCGCAGTAAACATTTTCATGGGCAAATTCAACGTATAAGCCGCGGCTTATATTCCGAAAATTACGGTAATAGACAAACCAACCAACCAACCCACCAACAAAATCTGATGAAAACATAGCCTCCCAGACTTGGGGCTGTCTGAAATATACCAAATATTCAAATATGTGATCATGAAGCGATTATACGAATAGCTTTTGCTGGTTTGAATATTCAAAAACAAAAACCCTACCCACATACACACACGACTGCGATGTTATTTGATCATAAAGTTACATGTATTGGGTTCGCTACACAATTTTCCAACAATTTTGTTCAACATTTTTACCTCATGTTTTGTAAAACGCCCCCCTTGCCATATTTGTGGTGTCTCGCGTGCATAGTGCTAATATGGAAATTGGCGCGCGTACTGCGTGACATGGCACGGAACGCAGTGGTGCAGGAATCAAGTGTTTGAAACCAGTCGGTGTTTCATCAACCGTTTCAAACTAACCACGTGACGGGCTCTCGACCAATAGGAATGGGTAAACTGTCTGAGGTATTTATGAATAGGTTATATTGGTGACTTCCAAAAAAAATATAGGCTCCCAAGTTGAAATATGGGTTGTATAGGTTAAACAGGTTTTGTTGTGAGGCCAGCAATTTATGCACTAAATTCCGGACATTCAGCTCATGAGAAGTAAAGACATGATGGTTCCAGACTCCTAAATTTATCCAAATCCGAACAAATCTATGCGTTGTATTTTATTGGTTTTGAAATGGATTTGAAATTGGAACGGATACATGTACGCATATGTTTAGCTATTTGAACCGTAATCGACGATTCCATTGTTTCACATCGTGTATGTGTACGCATACGTTAAGTTATCGGCAACCTCGTTCTCATGGGTACGAGATCTTGCTGCGCCATGTTGTTTCCCATCATGCCTTGCGTGATCTCAACCCCTGGAATTGTGTAATTTAAATGTGTCAAAATATGTCACATTACAACTAGGCTGCAGTTTATCCGTTTTACGCGCTGACGCCATCTTTAAAATGTTGAAAGTTGTGTTTTTGAAGAATCAATGCTTACAAAAAAAGGTTTGGACACTGCGTTATTTAGCAAAGATTTGTATTAAAGGTACGTACCCCTTTAATCTTTTTACAACCGCAGATACAGGGGTTTCTTGAGCGAAAAACGAGGCTGCCATAATCCATATCGTACAGGCATTGCGCAGTTTTGAATATTCGTACATGACATGACGTGCAAAGCACGCGAGCGCATTATGGGCGCGCCCGGCGTGCAATCTTCCAAATACCCGCGCAGTACGCTCTGAATAGCCAGTCAGCATCGTTTACATGTACATCACGGCCAGGGGTTAGTGAAGGAATGCGCACGCGCCCATGGAGTCGTGGCTGAGTTATCGGATCCGCTACTAATCCAAAATGGCAGCCTCCGATGAAAGCCTTGTATCTGCAGCTAATCCTGCTTTGAAACGCTGATAAATGGTACATACATGCTAGGCACTGCATCCTCTTTTAATCAAGTTACACAAAACACAGAAACAGGTAAAAATCAACAAATTACTAGGCGTTTCACACTGACACACAGCGAGTGATACATCCGTGCCTTGTACACGCCTAGCGGATAGCGAGTCGTGTGTGACGTCAAAAGACCACACAAACTGAAGACCTATCCGGTGCCCCAACTGTAACTCTTCGCTTGCGAAACGCCCTTATTAACAAATGCGGGGGCACAATAAGCTCTGGCAAAAAATGCGTCGTCAGTGGCACATACTGAACACCATACTTTTCGTCAATTTTCATTTCTTCCTTCTGGATGCCGTCCAACCACGACATAAAAGACCACGTGACTATAACATTACTGCATATATCTTGCCTCCGTTATATAATTTTCATAAACAACTTTACGAATTGTTACAAATAAATTTTAGAGTGCATTTTACTGACCTATAGGCATGGCATTTGCTCAATTTTTGTAAAGTATTTTTTGTAAATTTTTCGACGACCAACCGACCGACCGACCGACACCAAAGTGACTTGTAGAAAATCCTGCCAGAGCTTTAAAAAAAAAAACATATCCAACCTGGGCAGATCTGGAGCCCGGTACACGCTTTGTCATAGTCGAAGTCCAGTGCCACCAACTCTTCGATAAGTCTATCGGCCCAGTTAGTCACAAACGCGTTGCATTGCTTCACTAACTCTTCGGTAGGTAGGGACTTGCAGCTCGTATACATGAGTGTCTCCAACTGGGCCTATTGAGTCAAGAAAAAAAGAGCATCTCTTACAGATAGAGTACATCATTTGCAGCTATCCAAAAAAGTAACTGACAATATTATTGCTCAAAAGCATATTTGGTTTTGCAATTTGTATATTGCATCTGTATATTTTTATTGTCACATTATGGGTTTGATGTCAGTTTTGTCTGATACTTTTTAATATCTCAAGATAGCAATGGCATTAAACACCCTGTGAAATTATTCTCTCTGGCATGCTGTCATTGTGAAGAAAACAATATAAAGAGGGTCATTGCCAAAGATGCGTCAAGCGACACATTTTTGGAAATTTCCGTCAGTAGTTGTTTTCTAATTCGGCGAATCCATGAACTGGTGTACGTGTTCTACATGACCCCCGAGGACCAACACACAAAGGGAGAACAACAGATCCTTTCAGTCCTCAGGAGTTGGGTTTTTGTTCAAAACGGTCCTCTGTAGTAATAAGTTTGTGTGCTTAGTCTATGGGAGAGTGTTATATTACAGGGACAAAGGGAAACACAAAGCATTGTCCTCCAGAGTATAGTAAAACAAGAATGTATGCGCAAAAGCACAAGCGCGCCATTCGCGCCTGAACCGGTATGCGTATGCAGAATGTCCCCTCCACTGGGATCTCGAAGGTGGTAAAAAAGTGCCCTCTCTTGTTTGCGCACAAAGCCCAGAGTGCCTGTGACCTCTGTTTTTCTTTAGCACGTAAATTAGTTTCAAGTAATTTCCTCTGGAAACTAATAATAGCCCTGTGCATGAACCGTAGCACAACTCCTTGACTCACAAATTGACAGAAATAAAATACAAACAACAAAGTAAGATGTCAGGCTAATGTTTTCCCATGAATAAACACGAGGAATTCACTTACAGAGGTTGCTCCTGTGGGATAAACGGCTCCCAGGACATCCATTAAAAACTCGCATATGAGACAATTCGTGGGGTCATCACCGACGGGGTCTGTAAACGGAAAAAGATAAATGGACAAGATATAAAATAAAAGACATACATTTAGATTTATATTAGTAATTTTTATGACAGGCCCAAAATGAAACCTGACCTCATGAGCATATGACCTTGACATCTTGTGACCTCGTGACTATGTGACCTCATGACATCATGACCTTGTAAACTTGTGACCAATGACCTTATGGCCTCATGACTCAATGACCTCATAATCATGTAACCTCATGACCTTGTCATGACCTTACGAAATAATGACCTCATGACCATGTGACCTTGAGATATGTGACCTTTTTGCGCTTTGACATTGTGACCTTGTGACCCTTGTCATCATGACCTTGAGACTCATGACATCATGACCATGACATTGTTACTGTGTGATCTTAAACCTTGTGACCCTGTGACATCATGACCTTGCAACATAGTGACCTCATGACCTTGTGACATCATGACCTCTTGACGCACTCTGATGCACTCCTAAACATCCTTAACCCTAACCTTCCAAAATCCTCCAAAAAATCATTTTTGCTAAATGGAGGATTTTGCAAGATTAAGGCTTCATGGCAAAAGCGAAAGTGTGTTGCTGATTTTGGAGGATGCACTGTGTCAAGGTCTTGGGCCTAACCTTGCATTTTTTATGCTCAGCCGCGCATACATTTAGGCCTAGATTATACTTGAAATCCTCCGCACTGCTCCAGGATGTCACTGGCTCTGCCTCGACATATTGACAGCGATTGCCGGAGGATTGTGCAGGATTGAGGCTGAATGCATTTTTTACATGGAGGCAGTTGGAGGATTTTACAGGATTGAGGTTACATCTCAGAAATGTCGCACTTTCGATTTATAGAAAGAAAAAAAATGACAATCTTGTTTTGACCTCATCGAAGCTTATAAAATACTTTCCAAGAGATTTGAGAACAAGGAATATTGGAAAAATAAAGTCAGAGAATCTTACATTGTATGTTATTTTTTGTAACTGTTATTTATTTATTAATATTTTTTGGTTGCAGTTTATAGTAACACTAGTAAGTGTGGGACAAGAAAAAAATGACTGCATCCTCACTTTCTTCCTTTTTTCTTCATATCTAAGAATTACAGATATTTTTGTTTTTCCTTTTTTGAAAAGAACTAACTGAATATCGGTTGTGCAGGCACCAGTTCAAGGGCTGGCATCTGAGGAAAAAAAAGAGAAAATACAAACTGTTTGGAATTGTTGTGTAAATATGCCACCCCCACAAGTAATCCAACTCAAAAATGGTGCAAGAAACATCATTTATAAATTTGATACATTGAAGATCTCAGTCCTCATGGCTTAGTTATGACAAAGATTGTGCAGTGCCTGTGCAGTGTCATGACCTCGTGGTCTGGAGCATTGACTGTGTGGTTTGAGGGTAAAGCTGCAGGTTGTGGGTTTGAGTCCAGCCTGGGGTTATGGTGTGTGTGCCCTTGGGCAAGGCACTTTGTCACTCATTGCTTCTCTCCACCCAGGAGAAAATGGGTACCTGTGAGGGCAGAGATGGTTACGGTGATTGAATTTAGCTGCTTTTAAGCTGAGATTGTCTTTGGAATGTTTTCAACAGCGACAAGTGGCTATTATTTCCCCAAGGAATACAAGGGAAAAGCCTCCCACTGCCGTAGGTAGTAAACTCAAAAACTCTGTAATTACATTATTCAATAGTCGGCACGTGTTCAAAGTCGTCTTTCAGTAACTACCAGGGCGTGCAGGGTGAAGTTATGAAGGGCGCCATTTATTGAAAAGTGAGTACAAGAGCACTGGCAGCTTAAAATCACTATACCGAACAATCGCTATCACGAACAATTTCTGTGGATCAGCGATGTTTGTTACAGCAGTGTTCCACTGTATGCATAAAAAAAGGCATGAACATTTGAGAAAATTTCCGCCCGTATAAAAAAACTGAAACGGATGTAACGAACCTGTTTGGGCAAGTGGAATGGTTCTGGAATGGCTGATGAACACAGACTCAGCCCTGGGCAGAGGGAAGGGCTCTGTGGACGAAAAACAATTGAAAAAACAACACAAGTCGTACAAGTCGTCAAATCATTGTACAAGTCGTCAAATCGCTCGAGTAGGCTGTATGAATAAAGTCCTGATTGTCCGTAATGTATTTCCATTGAATTTTTAATTTTTTTAAGTCGGCTTTTATAAGTCGCCATTTCGCTCAAATCATCGTGTTTCTCGCGGTCCCCTTTCCGCAAAAAGCGTAACAAAATCCTTTGTGTATTAAGTCGGCATTGAAAAAATCGTGCATTGGTATCGACTTCCTGCACTGCAGTTGGTAAGAAGTGTTGAGTGAAAAGTGGTTTGGCCGGCGCGGCACGGCCCGTGATCGCTGCATCACGCGCCCTCTCTATCCCCCACCCCTCCCCACTTCCCCTTTCCCACCGACCTTCCCCTTGATACTAAGTTCACATCGTACAAGTCGTCAAATCGCTCAAGTAGGCTGTCTGACTAAAGTCCCGATTGTCCGTAATGCATTTCCATTGAATTTTTTATTTCCAAGTCGGCTTTTATAAGTTACCATTTCGCTCAAATCGTCGTGTTACTCGCAGTCCCCTTTCCGCAAAAAGCGTAACAAAATCCTTTGTGTAAGTCGGCATTCAAAAAATCACGCAATGGCATCGACTTCCTGCACTGCAGTTAGTAAGAAGTGTCGAGTGAATAGTGGTTTGGCCGGCGCGGCACGGCCCGTGATCGCTGCATCACCCCCCTCCTTCCCCCACCCCTCACCCCTTCCCCTTCCAAACAGACCTTCCCTTTGATACTAACCAAGTATCCAATAAGTGCCTGCAGGACAATCGGTCCGAACTCATTGACGTCGCTGCTGCAGGTATCAGAGGGGATTCCTAAAGCCACACAGACGGCGATGAGCTGCTTAAATAAATTGCCCTAGAGAAAGAAAATGGAAATTCAAAAACACTTGAAGTGTTGCAATATTGCAGTTAAGTCCATCACGTCCGGTCGCAAGTCAATCACTGGTCCATCATAGGTTTTCACAGAACCATTTGACCAGCTTGTGATTTGATTTTGGAAGTGAATGACTTGTGATTGACTTGTGATTGACTTGTGATTGACTTGTAAGGACTTGTGCAGACTTGTGACGGAGTTCACTTCACACTGATGTTTTAACCCACCATAGCCTATGTTCACGAAAGTAGCCAAACGACTTTGATGTCGCATGGTTGTACACAAACGTGTGCCAGTGGATCACATGTGATCACAAGCCCATCACAAGTAATCACAAGCCCATCGCAGTATTCACAAGCCTATCACAAGTAATCCATAGCCCATCGCAAGTAATCACAAGCCCATCACAGTATTCACAAGCCCATCACAAGTAATCCATAGCCCATCGCAAGTAATATTACAAGCCCATCACAAGTAATCACAAGCTCACTGCAAGTAATCACAAGCCTATCACATGCAATCATGGCGCCTTGCCTTGCAGGGTTAAAGCAGTAAAATTGTTCTTAATTTTATAAAGGATGCATATGTTTCAGCTCAGTGGATACTGTACATTTTGAGAAAACAGGGAAACCTATGCACATTTGGGGGATTTTGTAACTGGATTCCATTGCTAATACACGTAGAAACACTGTGCTGAGAGGCTGATCGACTTTCCTCATTGATTCTTTTCTGCCAAACGATACCATTTCCATTGGAATAATGTCACAGGGTATTGGGTACCAGACCTAATATGAGCAAGGATTTTCTCGTTAAAGGGAATATACAACATTTGCAAACATCGAAAACAAACCTACCAATTTTTTTACGAAATACCTTACTAGGATGTTGGTAAATGACAGTCTAAATCATCCTGTAAAATAATGGCACCTGGTGTGAAGTCATTTTCAAGAAAAGTGGTATTTTATATAAATTTCCAACGGTGGTCGGCCGACCACCGTTGGAAAAACCTAACTATTTTTCAACTACTGCTCCAAATTTACCATTTTTTTTTTTCAGTCCAAATTTTGTTTGCTATTGGTTACATGTTCATGAATGGGTGCAGGCCAGTTAGACTGGTTCCATTACCTTACAATTTTCCGGCATCTATAAATTGGTCCATTTCATCTTTAGTGGAGTCAGGGAGCCAGACTACTTGAACATTTTAGTTTTTCTTGGTTTTTCCAGTTTTTTTAACACAAAACTTCAAACATGTCAGTGTAACAACATTTGACCTATTAAACTAACCCCTCAAAATAGTTCATTTCTGAAAATTACAGCGTAAGCCAATGATGTACATTCCCTTTAAAGGGAATATACAACATTTTGCTTTTGCTGTAATTTTCAGAAATGGATGAATTTGGGGGTTAGTATTTTACAGCAATATTCTTACACTGACTTGTTGAAAGTTTTGTGTTCGTAGATACTGGAAAAACCAAGAAAAACAATCATGTTCCTGTACAGTCTGGTTCCCTGAGTCCACTTAAGATGAAACGGAGCACTTTACAGACTTCGGGAATTGTGTGGTCAGGGAACCATGCAGTCTAGCTGGCTTGTACCCATTCATAGGTGTGAAATCAATTGCAAACAAAATGTGGACTAACTAAATGTGGTAAATTGGGGGTAGTATTTTTAAAAAGCCAGTTTTTTCCAACGCTGGTCGACTAACCAGCGTTGGAAATTGATACAAAGATACCACTTTACTTGAAAATGATATCACACCAGGTGCCATGATTTTCAACAGGATGCTTTGGATCGTCATTCACTAACAGTCCAGTAAGGTATTTCATACTTCTTTTGTAGTTTTGTTTTTGGATGTTTACAAATGTTGTATATTCCCTTTAAATCGGTAGTTATGTTTCTGAGTAATTGCAATTGTGCCTACATGTCTTTAATTTACATATGTGACCTGTTCTGTCAAAAGCAGACGCTTCTGGGCAGAGGTTGAAATTAAGATAAAGCCAAAAAATGCTGAGGGAGTGATTTTTTTCGATTTTCAAATTTTTGCATATTTGTAATCCTGAACATGTCTAAAATATACCATTAAAGTTTGAAACCCTAATTTGAACTCTAAATATAGTATTTTTGATGATTTGTTAAGGTATACCAGTTAAAGAAATTACTGTTTTGTGACGTTCGTGGCCATTTTCTCCGTTTTCTACTTTTCGACACAATGAACTTCAAAATGGCATAACTCTGCCCAGGAACGACCGATTTCAAAAATTAAACCACCTATTAAAAAGAAAAAGAACATGTTTTAACAATATGCAAAAATCTCATTTTTGACCTTTTGCCCAGAAAAGTCTGATTTTGACAGAACAGGTCACATATTTCAGACAATGGTTCATTACCTGCACCGTTTGATTGCCGAGGATGTCTGATAGATCCATGATGACGTCTTTACACTCAGTGCAGGTATTGCCATTTGCAGACACAACGATCTGAAAGTAAGGCATCCAACAACAAATTCAGACAAAAAAACAAGTGTGAGTGCACATTAAGCTTTGGCCATCTTGCATGAAAGTCTCGCATGAAATCTATCCAAAGGATCCCTGCCAGAGCTTAAAAATGCGACGCCCAAAATCACGACGCCTATGGCGTCGTGATTATGGAACACCATACTTTAGATTTAGCGATTTGTGATAAATACCACGTGACTGTAACATTACTGCAAATATTTTGCCTCGTTTTACAATCTTTTCATAAACATCTTACCAAATTGTTACAAACAATTTTTGTTGAGTATTTGATTTATTTTGTTTGCTTTTTTTGAAAAATAAACGTTGGTACACATGTACTTATATTTTATTGAAAACTTAGGGGGCTTATTTTATTCAATTTTGGGGACAAACATACGCAAAATAAATGTGCATGCACATCGATTAAAACAAAATCGGTGTTCCGAAAACCGTCAGCAAGAGTGTATTTTATGACAACGGCATGGTATTTAGTCAATAATTTTTGGTCAATTATTTTTGGTCAACTTAGGGGGCTTATTTTGGTCAATTTTCGGGGACAGACAGACAGAACGACAGACCGACCACCACGTGACAAAGCTTAAAAAATCTAGTTCAACTGCAACATAATATTGAAAAATGAATAAAACTGCTGCAAACTGCTGTACTGACTGGATTGACCTGAAACATACAAATCAAAAAAGATAGAGGGCCTGGCATTTTGAAACAAGCAGGGTCTTTCTCAAGACCCAAAAAAAATATCTGTTTTGCCGTTTAGCGAACCTTAAAAAAAAGCTTAGTCTCAAAAGTTGAATGAAAAAAAATAATAACCGCAGTTGGGCTAAACTCAGCTTCTAATGTTCCTTATACATGTACCAAAGTTGAATGAGTATAAAGGGCTAAATTCAGGCCACGTCAAGCTTCTTTACTATACTTTATGGTGTCCACTCCAACCTAGTTGAGTAATGCCATCCTCTACATAAGTGCTGTTCTGCTTGCTTCTAACAGTGATGTTCAGTTCAAGTTCTTGATATCTGTCTTTAAGCCATCTAACCACCTCTTTGCTGGCATTCCTATTTACCGGTCTCCGTACACCATGCCATTAAATGTTATATATGAAAGTCTTTGAGGGTTCATTTTTATCATGTGTCTATAATAACAAAGACGTTTTTGTGTGATGCGTTCTATAATGTCTTGTTTGACGGGTAGTCCTAGAGATTTTCTGATGGTGGTGTTTCTGATTTTGTCCCGTCTTCTGACGTCCATTACTTTCCTTATGCATGTCATTTTGAAGACTACCGTAGGAATCTCTTCTCGACGGTACTTTTATTTAGGGTCCAATTTCCATACCCGTACATCAATAGAGAGAGAAACGGGGTTTGATACAGTTGGATCTTTGTTGCCGCTGCGATTTCTTTAGAGTTCCACTGCTCCAAGTGCCAGCTTCAAATGTTGTAAATTTACATTAGGATTGAAACCGACTCAAACGTCCACTTTTACATACATACCTTCCTGAAGGCCGAAACAGCATCAATCAACTTGGCCATGACTCCCGGTGCACAGAGTTGCAGTTCTGGGCACAGAACAGTGCCATCCTGAAGAGTCACCAAAATAAATGTTTACACAATCCTTTCAGGGCTTCCAAACATGAGAGAATGAAGAAAGACAAGTGATCCGCGAATCCCATGTGTCGCCATTTTCTGCGGTTGATCCCCATATGTTTTGTGTAATTAAAAAAGTCAAATTGTGTGCAGTTTTCAACAACCAGGTGAGATGCTCCTGACGCATTAATGCATCAATAAACAGTTATGATTTACATTGTACACAGCAAAAAATGTATCAAACTGATAAAAGTGAGGTGAACAAAATATGTCTTAAGGGATGACTTGAATGATTGCAGAGACATTCCACCTATCTCTGCTATTGTTGCTCAATGACGAGTTCGCTTTGCTGGCCACTGCTACCGTGCTGTAAACCAGGTCATACATGTATCTGATGTATTATGTTGGAGACTTCCATGCCCTAATGGAGGACGAAGACCCTTTAACTAGGGCCAAGTTTGGGCAAGGACCATCAGTCAACTAGTGGTTGATTTGTGACGTACCTTACACCTGCGCACTGATAGCAACGTGCGAACGTCTCTTGTCAAAAGCTGGTCAAATTGTCATCGCAAAACTTCTGGATCCTGGCTCTCTGCTTGCGTTATGAATGCGCTCGGCTATTGGTTACCAGCGAAGCAACCAACCCCATTAGGCTGGTTCCAAATAGTCGACTAGCGTAGTCAACCACCGTCGACTAGACAGAGTTCAGGCAAACGTTAGTTAACCATTGGTCAACTATAGTCCTTGCGCGAACTTGGCCTAGATTGATGTGATTGGCAGAGGCACCCAATGTGAAATTGAAGACCTTCCGTACATAATGAGGGATAAAGACACATGGCGTGGCGTTGTGAACGAGATCTCGGTTGCGATCGCTAGACGATGATGATGATGATGAATGATTGCAATGAAGAACACTGTCGTAATTCAAGTGGAAGATTGTTCAAGAGTATTGGAAGTGGCTTGTGAGAATGAACGATCCCCCACGAGCGGCGTGTCCGGGAGACAACCAGCTGTAGTGTTGAGGCTAAACGAAGGCTGCATGATGGTCTGCACTGCTGGATGAGATCTGCCATGTATCTGGTGAGGGTCCATGGATTGTGCTGAAGACGAGAAGGACAATCTTGAAAGTGATGCGGTCATGATATGTAGCCAGTGGAGTGATTCCAATACCGGTGTTATATGCATTTGGACAGTGACACAAGACGAGCTGTGGCACTTTGAAGACAGAACCTGTCGACGAGGGGCAGAGGTAGGCCAAATGGGAGTGAGTTACAGACGTCTAAGCATGATGTTATAAGTGCATGAACCAGTCGCTCCGGAGCTGTGTGGGTGAGATAGTTACAAATGAGTCCAAGATTGCAGAGATGAAAATGGGCAAATTTGCATACCGATGAGACCTGGTGGATGTGTGACATGGGTGAGTCAATTATGACGCCAAGGTTACGGCAACTAGTAGAAGGCTGGATGCGAGTAACCCAATGCGAAGGCTGGGGATGTCAAACTTGGTGAGCTGCCATCTGGAGCCGCATACATGTACCATGAACTCAGACTTCTTGTCATTCAGTTTGAGGCTATTAACCTTCATCCAAGCTTTGATTTCATCAATGCAGGCTTCTTACCTAGCAACAGCAGACTGCACATTGACTTGAGATGGATCAACAGAACAATACTGAATGTCATCAGCGTAGCAATGATACTGAATGTTGTACTAATGGATGATGTGGCCACGTAGACAAAGAAACATTTGAAGCGTATTTGAACAATGACCCAAACATGACCTTTGACCTCAGTCATCCCATGCAAAATTGCATCTTCCCACCCAAGGGTCACCGCATCTTAAGTTTTCATCAAAATCCATGAAAGCATTCACAATGTGAATTGCATCACTAACATCAGTTGACTTTTGACCTATGACCTTTGACCTGAAATATATCCCGCATTATCTTTGCTACTCAATGACCCTTGTGTCCAAGTTTTACAAAATTCTGGCGAATATTTAGGAAATAAGAGCAATTCCAAAAAACTTTAACATACATCAGGACTAATGAGGCGTCGGACTAATGAGGCGTCGGACTTATGAGGCGTCGGACTTATGAGGAGTCAGATTTATGAGGCGTCAGTCATATGAGGCGTCAGACTTATGAGGTGTCAGACTTATGAGGCATAAATTCAGCATCATAGGTCCGACGCCACATACATGTAAGTCGAAAGCCTCATAACTCCGACGCCTCATTGTCGGACTTATGAGGCCTCAGACTTAAGAGGCGATGGACCAATGAGGCGGAATTCATGCCTCATAAGTCCGAAATTTCGGACTTACGAGGCGTCGGACTTATGAGGCGACGGACTTATGATACGACCCCTTGTATCGCGGTCCCTTTATCCCTTTTCTTTAGAATTCACTTCTAGGGTACGATTTTTCAAAGGAAAAATTGTGGAGTACAAGTCGGCACCTTTGTTCCCTTTGTATACAGTTCCCCACCAGTAGCTCTTAGGACTGGTTATTAATGTCTCCCAAAACTTTTTTTGGGCGACACAAAAAAATTCCGGGAGCAGGAATCGAACCCATTACCTCGGGAATGACAATACTAGACATCTACCAACTGATCAATGTTTTCACAAGTGTTGAGCTGAACAGCCATATCTTTGCAATACCACTTTGTCAATCTGTTAGTTTTAGGACTGTGCATTGGAACTGGTTCTTATCTTACCGTAAATGCTCGCAGCTAGTAGTTTGATCTTTGCTACCGATGTCAACGAGTTGATGAAAATAAAGCCCCAGTCACACATTTACGGTTTGGAGCTACGCATAAATACAGTTTACCAAGATTTGGAGAAATCAATTTCTAAGAATGAACTACGGTTTCAGGACCAATAGCCACAACTGTCCTACGGTTTGTTTTTTTACGAGTACACGTTGGTTTGTCAAGAATATCGATGGACTGGTGGAGAATATCAATGATATTTCTAAGAATAATGATGTTAACGCCACGGTTGTCTACGATTGGGCCACGGATGGCCAAGGTTCTCCTACAAATAAAGCGTGGATATTCGTAGTACGACCTTAGCAGAACCCTAGCACATCCGGGCATATCCGCAGGACATTCGTAGCGAATTCGTAGAGATTTCTACCACGAATTAGCTTGGAATCTCCACGAAAATGTACGAATAGCCACACATAACACTACAAATCAGTGCGGTTGTCCTACAGATGTCCCACGGTTGCACAACGCATTGATTTCATGACGTTTCACCACAGTTTAAAACTTCCGAACGACCTTCACGAATACCCAAGGAAGATGACAGATAACCATGGATGTACCAAGGATCAATACGGTACTCTCACGGTTTACCACGAATTTCAAACCGGGGAGATCCGTAGCTCCAAACCGTAAATGTGTAACTGGGGCTTAACCTTGACAAAGTAGTACAGTCGAACATCGCTATAACGAACATCGTGGAACCCACAGAAATTGTTCGTAATAGCGATCGTTCGGTATAGCGATTTTCACACATTAGTGGCGCCCTCTTTTGATCATTGTTATTGTGTAGTTGCATTTACAAACCACGTGCGGAATCGCCAAACGTGGCCATTTTTATTTTCAATTCCGTAGCAGAACTTTACCAAGTACACCCTGGTAGTTAGTGCAAGACGACTTCATAAATGCCTGACTATTGAATCATGTAATTACACAGTTTTTGAGCTTACATGGGTGACTTTTTCCTACTATTTGTTGGGGAAATAATAGCCATTTGTCGCTCTTCTGTTGACATTTCCAACAACAATATTTGGTACGTTTTGAGCCAAGGCTGACGTTCGGGGAGTAATTGCAGAATACCCCGCCACTCGGAATACACCCCTAAAATCACTGGCTACGTGGTTGGAATCACTGGAAAAGAATCAATTCAAGTCCATTGCCAGCCATGCGGATACTGAGTGGGGGTCCATTATTTGAGAACGAAGCAACACAAAAGGAATGAGAGTTGCTGAATTTTTTTTAAGTCCAAACCAACTACCCTGTTGCCGGCTACGCGGATACAGAGTGGGAGTGCAGTGGAGCATGACGCATAGTACATACAAGTAGTGCTGAGAAGGTTTATTGAGGGCAATCAACCGTGACTCCGTAGCCGGCTACGAGGTGGATAGATTGAGTGGCAGGGTATTCTGCAATTGTGCTGAAGTTCGGTATAGCCGGATGTTCGGTATAGCGGTGTTCGGTATAGCGACGTTCCACTTTACTGCAAAGGCAGGGCTGGAAAGCTCAACATTTGTAAGACCATTGGTATGTTGTCAACAAATTACCAGCTCTGCAGTGATGAATTGTACTACGACAGGGCCATACTGCATGATGTCTTCACTGCAGGTATCAGAAGGAATGCCAAGGGCCACGCAGACTTTAGTCAGTGTACTGAATAGATTGTTCTGAAAAAAAAAAAAAAGTAGAAGTTTACCAAAAACTGAAAGTTGCTTTGCCAACATAAAAGTACTGGTTTTTTTCATGTACAGGGTGAGTCAAAAAAGCGAAACCAAAATGTTGGAACCATTGTTTTAGTTAAGTTCTGCATGTAGTACTTTCAAAATCTAGGATACAGAAGCCTAATTCATAGGCTTTCTTTTAGTACAAGAATCATTCAAATCACTCAAGTACTTTTCAGGTTACGGAATTTTAAACACAACCACCGTTTTAAAGTTCTGTCCACGGATCACAAGAAGGTAAGTGTTCTTTCAACAAAACCAAAACAAAACACATAGGGATGTGTGAATAGTTTTCGTTTTACGCATACCTTTTTGTGGTCCGTGGACAGAACTTTAAAACGGTGTTTGTGTTTAAAATTCGGTAACTTGGAAATTACATGAGTGCTTTGAATGATTCTTGTACTAAAAGAAAGCTTATGAATCAGGCTTTCATATCCTAGATTTTCATAGGGCTACATACCTTTACCTGGGATAATCAATATATATCGAATATTCTCGAAAATTTTGATATCGCCTGTGCTTTATAGCCAACTGTTCTTTGTCATCAACCTGAGGGCGGCTTAAAAAATTCTATTTCGCTCGGTGAATCTCAAAGATAAGACGGACAGTCTATCTCAGTCATAATGAGTGTTTTGCATGTACCTGTACAGTGGTGTTGCTCAGGATGTCCTTTATGTCCGCAATCATCTGCTTGCATTCCGTGCAGACGTTACCGTCTGATGGGGGCACCTAGCACGGGAAGAAGAAATAGCACCTAAGCCGATAAAAATGGCAGCAGGGGATTGATGGCCCATCAGTTCATTGAAGCCTTGCATGATGGGTGCTAAAAGAGGTCGAGCCATCTTTAGCCCTGCTTTCTGTACTCTGTAATGTTGCTTCTTCGACAGAAAAACCAACTCGAAAACTTAACTTTAACTATATCATGTTTAAGACTGGTTGGAGTCTGGAATGCTGATTAATACCCGAATCAAAGTCGAAGGTAATTATACGCATCCCAGACTCCCACCAGTCTTAAACGTAGTGTTTAATACCAACCAAGCACATATTTATTCCCATTCACAAATACCGGCACCTTTTCAAAATCAAAACAAAATCTAAAATCAAAACAAGTTAAAAATTAAAAGTTTCCAACAATCTTGTAAAACAGTTTCACTTTTTTTTTCTCGAAACACCCTCTACATGTAGCTATATAATGGAGTGTCCTGCTCACGAGTAAGACATAAACATCTCCTTTTTTGGAGATTGGCGCTCACGTTTGCGTACTGCGCGATGACACGCAGATGCAGCTGTGGTGAGTGCATTGTGAATTTAGGACTATGAAATACTGACTCACTGGCAGTATTGCACATGCCTATGTGAGGATTGTGAACGTTCAACCAATAAAACGCTGGATTGTGAACGTTCCATCAATAAGACGGTAAAAGGCACTGGATTTCATAGGAGTCCAAATTTCACGTGACACTGGAAAACTGTTTAAGACCAGCCAGCTGGTGTTTTATCAACCGTTTAAGACCAGCCACGTGCCGGGCTCTCAACCAATGGGAATGCACGGTAAACTGTTTAAGGTATTTATGAATATTACTTAAACCAATATAAAGCAAAATCATCTGTACTACACCCTTCAGTAATAAGAGTGCAAGTCTGTAACTTCTAATCAACATGATAAATCTGTCTAACTGGGGAACTCCCACAGTGGAATAATCACAAACTAGGTGTTTGTGGACAAACATGTGGCTGTCATCATGACGTCACTTCAATTTTCATCTATAACACATCCTGGTGTATGTACATGTACACATCAAGTTTCAACCCAATCGGACCTGTAGTTCTGGAGATATAGGCCTTGAAAATATGCACGTTACTCGTGACGATGTCATGATGTCCTCAATATTCAGCACACAACTGCAGGTGTTGGTCTAAGTGTATGCCAAGTATCAAGGTAATCAGATTTATTTTTGTGCCCCAAAGTGCCAGGCACGATGAAAATGTGTACAAACGCTATGGGAACTTGGCTGACAAGGAAGAAAAACAAAAACTTAACGAAAACAAAGGCCGTTTCGGCGAGTTGCCGAAAAAAAACAATAACATTTTGTGATAAAAACACTACAACTTTTTCATCTTACCATAACGGCCTTGGCGGCTGGTTTGGGCTGGACATGCTCCACACTTGAGGTGCATAGTTGTATCATGGTGCACAGAGACGGTGTCTGTGAAGACAGTTATCAGAAGAAACACTTTTGTCTAAAACTTAAACACCCAAAAAACTGATTAACTCTACAGAAACCCAAGGACTCAAAAGAAACAAACTCAACAGACTCCACAATTCAAGACACAAATAGACACTCTTAACAAATACTCATAAACTCAAGGGCCATTCCAACTGCCAAAGAGACTCTGAACTGCACTATAAACCGATTTTAAAAACTGAAGACACTCAAATATGAAGAGACACTGAAGGCCCTGTCACACTGTCTGTGATCATATATGCGCTGTCACTGCGTCCTTGAAAAATGGCTGGGGCGCAACAACAACTACTAGATCGCAGCGACAACTACATAGGTCGCCAGATGGGCGCCAGAGGGTCTTAATGGTCCCCGATGAGCGCTAAAGTTTTTGAACATGCTCAAAACAATCGCAACACCTCTGCGCTCTGGCCAGGGCGCCGTGATGATACAACTCAGGCGCTGTGCCAGCGTCAATCGTGTGACATTGAAGTGGCATTGAGGCAGCCTAGGCGCAAGGCAGTCGATGTATAGTCTCCATGAGAAAGTAACTCGATTGTGATGTACTTGTAGTATAAATTTTAAACTGGACTGCAGATTGACTGTTTTGTCGTGGTATTTATACAGCACAAGTGATATCACCTGAGCATATTTTGGTCAGATAGAGAGAGCGTGACGTGAGCTACTAGGACATATCAACAGCGAGCAGAGCATAGTGTGAGCGCAGTGACAGCGCAGCGGCAGCGACTAGATGGAGTAATTGGGCTTGACAGGGGTGCATAGAGAGCGAGTTGAGTGCATCGTAAGCGCCTGATGAGCACAGTATGAGTGTAGCTTGAGCTTTTTCTGGCCACTTCAGACGGAAAATTGTCATTGTCTTGTGTCCTCGCTGCGATTGTTAAATCTATTAAATATTTTTTTTGTCACCGTAAGGTCTCCTATGAGAGCACATATAATGAGACAGGCCCTTTAGGAGCCCAATAAACATTCAAGAACTCAACCGACACTCAAAAGTGCAATTGATTCTAAAACAAACTCAACCAACACTCAACATCTTTTTTGCTACCTAATAACCAACGCCATTAAAAAGTCAACTCTAACACTCAACAGATGCTCAAAAACTCAACAGAAACTCGAAACTCGATGGCCACTCACCAGGGCACTTGTGATCATGCTCGGTATGAGTTGACCATAGTTGTAGATGCCTTCAGTACGTGTAGCCAAATAACAAAGGAGCCATCAAAACTCAAGAGACACAAAAAACTCAATACTCAAAAGCTCAGAACTCAAAAACTCAACAGAAACTCAAAATTTGTCAGCCACTCAACTGAGCGATCATACTCAGGGTGAGTGGATCATAGATTTTGACATCTTTGATAACAGTAGCCCCCAAAATTCAAGGCACTCTACAACTCAATACTCAAAAACTCTACTGAAACTCAAAACTCAACAGTGACTCACCAGTTCATTTGTGAGGATGCTCAGAACGACGGGACCATAGTTGTTAATCACTCCAGTACAGGTAGCTGTGGAACCGCCTAGAGCGACACAGACAGCGATGGCCTTGTTGAATATATCTTTCTGTAGTGGGGAAAAAATTGTCATTTTCGGTTTTAGCAGTTTAGTATGGTACCACCAGCAGCCTCACTTACAAGCACTTGTGTTGCATAGTTTGTAGCCCAGGAGCTAATCTTGAGGTACTATTTCCAGCCCCAGTCATGCCAGGTGAATGTAAGTGCAATGCACATGCAGGACATCTACTTATACAAGTACTATCAAGACTATATGGGTTTAACCCATTAACAACTGTATTACATTGTATGACACTGTATTCATTCACCGAATAGTGCTTTGGCAGTTCTGGGCAGTACAGGATATAACAGGCATGGTGGTTTGGGGCAACACAGAGAGTAACAGGCAGTAACAGGCAGGGTGGTTTGGGGCAACACAGGGAGTAACAGGCAGGGTGGTTTGGGCAATACAGGGAGTAACAGGCAGGGTGGTTTGAGGTGGTACAGGGAGTAACAGGCAGGGTGGTTTGAGGTGGTACAGGGAGTAACAGGCAGGGTGGTTTGGGCAGCACAGGGAGTAACAGGCAGGGTGGTTTGGGAAGTACAGGGAGTAACAGGCAGGGTGGTTTGGGGCAGTACATGGAGTAACAGGCAGGGTGGTGTGGGGCAGTACAGGGAGTAACAGGCAGGGTGGTTTGAGGTGGTACAGGGAGTAACAGGCAGGGTGGTTTGAGGTGGTACAGGGAGTAACAGGCAGGGTGATTTGGGCAGCACAGGGAGTAACAGGCAGGATGGTTGGGGGCAGTACAGGGAGTAACAGGCAGGGTGGTTTGAGGTGGTACAGGGAGTAACGGGCATGGTGGTTTGGGCAGTACAGGGAGTAACAGGCAGGGTGGTTTGGGAAGTACAGGGAGTAACAGGCAGGGTGGTTAGGGGCAGTGCAGGGAGTAACAGGCAGAGTGGTTTGGGGCAGTACAGGGAGTAACAGGCAGGGTGGTTTCGGCAGTACAGGGAGTAACAGGCAAGGTGGTTTGGGGCAGTACAGGGAGTAACAGGCAAGGTGGTTTGGGGCAGTACAGGGAGTAACAGGCAAGGTGGTTTGGGGCAGTACAGGGAGTAACAGGCAAGGTGGTTTGGGGCAGTACAGGGAGTAACAGGCAGGGCAGCTTGGGGGCAGTACATGCAGGGAGTAACAGGCAGGGTGGTCTGGGGCAGTACTGGGAGTAATAGGCAGGGTGGTCTGGGGCAGTACAGGGAAAGGCAGAGCGGTTTTGAGCAGTACAAGGCTAACAGTAGAGTGCTACATATATAATAGACATATCCAGCAGACGTACTTGCACTGTTTGATTGTTGAGAATATCTAACAAGTCCATAACTATCTCCTTACACTCTGCACAGGGATCTCCATTGCTCTTAGTAACCTAAGGGGAACAGACAAAAAAGATCAACAAAGGAAAATTTATGAAGTTTATTTTGAAACGCCCAATCAAATGCAATTTTTTGCATATGTATGTTGTGTACCGGTACTTTATTTTTCAAGGTTTTGCTGTCCCAGAAAGCCAGCCTAGAGTTCTCTTGACTTAATGACTGACTAACTTACTGGTTGTAACCTGGCGAAGAGAGCCCGGCAGTGCTATCATATAGGATGACCCTGTAACACCAATGAATGGGCTCAATCCGACCCATTGTGTTGACTAGATGCATGAAAAGACTTCCAGTGAATAGAAATTCTGAATTAATTGACTGACTGGACTGACTCACTGACTGACTCCCCGGCTGACTGACTGACTTTCACTAAGACTGGTTGTAGAGTGGTGAAGACAGCCGGGCAGTGCTATCATATATGATGACCCTATAACACCTAGGATGGGCTAAATCCGGCCCATTGGGCAGACCAGATGCATAGAAAGACTTCCAGTGAAAAGCCATTCTGAATTAATTGACCGACTGGGCTGACTGACTCCCCGGTTGACTGACTGACTTGCACTAAGACTGGTTATGGACTGGTAAAGAGAACCAAGCAGTGCTATCATATAGGATGACCCTGTAACACCTTGGATGGGCTAAATCCGGCCCATTGGGCAGACCAGATGCATAGAAAGACTTCCAGTTAATAGCCATTCTGAATTAATTGACCGACTGGACTGACTGACTGACTCCCGGTTGACTGACTGACTTGCACTAAGACTGGTTATGGACTGGTAAAGAGAACCAAGCAGTGCTATCATATAGGATGACCCTGTAACACCTTGGATGAGCTAAATCCGGCCCACTGTGTAGACCAGATGCATGGGACGACTTCCAGTGAATAGCCATTCTGACTTAATTGACTAACTGACTGACTGACTGACTGATTGTCACTTTGACTGGTTGTAGGCTGGTGAAGAGAGTCGGGCAGTGCTATCATATAGGATTACCCTGTAATGCCCATGAATGGGGTCAATCCGGCCCATTGAGTGACCACATGCATGAGAAGCCTTCCAGTGAATAGCCATTCCAAATCAACTGAGTAGAATTGTGTGCATACTGGGACCGGCTCTACTAAGCTTGTCTTGTCTTGTCCTTTTATTGTGAGTATATTTAGATACCTGCTGAACGGATGAGACAACACGGCCGAGTTTGTAGAGAGAGCCTGCTGCACATAAACCCTGCTGAGGGCAGATAGTGCTGCCGTCCTGTGTGAGAGAAAACTGATTAGAAGATCAATTTCAATGAAGAATTACATGTACGTCAATTCAAAATGTGGGCACGTGTGGTCTAGCGGAGGAGCACAGGATTCATGATCGTGAGGTTGTGGGTTCGAGCCCCGCCGTGGCCATGCGTGTTGTGCCCTTGAGTGAGGCGCTTTACCTCAATTACTCCTCTCAACCCAGGTGTTAAATGGGTACCGGCATTATTCCATGCTGAGAAGGTAACAGACTCGCTGTGGAGGAGGTGTGGCGATCCCCCCACAGCAGCATTTCATGGACTCAAGTCTGGCCCAATCGCTTTGGGCAGATGGGCACTCTGTTCCCGTGAACACAGGTTTGTCCCATTTACCTAATTGGAACAACTTACAAAATCTTCAGAACTACAAGCATCACAACCTCAATTGTGGTATCAAATGAAAGGGGACAACAAGACCTTTCATTTGAGTACACTAAGATGGAATATGGTTGAGAGCATTTTTGTTGTCAGGAAAAAAAAATATTTGGGGGACAAAAATTATGGCTTTAATTAGCAGCTTGCTTTTTACATGCAAAATGCAAGTGGGATTGTGAGTTTTTGTTTTTAAGGCAGAGAGAAAAGTTCATTTTTTTATGTCAAAAGAGATTTTGTTTATTAGTTTCTTATCTTTTACCAAACCTTAAATGCACAAGGAGATAGATAGTCCGACTAGTACGAAGACTGCAGCGCGCAAAATGTAAAAGGACGCAAAAAAGTGTCATGCCAGTAACCATGGAATTGCCCATTAGTTCTTGTATACCAAAAAAAAATCAGTGTTGAAAAGAAAGATGTGAAAATATTTCAATCTTAATAAATATTATGCCAAATGTTTAAAACCAAGGAAACTTGTGTGATAAATGTGTGAAAAAAAAACACATTGTATTTATATAGCGCCTTTTGCCAGGATAAAAAGCGCTGGGGGAGAATGCAACCAAAGACAGGTAAATGAAGTGTATGAACATATGAGACCCATTATGTAGCACCTTTTTTTGCTAGATGCTGCGGCACATAATTGCTGCTACTGCCAGAAACACCGGGGCAAACCTCTTCCCTTAGCGACAAGTGTTACTGTGTTCTTCAACGTGCATTACACAACACACGGGACCTACGGCTTTACGTCCCATCCGAAGGACGAAGCAATAACGGTAAAGTGCCTTGCTCAAGAGCACAAACACCATGTTCCCACGGTCAGGATTCGAACCTATGTACCACAGCACACAAGTCGAACACCGTAACCATTGGACCACAGCGCCCCATTTTGATAAGTAAGTCATTTTGATAAAAAAAATCACCTGATCTGAGAAAAGTTGCATGCTGTAAAGTAAAAATTTCTCACCAGCAATGGAATCAGCTCTTGTAAAACTAGCGGTCCGAACTCGCCGATGTCTGTAGTACATGTATCCGGAGCTATGCCTAGGGCTACACACACCTTGGTTAAGGTGGAGAACAATTGTGTCTGGAAAAAGACAGGACAAAAACAATAAAAGAATGTTAATGAAATCAACAGCATAAACAAGTTTACAAACAAGATTTCAAATTGTAAAAGTGAAACGTTTACATCAGGGTTGGCTGATTTAAATCACGTTGATTTAAATCACTGATTTACCAAAAAAGTGGTTTAAATCAGTGATTTTTGTAACAGTGATTTAGAAACATTTTTAGACATATCAATGTTTTGAAAGTCAAAAAAAATCAAACAATCTGATTTAAATTTAAAAAAATCTGATTTAAATCAAATAAATCTTCTTTTTTTTTAAATAAAAAATCACAAAATCGCAAACCCTGGTGTACATGAAACGTTTTGTTGTTGTAAAAAGAATTGCAGACTTTACAGGGTGAGTCAAAAAAGGAGAACCCAAACCCCAGGGAGTAACAGGCAGGGTGGTTTGGGCAATACAGGGAATAACAGGCTGGGTGGTTTGGGCAATACAGGGAATAACAGGCTGGGTGGTTTGGGCAATACAGGGAGTAACAGGCAAGGTGGTTAGGGGCAGTACAGGGAGTAACAGGCAGGGTGGTTAGGGGCAGTACAGGGAGTAACAGGCAGGGTGGTTTGGGCAGTACAGGGAGTAATAGGCAGGGTGGTTAGGGGCAGTACAGGGAGTAACAGGCAGGGTGGTTTGGGGAGTACAAGGAGTAACAGGCAGGGTGGTTTGGGGCAGTACAGGGAGTAACAGGCAGGGTGGTTTGGGGCAGCACAGGGAGTAACAGGCAGGGTGGTTTGGGGCAGAACAGGGAGTAACTGCCAGGGTGGTTTGGGGCAGTACAGGGAGTAACAGGCAGGGTGGTTTGGGGCAGTACAGGGAGTAACAGGCAGGGTGGTTTGGGGCAGTACAGGGAGTAACTGCCAGGGTGGTTTGGGGCAGTACAGGGAGTAACAGGCAGGGTGGTTTGGGCAGTACAGGGAGTAACAGGCAGGGTGGTTTGGGGCAGTACAGGGAGTAACAGGCAGGGTGGTTAGGGGCAGTACAGGGAGTAACAGGCAGGGTGGTTTGGGGCAGTACAGGGAGTAACTGCCAGGGTGGTTTGGGGCAGTACAGGGAGTAACATGCAGGGTGGTTTGGGCAGTACAGGGAGTAACAGGCAGGGTGGTTAGGGGCAGTACAGGGAGTAACAGGCAGGGTGGTTTGGGCAGTACAAGGAGTAACAGGCAGGGTGGTTTGGGGCAGCACAGGGAGTAACAGGCAGGATGGTTTGGGGCAGTACAGGGAGTAACAGGCAGGGTGGTTTGGGGCAGTACAGGGAGTAACTGCCAGGGTGGTTTGGGGCAGTACAGGGAGTAACAGGCAGGGTGGTTTGGGCAGTACAGGGAGTAACGGGCAGGGTGGTTTGGGGCAGTACAGGGAGTAACAGGCAGGGTGGATTGGGGCAGTACAGGTAGTAACAGGCAGGGTGGTTTGGGGCAGTACAGGGAGTAACAGGCAGGGTGGTTTGGGGCAGTACAGGGAGTAACAGGCAGGGTGGTTTGGGGCAGTACAGGGAGTAACTGCCAGGGTGGTTAGGGGCAGTACAGGGAGTAACAGGCAGGGTGGGTCGGGCTGTACAGGGAGTAAGAGGCAGGGTGGTTTGGGGCAGTACAGGGAGTAACTGCCAGGGTGGTTAGGGGCAGTACAGGGAGTAACAGGCAGGGTGGATCGGGCCGTACAGGGAGTAAGAGGCAGGGTGGTTTAGGGCAGTACAGGGAGCAACAGGCAGGGTGGTTTGGGCAATACAGGGAATAACAGGCTGGGTGGTTTGGGCAATACAGGGAGTAACAGGCAAGGTGGTTAGGGGCAGTACAGGGAGTAACAGGCAGGGTGGTTAGGGGCAGTACAGGGAGTAACAGGCAGGGTGGTTTGGGCAGTACAGGGAGTAACAGGCAGGGTGGTTTGGGGCAGCACAGGGAGTAACAGGCAGGGTGGTTTGGGGCAGCACAGGGAGTAACAGGCAGGGTGGTTTGGGGCAGTACAGGGAGTAACAGGCAGGGTGGTTTGGGGCAGTACAGGGAGTAACAGGCAGGGTGGTTGGGGCAGTACAGGGAGTAACAGGCAGGGTGGTTTGGGGCAGTACAGGGAGTAACAGGCAGGGTGGTTTGGGGCAGTACAGGTAGTAACAGGCAGGGTGGTTTGGGGCAGTACAGGGAGTAACAGGCAGGGTGGTTTCGGGCAGTACACGGAGTAACAGGCAGGGTGGTTTGGGGCAGTACAGGGAGTAACTGCCAGGGTGGTTAGGGGCAGTACAGGGAGTAACAGGCAGGGTGGTTTGGAGCAGTACAGGGAGTAACAAGCAGGGTGGTTTGGGGCAGTACAGGGAGTAACAGGCAGGGTAGTTTGGGGCAGTACAGGGAGTAACAGGCAGGGTGGTTTGGGGCAGTACAGGGAGTAACAGGCAGGGTGGTTTGGGGCAGTACAGGGAGTAACAAGCAGGGTGGTTTGGGGCAGTACAGGGAGTAACAGGCAGGGTAGTTTGGGGCAGTACAGGGAGTAACAGGCAGGGTGGTTTGGGGCAGTACAGGGAGTAACAGGCAGGGTGGTTTCGGGCAGTACAGGGAGTAACAGGCAGGGTGGTTTAGGGCAGTACAGGGAGTAACAGGCAGGGCAGTTTGGGGCAGTACAGGGAGTAACAGGCAGGGTGGATCGGGCCGTACAGGGAGTAACAGGCAGGGTGGTTTGGGTCAGTACAGGGAGTAACAGGCAGGGTGGTTTCGGGCAGTACAGGGAGTAACAGGCAGGGTAGTTTGGGGCAGTACAGGGAGTAACAGGCAGGGTGGTTTGGGGCAGTACAGGGAGTAACAGGCAGGGCAGTTTTGGGCAGTACAGGGAGCAACAGGCAGGGTGGTTTGGGGCATGTACCGGGAGTAACAGGCAGGGTGGTTTGGGGCAGTACAAGGAGTAACATGCAGGGTGGTTTGTGGCGGTACAGGGAGTGGCAGATTAGGGCAGTACAGGAAGGGACAGGCAGGGTATTTTGAGGTGGTAAAAGGAACATACAGATTAAACCTCAAAAACCTAATTGTTGATGATCAGTTCAATCGTTAACACCCACCTGCACAGTTTCGTTGTTCAGGATGTCTTGCAAGTCTGAGAATATTGCCTTGCATTCCTTGCAGGTGTCACCGTTAGAGGGAGGATCCTTTGTGACAGGAAGAAAATAAAACTGGACAATAAATTTCCAATTTTGCAGCGGAAAATAAACAGTGGCATATCTCCATTGAGTATTTAAAGGCATAATTTGTAGGATCATTTGTACTGATCCCAAAAGTAACCTCCCAAATTGTTGTCAAAAAGATACTTGGATTAAAGATCGTACTGGTTCTAAACACCCTGTGAAATTAGTCCGTCTGGCTTGCTGTTATTTAGAAGAAATCAAGAAATGTAGGCAACTTCCAACGATCAGTCAATGGACAGATTTTTTTTAAAAAGGAAGAAAGCCATTGACCAAATAGTGTTTCGTGACAAAAGGCCGAGCATGGTTTTTCACTGTTTTCACAGAAAGTGTAATACCCACTGAGCTTCAACTGCAATAGGTTAGGTTTTTTTTAACATTCTTCTTTGGATTTTGAGGGAATCATAGGGAACCAAAACAATGCATGAAAAACAAATTATCCTTTAACATTTAAATGTGAAAAACTTCTATGATTATTCAGGATATGTCAAGTATGTAATTAAAATCTGAAAACTTTACAGAACTTTTAGACTAAAGTCTCTTTAAATCTCACTATTTCAACTTATCTGGATGTGTTTTCTTTTTTGGGTTACACTTTTTGTTTTGACCTATATCACATCGTATAGAAGCTATGTACAAACTTCTGTTTATTATATTAACACCATTTTCTTCCTGAAAAAAAAAAGCGTGTTGCTTTTACTTTCCTCATAATTCCCCTGATTTTGCTAACTTTATCGCACTTTTAACCTCGTGTCACTTTCTAAACTCTACTAATTTCCAGAAGTTGAACAAAGAAATTGACTGGAGCACACGTATCTACCTCGGTACTCAAGGCGTTGGTAATTATATGTCTATTTTTAAAGACAGGTAAATGAAGTTTATTAGAAATATGAGACCCTTTATAAATTAAAGGGTTTACAAGGTGCTGCGGCGCATATTGCAGCCGCTGCCAGAAACACCGGGTTAAACCCCTTCTCTTAGCGATAAGTGTTACTGGGTTCTTTAATGTGCATTACACAACACACGGGACCTACGGCTTTACGTCCCATCCGAAGGACGAAGCAATAATGGTAAAGTGCTCTGCTCAAGAGCACAAGCACCATGTTCCTCGTCAGGACTCGAACCCATGTACCACGGCACACAAGTCGAACACCGTAACCACTGGACCACAGCGCCCCATTTGGTCAACACGTTTGATCAAGGGGCGCTAGTCAGAAACCATAAATTCGCAGGTTCAAACCCTGCTCTTGTAAATATCTTTAAACGACGCTTTGCCTCACCCACATCACAGAGGTATGTGGCCTGCCGCCTTGCCTGCTTTGCAGTCTAATGCCTGCTATGTGGGCGATTGCCCACTTCGCAGGCAATCAAATCACGGACAATTGACACATGAACAAACCATGAGCACACCCATGTTTATATTACATACATGTACATGTACCTAGTGTGGAAATTCCTTTGTTTTCGTGTAGTTAAGAAAAACCTGCGAAAAAAAACCCATTTTACTCACACTGTGAAAACTCTTTCAACCCTTTTTTTTTTTACTATGATTCCCTTGAGTGTTTCTCATCATTTTGCGTCTGATAAATCTCACCCAAAAATGCCTCTAAACCTGTTTTCCAGAGAGGGGAAATCTTGTGTGGACGTGGGCAAGTCCACACATCGTATCTGAAAACTGGTTTATGTGGACATCTTTTGTTCGGAAGTCCACACAGTGAATGTAATGCCTGTACACCTTTTGCACTTTATTGTATAGCAGAAATAGCAGTAATACTGATCTGTAGTCAACCCAACTAGTAACTCCCTAGATATTTTTTCTAGGATGTAGCTTCAATCCTGTAAAATCCTCTAAATGCCTACAGATAGAAATTGCACACAGCCTCAATCCTTGAAAATGCTGTTATTTCTTGAATGTGGTCCTTGGAGGGGTGACCACTGCCTCAATCCTGCAAAATCCTCCAGCAATCACTGTCAATATTCATAAGATGGAATTTTGCGTCAGGGTGATGTAAATCAAATTAGGTTTTGCCCTTTACCGACGTATAAACACTGTATAATCAGTGTGTTACCTCCCGAGTGAAAGTTGGAAAAAATCACTCGGGTGGAACTTGAACCCACGACCTCCTGCTTTCTAGTGCAGATGTCTTACCACTCGACCACCGAGCTAACGGGATCGTTTGGCTGGTTCGAATCTGATGTACATAGCAGCGGGTACCACATTAACTATTCATAAGATGGAATTTTGCTTCGGGGTGATGTAAATCAAATTAGGTTTTGCCGTTCACCGACATATAAACACTGTATACTCAGTGTGTTACCTCCCAAGTGAAAGTTGGCGAAAAAAATCGAGTCCCACCTGAGTGATTTTTCCCAACTTTCACTCGGGAGGTAACACACTGCGTATACAGTGTTTATACGTCGGTGAAGGGCAAAACCTTATTTGATTAGAGGCAGAGCCAGTGACATCCTGGAGCAGTGCGGAGGATATCAAGCATAATCTAGGCCTAAGACTTGGACGCAGTGCATTCTCCAAAATCAACGAACACACCTTTGCCATGTAGCCTCAATCCTGCAAAATCCTCCATTTTGAAAACAAGGTTTTTGGAGGATTTGTGAAGGTTAGTGTCAATGTTCAATTCAAATTGTCCAAAGTAGACGATTCATTCATGTTACCTGCATGAGTCGAGACATGGCTTGTGGCTTGCTGACTGCGCTGAAGTCTTGGCTGGGCGTACACACCTGGATGATCTCACACCAAACAGGTTCTTTCTAGAAAGCACAAGAAGAAATAAATTAAGAACAATCATGAAGTAATTACTGGTAGCACCAAAGAAATCTGCTCGAAAAGAATCAACAAGCTGTTCCATCCTATGAAGACAATAAAGGGTGAGTATAAAAAAAACAAAAAACGAAACCCAAATATTGGGACTATTGTTTGAGTGAAGTTCTGCATGTGGCACTTTCAAAATCTAGGATATGAAAGCCCAATTAATAAGCTTTCTTTTAGTTCAAGAATCATTTAAATCACTCATATAAGTTTCAACTTACGGAATTTTAAACACAACCACCATTTTAAAGTTCTGTCCATGGATCACAAATAGGTAAGTGTTCTTTCAGCAAAACGAAAAACAGGCCAAATGGGGATGTGTTGAATTATTTCTGTTTCGCTGAAAGAATGCACACTTTTTTAGTGATCCGTGGACAAAAGTTTAAAACGGTGGTTGTGTTTAAAATTCCGTGTTTAAACTTGAAAAGTACATGAGTGATTTGAATGATTCTTGTACTAAAAAAAAAGCTGATGAATTGGGCTTTTATATCCTAGATTTTGATAGTGCTACCTGCAGAACTTCAATAGTCTCGACATTTGGGTTTCATTTTTTTTTAACTCACCCTGTATACCATGTGACATTCGTTTGCAAAATCTTGTGGTCACGTGTATGCCATCTTTCAGCAAATGGTTCTCTTTTCCAATGCATGTATATCGTTCAGTGCGTAATAAAGTGTTCACATAAACTCTTTAATGTGGGCCAAATAACATGCAAAAAGTGTTTGGGTTGCCCAGCTGTTGCCTGTCGGCATGAAGTCACAGGGCACATGGTCAATACGCCAATCCACTAAGCCCAACCCACAACACTTTGACCAATCAAAGCCGTGCTTAATGTCTGGCACGCGTGCACAAAAATCTGACATGCGTGCAGGTGCGTATGATGTTTGCGGCAGCATGCAGTGTGGCACTGAAGAGGTGCATGTATGAAGCCAACAAGCAAAGTGGTATGGCTTTACACGTTTTATTATGAATGCAATGGTAAGAATATTTTCATATTCATATGGTGACAGATGGAATGTTTCATTCCATAAGGCGCAAAGTGGCATGGCTTTACACGTTTGTGTTTGCAATGGTAAGAATATTTTCATATTCATATAGTGACAGATGGAATGTTCCATTCCATAAGGTGAAACTGAGTGGTATACAATGTTTGTGAGTGCAATGGTTAAAATAATTTCATGAGATAACCGATGACTGTTCCATTCCAAAAGGCGAAGACGACTGGAATGGGACATTTGTCTGTCACCGAATGAAATTATTCTTTCCATTGCACGAATGCAAAACATTCATTATTTGTTTTAAATAACGCCTGAATACATCCTTAATTGTCATCTGATTGGTTGACTTGTGAACTGGTACTTACATTAATGTTCTACTTTTTCAGACAAACTGGTGGTCCCTTCCAATATCCGATTTATTCAAAACTGTTCGACAAGTTCAGAACTAGCCAGCATACTCAATTTAGCTCGGTCTAAAACTATTCCACAACTAAGTTCAGAACTTTCATATCCATTATATATGTATTTTAAATACTGTTATCGATAAGTTCAGATTTTTTTGCTTCTTTGTGTTAGCTGTGTCAGCATTTGGAGTTCCGGAATTTTCTTCGGAGAACAAACGGAGATTCTCGCGTATTGTCTGCCAAACTTCTATTTTTGTGGTGTGGCCACGCCGTGCATGGGACGAAAAAAATTGATGACATGTGACCAATGACTGACCAATCAGATGATGGGGATTCATTCAGGCGTTGTATAAAATGAATTGGTCAATTGAAGCTGTACGCTGAAACTATGACAATTTGATATATAACTGAATAAGCCAAAAGGATGTGTGCTTTTTGCTTTTAAAGGGATCAATTTATGATGCAGTAATTCTTGAAAAGCAGATAAAATTGCAACCTGCTCCAAACAAACATTTTTTTACAATATATAGGGTGAGTAAAAACAGATAAAACCCTAATGGCAGGACCAATTTTGAATAAAGCTTTGCCTATAGCACTTTCAAAATCTAGGATATGAAAGCCCAGTCATTAAGCTTTCTCTCAGTACAAGAATTATTCAAATCACTCATGTACCTTTCAATTTTAAACACGGAATTTTAAACACAACCACCGTTTTAAACTTCTGTCCACGGATCACTATAAAAGTGTGCATTCTTTCAGCGAAACAGAAATAATTCAACACATCCCCATTTGACTTGTTTTTCATTTTGCTGAAAGAACACTTACCTATTTGTGATCCATGGACAGAACTTTAAAATGGTGGTTGTGTTTAAAATTCCGTAAGTTGAAACTTATATGAGTGATTTAAATGATTCTTAAACTAAAAGAAAGCCTTCTGTCCACGGATCACAAACAAGTAAGAGTTCTTTCAGCAAAATGAAAACAGTTCACATACATGTAGGGATGTGTGTGAATTGTTTTCGTTTTGCTGAAAGAACACTTACACTTTGTGATCCGTGGACAGAACTTTAAAACAGAGTTTGTGTTCAAAATTCCGTAACTTGAAAATTACATGAGTGATCTGAATGATTCTTGTGCTAAAAGAAAGCTTAATGACTAGGCTTCCATGTCCTAGATTTTAAAAGTCCAACAGGTAAAACTTCATGCAAAAATCGGTCCTGCCATTTGGGTTTCTTTTTTTGTTGTCTCGCCCTGTATAAGCAAATAACACTGCTAGGATTAATGTGAATTGTGAAATTGGGATGCGGGGAGTTGGTGGGGGGGGGGATGCTGTTGCTGCAAGCCATGTAAATATGACTTGACAGGCTCTCACCAGCTGGGAAGTTACAAATTGGACAAATTTGCCCACATATTGGTTGACAAACTGTTCGCACTCGGCCGTTGAGTGGCCTTCATATCTGCAGAACAATGATGCTTCCGTCTGCACTGTCTTCTGTTATGTCAAGGGAATTTTTAAAGTAACAGACACCATTTCCAAACATTCAAAACTAAAACGGACAAAATAAGGAGAAAAAAGACTTTTTTTTCAAATAGTGCCCCGAATTGACTGAATTTAGTTTAGTTTGCAATTGGTTACATCTATGAATGAGAGTAAAATTTCCCAAGTGACAAACTGGGGATCATGTACCACAAGAGGGCGCAATTCAAAACGTATTGAACATTTTGGAACAGAGGGTTCTCAACAAAAACCTTGCTCTGGGGTCAAGAAAATGAGGACACATTTTCGCAATTTTCTCAAAAAGTATGATATCTACTGAGCTGAAATTTAGACAGGTTGGTTTTTAATAACCTGCTTCAGATGTACATGTACTGTAGTGGTGTTCAAGGAAATCACAGCATACAGGGTGAGTAAAAAAAAAGAAAAAAAGTCGGGACCATTGTTTTAGTAACGTTCTGCATGTAGCACTTTCAAAATCTAGGATATGAAAGCCCAATTAATAAGCTTTTTTTGAGTACAAGAATCAATCAAATCACTTATGTACTTTTCAAGTTACAGAATTGTAAAACACAACCACCGTTGTGAAGTTCTGTCCACGGATCACAGAAAAGGTGCGTGTTCTTTCCGAAAAACAAAAACAATTCACACACATCCCTACGTGAATTGTTTTCGTTTTGCTGAAAAAAAAATTAAACTTTTTTTGTGATTCGTGGAGAGAACTTTAAAATAGTGCTTGTGTTTAACGTCCTGTAACTTACGTAAGTACAAGAGTGATTTAAATGATTCTTGAACGGCAAGAAAACTTGTGAAATGGGCTTTCAAATCCTAGATTTTGATAGTGCTACATGCAGAACTTCATTAACAAAAATTGGTTCTGCTATTTGGTTGGTTTTTTTTTTTTAGACTCACCCTGTACATGTGATCATCGGCCCACCAATCAGATGACGGGGATTTATTCAGCCATTTTAGGCCAAGTTCGCGCAAGGACTATAGTTGACCAATGGTTAACTAACGTTTGCCCGAACTCTGTCTAGTCGACGGTGGTTGACTACGCTAGTCGACTATTTGGAACCAGCCTACTGGGGTTGGTTGCTTCGCTGGTAACCAATAGCCGTGCGCATTCATAACACTAGCAGAGAGCCAGGATCCAGAAGTTTTGCCATGACATTTTGACCAGCGTTTGACTAGAGACGTTCGCACGTTGCTATCAGTGCGCAGGCGTAAGGTACGTCACAAATCAACCATTAGTCGACTAATGGTCCTTGCCCGAACTTGGCCGTAGTAAGCACTGCTAGGTCAATGTGATGGTGTCTGTTTGTTTGTTGTTTTTGAGCAGGGTGATGGTTTTGCTGCAAGCCATGTAAATTGGACTTGACAGACGCTCACCAGTTGGGAATTGACAAATTGGGTAAATTTGCCCACATAGTTGCCGATAAACTTTTCACACTCAGCCTGCGAGTGGTGTTCAAACAAGCAGAATAATGCCGCCTCATACTGCACATACTCCTGTTTGTTACAAAGGATTTGTTTTTCGGCACAAAAAGCTTGTAAACCAATGGCTGAATTCCAAAGCGAGAGAATTTACACTTTCTGCATGTTCTGGGGTTAAACACAACAGTGAAAACTTCAAAAGCTCCAAAAAGCTACGAATCCTATACAAAAGACGTTAAAGGTGAAGGACTTTATTAAGGACAAAAACATACCCCAAGTCGATGTTTTCTAATTGGGTTTTTAAAGAGGAAAAAAACATGATAGTCGCTCGTATTTGAAGTCTAAATATGAAGCTTTTTAACTTGAGCCACAAAAATGTGAAATGTTTATAGACGTTAAGGGTGTGCATCAGAACCGGGTACCCGAGTACCCGAACGCTGATGTCAGGAACCGGTTCCAGATTATGGGAACTTACTTAGTAACTTCTCCAACGATAAAAGGAAAAGTTTTGAATGCCATTTATGGGGAATTTTCAAAATGAACACCAGGCTACATGGAAAACCAAAACCGACTTCACATTTTGGTACATTTGAACACGCGACCGATAAGGCACACGAAGATTGCAAGTTTAGACCGTTAAGCTAGAAAGACCTTCAGACAACTTACAGGGTTTGAATTTAAGGGTTGGGTTCTTTTAGGGGTGGCCAGCGAATCTTTTTTTCCCAAAACGACATCCGTTTTCCATCTTCTGATTAGTCCATTACATGCATATCTAATGCCTTGTTCTCCACAACACAAACCCAAGATAGGCTTTACGTCTTGTGAGAAATGTTCCTTCCTCACTTTAGTTATTCAAAAGGTAAAATGAGAAGAAGTGAAAAACGGTCACTGAGATTCGAACTGGGATCACCTGATTAAAAGTCAGGACTACTTCCAACCAGTCCACGAATCAGCTGCCTATCGTCGGTGATTCAAACACCATTATTTCGTGTTATATATAACTTGTTCTCTAAAGCCCTGGACATCATGAATATGCATAACAAAGTGAGAGCGCCCTCTTTTAATATTGTCCGATCTCATTTGGGAAAAAAAATTCGCAGCCAGGAGCCCATGCACAGCACTAATGCACACCATTAATAGCCGTCAAATTGTCTTTAAATAAAAAAATTTAGGAAATCACAGAGGTTAAGAACTAGGCACATATTACTACAAATAAATAAGGTGTAATTCTTTCAGCTCTGTTTGAATTTATGAACAGTACAATTTGATCGTTCAGTTCCTTTTTGGTGATGGTAGAAATTTGGATACTAATATACCACCAACTTAGGAACTTATTTTTTGTCCAGCCAAATTTCTAAAACGTCAATTTGTGTGACACCAAATGATACAAACTTGAGAATTTTTTGCAGATACTAATTTTACCTGGAATGTGCTGTTGCCAGTGATGGTAGCCAGACCACTGAATACTTGCTTGCAGCTGGAACACAGGTCACCATTAGGCACGGGCTGGAAAAGACAAAAGATAACCGTAAGAGCAAAACCAAGCCATTAGGCTTACAGTTCGCCGATTTCAGGTAGAATAGACCATTTGCAGCTATCCCAAAAGTAACGTACCGGGGCCAAGTTCGCGCAAGGACTATAGTTGACCAATGGTTAACTAACGTTTGCCCGAACTCTGTCTAGTCGACGATGGTTGACGACGCTAGTCGACTATTTGGAACCAACCTACTGGGGTTGGTTGCTTCGCTGGTAACCGTACCAATAGCCACGCGCATTCATAACGCTATCAGAGAGCCAGGATCCAGAAGTTTTGCGATGACATTTTGACCAGCGTTTGACTAGGGACGTTCGCACGTTGCTACCAGTGCGCAGGCGTAAGGTACGTCACAAATCAACCACTAGTCGACTAATGGTCCTTGCCCGAACTTGGCCCAGATTGTTGTGAAAAAGCTTACTTTAATTGGTTTAAAGATAGTAATGACAATATTACTCCCTGTGAAATTATTCCTTCTGGCAAGCGGTCATTTTGAAGAAATCAAAAATAAAAAGGTCACTCCCAAAGATGTGTCAAGTGACACATTCTTGGACATTTTGGTGAATCCACTCCCATGCATTCTAATTTGTAGTTTGTTTGCAATTGGGCAAATCCGTGAATGGGTGACATCCGGCTGAATGAGAATCATGTCCCAAATGCTGATTTTGGGGTTGTGTCACAAGAGGGTGCAATTCAAAAAATTCGAGGGTGCAATTCAAAAAATTCGAGGTTTTTTAATTGAAATCCAGATCCAGAATATTGTTTTCTTGGAATATACAGCATTCACAGAGCTATAACTTCATCAGGTTAGTTGTTAAGCACCTGTTTTTAGATTTTGAGCACTTTTGCTGCTTCCAAAAAAAAATACATTTGTGGCCATTTCTTAGTAAATTTATAAACTATTAAACAGCCATTACTCCTTCTTCACACAACCATTTCACTGTTACTGTCTTAAAAATGTACTCCACGCTTCAACAAAATAAACTTTTACCTCTTGAATTTTCAACTTATTGTTTTGGCAAAAAAATACCTTTTTTCCCCCTTTATTTTGGGCGCGCCAGGCACCGATTTACCCTGGGCAAAACAGTAAAGTATTTCGGGAGTTGTAATTAAATTAAAATCTGTATTACTGCCCATACACAAATCTGTTTATAACAAATTACTGTCCAAATAAAGAAGTATGATTTTCTTTCATGGTGTACAACTAAAGGGTTTAGTCATTCCTCATACCTTGTTGTACGACGGGCACTGCATGAAAATGTTGCAAACTTTATCCTGAAAAAAAAAAAATATGTGTAATAATATTAATACAAATTATCAATAATGGGTCACTTGGGAGACATTCCCAATAGACCTGAGACCTAAATGTAACAACGTAATGGCTTTGTTTACATATGTGCTTTCCTATGGGAGCGAAGTCGGGACACCAGACGAAATAGGGACCGTCTACCACATAGGAAGGTGCACATGTAAACAAAGCGGGACGTCATTAGGTCTCAGGCCTATTTACTGATTGGACCACGAGTATTCGATCTAGACTATTTTAGACGGTAAAATTCTGCCTCTAAATAGGGGTTGTGACATTTGGGAGACATTAAAATGTCCGATGTCTCCCTAAAGGGCCTGTCACATTATATGCGCTCTCATAGGAGACCTTACGGCAACCAAAAATATTAAATAAATTTAACAATCGCAGCGAGGATGCACGAAAATGACAATTTTCTGTCTCAAGTGGCCAGAAAGTAGCTCAAGCTACGCTCATACTGTGCTCATCTCGCGCTTACGATGCGCTCAACTCGCTCTCTATGCACCCCTGTCAAACTCATAAGACAGATCAGAACACGGATCCTACACACAAGGATGAACGACAGTTCTGAGCTCTAGTACAAAATGCACTGAGCGGACTTGCCTTAATTGGTTGGACGCGTAATAACGGGCATTAATACCCGCGAACGTTCCAGGTGTGCCATTTTGTCGGGTTTATTTTGCATGACATCTAACGGAAATATTCATAAAACTGTAAGCAAAATCACTCTTAATGTAAGATATACCGGTACTTGTACCAAAATTGTCAAAAAATAAATACTTCAGGATATAACAGACGGTATTGTTGAGTTTTTGTCATCATAGAGGAATTATATGTATTTTCCTGGGAAATAATCGTCAAAATGTTGCACCTTTTCCGAGAACACTGTTTACCCAAATCTCGTTTATAATTAGGCTTTCATTAAAAAGTTTTAGAGAGATGTAGTCCCGAACCGATAAAACAAATGCGACATTTCATAGTTCATTTTAAAGCGAAAGATATTGTGCACGACGTTAAACATGGTTATGTAGTTATCACTTATCAGAATTCAATAATAAAGGCCAAAAACGTAGAATCATGAATATTCAAAAATATAATTAGCTGGCTTGACAGAATTAGACACCAGATCAAGTGCAGAGCCCTGCAAATTTGAAAGCCGCCGCGCGCAGAGAAGCGGTTAAGCTGTCCGGGGTCTTTGTTGACAAGTATTCATGGTAATTGCCACCTGTACGGGCCGTTATCACGGGTCTAAAGGCCCTGTCACACTGTTGCGAATAGAGCTAACGTGTGCCGACATTTTTGGAAATTTGGGTGTACGTTCGTGTAAGTTGTCGTTCGTTCGTGACACGTTTGGCATAAGTTGTATTCGTTGGCGGGTTGTAGGGGTTCGCAGAGGTGCGCTGGGGTCTAGGCAAATTTTTGAGCATGTTCAAAATTTTGAGCGGGCGACAACGTAGCGATCAATACGCTAAGTATACGTTGAGCATTCACTGTGTGAACGTTTCGCACGTTTTGGGTGTAGGTTGCTTCTTCGTCAGCTGTTCGGACATATAGGTCCAACCCAAGGATCTTTGTCATATTGCGAATGCCCAACATACATGTATACATAGAGTTTGTCTAACGAATGGCTAACGAATGTGACGAGGGGGACTTGGAGAGCGTATTTATGGGTCAGCGGAGACACGTCACGTGACCCAGGCATACGTTGGCCATCCGTTGCGTACGATCAGCGTTCGTTGGATGGACGCTTTGTGCTGTCATTCGTTACTGTGGGCACTAGTTATACGCTCAGCATTCGTTCCTCATTCGTTGGGCATTTGTCTCATACGTCAGGAATTCGCTAAAAAAACAAAATTTGGCCAAGAATTTGAGCGTATCTGGACTTAACCAAATTTTGAGAGAAAAAATAAGTACGCTAAGCATAAGTTAGCTGTATTCGCTACTATGTGACAGGGGCTTAACCAGGAGATTGGCCGAGTCGTTATTCCTTGTGTGTAGGATCTGTGCTCAGAATAATACTGCAAGAAGAAAAAGTACACAAAACTGAGGGGTGTGTTTTATTTGTACAGACTTACCGAGTGTTGGATGATGAAACTGATGACCGTAGGGCCAAACTGGTTGACAGCCTGTGTGCAAGTATCTTTGGAGTAGCCTTCCACCTGGCAATACTCGATCGCATACATAAGCGCGTATTTCTGGGAAAAGCATTGAAACATACCGAAACATAGGTAAACTAGAAGGCACTCAGAGAGCGCAAACCTCCACCAAGGCTGAACAATTCTTCGCTATATCGTCAGTACACCCAATAGAAATATTCACATATCCTCTGGACTGGCATATTTTATTGCACATTTCGAACTCCCCCATAGTATCAAATGGTTCAGTCCATTGACCTGTCGGTTTCAATGGTGTGTGCGCTATGCTCTCAGGCTGCACGCTGGATGACACGTGTCCCAATTTCATGGTCTCTACACATAGCATGTTCGCACATACATGTACAAAATGTTGGAAGAATCCTTAAGAAAAATTCCTGGATCCAGACTCAGATCTCGATCACTTCCAAAATTTAATCGATTCGTACTTGTATCAAGGACCACCCCTAAACAAAATGTCATGAAAATCCGTCCGTAACTTTTTGAGTTATCTTGTTAACAGACAAACCAACAAACAAACCAACGCCGATGAAAACATTACCTCCTTTGCAGAGGTAATTATAATAACTAGCGGGAAGCCGCGCTTCACATGGCACCCACTAGCTGGGTGGAGTCATATACTAATGTATTACATGTACTTTTGGCTAAATTTGCATTTTGACCCAAAGTGGGCATTGTAAAAATTGGTGCAGCAATTTCGCCACCTTTTTCATCATGAACGTTATGTTTTGGTTAATAGCGATACGTTTTGGAGTGTTTTGATAGCGATAATGTTGTAATATTTAACTACATGTATTCAAAGCCTACAAGAAATAAATTTGCCAAAAAACCCCAAAACAAAACACCTTAATAATTTTTAACACCCGAGAGCACTTATAAAAATGTCTTGTAATACGGCAGATAGGTGGTGGGATTGTTCATTTGACGATAAAAGCATGGAATTTGGCACACAGTCAGAGTATGTCATGAGAAAGATATTGGGCTACAGGGCCATTCCAGATTTGTCCTTTGAAAAAATATTGGTAGAATAACAAGCAACGGCAGCCATTTTGAAAATTTTGAAAATTGCTCGTTTTTCTACCAATTTTTTTTTAAAGGACAAACAAGTCAAAATATGTCAACCAATAAAACAGTGCTGGCACCAGATTTCACAGGAGTCCGAATTTCATGTGAAACTGGATAAGTGTTTAAGACCAGCCGGCCGGTCTTTATCAACCATTGAAAACTGGCCACGTGACGGGCTCTCGACCAATAGGAATGGGTAAACTGTCTTTGTATGAATGGGTTTTACATACTGCTCTGAATATTGACTCCCGACTAGTATGATCAATGAAAATAAACCAAAACCGGTTGATTAAGATAAGCTCAGGATTCTAGTTTAGTACCTGAACGGTTGCATTGCCAAAGAATGATGTCAATCCATTAAGCAAATCTCCACAGGCTTGGCACAAGGTTTCATCCGAGTCCTAAGGAAGCAAGACAAAGATTTTCTTTTGATAATGGGACACAAAAAAATAAAAACAAAACTAGACAAGCATGTAAATTGTATATGAAGAAGCAGATGGTTCCCCATTTGTCATTGTTGACTACATCGTGACTTTGGGCGTGGTCCCTGGCTACATGGCATATTTGAGCGGCTCCACAAAAAAGGGTATTAAGTCGCGTTGTGCATTATTGTGTAATGGCATGAATGGCCTGCTCAACATTGAGAGGGTGAAAATTTCGTCAAAATGTGATTTTCATTTTATGTCATGAATGACATCTTTAATACCTACATTTTCAGGTTTCTTTCACAGAAATGTTGATTTTGATGAACAAAGTGGGGAAAAAAACAACCATACCGTGTGCATCATTCTAAAGCCAGCTTTTTCAAAGCCTGTTTTCTCAGTTGTGCAATTTGAACTCCAAGGAAGTAATTAATATGCAAATACATCATATCTCCAGAACGGGAGGGGCTATGGAGTTCTATTATATACCAAATGAAAGCTTACGTTGTGGGCTTTCCAACCATTTATGAGCTCCGTGCGCAACCAAAAGAGGGCGCCCTTTCACCTAACAACGACGTTCCATGGGCAGGACATTTCGCTGGTTGACGCACACCGTTCCTTGTGTGTGACGCACGTACACCAGGGGATTTGTACTATTTACACGCAGTGGCCGCGCTTCGCGGCAAATGAATTGCAGTCAGGCAAGATGGCGTCGGTCGGTCACCCCCAACTGTACTTCCTTTGCCGGTGAGGGGGTGCTTGTGAGCAGAGCGGATATAACTCCATCTCACCTTTTTGCGACATAATACCCTTTTTTGTGGAGCCGGTCACATATACAGGTTTATGGCTTCTGACTAGCGGCCCTGGAACAGAGACATTTGCAAAATGGGGAACCGCCAACATAGGGCTGGATAGTTGGTAGAGCACCGGACGGCAATCCGGAGGTCGCAGGTTCAAACCCGCTTCAGTCAATTTCTTTGTTAAACCTTTAAATAATTTTTTTTTTTTTATGAGTCAAACGTAAAAAATAGAGCAAGCGCACGATAAAATTTGATAGTTTAATGTATGCATGTCACATCTCCAAAATGCCGGATGATTACCCTCAAATCTTTCAAATATTTCAATTTATAAACCAGCAATTTTAAATCAAAACAATTATCAAGATTGTTTCTGTGATGTCAATATTCTACAAAATAATCTTCACACCCTGTACAAAGCATTAGAGAAATAAAAAGTGTACCAGACACATACACCTTACATATAACGCCTGCCTTCACTGTGCACTTTGAACTTGAGTTTAACCACTTCGCGTTGGGATTATTTTTGCCGCAAAATTTTGATTTTCGCAATAGGCAAAATTTTCCAGCCAACTTCTGATATACAGTCAAACTCCAACAAATACTGATTCGCAAGAGTCATTTCAACATTATTTGTACCATATTTCTTGCCGAAACCTCACATGTTTCAATACTCCGGGGTGTGCACTGGAGCGTAAATTGTACAACAATAGGCCGTGCATAGTGGCCAATTCCAGATCAACACACGGTCCGCCTCCACGGACTTTGTGTGTGTGTACAAAAGGCACAAGGGATGAGTGTGTTTAGACGTCACCCGGAGGCGAGTCGAGGCAATCTTGAGGTCGTAACCGTACCGTCAGCTGTGCCTGTGTATAAAAACAGCCAGTGCGTGTTATCATGACCACGTCCTCCGACAAGAGCTGGTTAAAAATTTTACTATTTCTGCAAAGCAACTTACCTTTATGAGTTTAAGAAACAAACTCTGCTGAAGATTGAGAGTCGGAGTAGAAGTGCAGACACCCAGCTCACTGCAAATCATACCTCCATCCTGAAAATAAATATGTGTTTAATCGTCACAACTTCCACGTCTGACAAACATCAGGCTGAAATGTGGCAAGAAAGTACTGCAACTTACGACCGACTTCACGAAACTTAGAGTAGCAACATTTTAAATAATCTAAACATATTAGCAAGGATAATAACAGCATCTTCAATGGCTGTTTGTGTTTCATTTTGGTCAGTCTTGAAATAGTCGTTGAATCACCGCCACCCGAGAATTTGAAAACAATTTTGTCAGACTTTCTTCGGAAACGTGCGGCAACTCTAAAACTTCTGCCACAAGTAAAATGCAAATGCAAATTACCTGAAACACAACGCATTGATCACAAGTTGTTACTGAACACGAGTTGATAAGTTGTGAAATAACAGGCTCCACGACGATCACGATTTGCTAGTAAAATAGGTCATTTTCCGGCGCTACGCCACAACCTAAGCCACCTAAAATTATTGCGCGCAAGTTACACCATAATTTGTTGCACAAGTCGCGAACTTCTGCAATTTAAAACTAAAATGAAATCTTTTATAACTGAAATGTTGCACAGCGTGAAATGTTGTGCAACTTTCGCAATAAATTGTTGCACAAGTGGGGTTACGCCATTGCATTAAGTAATAATGATGTAGCACCTTGAGCACCAGTAATTATATTTTGGATGGTTTTGTGGGGGATACAAGAATATATTGCACGAGCTATAACAATAATGCACGAGTCGAAGACTAGTGCAATATTGTTACAGCAAGTGGAATATATTCTTTTATACAACACCTGAATAAATCCCCGTCATCTGATTGGTGGATCGTTGATCACATGTCATTGAATTATTCGTACCAACGCACGGCGCGCGCGTGGCGCGCAGCGCACAGTGCAATGGAAGTACTATTGCACTGTGAATAGTACTTCCATTGCACTGTGTCACTGCTGCTGGTGGTGGCGCTGTTTTAAATCGAGATAAATTGAATAATGATTGTTCTCAACCTGTTGAACAGTTTGCATTAATATTATTAAATATGATGAACTTGTCGAACTTTTAAACAGTTTTTAACCTGAATAAATTGGCTATTAAAAGTCAGCCAATCAGATGACAAGGCTTTATTCAGGTATTATATAAAACAAATAATGAATGTTTCACGTTCGTGCAATTGAAAGAATAATTTCATTCGGTGACAGATGAAATGTTCCATTCCACTCATTTCATGTCACCTCATGAAATTATTCTTACCATTGCACTCACAAACATTCATTATTTGTATAGTATCCCTGAAAAAAGCCATGCAATATTATTACTATTATTTATATTAGGCTGACTAGCTTGATCTGCCAGAAATAAGTTTCAGGGCACAGCCTTTATTTCTCAAATTTTGTCCAATTATCGCACAGCTCGAAGCTGCCATTGTGGCTGTTGACAACAGTGCGCGTATACCCTGCTAGAGATGCGTGCTGCGTCCGCGTGCCGCGTGCTACGCTCTGTTGACTGGTTGACCGTGACTTTCTATACTCTAGATTGTGCGGGAACCAGTGAAAATGCCCGGATGACTGCAATATCTATATGATTGCAGTCATCCGGGTACTTTACCGACATAATATTGCAGAGTACTTTTAACGAAAGCATACAATACGCTGATTTATTTTTACCACTGAAAGCCTGATACAAATAATAATGTTGGATATGTGCGCTTTATTAATACCCATTATTACTATTATAATAACACAGGCCTTTTAATTTGATAACTCCTTTTAAAATGAATAACTTTTGGATTGCTAGCGAAAACAAAAGCAATTTCAACATTTACATCAAAAACAGGACATCTTTTATAAAAGCGCACTTTTTTTCTTATAAATAATTCTAAACATCTCTCTAGATGACACCCTGACTACTCACCAGAAAGCCAACAAGATAATTCAGGACCTGTGGTACATATTGAGCAATGTCTTGGCATATGTCACCAGGCAATCCAACGTCATTACAGACCTGCAAGACTTCCTTTTGCACATATTGCTGTAAAAAGGACAAAAATATGTTTCAATAAATTATTTGAAGAAAAAGAAAACAAATGTGCCTGGGGCTTCACAGATTTTTTCCGTGCCACGCATTTTGACTTTGTAGGGTGTTTTCATAATGTTCCATTCATAACATCCATTCCGTAATAATCGATGCACAAAATGGAAACTTTTTGATGTGGGGTACAAAAATATAGATGGTGTTTTATAAAAACATTCGGAAAAAAACTCACTCTCAGATGAAATCGTGGAATATAAATGGATTATTCTAATAAAATGTTTTGTTTAAAGGTAATATACAACATTTGCAAACATAAGAAAAAAAACAACCAAATTAGTATGAAATACCTCACTTGACTGTAAGTGAATAATAGTCTCAAGCATCCTGTGAAAACTCATGGCATATGGTGTGCTGCTGGGGCGAGGTGGAATTTGCTGGTTTAAGATGCAAACAAAAATCAGCTCTTTTGGTGTCAATTTCGGACCTCTGGTTTAGGCCCAAAAAAAAGCCTTCGGTTTCTGGTATGGAGCTTGCCCCAAAAGTGGTGCGGCGACGCGGCCTTTCCCCCCCCCCCCCCCCCTCCACTTTTTTCCTTCTTCAAATGTCGGCTGATGTTGCAGATGATGACGCTTCGATCCCCTTAAAACTCTCAAAAATATCCTTCAGGGTGGAGCTTGAGGTGACCGCAGCTAGTAAGGCCATTAAGGCTTGATAATTCTGCACCCACTTACGATCTCGACCGACACGAACATTCTTCGAGAAATTTGGATAGTCAAGACAAAAATCAGAGAAAACGATAACGTCAGACCATACAGCGACATCAACATCGTGCCTGTGCTGCCAAGGCTGGTCATTAGTCTGCTCCCTTACATATTGCGCTAATTAAAAAGCGTTTACAGGTTCCAGGTACACAACCATCGCTTCCACACACACGTCTGGCTTCCACACACACAATCACAAAAATACAACACTGTCTGCAAATGGTACCCGACTATTCTGCGCAAAATATATGGGAGCCCAGAAAGGCCACATAAAGCATATACTCGGTCATAACCCATCTAAAAACCGTTAAAATTGTGCAGCAGCAGGATTCCAGTCGAACCAGTGAGTTTGGCGGTTTTGAGACATCATCTTACATTAAAAAAAAAACTTTTTAATTTTGCCGACGCACATGGCTACGGCGATGCGCGCGCATACCAAAAACTGGAACCTTTTTTTTGGCCTTATGTCCTATACATGAATGATACATACCTGCACTGAACTGTTACTGAGAAGCGCGTCAAGGTCTGAGAATATCTGTTTGCAGTCGGTACACGGGTCAGCGGTGAGTTTGGACACCTACAGAAAAAAAAACAATCCTGAATTGGTGAAGAGAAAACACGTGGGATATATATTTGTCATTTTCATTAAGCCTCTTTTTGTTTGATCAGTCACAGACCGTCAATAATCCAATTGGATCTGTCACAGGCTATACAGGGGGAGCAAAAAAAACAATGAAATATCGGGACCATTTTTTTAGTGACGTTCTGCATGTAGTACTTTCAAAATCTAGGATATGAAAGCTCAATTCATAAGCTTTCTTTAAGTATAAGAATTATTCAACTCACTCATGTACTTTTCAAGTTACGAAATTTTAAAACACTGTCTGTGTTTAACACTTGCTGGATCGAGCACCTTTAATGTTTACTATCCAATGACTGTATGGAATGTGGTTTCTACAAAATGTAATTTGAGCCACCCGACCCTCACAACCAGCCCATTCACCCCTGATTAACCTCTGGCATGTCTGGAGTATCTCTCAGGCCCCAAACAGCCGTTAAAACCACAGACATAACCCCATTTGACATTCCATTTTGGTCACAGGGGTGATCGAAATAATCCCAATGTATATAGTGCATTTGTACACAAGCCTATGTAAATGTGCACAAGCACACAGGGTTTTCCCGCCAATTTTCAACCCCTCCAGTATGATCACAAGACTGACACCCCCTCTGAAGGATGTAGTATGGTCCATACTACGATCTGGTGATAGATGGCCCCGGGTGTGTTTACCACGTGGCCAGGACAATATAAAACATAAAAATGTGTAGAGTCAATATTCCCTCCTGAATCCAGGTAAGGTTAAAAGGTAAGTGTTCTTTCAGCAAAACGAAAACAATCCACATAGGGATGGTTGTGAATTGTTCTCATTTTGCTGAAAGACCTTTTACTTTTTTGTTGTGCTCCTTGGACAGAAGTATAAAATGGTGGTTGTGTTTATAATTCCGTAACTTGAAAAGTACACAAGTGATTTGAATGATTCTTGTACTAAAAGAAAGCTTATGAATCGGGCTTTCATATCCTAGATTTTCAAAGTGCTACATGCAGAACTTCACTAAAAAAAAATAATCCTGACATTTGGGTTTTTTTAACTCACCCTGTACACTTCCTTTCATAGTGCTGGAATTTGCCCATATGAACATATACATGTATGTGTGTCTCAATTTTGTTCATCAAAATGTTGGTTTATTTCTACAAAGCAATACCTTTATGAGTTTCATAAACAGTTGCTTAGGATTGAAAGTTCCAGCATGTCCAGTTGAAGAGCAGACACCCAGCTCACTGCAAAGCATATCACCATCCTGTAAAAACACAAACATTTTCTTTCAAAATAATGTGTCGTGAGTTTCTAAAACCATTGAAAATATCAGACGGATTCATCATCCAACAAAAATCCGGCTCAAAATTGTTAAAAGACAGTTGCAACCAGTTTCTATAATTCTAAATGAACTTCATTTTTCTGTTAACCGTTCTACATTTACTGGACTTGTGGTGTCCTTGTGGTGTCCTTGTGGTGGACTTGTGGTGGACTTGTGGTGGACTTGTGATGGACTTGTAGTGGACTTGTGATGGACTTGTGGTGGACTTGTGATGGACTTGTGGTGGACTTGTGGTGGACTTGTGGTGGACTTGTGTTGGACTTGTGGTAGACTTGTAGTGGACTTGTGATGGACTTGTGGTGGACTTGTGTTGGACTTGAGGTGTCCTTGTGGTGTCCTTGTGGTGGACTTGTAGTGGACTTGTGATGGACTTGTAGTGGACTTGTGTTGGACTTGAGGTGTCCTTGTGGTGTCCTTGTGGTGGACTTGTAGTGGACTTGTGGTGGACTTGTGATGGACTTGTGGTGGACTTGTGGTGGACATGTGGTGGACTTGTGATGGACTTGTAGTGGACTTGTGATGGACTTGTGGTGGACTTGTGATGGACTTGTGGTGGACTTGTGGTGGACTTGTGGTGGACTTGTGTTGGACTTGTAGTGGACGTGTGATGGACTTGTGGTGGACTTGTGTTGGACTTGAGGTGTCCTTGTGGTGTCCTTGTGGTGGACTTGTAGTGGACTTGTAGTGGACTTGTGATGGACTTGTGGTGGACTTGTGTTGGACTTGAGGTGTCCTTGTGGTGTCCTTGTGGTGGACTTGTAGTGGACTTGTGGTGGACTTGTGATGGACTTGTGGTGGACTTGTGGTGGACATGTGGTGGACTTGTGGTGGACTTGTGGTGGACTTGTGGTGGACATGTTGTGGACTTGTGATGGACTTGAGGTGGACTTGTGGTGGACTTGTGATGGACTTGAGGTGGACTTGTGATGGACTTGTGGTGGACTTGAGGTGGACTTGTGATGGACTTGTGGTGGACTTGTGATGGACTTGTGGTGGACTTGTGGTGGACTTGTGGTGGACTTGTGGTGGACTTGTGGTAGACTTGTGATGGACTTGTGATGGGATTGTGGTGGACTTGTGGTGGACTTGAGGTGGACTTGTGATGGACTTGTGGTGGACTTGTGGTGGACTGGTGGTGGACTTGTGGCGGACTTGTGGCGGACTTGTGGCGGACTTGTGGTGGACTTGTGGTGTACTTGTGGTGGACTTGTGGTGGACTTGTGGTGGACTTGTGGTGGACTTGTGATAGACTTGAGGTGGACTTGTGGTGGACTTGTGATGGACTTGAGGTGGACTTGTGATGGACTTGTGGTTGACTTGTGGTGGACTTGTGGTAGACTTGTGGTGGACTTGTGGTGGACTTGTGGTGGACTTGTGGTGGATTTGTGGTGGATTTGTGGTGGACTTGTGGTGGACTTGTGGTGGATTTGTGGTGGACTTGTGGTGGACTTGTGGTGGATTTGTGGTGGACTTGTGGTGGACTTGTGCTGGACTTGTGGTGGACTTGTGGTGGGCTTGTGGTGGACTTGTGGTGAACTTGTGATGGACTGGTGGTGGACTTGTGATGGACTTGTGATGTATTACACTACAACACTGGTCTAATGTGTTTCAGACTAAAAAGTTTAATTTCATTGACAAACAAGTCAGGATATATGCTGATGACTCTACTTACGAGAAGGGTCGCAATGTACTTCATGAACACTGGTGTGTATTTGTCCAGTTCTTGGCAGACATCATTAGGGAACAGTCCCAACTTTAAACAATACTGTAAGACTTCCTGTTGCATAAATGACTGTGAAAAGAACAAAAATATATTTATAAAAAAAATTTGAAGAAAAACATGGGATTTCAACAACAAACATTTGTGACCTGCCATAGCATAATGAGGAATAATTCCCATCTTTGACTTTTCAAGCTATATACACGTACATCATGGTACCAAATCTATTTCTGCAGCTGAATTTATTCCAAAGATATGCCTCAGGAACTTCAACATTGTCCCGCCAATCTTTGCCAACCTCATTTTAAGAAAAATGGCTATGGAAAAAAAAAGATACCGCTACACATTGTGCCGGCAACGGAAGCGATACACGTTATTAATTTTTCCACTTTTTGGGGTATTTTTCCCCCAACAAAAATGCATAGTGTGAATCTTGGATACCTTTACTACTCAAAAATACAAAACAACCAATATCAATTTTGACATTGATTTTTTTCTAGTATATCTGACTTCAGGCGTTGATAACTCAAAAAAGGTTTTGGGGGATATTCCTCATTTTGTCTCAGTAGGTCACATTTTCCTCTGCATATTCAATCCCCTAATACCTTTTTTAATAACACCGCAGCATGTATTTCTTTTTTTTTTAATTTCCACGCCACACATTTTGACTTCGTAGATTGTCAGACACACCCATTCCATAAAACTCCGATGTAGCATTTGCACAAAATGGAACCTTTTGATGTGGGGTGCAAAAAACTAAATGGCGTACAGTAAAACATATATTGAGTAGCTCAGAGTGGAATGGGAGGAATATTATCGCAAGGTAAAATCTGGACTTTTCCAATTCACGAGGCGAAGCTGAGTGAATTGGAAAAGTCCAGATTTTACCGAGCGATAATATTCCTCTCATTTCACAATTTAAAGCCACTCAATATTTGTTTTATATAGCTGACATAGAGATCCTTGTCATTTGATATATTTGAACTTTTATTTCAATACAAAATTGGTGGAAAATGTATTTCTCTCTTCCAAACCACCCCTTCACGAAATTTTATGAACCCAACTCTGTAGCGCTGGCTCTTTGGAACGATACGCGCACACCAGCATGCATTTGCACACAAATACCGCGTCATTGAACAAGGATGATCCTAACTGTTGCATAGTATTTCCCATTCCCCATGGGTGAATGGGACTTTTTGAGCCCCGGCGTGAATGGGAGCAATAATGAATGTCACGTGATGCGAGCTCCACCAAACAAATGACAAGGATCTGTATGTGGGTTATATAATACAAAATGAACTCCCTCTCAGATTGAATCGTGGAACATTAATTATTCTTATAATTAAAAACATTAAAAACGTTAAATAAAAAACGTTATAAAACATTTTGTTAAACTGAGCTAAAACTTTGCTTTTTTTTAAGCGTATGAAAGTTTCCATAAGCTCCAGTTGTTGTTTTTTTAGACACCCTGTATATATGATACGTGTACGTACAGACACTTCCGCACTGTTACTCAGAAGATCATCAATGTCCGAGAATATCTGCTTGCAGTCGGTGCACGGGGCAGCTTGGAGGTTGGATACCTACATGTACATAAAAAAATATGCAAATCTTTAACCCTAACCTTCCCAAATCCTCTGTGGCTGATTTTGGAGGATGCACTGTGTCAAGATCTTGGGGCTGGACCTTGTGTTGTTTTTGGAGGATGTACTGTGTCAAGGTCTTGGGCCAGATCTTGTGTTCTTTATGCTCAGCTGTGCAGAAATTTAGGCCTAGATTTAGGTGAAATCCTCCGCACTGCACCAGGATGTCACTGGCTCTGCCTCAACATATTGACAGTGATTGCTGGAGCATTTTGCACAATTGCGGCCGTATGCAATTTTTACATGGGGCATTTAGAGGATTTTGCAGGATTGGGTTGCATCCTGGCAAAAATGCCTAGGGAGTTAGGGTTAATTTGTGAAGGGAAAACACATGGTAGAATGCTTAATTCTACATTTGACATTTTCATTAACCCTCCTTTGACCAAAAAGTCAATCCTGTTCCCCTGCCATGTCTTGTACACAGGCTAGTCACCTACAGTCAGATCATACATTTCCTGTAGGCACTGTGACAATCAAATTCCATCAACAGACAAAAGCGAATGATTGGTAGGCACAACTGGCTTATCAGTCGCAAAACTTTTACTCACTTTCTTCAGGAAATTGAAGCGGGTGATGCTTGAGCAGACACCCAGTTCACTGCAGAGCATGTCGCCATTCTGAAAAGGAAAGAAAAGTCAGAGATTAAACTGGCCAAGGCAAAAAAAATCTGAAATTGGACCTTGGATCTGAGCTGCCAAAGCGTCATGCAGTGCAGAGCAGTGCAGCACATCAACGTGGGACCCAGTGAATTTTTCCATGTCATAGGTCAGTATTTAACCTTTTCTCCAGCTGGAAAAAGATCTGATCAGGTGTGTTTCTGACACAGAATCACTCTTTTCACAGGTGGTAAAATAGATTAAAACTGCTACATTCGTGAAAATGTTACGAACTGTTTTCATTGACTTACCATGGACTTTTGGGGGAAAATTATAATGAAAAAAAAATTGTGAAAAAATTGTTAAATAATCATTTTTGTGGGATTGTTAAAAAATCTGAAATTTCAGTGGAAAAGTAAAAAAAAAAATCTGATTTCAGATTAAAATCTGAAAAGTTTCATCTCTGAAAAGTATCATAACCAAAATCATGGGCCTCAAAATAAATGTTTTTTTTCTCCTTGTTCTTAACCCTCTTCTGCTCTTTTTGATATTTCAGTAAGAATGCGAGTATGAGTATTCTAGAAACTACTCGAGTACGAGTATTGCAACACTACAGTATGCCCCCAAAAATACACAAAGTAAAACTTGCTTACCCCCTGACGTGGCGAATTTGACCCCATAGATTCTTTGAACGGATTGAGCAATTTCAGTAATGTTTCCATCTAAAAGTAGCTTATGACATTGGCTTTCCAGTCATTTTTATTTTTGGTGCTACATTTTTAAAAAATATATGCAATATCATTTTTGGGGTTTTGGGTTCCGTTTTTTTTGACTCACCCTGTATGCAATTTCAGCTAAAACTTTTGCACTGGCAAGACTCAAAAGAGGCCAAAAATCAAACTGCGCCATGTTAGGGGCTGCACCTTGTTAGGGGACATCAATGATAATTAATCTTGGGAATCATTGGCTTGGAAGCGACTGTGTAACGCCCGGCCGAGCAGACAGAAAGGCATAAACTCACCAGGAGTCCAATGATGTACTGGAAGACCTCCGGGCCATACTGATTCACATACATCTTACAGAGGTCCGCCGGCGCCCCAGCCTGCTCACAAACTTCAATCACCTCCTTGAAGACATATTGCTGCAAAACAAAAACAAAACCATCATAATTAATTAATCAATTCAATTTGGGTTTTTTTTTTAACTTGTATTTTTTATTTCAACCCCCAAAAATTTGCAACCCTCTGAAAAAAAAAGTTTTTTTATTCAGGACCAAATGGACAGATCTGCCTTGCGAACAGACTGGCTCCTGGTCTGTATGTTATCAAAACTGATCGTGAGGCTGGAACCAGCCTATCCCGCAAGAATGGAATTATTGTAGTGGTAAGAAATCCAGACTGTCATTCATTTTTTTTAATCTCTTAATGAATATGTATTAACATTGCAAATGACAAATAGATCATGAATATTCATTACTCTTGTCAACAAGTTATGTCATGGATCTGTGCCTGCAGAGAACTGTTAATACTAAGCTCATCAATAACTGACAAAATCTGCTTCAATCAGTGCATACATCTCTTAATGAAATATTCAGTAACACTGTAAAATGACAAATAGTCATGAATATTCATTACTCTTGTCAAGTAGGTATAGGTCATGGATCTGTACCAGCACAAAACAGTTAAAAAGGTCATCAAGGTCTGAGAAATCTGCTTCAATCTGTGCATGTACACGTTTGTATTCACTTTTCCTCCTTATGATTATTCTTTAATCTCACTATCAATGACAACTAAGACATGAATATTCATTGCTCTGGTCAAATACAGATAAATCATGGATATACCTGCACAGAGCTGTTACTTACATATTGTAGGTCATCAATATCTCAGAAAATCTGCTTCAATCAGGGCATGTTTATTCATTTTTGCTCTTACTGAATATTCATTAACCATCATAAATGACCAATAGGTCATGAATATTCATTACCTTAGTCACATAGCTATAGGTCATGGATCTGTTCCTGCACAAAACTGTTACGAGGTCACACAGGTCTGAGAAATCTGCTTCAATCAGTTCATGTAATATTCATTTTTCCTCTTAACCACTTTGTGCCGGGATAATTTTTGCAGAAACTTTCAATATTCGCATAAGGCAAAATTTTCCAGCCAACTTCTGATATACAGCCTAACGTCACAAATGCTGATTCGCAAGAGTCATTTCAACAGTATTTGTACGATATTTCTTGTTTCAATACTTCGGGGTGTGCACTGGAGCGTAAATTGTACAACAATAGGCCGTGCACAACGGGCAATTCAAGATCAACACACGGCCCACCTCCACAGACTTTGTGTGCGAGTACAAAAGGCACGAGGGATTAGCGTGCTTAGACGTCACCCAGAGGCGAGGCGAGGCACGCTTGATGTTTTAACCTGTCGGCCATATCCGTGCCTGTGTATAAAAACAGCTAGTGCATCCTCTGACGCAAACTGGTTAATGAATATTCGTTTATCTTATTATCACGAAATATTAAGTGATGAATATTCATTAATCTTGTCATATTGTTCATGGACATGTACCTGCACTGATTTGTTACTGAGAAGATCATCGAGGTCCGAGAAAATCTGCTTGCATTCGGCGCATACGTCAGGGTCAAGTACGGTTACCTAAATAAAAAAAACAAACAATGCCACCGTTAATATGTCAAGTGCAACTATAGGGTACATTATCCTAAAAAAAAATTCTGTCAATTGCAAAAGTAACATTGTTGGGCTGGACTATAGCCTCTAAAGTCGCAATGAGCTCAATAAATAATTATGTTTACAACTTCAAAGTAAGTCGATTTTTGAGTCCATTCAATCTTTTACCCTGTCCGGCCACGGGCCACCGTATTTGTCCGTTTCGTAGAATGAAATATGCATGCGTGTGATGCATTTCCACCACTGACTCTGCTCCACCAGCAGGGTCTGCCGTGGCTGAAACCAGGCGAGCCCCGAGAATGAGGTCAGAGCTAATGGAACGGCATGGGGATTTGAACCCAAGTAGACCTGGGTGAGCTAATCAAACGCACCCATTATGAGCATGAAAGATATTTAAATCGCAAAATTTAATTTATGCATGACTAAATCTCATTGTTGAGGGCTAATACATCTCTTTACACTTCAAAATGACATTTTCTAAAGGGGCGAGAAGAGTTCAATCCTTTTTTTAATGGGAAGCAAAGGCAAAAACTTTTTTCTCCTCGACTTTTTTCTCCTCACAAATTATCAATTTGTATGTTTTGTTTTAACCCCCCAAAAAACACTCCACATTTTCCCCCCGATTTTGGACGTCTGCATCCCTCTGAAAAAGAGACCGTCCTACCGGTAATTCAAATAACTGGAATTTTGTAAAGAAATCATTCAATGACTGAATTTTTTCGTTCAATGTCTCATCCAAAAGGAAATAACTTAAACACTGCTAGGAAAACAGCAACTGAAAAAACAAACAAATCTATTTTTCGAGTTGAAACTCGATATTCATCATTTGTTCATGTAGCAAAGAGAATGCATCTCTCAACAGTGCAGCTTTTAATATTGATTCCGATTCTAAACACAACCTACAATAAAGAAACCCAACATGAATGTCAATTCACTTTCAGTATTGACGTGTTTGAAAAACATTTCCTTATAAAATGTAAGTGTACAAAGTTTAAAATAATAACAAATGTCAAACTGTTTGTGTTGAAATCTTTGTTACGGTTTTACTTAGTGTCACATCTGGTTTCAAAAATGCAAAGTGAAAGTAGTTGCAATGTGTTTTATTTAAAACAATGGCTTTAAATAGTAAACACTAAAGGGGGCTAAAAAATATAGTAGAATGGAAGAATATATCTGTTTGAGTAGCAAGCAAAACCTTTGTTGGAACAAATCCAATCATCAAAGTTATCGGTATGCAAAACACTTTTGGTTTCTTTGATGTGTGAGGCTGCATGTGAGTTGAAATTTAACTTTGATCAGACAAGTTGGAAATTACTTTTTTTTTGAGAAAAGTGGGGCAACAAATTATTGTTCATCTTGCTGCCTTGTCTTAAAAAAAGAAACTGGTATAAAATTATTGCATGTTATGCCAGTCAAGGAGACTCAGGCACGTTGCCAGGTCTACCAATTTGAATCCACGTTGGGGGGGGGGGGGGGGGGGGGGCTGGACACATCTTCCTGTAGGGGGCGCTGTTCAAAGTAACAATCATGGACACTATCAAACAATTGGTGGCGCTCTTCATTCCGGCAAGTTTGCCGACAGACAATTTTGCCAAAAGGACAACGATTTTGCCAACAAATATGATTAATTGGGGTTGGGGTATCATGGACACTATCAAACAATTGGTGGCGCTCTTAATTCGGGCAAATTTTCCGACAGACAAACGATTTTGTCAAAAGGACGCTTTTGCCAACAAATAGGCCTATATATTAATTGGGTGTTGGGGTGGGATATCTTGGACAAACAATTTTGCCAAAAGGACAACGATTTTGCCAACAAATATGATTAATTGGGGGTTGGGGTGGGAAGGTTTTTTTTTAAAACCCCCCCATCCCCTATCCCCCCCCCCTTCCTTTTCTTATCCTTCCCCCCCATCTCCTATTCCCTAACCCCCCCCCCCCCTCCTCCCCCCACCCACCCCCAGCGATACCCACGGAAATACTTTGGGGTCATGTTGTGTGGCTAGTTGCCCTTTGAACTCTGACCTACCAGTAGTGGACCCTGGATGACATCATTGGGCGTGGCACTCTTGCAAAGCTCGAGCAGCATACAGACTTGTGATGCATCCTGTCAAAGATAGAGAGCGCCAAAAAAAATACATCAATTAAAACTGCATGTAGAAAAGTCGTATTTTTGTATCAATTTCCAACGATGGTCAGCTGACCATCGTTAAAAAAACAATAACTTTCTTAAAATACTGCCCCCAATTTACCAAATTTAGTTAGTCTACAGTTTGTTTGCAATTGGTTACACATCCGTGAACGGGTGCAAGCCAGCTAGTCTGGTTTCCTGACCTGACAATTCCCTGACGTCTATACATCTTGTAAATTGCTTCGTTTCGTCTGAAGTACATGTAGGGTCAGGGAACCAGACTACAAGAACAACATTTTTTTCTTGGTTTTTCTTTCAACAGGTCAGTTTAACAGTATTTGCTATAAAATCCTACATGTAACACCAAAATCCATTCATTCCTGAAAATTACAGCAAAAGCCAATGTTGTACATGTATAGGCCTATAGGCCTATATTTGATTAGCTTTAATCTCCCCGAAACTGATTTTTGAAGAATCTAGGAGGATTAGGGTTTACTGACGAAGGTAGGGCCTCCCGATAGCAAAAAAACGAACTGTCTTTTGAAATGTGTATTCCTTTCCTTCAGTGCCAGCAAATTTTATGTGATTTGTATTTCTCTAATTTTAGTTCCTACACTATGCTGCAAACAGTCACTGAAAACATATTTTAAAAGTTCAAAACCAGTTTAACCCTAAAAGACAGTCTTTAAAAAGTATGGTATATAATACAGGGGAAACTGCACATTTTTTAAGGCATACAATGATGTAGGTTGATGTATTCTACATTTCAATGATAATGTTCTATTTATGCATTATCATTTCTTAGTATTTTATTTGCCATAATCGGCACATTTAAGAGTGAAGACTCCTTTAATTGAATAAGATTAAGGATCTCAAATATGTTGCATGTACATTTCAACTTTTGCCCAAGTGTCCAGAATATAATTGCATCATTTGGTTTTTATCATATCTGGGGATCACAATTAGTTTTCAATGATGTTTACACTGTACTTTAATATGACTACCCAGGGACCTCATCCATAGCTAACTTTAATTAACTCTCCTATGCAAACATGCATTCTGTGCAATGTAGTCCTTTCACAGTCAAAAAGCTCTTAACAGTTAAGAGCTCCCAGCCCACGTACGCCACATAAAGCAGGATTGACTGGATGTAACTGTTTATGTAACTTGATACAGCTGTGCTTTGACTGTAGGTGATTGATAATGATAAGCCAGGGCCCAATTTCACGGCGCTGCTAAGCACACAATTTTCTGGTGAAAAGAGCCTCCGTCTATTTCATGGAGACCGTAAGCATAAGCACAGCAAAAGGCACGCTTACTTCGGAGGGAAAATTTGCTTAACTTAGTGATGTAACAATAGAAATCTCCATGCACGTGCGACCGTCAGCACGTCCACGTCGTGAAATAGTGCCTAAGGTTAGCACATTTTTCTGCTTTACTAAGCACAACTTTTCTGCTAACTGTTACTGTTAGGCAGCGCCGTGAAATTGGGCCCACCTGTGCCTACCACTTGTCTGCTTTTGTCTCTTTTGTCTGAATTTGACTAGTCAGAGTGCTTGCCTGAAATATGATCTGACTGTTGGTAAATAGCCTGTGTAAAAGGCATGGCAAGGAAGTGGATGGAATTGTTGAGTGTCTATGACTTTTCAAACAGTAGGTGGGTCAATTTAAAAATAGTCATATTTCATTTTATCACCAACCAGCAAAACAGCCAGGGTTCACTAAGTTATCCAAATGATAAGACACCCGAAAGTACAAACTTCAAAAACCAAAAATATCTGTCAAGAGGCACTTCAGACAACAGCCTTTGAACCTGTGAATTTCACAGGCCAAATTTATAACAAGTTTAGAATAGCAATGTATTACAATCGTATGTGTATACGGTACGTGTACAGTTTACATGTATACGTGTACAAATATTTACTGCAGTATTATTACCGTATCTAGCACGTGCTTCTAATCACGAGACCCATGTACATGTACAAAGTAGGTCAACTACATGTTAGTGTGCGTGTTATAAACTTCCCAGTGCTCTCAGATCTCCTTGAACTAGTTACAGGGCACCCTAGCTTGTTTCCCAGGTTCGCCTAGCGATACTTTCCTCGCCTTCCACAGCTGTCACCCGGGTTTGAATCCCACCTGGGCCAACATGCGGATTGGGTTTTCAGTCCCTGCCTGATTCTGTGGGGTCCCCCCCCCCCCCCCTCCCCAGAATATTCTTCTGGGGTTTTCCTCCCATGTCGAAAAAACTATAATTGCTTTTCATTGTCTCCTCTCTAAAGGTTTCTTCAGGCTTGTGATCTGAGCTACGGTGCCTATAGGGCGCTTTTGAGGAATCCTTGGTTTCATTACCAGAAATAAATAATAATATAATAAAAAATAATCATATCGATAAGTGGGCTATGTGTAGTTCTGCTAAATCAATAATTTATAATATTTTTGGAGGCTAATCATCGGTTGGGGGGTGACCGACCGACGCCATCTTGCCTGACTGCAATTCATTTGCCACGCGTGCACTAAGCGCGCGGCCACAAGCTGCACACTGTACATAGTACAAATCCCCTGGTGTACGTGCGTCACACACAAGGAACGGTGCGCGTCAACCAGCGAAATGTCCCGCCCAAGGGACGTCGTTGCTAGGTAAAAGGGCGCCCTCTTTTGTAGGCGCACGGAGCCCATAGGCTATGATGGACATACATTGTACAGTGCATGTACATGTACAAGTTTGGTAAAAGTTTCATCCATTGTACCATTTTGAAGAAAAGCGCTAGCAAAGAACATACGCTAATACTCTGACCACAGTTCCATGGTTAAACAAATTTATTGAAATCGCGTACTGATGTGAAGCAGTGTTATAACAAATAGAAACCTAGTGATGGTGACTGACTCACTTGAAGTTATTGACACATTTAAAAAAGGCAAAACCAGTTCTATGTGCAGGCTATAACTGAGCCACTTCAATGAAAATGGCAAAACTCCTCACCACAGCCACTAATTTGAAAAATTCTAAATTCCTGTGGAAGACAAGGTAATAACCTCATATGAAACACTCAGTTTTTCCTCAATTTACTCTATTTGCACCGAACAAAATGGTAAACTGGGGTCCAAATCATTCTACCTCAACCTGTATATGTATCGTACATTGTACATATCCATCACAATTATATATTTATACACTGTAGCTCTTTTTTTTAATTTGCCAATAATTATTTACAATATGTACATCAGAAGACGATAATGTTGGAGACATTGGTGCAAAAAGTTTGAACACACACCGCAATCTTGTTAAAAGTAATTTTTTGTAGAAGTTTCACCGACTATTTGCTACATGTATGAACTCTGAGATACTTCTTGGTGTCATGCAACTGTTCAAACTTTTCATGCCCGTCACATGATGAGGAAGTGTTCAGGGTAGATTCTTGGCACACGTACAATGTACAGTATGCACACACGGAATACAATTTAAAGGTCAAGCATTTTTAGCAAGTCTTTTTTTATCCAGAGGAAACTACTGTAGTCTTTTGAAAGCGGAACACTTTTCTGATGGCACCCGCATTCAGTTGACCTATCGCCGTTTGCGAGTTAGCCACACCCTTTGGAGACAACCCTATGGAGTTTTTGTATGCTAAATTTTGTCCATTTGAACAAAATTTCACAAGCTGTGTTGACGCCATTCTAACGACAATTCTACCAATTGGATGTGTACATATAGCGCCTACACAAAGTCAATACGAGAACCACAATACAGATTATGAGAGATAATTTGATAATCTCATTAATCCTGTATGAACCATGGGGCTGGATGTGTTACAAAATTGGCTTTCAATAAGGTTTCTGGTGATAAATCATAACTGTAAATTGATCATCCCAACAAGATTTTCTGTTATGGAGATGTACCGGTACATGTTGCATGATGTACGGTAAATTTAAAGCCTTTATTTTAATAAAAACAATATGTACAGGTACATATGGTAGGGGCCTACATGTAAGTACATCAGTTATGCATAGTGTATGCATACAAGGACATACAATGTACATAGTACCATGGAGCTATAAAACAGCTCCATGCTTGTACTTTATATATTTTGGGAGGAGGGCGGGGAGGGGGGAGGAGGGCGGGGAGGGGGGAGGAGGGCGGGGAGGGGGGAGGAGGGCGGGGAGGGGGGGAGGGGGAGGGGGGGAGGGGGGGAGGGGGGGAGGGGGGGAGGGGGGGAGGGGGGGAGGGGGGGAGGGGGGGAGGGGCGGGGAGTTGGACAACTGTTTGAAATTTATGGAGATGTGCATCTGCAGTCACCCCCCCCCCCAAAAAAAACACTTCACAACACCCACCCCCGGCCCCTTTCCTAGGATATTTATTATCATCATTCATCATACTCTTTTATCACCTACATCAAATCAACCTTGCTGTTATAAAACTTAAAAATTTGTGATCGCATTAAAAAACGGTGGTTGTGTTTCATCAACTGTGGACAATCAATCACCAGGAATAAAGCTGCATCATGGACAACGTAACAATGGATGGAAAACACATTAATCTGTTTTCCTGAGTATCGATGTCACTTATTTCAGGAAGTAAAACGTTCAGGTTTATTTGTCAAAGGGATGGTTGGTTTCATTGCCATGAAATACACCTTCTGTCATGTGCCGCAGTGACTCGTCATTGTCATGCAGGCAAACAAATACAAAGCAAAAAAAAAACAAATGAACAAGAATTTGTCAAGAGGAAACGGTGTCAATGCAGTGAAACTACGGTAAACTATTCTCTGGCAAGCACGCAGATCCTGTTTTGAGAAGGTGCAAAATACGGTACCATTTGAGCACAAACAAGTGCGACTACTTAATAACCTCTGGCCATCTTGCATGAAAGTCTTGCATGAAATGATACAATTACTAACTTGGTGGCGATTCTCAATTGAAATAAGAATTTCCCATTTTGTTGAAAGTCACAATGCTAAATAATAGTGACCTTCATAATGCAAAGTCTGTATCCTGCCTCTTACACCCTGGAGACTCATAAAACTGACACAGGGCCAGAGGCAGGGGTGATGTACACGTATAGAAGACCCTACGGTAGCTTCCTAAGTTCGTAGCACACAAAAATACAACGTGACTATAAAATTACCACCCATTTTCTTGCCTCTATTCAAAAAATTACATAAACAATGTCACGAATTGTTACAAACAACTTTTGTCAAGTTTCGTTGTTCGCTCTTTTTTTTTGGACAGTTACACTTTGGTGGTACTTACAGTTTTATGGGTGAGTTAGGGGTTCGTTTTTGGTCAATTTTTTTTTGGGGGGGGGACCGACCGACCAACCGCCCGACCGACTGACACCCGAGTGACTTGTAGCTCTATTGCTAGAGCTTAAAAAATTGTGGCTTAAATTTGCCCACTTGCATGCTGGTTGGATGATTAAATACATGCTTCAAACTTGTAACAGAAATTTAAGGGCAAATGTTCATGAATTTAGAGTAGAACTACCCTTAATCGTGCTAATTGAGATTTATTTAGACAACATAAATTCCCTTAACTAATGTCTGTATGGTTTCTTTTCAAAAGCTTACAAATGAGGAAGATTTCACAACAGTTTGTTTTACTAATCAACCCCTTATCACAAATCTTTTAAGTGCTGCAAAGGGCAATTCCATGGTAACTCTTGTTACATTTAACAGGGGTCTTGGGTCAACTCTGTGCTGTTATTCTCATACATGTCATAAAAACAGTATACCCATTCCTATTGGTCGAGAGCCCCTCACGTGGCCGGTTTTAAACAGTTGACAAAGTCCGGCTGGCTGGTCTTGAACACATTTCCAGTGGCACATGAAATTTGGACTCCTATGAAATCCGATGCCTTTTACCGTTTTATTGATTGAACATTCAGAACCCTTATGTAGGCATGCTCAATAATACCATTGAGTCAGTATTTCATAGTCCTAAATTCACAATACACCAGCACAGCAGACAGTCCCATAACTTGGTCTAAATGTTGCTTAACAATGAAAAACTTCCCCACAACGCGGTGCAGGCCTGAACACACATACACACAAGCTAGCACACATATTTATGGTGTAAATTAAGGATTTTCTTTTGTTCCTCTTCCCTTTTCCTTTGTTTGTACTAACTTTTTCACAACAGACCTCATTGGTTTTGTACACGTTTTCTAATCGAGGTCATCCTCGATTTGGTTCCTGTCCTCGATTCACCGATGATGTTGCACGTGTGTCCTCGACTTACACCATAAACAAACGCAGGTTTGTTGACGATGTAAATAAAGGATTTTCTTTTGTTCCTCTTCCTTTTTTCTTTGTCTTTACTCCTAACTTTTTTGCAAACAGAAGGAATACACTATCGCAAGATCCCCCTTTCTTGGCTCATGGAGGAAGCCAGGGGAATAAGCCAGGGAGATGAAAAGGACGCCCTACGAATGTAAAAATGTTTTGCCTATTTCATCTTCACCCTATAGATCGACTGCTGTTAACAATGCAGTGGCATGACTATTAGGCCGCAAACACTGCAAGCAAAAAGTGACTGGTTCGAATCCTGAAAAGAGAACAATTTGGGAGTAAAATTGATAGTAGGAACTTACCAAGTCCGTAATGAGTGCCTCCAGGAATTTCATGCCGTAAAGGTCGACTATCAGCTGACAGGTCGTGGCCTCCGACCCAAGCTTGTTGCATAGTTCTTTGACGACAGAGAGGATCTCTGTCTGCAAGGAGAAAGAGATCAAGGCACTTTAAAAAAAAAAAATTAAAGGAGCCTTTGAAATTATAATTGTTGGAAAGATAATAATATTCAAAAAATCTGCGGTTTTAATGTAATTCGGGCAATTCACAATGCAGTGCGCCACCAAGGGTTTGCCATGGAGAGTCTATTTTTCAAGTTTACAATCGAAAAAACATGAACAATTTGAATGAGTGTCAGTAGACAACTTGAGCTAATTTGTTATAGATTTGGGCAAAGCGTTCTGCAAGTACAAAAAAACACCATATTGATAAAAAGAAGACAAAAGGGCAAACAGATACTCAAATCATAGTTTACGAAACTACTGACTGGAAAAACTAACAATTTCAAATGTTCTGCGCTGCGAATTTGTCGACCATCTCCCACAATGCATTAGAAAAAATGAACTCTCTGTGGCAAAATCTTGGTGGCGCACTGCATTGTGAATCGCCTGAATTGTTTTAGGAAGAAATTTTGGGATACCGCATTTTGATTTTCAAAAGTCGAGCCATTCAAGCGCTATTCTTGATTCTAGTCATATAAATCTTTCTGGAAACAGTACTTTTATCACATTAGCTGAATGCAATTTATGAACCATGCCATGCACACATCTGTCACATGTGCTGCAAATAAGCAGCATAGAAACCAAGCCCGTTGTAACAAACTTTTGCCAGGGGGTGCTGGAATTTATAAAGGACGGACAAAATTAGTACGAACGTGGAGCGCAAAGCCCTTACGGCGTAGCTTATGGGCCCCTAAAGATTTTGGATTCTGGATGCTCTGTGGTGCAATCCGAGGCAATTCCTAGCCACTTTCATATGACTTTTTATAAGCAAACGGTTTTTGAGATTAGAAGGACAATTTATTTCATTATTTTGTTTCGAATAATACTGTTGCTCTTATAACGTTTCCACTGTATTGAAAAGTCAATTGAACCCTGTATTTTTATCTCCATTTTTTGTTCCATTTAATTTTGGAGACTGTGCTTTTTTGTCCCACTTTTTAGCCAAAGACATGAGAATTTTCAACTTATTTTTAACCAGAACAGGAACTAAATTTGGGATCAAGATAACAACTTTGTGGGTTTTATCAATGCAACTTGTTACACATAAAGTATCATCCACTTTAAAACATTTCCTATTCGGTTAAATTAAACAAAAAAGACAATATTTCATGTTGACATTGTAAAGCTAAAACAGATTTTGGAATACTTTCAGCAGCTTTGGGTCACGTTTTGACTTCAAAAAAGTGAACCCCACCCAAACTTACCTGCACTGTACTGTTGTTGAGAACATCTTTGACTGCTGCGATGAACATCTTACAGTCATCACAAGCGGAATCATCCTGTATCACAAGAAATTAAAAAACAAAACTTGCTTGATTTTGACTCATCTTATTGATAGCCTCCTCTACAGCCGTAGTGGCTTGACCCTGCTTATCAGGGATCAGAATTAGCTGCATCAGAAGAAAGAAAATCCAAAATCCAGACTTGGATCAAGACTACTGCAGCTCCAGAGAACTGCTACTTACATCAACCTTCAGCTGTGCCCAGTCGTTGGCGATGCAGTAGCTAGTGGCCCCTTCACCGCATTCCTTCGCCTTCAGGGGATGATCACACCAATAAGCAGGACCCCACGTGCATTTCTCGGATCCGATGGAAGCAGCAGAGGCTAAAAGAAACATTTTATGTCATTAGCAGCTGTATACACTGAAACAAACATTGTATTTATTATATTGTATATCTGCTGATGAATCCACAAGACCATAGAGTACTGGGACAACTTGGGGGTAGTGTTGTGCGAACCCGACCCAACCCAAAACCGACCTGACCCGAAACCGACCTGACCCGAAACCGACCTGACCCGAAACCGACCCGACCCGAAACCGACCCGACACGAAACCGACCCGACACGAAACCGACCTGACCCGAAACCGACCTGACCCGAAACCGACCTGACCCGAAACCGACCCGACCCGAAACCGACCCGACACGAAACCGACCCGACACGAAACCGACCTGACCCGAAACCGACCTGACCCGAAACCGACCCGACCCGAATCCAACCCGACCCGAAACCGACCCGACCCGACACGAAACCGACCTGACCCGAAACAGACTTTGGGTTGGTTTGTCCTTCATTTCAGACAGGTCGGGTCGGTTTCGGTTTAGCGTTTGCGATTTTCGGGTCGGGTCGGTTAGGCCATTTTGGAAAAGCCTGAAATAAACCCAAAAAAACCAAAACAGTGCGGAGATTCACACAGTGCAATGTTTATTGCAGAGTCACTGTGCCCATCAACCAAATGAATTGTGGTCTATCACGCACAGTCTATAATACAACATACAGGCCCACCAGAAGGTCACACCTAGTATGATTCAGTTACTGAGAGACGACGATTTTCATGCGACGCGGGTAAGTTCAGGCACAAAAAGCCGACATATAGTTGACCAAGCCATAATTCGGGGGTCTTGGGGGTTTTTGGGTCGGTTTTTCGGTTCGGTCAGTTTTCCTTGAATTTTGTAGGGTTGGGTCAGTTTCAGGGAGTTAAAATCAGTTTCGGTGCTGATTGGGTTTATATCTATAATGTTTAGGGTCAATTTGGCCCCTTGGCCTACAGAGAATAATGTTATAATTCAAGAATTTGGCAAAAAGAAAATGTCTTTCTTCCTTTTAAATAATTCTCATCTGTCGGGTTTTGTTTCAAGTCTACCGGTCCCACCGCGCCATGCCTTTTTTTTTTTGTGTCACCATGGAGCTATAAACAGTGTCACTCACTGTCACTGTCAGTGTCTCACTCATGATCTCTCATCAATGTCAATTCTATAAAAAAAAAAAGGCCACAAAGAAACTATGGCCATGGGGAATGTTTACTGCTTTGTCCTGTTTTATAATGAACTTTTCAAGTTTCATTTCCCTCCCCCGTAATATCACACCCCCCCCCCCCCCCCCCCCCCCCCCCCCCCCCATCTCCCCCAATGCATGCACACGCCAGTGGTCATGCCTAGCCGTACTACTAGGCCTATACTTTATTCTGACCACTTCATCATGGCCATAGCGTTTAACGTACGCAAGAAACGTTTCAACTTACCTGCTGCCAAAAACGACAAAAGTAGTACGAGTTTCATTTCCGATGAGTTGTAAATCTGCAAACCCAGCTCCAAGGATTTATTCTTGAATCATAATACGACCATCAGTTCATGGCCTGTAATGTCGCTGGCGGAACAAAATGTAAAGGGTCGTCCTGTCTCAAAGTCCCACTTATTGTTTACACTGGTATGATGAACTTTGGCTCAACGTAACGTGCATTCGTGGGAAACGATTTTAAGTGCGGATTACCGGGCCGGAGTGTATGTGGATTTCGAAACAAACAGTCCAGTCAGCATCACGTGCGTCCCAGTTTTGATGTTCAGAGGTCACAATTCTGTATGCTTGTAAGGACGTTTCTGATTGGATGCTTTGTTTCAGAAAATAACTTCTTAAATTCATCATTACGAGTTCATTTTTTGCTGCATTGTTCAGTAGAACTATTATTAGTAACATAAACGTAAACTACATTGAACCATACAAATAAACATGATCTAGTTTTTTTTTAAACCCCTGGTTCGACAAAACTCCTGTTTGTAAATAGATTAATAGAATTCCTTGTAAGAAGAAATAAACTTCATTGTATAGTCAATGACCTCCCACCTACATGTATACATATTCATATTTTATCGCGATCAGCTCAGTACTTGTGACCAATCAACGCCCCCAACGTTTCGAAATAGGCGGAGTTTAAATTGGACAAACAACTTTTTAATCATTTCTACCGATCACGTGAAAGTGATTGTGGAATTTGTATACCTTTTCTCTTCACTTTTCTTTGTTAAAGGGAATATACATCATTTGCTTTTGCTGTAATTTTCAGAAATGGATGGAATTGGGGGGTTGGAAATATAAAGCAAATATAGTTACACTGACTTTTTGGAGGTTTTGGGTTCGAAAGTGCTATAAAAACCAAGAAAAACGATCATTTTCCTGTAGTCTGGTCCCCTGACTCCATATAAGAAGAAACAGAGCAGTTTACATACATTGGGGAATTGTAAGGTCAGGGAACCAGTCTAGCTGGCTCGTACCCGTTCATAGGTTTGTAATCGATTGCAAACAAGTGCAATGGTCAATTGGGGCCAGTATTTGAAAAAAAAGCCAGTTGTTTCCAACGCTGATCGGCCGATCAGCGTTGGAAATTGATACAAAAATACCACTTTTCTTGAAAATGACAGTATACCAGGTGCCATAATTTTACAGGATGCTTTAGACTGTCATTTACCAACATCCTATTAAGGTATTTCGCAAAAACTTGGTAGTTTTATTTTTCGATGTTTGCAAATGTTGTATATTCCCTTTAATGCAGGCACAGGAAACTAAATTTAGCACCAATATTTTATCCTTGCTCACACACACAAAATTCTGGTGCAAACATTTATTCTTCCCCTAATTAAACCCCAAATTAAACTTTCAAAATTAAAACTTCAAACATCACAAAGAAAATGGTAGGTCTTCGAGTACTCCAAGCTTTTTTAGAACCAGTACTTTCGAAGCACTTTAAAGAAACAGACAACAAATTTGATGGAATTCAAAATGTACCACATTTTATGATCTGCTTTTCAACAATTCAGGAACTTAAATATTCGGTATCACATTGAAAATAGACGTTTATACAGATCGTGCGCCCCAAAAAGTGCAACATTCAGAAAACAAATAATTAAAACTGTTTAATGTTTTTTTCTTCAATGAAATTATAAATTACATTAAAGCCCGACTATTTCTCCCTCCACTCCTTTTTACCCCATTCCATTTGGGTCCCTAGATCCAGAAGTGCAATCAATTAAGTGAAAGGGTGTACATTTTACTTGGGCCACTCTCACCTGTGATGTCACCAACTTCAATGCCTATTCAATACCCATTCAATGCTTAACCCAGATTCAGCATGTCCAGGTGAGACTGGCCCAAGTACAATCACCCTTTCACTTAATTGATTGTATTTCTGGATCTAGGGACCCAAATGGAATGGAGTAAAAAGGAGTGGATTGAGAAATGGTCAGGTTTTAATGTAATACATAATTTCATTGAAGAAAAAAATATTAAACAGTTTTAATTATTTTTCTGAATGTTACACTTTTATCGGCAAACTAGAAAACAAACAAGACAGATTCTTTACACTCGCAACTTTATCAAACTCTTGACTTTTAAATTTTTTTATTTTTTTTAGCTTGCCAGAACAAGTGCATGAAATCGTCAGCTAACTTATAAACAAATCATGCATGCACATTCCAAAACAAACATATAGGCAATTGTTTGCGATACTGTTGTACAGTGGTATAACAGACACACAGGAGTTTCTGAAACAACATCTTTTATTCAGCTACTAATAAAGTAAACATATCCAATGAATACTCAACTCCAACCAACAAGGGTTGCCTTGTCATATTCATTGTCAAGCACTGTTTCCAAGCAATTCTCTAACAACCAGTTATATTTTTACAACTTGAAAATGTGGAAATGCTGTTGAAATTATGCGCCTTCGGGCGGCCTTCGGGCGGCCTTCGGGCGGCCTTCGGGCGGCCTTCGGGCGGCCTTCGGGCGGCCTTCGGGCAGCCTTCGGGCGGCCTTTGGGCAGCCTTCGGGCGGCCTTCGGGCAGCCTTTGGGCCGCCTCTGGTCAACCTGTGATTTGCTTGCACGACGACAGAACCGTCGGCATCAAGCAGAAAAGTCACATGGCATCTCGACACAAAAATAATCGCAGCCATACATGTACTCACGTCACCCACTACGCAACGACCATTCCTCAGCACAGACATGATCATGTGCCGTCTGCAAAATGGTGGTGCGCATGCTGATAATCAAACGATCTTCCATGACCACGTGTGTTCATTCGACCATTTTGGCCACACGCTGATTGGTTACATAATGAAATAAGATGATCCGAATGTGTGCACAAAGGTTGACTGCGATTCATTCCAGTCTGTTGCAGCGCAGAAGTTGAATTTTCCTAATCTTGTGACTGTTTCATTTTTTTGAGCACCGACTGAAGCTATCATCTTAATATTACACTCAGGTCGCAAAAAAAATGTGACTGATATGTTTCCAACTGTTCTTTGTCGTCGCAAAGTCAACCTGAGGGCGACCTCAGGTTTGCACTATTCCTAACCTTCCTAAACCCTCCGAAATCCTCTTTGCAAAATTGAGGATTTTGCAGGACTGAGGATTTTGCTGGACCGAGGCTACATGGCGAAAGTGTGTGGCTGATTTTTAAGAGGATGCACTGTGTCAAGGTCTTAGGCCGGACCTTGTGTTGTTTATGTTCAGCCGCACATAAATATAGGCCTAGATTATACTTGAAATCCACTGCTCTAGGATGTCAATGGCTCTGCCTCAACATATTGACAGTGATTGCCGGAGGATTCTGCAGGATTGAGGCAGTGGTCACCCTTCCAAGGACCACATTCAAGAAATAACGGAGGATTTTGGAGGATTGAGGCTGTATGCAATTTTTTACATGGAGGCAGCTGGAGGATTTTGGAGGAATGAGGTTAGATCCTAGCAAAAATGCCTAGGGAGTTTGGGTTAAAGATTGGTGGTGACCATAGAGCTATATTAAATTACTAGAGCGCTGACTCACGTACAAAGTGATGCCTGCTGGGCGCATCCATGTTTGTGCACAAACCTATAAAAAACTTGAAATTTTGTACGGCTTGTGTACGGCTATTTGCATATCTGCGTTTGTATTCTATACAGGAGCGTTTAATACCGAAGAGGATTGGCCCAAAACCGAAAACGCACGATCAGCAAATGAGCATTTCATTTTGCTCTACGCAAACAGTGCAATGCATGCGCATATCCGCAGCAGATGATTAACCGATGTTTTTTTAAACCATCATGACGCGCTTAAGTTGTTTACCATCATGACGCGCTTAAGCTGTTTACCATCATGACGCGCTTAAGTTGTTTGCGTACGTTCTACTTGCGCATTGCATTTAGAGTACACTTTCAAAATTCAATCCATCTAATTTCATTATGTTCTACAAACACGCACATGAATTCAAAAAGTCTGCGCCCAGGACGGCTTCAGAGCGTCTCCGCGCGCAAGAATGAGGAGTTAGCGCTCTAGTAATTTAATATAGCTCTATGGTGGTATTACAAAAAGGCCTTTCACACTATCGAAAAATCTCTGCGTTGGACCTGAGTCCAACACAGAGATTTCAGGAACTTGTTTCACACTAGCAAGAGTATACAGTGTATATACACACTAGCAAGAGTATACAGTGTTCAAACGTCGGTGAAGGGCAAAACCTAATTTGATTTATATCACCCCGACGCAAAATTCCATCTTATAATAGCAAGAATCCAACACGGCTTCTACACGGGTCCAGCGCTCTACCTGGGTAAAATCCTACCCTGGTCAGGACCAGGATTAAAAGGCTCTACCCCGGGTAGAAAATCCAAAATCTACAGCCGACCTGTGTACACCCTGGTGTAAGTGTGAGGACAAAATCTACAGGCGACCTATGTACGCCCTGGTGTAAGTGTGAGGACAAAATCTACAGGCGACCTATGTACACCCCGGTGTAAGTGTGAGGACAAAATCTACAGGCAACCTATGTACACCCCGGTGTAAGTGTGAGGACAAAATCTACAGGCAACCTATGTACACCCCGGTGTAAGTGTGAGGACAAAATCTACAGGCAACCTATGTACACCCCGGTGTAAGTGTGAGGACAAAATCTACAGGCAACCTATGTACACCCCGGTGTAAGTGTGAGGACAAAATCTACAGGCAACCTATGTACACCCCGGTGTAAGTGTGAGGACAAAATCTACAGGCAACCTATGTACACCCCGGTGTAAGTGTGAGGACAAAATCTACAGGCGACCTGTGTACACCCCGGTGTAAGTGTGAGGACAAAATCTACAGGCAACCTATGTACACCCCGGTGTAAGTGTGAGGACTTGTGATGGACTTGAGCATTGAGTAAGAGTCCATGTATGCTACAGTTTATTCAGTCACGGATGACGTGACATTTCCTCGATTTGGAGTCATCAGGACATCTGTGTTTCGGAGACGCTGGCAATCCAGTCCGGTGCATGCTGGTTAATCTTCTCGATGATCGTATTGACTTGGAGACAGAGGTTCTGGATCTGTTTGTCCCACTGCGGTAGAGTTTCACGAGCTGGAAAGAAAGAAAAATTATGGACGTCAATACTCATAATTATAGACATATGGACTGGCAATGAGGTCACTAGTGCATGTCTATTCGCCCTGAGCAACTGTGAGTGACCAGAAGAGGGTCCTACCCGAGGCTGAAGGCCGAGGGAAATAGAACCCTCTTTTGGTTACTCACAAGCCCGAGGGGACATAGATGTGCCCCCTCGCGCATAGACATGCATATAACGTGTTCTTTCAGCAAAACCAAAACATTTCACATTTACATGAATTGTTTTCGCTTTGCTGAAAGAACACTTCAATACCTTTTTTGTGGTCCGTGGACAGAACTTTGAAACAGTGTTTGTGTTCAAAATTCCGTAACTTGAAAAGTGCATGAGTGATTTGAATGATTCTTGTAATATAAAGAAAGCTTATGAATTGGGCTTTCATATCCTAGATTTTGAAAGTGCTACATGCAGGAACTTAATTAAGAAAATGTGCCTGCTATTCGGGTTTCCTTTTGTTTTTACTCACCCTGTAATTTGTATTTCGTAAATGTGTTGGGGGGTAATTTTTCAATTCCAGCAAAATCTTTTTTTAAAAGGCCAGTCAATACAGAGAAGTTCAGAAGAGGTTAAGGGATGATGAAGGAACACTTACATTCAAAATGTACGATACTGTCAATCTGGTCGATACTGCCATTCATGCGACCCTCCGAGATCATCTGAGATGCAATCTTCTCCGCCTATAACAAAGAAGATTTTATAGTACATTTACATATAAGATTTGAGGCTTTGCATGGTGGAGTATCAGTATTATTTCAGTTTGCGGCAACACCATGTGGTAATAACTACTGTCGCTCAGTAGCTGTTTAAGTTTGATAAGAAGTTGTCCGGCTTATTATCAACTTTCGCTGAGTAGTTTTTAGTTCTGGTAAGAACAGTCCTGCTTAGTTTTAAAAGAACTTGTCTTTGGTCTCAACGTTTTGACTAGCCTGCTCTAGTCATCATCAAGAGACTGTTCTGAGACCTGCTCTGGTTATCGTCAGTCACCATGCATTTTTGGCCCATCCCTTTTTATCTATTGCACGCTGCGTGCATGCTAAGACGCGCAGCAGCCCGGAGCTATACAACGTTTCCGCGTAAAGAATACCATGCGTTATAGCAGTGCAAAACTTGCCTTTGAAGTTAATGCAGTTGCCTAGTTGATGTTTAAACATTATTTTAAGAACTTATGATATTAAATTTCTTTTCCGTCAATGATTTGACTTTTAAACCTTTGTTAGCCTTGAACAAGCTGGAAAAAAAGTAGTGGATATGATACAATTTTGTGAGTTTTGTTTGTTCTTAAAGTTTTATCCTCCAATCGAATGACAAACATCTACTTGGATGTCATATAAAACAAATAATGAATGTTTTGCATTCGTGCAATGGTGAGAATATTTTCCATCATTGAAAGCACATTCAATCTTTCAACTCATGAAAATATTCTCATCATGGCACTCATAAGACTCGAGACAGACTTGAGTCCAAGTCCTGGTGTCCAAGTCCTGGTTTCAAGTCCTGCAACATCGCATAACATCAATATAATAGACCAAATTTTCATGACGTGGACAATAACTGTCACCAACCTTTGCCGGTGGTATTTCTAGGAGCGACCCGAGTTCTTCAAATGTGATGTTGTTGTACAGCTTACTGGCAGACAGAAGATTGTGCTCAATGACGGCCCTGTCCAAAATACTTGAACCTGCAGATTTAACCCCCAAAAAATCCCAAATTACAATACTAAAAAGTAGCTCATGAATAATTTCACTAACCCTAACGATCCCCAACCAGCCAAACTCTAACACCAGGAATTGTTGGGATCTGTTAGGATGAGTACTGCACTAGTAAACTGACTGTGCTTTGGGTGGGATTAAGCATACCACAAATGAACAGAGTCCAAATGTTTTTGTGCACAGTTTACCATACGGTGTTGGGATTTGCAAGGACGAGAAAGGTTCCTAGTATAAAATCACCCCAGGGAGTTAGGGTTAATACACTGGGTGAGAAAATAAAGGAAACCCAAATGGCACCCCCTATTTTATGAAGAAGTGTTGCATGTAGCACTTATCGGATCTAGGATAGGATGTAAAAGCCCAATTAATAGGCTTGCGTACTCGTCTGATGCTCGGTGGTTTATGGGTTTGAGCCTGTGATGGGGATCAGAGTGTTTGTGTTCTTTTGCAAGATACTTTACTACATTTGCAATTTCTCAGCTACCCAGAAGAATCTTTTTTTTGACAATAAATTACATACAGAGACATGTTTTTTCTGATCACAAAAATTACCGTCCGCGGTTGTGGCTTTCTGATGGGGTTGAAGGAGGGCAGCGAACTCTTGGAGCTGGTTGCCTCGGATGATACGGTCCAAGTACATCTTCTCTAAGATGCCGTAGGACGGCAACTGTTGGCATCGTTCGTCCTTGAAGAGAGTGGCCAGCATACGGGACCTCTGCTGGCCTGGGAGGGGTGGTGGAATGCAAAGAAAATAATTTTTCAGACATGATGAATTACGGCTATAGGATGACAGATTGGAGTTATGAGTAATCTTAGGAGTCAGGTTGGTGTAGCAGTTCTTTTCTCTCCTTAAACCTCTGTGACCCGCCCTGGCCGCGAATTTTCTTTTCCAAAACGACATCCGCATACATGGTTATTTAGCACCCTCTACGATACTTTTATGATACGTATGCAGGTACAATGTTTACAATTATTTTTCCCCCACGTTTTAGCTCAGTAGATACAGGGTCGTGATTTTGCACCACAAGGTTGCGGGTTCGAAACACGATTTTGCACCCGAATTTTTTTTTTTTTTCAACCCGAGGCTTCGGAGGATTTTTTTTCAAAGGGAAATAAAGTCGGAATTTCAATGAGTTCCAATTATTTATTTTTGTATATATATTTTATTTGTATTTGTTTTTATATTTCTTCTCATGTTTTTAGAAAAATTAAGTCCAAAATGCCATAGCGTACATCCATATGCAAATGTCGTTTGGGAGAAAAAAATGCGCGCCCTGGCCGACATGTGGATTTGGTTTTCAGTTTCCATCTGTTTCCGTGTGGAAAAAAATCATCAGAAGATTCGTGTGCATCGTTTGCATCAAGCAATATTGGGGGTGTGTCTAAAATACCGAAAATATCCAAATATTCGATCATCAAGCCAATATGCGCGGTCACATGACCGGTCCTATTTGATTGATAGAGGGCGCGCTATCATGCAAGCTGTAGCTAGTTGGGCCAGCGGTAGCAATCGGCTAACTCGAAAGCCAGGCGCGCATTTCAATGCCGTCACGTGGCCACAGCAAAGAGCCAGCAATTGGTCAAACAACATGCAGGCTGCAACTGGGCCAGTGGTAGCAATCAGGCTAACTGGAAAACCAGGATTTGTTGCGGCTACAGGCTGCAGTACAATCACAATGGCATCGTGTACGCTGCATCCCCGCGTAAAAAGACAAAGTGCGTTCTGCAATAAGGCCTCATGAAAAAAAGTTTTGCGATCTTTTCATGCTTCTTTGTGACTGTTTAGGCGGCGGTTTCTTTTGGACTGGCCAAACAAAAATTTGAGTTAAACAGAGGTACCGGTGCGGGCATTTCGAGTTACAGGGGTATTCATGTAATGTTGATGTACCCTAACATGGCACAGCCCCTAAGTGGCGCACTTTGATTTTTCGCCTGTAGCGCCTAGCTAGAGCAAAAGTTTTAACTGAAATTTCACAGAAAACGAAATTACATCAAGTTCTAAACATTTTGGCGTGATTTTCCGATTTTGTTATAAAGTGCACAGCATAGTGAACCCTTTGAAAATGTCCTCCAAAAATAAGAAAACAATTTTCTGACAAACTTCTAGTTGGGCATGTAAAGTAGAGATAATAATGGTTTATCAGAATTTATCAACTTTACAGAAATTCTTCAATGTTAATTTGGAGTTTTCCGAGATTTGTTCAAGTGCGCCAGGTTGGGGAACACTCAGCCGATTTTGTGCTTATTTTCTGGACGCCACCATTTTTTAATTCAGATTGAATTTCATGTCACCGAATTTGTTCACAGAGGTTAAATAGCAAGCATTAATAAGATACAAGTACCAGTATTTTACTAAATGATTTTGAAGTTTGTCAACAAAGAAGTTTGGCAGCGCTGCATGAGGAAAGTCGAGGTAAACGTCGAAGTGCACAACGTTACATAACATCGTATTCTCTTGACGGGAATGAAGTATCACTTCGAGATATATGGAGTTGAGTTCTCGAATTTGACTTATCGCAATTTCACTGTAGCTCTTAGCCTGGCCCTTACCTGCTGACGCTAGTATCGTGCAGTGCAGTGCATGCTTCAGGGCCTGCATTCTCTCCTCCTCGGCTATGATGGTCTTGAAGGAAAGCTCATTGTATCGCTGAGCTGCCTCAATGAACTTCCGCCGGTAGTCCAACACTCTGGCATAGCAAACCTTTGATCAGGGATTAAGAACAATTCACATCTTTTGATTGAACCCCTGCTCGGCAATTTCGTAAAACTTTCCATTTCGTTTGTTCATTTGCGTCCACCCTCAGAAGCTACCTCAGTTGTCTCAAGTCAGTTGACGGAGTCGTGGTCGAAGTTGATGAGGCCTTCGTAGCCATGGGGGGAACGCAAGATTTGCATAGAAATTTATACAAAAAGCATTTTAATACATCTGTTCATCTCCTAATTGAGTTGCCAAGGTTTTATCACTTACTTCTTTCTCCTAGATGTGATAGGGTATCAGTACCTATGAAATCATTTATCATTTTGAAGCTGAAGACCTCAGGAATTTGAAAATGTCAAAACCTAAAACACAATATTTCTCAACTTTGTCCGCGTTTTGTGGAGTAGCACCCAATTTAACAAAGCGCTGCGATGCATCGCAACCTGAGTTACGACGTGTAACATGGCGCAACTCGGGACGCGTCGTATGATCCATTTCACGAAACTTGCGACGTGTTGAACGCGTCGTAAGTTCCTTGACAACGGCTTAAAACACGTTGCAAGTTACGATGTATCTAGTGGTCATCGCAAAATAAGAAGCGTTCTTTTCTTAGCCACTTTTATACCATAAAAATACATAAACCTATATCTCCGAGACAATGTGTGTTAGGTTGTAAATAGAAAATGCATTGAATAATTATGATTAAGCGTGGAATATTGCAGTTGAAATTTCAAAGAAGCTATACAGTTCACTGAGAGCTGTTTTCCTACAGGGTTTTGCATCACACGTCCACTATTTTGTTTTACGTTTTAAAGCTTTTCGAGAGGAGATCCGACGACTCTTTGTTGAATATCAGACGACTATTTACTGTACGCTGAATAAATACATAAAATAGTCACCAAGTTGTGCTATAAATACTCCTACGACGCAGCGCTCACGACGTGTTTTGTGAAATGGATTGCAGGAAGCGTCGCAGCTGCGACGCATGCATCGTAGGGATACGACGCGTCGCAGCGCGGTGATGCATCGCAAGTTACGATGAGTTTCACGAAATCGGGTGCTGGTTTCATAATGACTCAATAGTCTCACCTTGTAATGTATGTGTAGCTGTTCATTGGTGGACTCAGCTTGAAGCAGCGATGCTCGCTTGATGTAAGCCTCAGCATTGACAGGGTCGTCGTCTTCAAGATACAGACGAGCAATCTTCAGGTACGTCTCTAATTTATAGTCAACCGAGTACTGCCTGAGACAGAAGTGAGAAAAGACTATAACTATAATCCTCTCTGAGTGATCCCCGTTTGCTTTTTTTCCGGGTTTGCAACCTTGCTAGTGTTGTTAGTATCGTGACTTTGGGCGTGATCCCTGGCTGCATGGCATGTATGGGTTAATGGCTTCTGACTATGCCCCTTGAACATAGGGCTGGATAGCTTAGTTGGTAGATCACCGGTACAGCAATCCGGAGGTCGCAGGTTCAAACCCTGCTCCAGTCAATTTCTTTTTAAACTGTAACAATTATTTTATCTGAAAATGTTAACCCTTCAGCTTTTTTGACAAAGTTCTTTCAAAGCCAATCAAAATTCCACAAAAATTGTGTGGAGTGCCGTGGTTTCATAGTCTAGAGCATCAAATTCAAGATCTGCGGGTAATTCAGAGTCCAGCCTGGAGTTGTGGCGCGTGTGTCGTTGGCCAAGACACTTTGTCACTCATTGCTTCTCACCACCCAGGAGTAAATGAGTACCTGTGAGGGCAGCGATGGTTAATGTGATTGATTGTATCTGCTTTGTGCTGAAATGGCAGCATCGAGCTGTACACTCCCCAGGGAGCTGAGATTGCCTTTTGAATGTTTCATGGGCCCAATGAGCAGGGTAATAATGATGTAGCCTAAGCAACAGCCTTATCTAGTGATATCTACAACCGATTTCTACTCACTTTTGTCCAGATTCCAGTGGTATACCAACGAGTATATTGGCCGCATCCCTCCAGCTCTGCTCCCTCTCAAAGATGCCGGCCAGATGCTGTCTGACAGTGGCTACCTGTACATGAGCGGTTAAAGTCACGCAACTATTTCAGGTGTGTTTTTTCTTCTTTGTCTTTTGCTTGTTTGTTTGTTTTAATTTAATTGTGTGTTTTTGATTTTAGGGCTCATGTTTTATTGATCTGAATATCACATCAAATCTTTATGGACACTGTGTAATTTTTTTTTTTTAATTGCATGTATAGGAGAGCATATCATGTCCATAATCAAGTGGTGACTGTCATGTATTTCTGTGTATGTTCGTTTTTGTTTGTTGCTTTTTATATATTGTATGTTTTATTTAATTTCAAGAGTTTAGGTCTCTCATGTTTTACTGTTTGAATATATATTTTTATGGATACTATATGTAACTTTTTACTGATTGCACATAGGATTAGGAGATCATATCTCATGTAATTTTTTACTTGACTAATAAAACAAATCTTGAATCTTGAGTCTTGTACCAAGGAATTTCTCAAAGTTTAAAGGCACACAGGAATGTTGGTAACTACCCAAAAACATATCAACCAAATTACTGAGAAAACTTTGCTCAAAGTTAAGAAAAGGTTGGTAACAAATACCCTAGAAATCATGCTTTAGAAATCTCGGCTAAAAATCATGCTTGATGAACATTTGACTACATGTACGACTCAATATGTCACTTTAGTATGTCAATCAGCCTTATTTCAACTAATAAAAGGATCAGCCAGATAGTCGTAACCAGTATTTTTCGCAACACTTTTCTGTTCGACTTTCTCTCTCACCTGTTCCTCAAAGGAAACCACCCTCGGCTGCACCTTCTCGATCATGAAATGCGAGACTTTCTTGGAGAGGACATCGGACAGAGTCCCGAGCTGGTTGGAGACTTCCGTCAGGAGCTGTCTGGAGATGACCAGGCTAACGCTCTCATATACCACTGGAAAAGAAATGGTCAGGCCATTTCAACATTCACATCAAACTTTGATCCCATCCAGGAGTGAATTGGGTACCTGTGACGGCAGACATCGTAACTGTGTTTGAATTAGCTGTTAGTGCCTGAAACAAAAGGCGACATTAAGCTGTATACTCCCCAGGGAGATGCCATGGTAAAAGGAATGTTTTATTGGCCCAATGAGTATCGGTAGGTGTAAGGGCAGACAGGGGCCTGATACACTAACCCTCCTCAATCCTCCAAAATCCTGCTGCCGGTTTTGGATGATTTTAGAGGATTGAGGATGAATGGCAAAGATGTATCACTTTTTTGTGGAGGATGCATTACGCCAAGCCAGTAGGCCATATCCAGCATTGGTTACGTTCAGCCATGCATAAATCAGCCCTGCGTTTTTCTCGTATTTCATCCGCACTGCTTCTAAGCTCCATTCGAACTGCCTCAAACCATAGCAGTAATTGACAGAGGATTTTGGAGGATTGAGGCAGTGGTCACCGTCCACAGACTACATTCAAGAAATAACGGATGATTTTGGAGGATTGAGGCTGAATCCATTTTTTTTCTCGGTGGCAACTGGAGGATTTTGCAGGATTGAGGTTGCATCCTAGCCAGAGGGCCTAGGGGGTTGGGGTTAAGTGCTCAGAAACATGCAAAGCGAAATCAGGCCAACTCTACTCACCCTTTAGCCAGCAAAATTCTCCAAAAACTTTCATTGGGCAAAGAAAAGGTCCTCAGTGTTTCACCAACCAACTTTGCAGACTCATTTCAATTTTTAAAGGAGACTTTTATTCAATATTTTGCACATGAGAGGGAAGTCGAGTGATTTTCAAAATGAGGCTAAAGACTAGACTGGTAGTACATGTCCAACCATGGTCCAACTATTTGAGAAGACTGACCTCTTCGTTCATTGTCATTAGTCTGGTGGCTGACTACGGAGAAATGTGTAGTAAATAGAGACTAGTTTATGACATGCCACATGTTTCTTTTGGCACAGCTGATTGATTCAGTACTGAAGCAGTGTTGGACTGCTTGTTTCAGGTGCCAGTCTATTTTCTTGTACTGCATGTTTTCAATACCTCAGGTTTTGGGACTCTCTTACACAGTATTGAGAGTCCCAAATTTTCGGACTGGGGTAGGGGTAAAAGACGGTATATTCGACTGGAGGGAGAATTCAACCACTTGTTACCAAGCACAAACCTGGAGTCCAACTTGGGTCAATTCTACGCTACAAAGCAAGTACATGGTCATGTTATACGTGACTATGGTCAAGATCCCCACTCTCTCATTTACACTAGGCATTGCTGGTTTCCTTATATGGTCGCATTCCCCCCTTTTACCATTAATAATAATTTTTTTCTCACAGACTTTCTACTTACAAGCTTCAATTAATGCCTGCAGTCCTTCAACAAGAGCAGTGTCTTTCAGCTTCATAATATCTGTCAGAATTTTCCGATACCTTGCGATAAAAATTAAATGAAAACAAAATTAATTCAAATTGCCTTTTCCCATAATAAATAAGCAACCACCTGGTCATACCCAGAGACAGTTGAGTACCTGGCCCCAATTTATTATTCTAGCATTTAGCTCTCATAACAGCCTAAATTTCAGATTCAGCAAACACAACTTGGCAGGAACTTTAGCATGCATTGATGTGTGGCTCACAATAGTGAGGACGTCCAGTATTTCAGGCGCATTGTATGGGGCTGCTATAGTCTGTGTTATTGACCCTTGCAAAGCATGGGATTATATGTGAGCCAATTTTCTGATTAGGCCCAACAAAAAATAGTTCTGCTTCCGGTTTCCCTACCTAGTTCTACTACCTACCCTATTCTGACAGCCCCTATCCTATTTTTGTTTATTGGAAAAATGAGAAAAAAACACCCAAACCCATCAAATTCCACCTTTTACCATTGACTACACATAAGCAGACACCTCCATGATCGTACACACAAAAAATTGGCCAAAAAAAAGAATTCCCTACCAGAACTATTTTTTTGGCTTAATTATGCAAAAAAGACTGCGTCTTGACCTTGACATTCTGACAATTCAGCGGGCACTTTCTATGTCGGGTCTTGTGACGACATGGATATCTACAAATAAAACCTAGACATAACATCCATTATTATATCTGAAATTACATCAAAAGCTTAATGATGTATCGTCAGACCCCCTATGACGAGGATATGTTTTGACGCACTCGCATTCAATTTGCGTTGGACAACGCACGCACGTTGCAAGTGTTACCTGCGTCAATTATGGTGACTCGAGGATAAGTTTTACGGTAGTCCTTACCTTTCATGCCTTTAGGACCCCTTTCCTATATAAGGTTAAAAGACTCACCAAAACAGCTGACTAAGTAACAATCAAAAGTGACATTCTGATATTTCTTGGCACATTTGAACATTTGGCAATGACACCTTCTTGAATATCAGCAGGTTTTATTTTGTAGAAAGAGGGCAGGGCATTGATTTATGAGGGGCTAATGACGACGATGACAAACAGAAAATATATTAAAAAAGCAAGATGGCGAACTGCCAAAAAAGGGTAGGAAAGTCATATTTTCTTTGAAAGTGCTTTCAAAATTACAACTAACAATGTAACATGAGTTTATCTGAAGAAAACAGACTGCTTTAGCCTGCAAAAGTCACTTTGGTACGGGACAGTCATCTGCAAAAGTCAGTTTTGAACAGAACTCGTAAAAAATAGAGGTGTCCTAAAAGTAAGGATTATCAGTTTTACAAAAAGTTGTAACATTTTAAAAACTGAATTCTGAGTATAATAAAATTAGTAATCATACCTAGCCGCTACCTATGCTATATGCATTAATATGGTAAATAATTAATTTTGGAAAAATACTTAATAAACAAAAACTAACTTAAGTTTGACTGGCTCCCTGACACCCCCCCCCCCCGCCCCCCTCCCCCAAGCCGGGCACATGCCATGGATTTGTGCATAACTGCATTGCGCAAAAAAAACGCACCAAATCATACTAGAAAGAAATCGTCCAGTGTATCTTGCACAATTGTCCTTTTGGTAAAAATGTGCTAATACAAATGACAAATAGTAAAAATCTGTATATTAAAATTTCCAACAGAAAGTTACTTCTCCGTGAGGTCTTTTGGTGCACTTCCCGTGTTGACAAGAGCGGAAAGTTGCCTTTTGATGGACGCCGCCATTTTGGTTTACGTTTTATTTTGCATCCGCGAACTTTGAAGAAGTTAATTACCGAAAAACGAATTATTGCCAAATATTCATATTCCGCAAAAACTGAAATTGCCATGTATCTTCTTCTTTATTTTTTTTCCTTATTAGTTGGAAACATGTTAATATTGGTTAATTTTGTTATTTTTGTTAATTTAATTTACAAGATTCTGGAAAGAGGTTGACCCTTGACATTGATTTCTGTAATGAGTGATTATTATGGGATGCCAAATTTACGTGTAATGGTCGGGCGCGTGATTTTGAACAAATAACGTGATGGCAAACATCAGTTTCGGTGAGAATTTCTTTATATTCAGTGTTTATTTTAACGATCAGAGAAAGGATCTGTATTCTTGATGTTGTGACTATGTTATTTACGGAAAATCGTGTGAATTGGTTGATATTGAGTTGAATATTTCGACCTCGATTTTCCCCGCATCCGGCGCCGCACTGCGCATGCTGTCACGCTGGGGCCTCGGTTCGAAATGCGTGGCTAGCTAAACTAAAGGAAAAGGGCTGCCCAGTTTACGGACAGGGAAGGATTGCTTTAACTCCGCTTTGAATTTGTGTACAGAATCATTCTTTTGTGTTATAATAAATTCTCAAATGAAGATATGGTAGGCCCTATTGGTAAACTGTTTTACGTTAATTAGGTTCCTATTTTTGCCACTTTTTCTTAAGATAGTGCCAGCGGCAATCCCTATAAGGTTTATCGCAAATACAAACCGCAAAGGATCATGGGGCTGCAATCGGAGCAACAGCGCCATCACACGGCGGTGGGAAAACGTACACACGGCATGCACGGTGCGGTGTGTGGATATTTCTTGGCTGTCCATTTTTCAGACGTTTTGTGTTCGATGGACATGATGGGAGGTGATTATTGTGCTGTTCTGGGTTGCAATAATGACTGTTGTTATCCACAACAAAGGTATGATCTTTGTTATACATAAATTAAAGTTGTTTGGTGTACAGGAAAAAAAATGTTCTCACGACAAATAGTAGTATAGCGTGCAGTTCTGACCCGATGCGATAGCGATGTGCCGACGACCGGCACGCGACCGGGGAAACACGGGACACTCTGCACTGTAATGACTGTGTCGGCAAATGCATTTAGAGTTTCTGTGCCCCTCAAAAGCTCCCTTTTATGACTCTTTTCTTATCGGAAAAATATGTGGCTTTTATAATGGTTTAATTGTTACTTCTGTCAGCGAACGATGTGTGACTTTTACAGACAATTTCATGATTTTTTATTTATAATATTCTGTTCACGAAAATGTAAAAAAAAAGCAGTACTGTAGTAGGCCTAGCTAGCTAGCCTACTCCATTTTTTTACTCATAAAAATAATTGTGAAGTCTTATGTGGTTTATTTTTTCTCCGTCATCAAACAATAAATATCTCTATCTTACGTTTCCCCTTCTCTTGATAGATGTCATGAAAGAGCATGTAAACACACTCGGATTCCACTCATACAGGGATAAGAAACACTTCCCTCTCTGGACCCAACTGACCCAACGGCAGGATTTCAAAGTAAAATCATCAACTACAGTCTGAAGCAACCACTTCAAATACGGCCAGCCATATCCTGATGAACTTCACCCATCTTTATTTTTGAGAGGATACGACCTTCCTGAGACACTGAAAAGAGCACCGGTGAAGAGGCGAGCATTGGATCTCACTACACCACTGCCGGCCATCTGAGAAAATCAAAACTGTGCTGTACCTTTTCTTAAGTTTTTATTTATTTTGTTCATTCTTACTCAAGGTTTGTATGCAAAATAAACCAAATTATAAATGGCATGAACCTACATGTACATGAACGGTCTTCACTTATGATAATGATAATAGAAATTATATCAATTGTAAAAGGTTTTGCAGGTTCATAAAAATAAGAGACATGTTTAATTAAAAATAATGTAAATAAAATTTGGAACAAAGTTGCACACAATAAGGATGTAGAAAATGCAAATTGAAATGATCAAGTCATGTTTTATAAAAGTACATGAACATTGTTTACAAATGCAATTATGACCTGCGTCTCTTGACGAGAGTTGAATTTATTGTTAAAAAATAACCTGGAAAATTGAAAATAAAACTGGCAAATGCAAGCCTACTCGAGTGTCAAAACAACAGTTGGAATAAATAGGTGAAAGTAATTGGCAAATATGAGCTGTGTTTCTTAATTAAAAGCTGGCAATATTTGAGCAGATTCTCGTAAAAAGAGTTGGATAAAGTTTTAAAACTTGGCAAATATGACCTGTGTTTCTTAAATAACCGGTAGCCCCAATATTGGCACAAATTTACTCGGACGAATACAAGAAAACCTGTTTAACATAAAAAAAAAACAATTTATAAAATACACAACAGTTATTTACATACATGTACACATGTAACTAGGTAGGCATGTTGGCTTAGAAATTTTGGCGATCGTGTATCTACGGGCCCGTGACCTGTAAGGGAACAAAATCCACTTTTAAATTATTTGACCTACCAAACAAGTTTGCGATATTAAGAACATACAGGTATAGGTATGTCATAGATAAAGGGCAGGGTTTTTAATGTTTTAGGGAATTTTTTTTCTGGGGGGAGGGAAAATGAAGATGATAACGACAAAAGGCAACACGAAAATAAAGATGGCGATCACTGCGGGATGTACCGTGAATGGCAAGGCGCGCTGAATCGCACTGCACCACTGTAAACCGCGCAGGAAAATCATCATTTCAACTCCGAGAAACTGATCAAAAATTACACAAAAAGGTCATTATATTGAGAGAAGTCTGCTCTAGGTTGACAAGGTCATTTTGAGTAGTAAAAAACACTCTTGACTCTAATTTTATCGAAACCAAACGGGCCCTACACTACACGATCGCTGAAAGTTTTTGTGCGTGATCGCAGCCATCATTTTGTGTTGGTTGCGCGATGCGCGCTTCAACATCCGGGACTGCAAAATAGTTATGCTCCGTTTTGCATCCCATGATGCTTTGCAACAGGGCGCCCTCTGTTGGTAGCAAGCTATTTGCGATAAACCTTATCAACAGAGGGCGCTGTACTCTCTAAGATAGGGCTGAATTATAAGAATTTTAAGATATATTAAATTACCACCAACGGTTGTGTAGCACCTGTGGCCTAGTGGATAAGCAACGGATCTCATGAGCGGGAAGCTGTGGGTTCGATCCTCGCTGGCGAAATTTTCGATTTTGTTTTTTTCCCCCATCCCCCAAAAATAAGAACATTCTTCTTTTACTATTTTAACATGTCTCAAACATTTTATTGCAGAGTATTACATTTTCTTTTTCAGATCTGTGGCTCTGGAGGATTTTTGTTTTTTAAAGGGAAATAAAGTCCAAAATTGTAAAATGGCCTGATTCCCATCTTGTGAATACGAAGTTACAACGATAATGTTGGCATGGAGCCAGACTAAGATTTGTCACCGGAAAATGTCTATTAAAAAAAAACCCAGTAACTGCGCATGTTCAGTGCATATCCTGCAAGCTACGTTTACTAAAGCCAAGGTTGCCGTCTCCGGCTAAATATCCACTGCCTTTTTTTTAATGTTTCGCTTTTGCTAGTGTGGCCGTTTGTTTTTACGGACACATGACGGAAGTCAACCAAAACATTGCATGACTTTGTTATGCGTCAGTTATCAACTGAATCGGACTTTAGAAAAAAGAACTGGGCCACCAACTTAGACCTCCTGCACAAAGTCTATGCGCCATGGCAGAAAAAGTTAAACTTTAAGTATTTAAAAGAATGTTTGCACTCCTTAAAGGGAATATACAACATTTGCAAAAATCGAAAGCAAAAGTACCAAATTTTTACGAAATTTCTCATTGGATGTTGGTAAATGACAGTCAAAAGCATCCTGTAAAATTATGGCACCTACATTTAGTGTGAAGTCATTTTCAAGCAAAGTGGCATTTTTGTATAATTTCCAACAGTGGTCGGCCGACCACCTTTGGAAAAACCTAACTTTTTTTCAACTATTGCTCCAAATTTACCAATTTTTTTCAGTCCACATTTTGTTTTCTATTGGTTACTTGTTTATGAACGGGTGCAGGCCAGCTGGACTGGTTCCCGTACCTTACAATTTTCCAGCATCTATAATTTGATCCATTTCATCTTTAGTGGAGTCAGGGAACTAGACTACTTGAACAGTTTTGTTTTTCTTGGGTTTTTTTTCAGCATTTTCGAACACAAAACTTCAAACATGTCAGTGTAACAATGTTTGATCTGTTATGCTAACCCCTCAAATAGTTCATTTCTGAAAATTATAGCAAAAGCCAATGATGTACATTCCCTTTAATAAATAGGCCGGCCTAGTGTTTCTTCATCAGATTTACCACTTTTGGTACTTTTCAGGTCGGAGGTCATATTAAGGAATATGAGTGGTGGCCCAGTATGGAATTCTTTCCAAAGAAGTGTTTAAATATAAACTTGGCCTGCCTAGCTGTGAATCGGGTCCTTCTTTTATGGTTAAGGCGGCAGATCATATTATAGCGCCCTCATGCATGCGCATGTATGACTATGAGGGCGCTAAAAAAAGGGCGTTGAAAAACCTGGGAAAGAATGTATCAAGACCGCTCTTCTTTGGCTATGTAGGCCTACAAAGTCTATGGAGAGTCAAGTGCATTTTCAAATTATTTTCTAAGAAAATTGGAAATGTTTTTCATTTCCAGATTCATGTCTTTTCAACGTTTCTGTAATGACTGACCTTCGTTGAGATAATATATGATGAAAAAGAGGGGTTTCAGGATGCAACATTCATTCCAAAACCTGTTACTGCTTCTGGAAAAAAGTTGCAAAAAATTGCCAATGCATTAATATTTTGACTTCACTGTTTGTCACTGGCCATAGTGAATCACGTCCTCGAATTTGTACATTTGTCACTTGCCGAAATGCCTATATTTCATTTTTTTTTTTTTTTTTTTTTGTCCGTAGGCATTTTGTGATCATTTTGAACAGTGCCACTGTACTTCATAACTCTTGCACCGTACTGGTAGTTGCAACAGCAAGTTTAAGCCATGTCATCCCCAGGCTCCCAAACCAGAAGCAGCACGGCCAAAGCCCGGCTTGAAGCCGCCAAAAGCGGCAAGACCGACCCGGTCGCAGTCATCCAAGCCGAGCTGGACAACCTCATGGCCAAGTCCAGCAGTGAGTCCTCCAGCACCACGTCCCCCTCCAAAGCCACTAAATCCGGCGCCAGCACCACCGTAATCACTGCGACCAGCGAGAGCACGGTACCTAGCACGACGACACCAACAGAAGTCAGGGTCTCCTCGGCAGGAAACCCAACACAAGTCATCACGCTGCCTCCCGGGTCCCCGGTAGGCAAGACAATACAGAGTATCGTCAAGCGCAGCATGCCGTCCACGACTACCAGTCAAGTCGTGACGAAGGTCATAATTACGCGGAATCCTGTCACGAAACAGCCCGTGTCCACTACAGCAGGGCTGACCACTGCGACGGTGACCATGATGTCCCCGGGAACGGCCAAAACGTCCGGAGCGCGGCAGCTGATCCAGCCGGGGTCCCCGATCAAATTCATCCCGATCACCCAGCCCGTGACGCAACAGGGTGTGGTCATTCCAAAAGGGGTGGTGATCACCACCACGTCACCCGCAAAACAGAACGCGGCGAAAGTCGCGATCCCGGCTTTGAAGAGCCCGACGAAGGTTAGCGGGAGTACGACGCCGAAGAAAATTGCCCCGGCTCCCCAAACCATCATCGTCAAATCGTCTGCGGGACCGACACCACAACAGGTCTCTCTGACGTCCGTCTCAGGAGTCAAAACTGTGGCAATGGTTGCTAACCCTGTAAGTATAACGAGTCCTGGAGCATCTGGGATCACAATGGACCCTTCCTACATGTACATGTGCGTGTCAATCAAACTGTACACATTGACCAGTGAGACCGTGACTTTTGGACCACCGTAGGGCAATAAAACTCTTTCAAAAGTTGCATTCAAAGCGCGCCGGTTAAAATTGGCGTGCAGCGATTTGATATTGTGAACCGCTGGAGTGCTTTACAGTAGGTATTTTATTAGTGTCACTTGAGGGTTTTAACGTTCTAAAAGGATGGGAACAATGAACCACCTTCGACGAAAAAAGAGGCGTCTGACAATAAAGTGCCGTAACTTTAGGATTAAAATAACATCGCAGTCGTGTGTGCATGTTCGTAGTTTTTTTTTTTTTTGGTTTTGTTTTTTTCTTTTCGAATTTTCAAACCGGAAAAGCTATTCCAATATTTGGTGGATGATCGAATATTCGGTACAACCCTATCAGTAATGTCGCTTAACCCCAACTCCCTAGGCCATTTTTGCCAGGAACCATCCTGAATCCTGCAAAATCTATTACAAAATTTTGCATGTTCAAATAAAGGATACCCAGTGCCTCAACCCTTCAAAATCGTCAGACAGTCCTGCCTCTCAAAATGCATTCATCCTCAGTCCTCCAAAATCTTCCTCCTTTTTAAACACCATTCATCCTCAATCCTATAAAATCCTCATGTTTCTCAAACACCATTCATCCTCAATCCTCCAAAATGCTCCAAAACCACCAGGAGGATTTTGGAGGATTGGGGTTAATTGAGGTCGCCGAAGAATTCTGTAAAATGTGTACATCTTTCTTTTTCCAACCCAAGTCAACAAACCCACCTCAGCAGCCCAAGACAATCCAGATCAAGCCAGCGGTACAGGCTCAGCCAAAGGTCAGCACGTCCAGCATTGTAACCACAAGCACAGCAGTTGTGACCCCGGCTGCAACAGCAGCCGCCACAGTGACCACAGCAAGTGCAGCGGCAACCACCGTGCAGTCCGTGCAAGTCCCGGGATCCAAGTTCTCTTACGTGAGGCTTGTGACAGTGACGGCGTCAAGTGCGTCCAACACTCAGGGTAAGTAGTTTCACGAGTTTAGGAAGTTGTCTTAACCCTAACCCCCTAGGCCCTCTGGCTAGGATGCAACCTCAATCCTGCAAAATCCTCCAGTTGCCACCAAGAAAAAAATGGATTCAGCCTCAATCCTCCAAAATCATCCGTTATTTCTTGAATTTAGTCTGTTGAGGATGACCACTACGCCAATCCTCCAAAATCCTCTGCCAGTTACTGCTATGGTTTGAGGCAGTGCGAATGGCGCTTAGAAGCAGTGCGGATGAAATACGAGACAAACACAGGGCTGATTTATGCATGGCTGGACATAACCAATGCAGGATATGGCCTACTGGCTTGACGTAACGCATCCTCCACAAAAAAAAGCGATACATCTTTGCCAATCCTCAATCCTTTAAAATCATCCAAAACCGGCAGGAGGATTTTGGAGGATTGAGGAGGGTTAGGGTTAAATGTCATGGAAATTGTCATATTTCAGGAACCCTGTACTTAGCTCTTGCAAATTTCTCAGTGATAATTTGTTGAGAAAAACAATTGTGGTTGTGCAAGCTGCTCAGGGACACAAGCATTACAATCTCCATGTTTGAGGACACAGTATATGTGACCTGTTCTGTCAAAAGCAGACGCTTCTGGGCAGAGGTTGAAATTGAGATAGGGCCAAAAAACGCTGTGGGGGTGATTTTTTTCCATTTCCTAATGTTTGCATATTTGTAATCCTGAGCATGTCTAAAATATACTATAAAAGTTTGAAACCCTAATTTGATCTCTAATTATAGTATTTTTGATGATTTGTTAAGGTATATCGGTTAAAGAAATTACTGGTTTGTGACGTTCGTGGCCAATTTCTCTGTTTTCTGCTTTTCGACACAATGAACTTCAAAATAGCATAACTCTGCCCAGGAATGACCGGTTTCAAAAATTAAACCACCTATTAAAAGGAAACGGAACATATTTTAACAATATGCAAAAATCTCATTTTTGACTTTATGCCCAGAAAAGTCTGGTTTTGACAGAACAGGTCACATATGTCCTGATTTTGTGAAATCACATAAAGTAAAAATAAAAAACCTGACGCGGTTAAAAACTTGATCTATTTGTAATTTTGAAGCTAAGCCAGTGGTCACGACAGCTAAACCTATCGCCCCAGCCACGACCAGCTCAGTCCACAGCGTCGTGCGGACGATACCCACACCAAACCCTGTCAAGGTCAATGTACCCATCGCGCCAGCACAGGTAAAGTTTGGGAGATTTTTATTGAAGATGTATTTCCTCACTAGCTTTACCCTGCCCGACACAAAGTGAACCATGTTTAAACGTCTGTGGAACTTTTCTGCATAGGGCCGTCAACACCAGTGCATAACCGGGCAATTCTGAAACAATGACACCTAGTCCCATTGAACAGTGCCACAGTTTTTTACTACATACCCAGGCATGCAACTTTTCCTCGGATCAGCTGATTTCCTCTTTTTTTACTTCGCATGTGTGCCATTAAAAATAGAAAAACACTGTACAAAGTCTTAGAAAGAGTTGAATTTCCTCTTTTTTGGTGACTTCCCGGTTGCATGCCTGCATACCACAGACTCTTAGGCTGTTTTGCCCTGGAAATTTTAAGTTGATGGGTCTTGTTACATTAGGTAGGGTTATTATTTTGTCAAGTGTTGCATGTTGCTGCGTGTAGAAGGTTTTTTAGCCAAAATACCCTGAAGGGTTAGGGTTAGGGTCAAGCAAGTTCGCAGTAAAATGCCATAGTTAAGTGTTCCGTTGCTGCATCCAAAGTCAGTCAGGTGACTGTTTTTAATGGTTACGAGTTCCTTTTGTTAATTTGATATAGCCATGCGTTGACTGGAGGTGATTGATATGCCAGCTGTACCTACATGTACCTACATGTCTGTTGACGGAATTTGACTAGTCACAGTGTTAACACGTATGTGATGTGACTGTTGTTTTCTAGTCTGTAAACAAATGCACAGCAGAGGAAGTGGAAGAAAGTTTGAACTGTCTGTGACTGACCAAACAATAGGTCTCTCTCAAAGACAGCCATATCTGTAGGAGAACTGCAACTGCGTATTTTACGCAATCAAGCTCGCATTGCACTGTGTTGAAAATGTTCCAAACGCACGCTTGGTGCTTTGAAATTTGTTCGAAATACGACGCAGCCGATGCACGATATGCAAGTTGACGTTCAAAAGCCGATGCACGTGGCAGGTCTGTAGGAAATGACGTCATTTGAACGAGACCGATAAGGTGGTCTCACTGTTACAGTTTCAAAATGTAGATAATATGATTGGCAGAAAGACGTTTTTTTTGTAAACAAAACAGTTGCGCTATCCACAGTGATGAAACTTTTCCAAGTTTAATCGGAAATCCGACTTTCTCAAACTCTGATTTTTCTGACGATCTTTTCCCCGCTAAGTCGTAAATGAGTTTGATGAAAACGGCACTGCGACATCTGTATTGCAAGCGCAATTTTAATCTGTTCTACCAGTCGTCAGTGCACAGATTGTATGATAGACGCACATACGTAAAGCCTGGGTTGGAGTATTTCATGCCACGGAGGGAAATGAGTTTAAGCATTACCCTTTGACATCGATTGAAACTACGTACAACTAGCTAGACCTTCGAGCCTGAATGTCGCACGTGGGTATCATCTACCATGCCAACAATCTGACAGTAAAATCCACATGTTGCACGATTTTCGGACGTTTCAGATTTAGTTGTACAAAATGCAGTGCTTTAAAAATTGTGATGATGATCTTGAGGGAGGCGAGGATTTTCAGACACAGATTTTTGTTTGGCCTATTTTCCGAATTTCCCCCATAGGCCAGTTTTATCTCTGTATCCAGCCTCCACAAGAATCAACAATATTTACTTGTTTTTGGTGTTTTCTAATTACAGTTAAAAGTGTCTTATTTTTGTAGCATGTATCTTTTCCTTCTTCGTTCTTGGTCCCTGCTTTGACGGTTTTAAAAATTGGTTCTTGCAGAAAATCCAGGCGAATAGGAGTAGCACCGTGCAGCCCGTTTCAGTGGCCGGTACTTCCCAGAACCGCATGATCATGCCGGCCAACACCCAGCTCAAGATCATCAATCCTCTCACGGGCGAGACCAAGTTCGCCTCGTTTCCGCCCGGTACTACGCTCCTGGCGCCCAGCGGTAACATCCTGCAGAACTTTGCCATGGTGCCCATGGTGCCACAGGTTGGTTACCAGTTTACTATAAATGGGTATAAAATACACACATATTGACTGGCATTGAGGTCACTAGTGTACTAGTGCCTGACCAAGTTTGCATCCTTCCTGCCCGGTACTATGCTCCTGGTGCCCAGAAGAAACATCATGCAGAACTTTGCTACAGTATTCATGGTGCCTCAGGTTTGTTACTGATGTAACATACATGGGTATTCAATATACACATATTGACTGGCATTGAGGTCACTATTGCACTATTGTGCCTGACCAAGTTTGTGTCCTTCCTGCCCGGTACTATGTTCCTGGTGCCCAGCGGTAACTTCGTGTAAACATTCGCCATGGTGCCAGATTTGCCATTGTTACAGATGTAATTTGCCCATAATTTAGGTGGGGATGAAAAATGCACATATTGACTGGCAATGAGGTCAATAGAGCATGTCTTTGCACCTGAGGGACTGTTAGAGACAGTAAGAAGGTCCTACTTCATGAGGCCCAAAACTGTGGTAATTGGGTCCCTCTTGGGATCAAGCCACACCCCCAAGACCACAGTCCCCTCCCATAACATGAATATTCATCGGTGTCTTGTTTCACACGTGATACCCCAAGTCAAACCTGCCTCAATGCCTAACTACATCTCACTGGTACCATCTGGGGGATCCCTCAAGTCTCACCCCTATGACTACAGTCCCCTCCCATAACATGAATATTCATTATTGTATTGTATTCTTCACAGGTGATGTCCTAGGCCAAACCTGCCTCAACGCCTAACTACATGTACGTCTCCTTGGCACAATCAGGAGGATCTCTCAAGTCTCACCCCCATGGCTACAGTCCCCTCCCATAACATGAATATTCATTATTGTATTGTATTTTTCACAGTTGATGTCCCAAGCCAAACCTGCCTCAATGCCTAACTACGTCTCCCTGGCATCATCTAGGGGATCCCCAAGCCACGCCCCCACAACCACAGAACCCCTCCCATAACATGAATATTCATTATTGTATTGCATTCTTCACAGGTGAGATGTCCCAAGCCAAACCTGCCTCAACGCCTAACTACGTCTCCCAGGCGTCATCTGGGGGATCCCCCAAGCCACAACCACAGTCCCCTCCCATAACATGAATATTCATTATTGTATTGTATTTTTCACAGGTGATGTCCCAAGTCAAACCTGCCTCAACGCCTAACTACGTCTCCCTGGCATCATCTGGGGGATCCCCCAAGCCACAACCACAGTCCCCTCCCATAACATGAATATTCATTATTGTATTGTATTTTTCACAGTTGATGTCCCAAGCCAAACCTGCCTCAATGCCTAACTACATCTCCTTGGCACCATCTGGGGGGGGGGGGGGGGGGTCCCCCAGGCCACACCCCCACAACCACAGTCCCCTCCCATAACAAGAATATTCATTATTGTATTGCATTCTTCTCAGGTGATGTCCCAAGCCAAACCTGCCTCAACGCCTAACTACGTCTCCTTGGCACCATCAGGGGGGGTTCCTCAAGCCGCACCCCCACGACCACGGTCTCCGCCCCCTCCAAGTCGTGTTGTCAATGGGTAAGAAAATTGCCAATAGGTCATTCCAAAAAGAGTGTGAACATTTGAGTGCTGTTTCCTTGGTTGACTGTCAAAGCAATTTGTGACAAAATTAGATCACTTCGCGGCTTATCTCAGAGACACTAAGTGTAGAATAATATGCAAAACAGAATCAAGCCACTTTTACATGCAATGAACATTTGCTTTTGCTGTAATGTTAAGAAATGGACAGATTTGAGGGTTAGTATTTTATAGCAAATATTGTTACGCAGACCTGTTTAAAGGGAATATACAACATTTGCAAACATTGACAAACAAAACTACCAAATTTTTTCGAATACCTTACTAGGATGTTGGTAAATAACAGTCTAAAGCATCATGCAAAATTATAGCACCTGGTGTGAAGTCATTTTCGAGAAAAGTGGTATTTTTGTATCAAGTTCCAATGGTGGTCGGCCGATCACCGTTGGAAAAACCTAACTATTTTTTAACTACTGCTCCAAATTTACCTTTTTTCAGTCCAAATTTTGTTTGCTATTGGTTACATGCTCATGAACGGGTGCAGGCCAGCTAGACTGGTTTCCTTACCTTGCAATTTTCCGGCATCTATAAATTGAGCCATATCATCTTTAGTGGAGTCAGGGAGCCAGACTACTTGAACATTTTTGTTTTTTCTTGGTTTTCCAGCATTGTCGAACACAAAACTACAAACATATCAGTGTAACAATATTTGATCTGTTATACTAACCCCTCAAAATAGTTCATTTCTGAAAATTACAGCAGAAGCCAATGATGTACATTCCCTTTAAAGTGTTGTGGTCATAGATGCTGGAAAAACAAAAAAAAATATGCTGTTCTTGTAGTCTGGTTCCTTGACCGTACTTCAGACGAAACAGAGCAATTTATAGACATCAGGGAATTGTCAGGTCAGGGAACCAGACTAGCTGGCTTGCACCTGTTCATGGATGTGTAACTGATTGCAAACAAAATGTGGACTAACTAAATTTGGTAATTTGGGGGCACTATTTGGAAAAGGACAGATTTTTTCCCAGCAATGGTTGGCTTACCATCGTTTGAAATTGATATTAAATTCCACTTTTGTTGAAAGTGACAGCACACCAGGTGCCGTGATTTCACAGGATGCTTTAAGATCGTCATTCACTGACAGTCCAGTAAGGTATTTCATAATAATTTGGTAGTTTTGTTTTTGATGTATTACCTTTTAACTGAATGAAACTTTACCAACAACCTTATCTCATTGTCTTTCTAGGAGGCGCTCCGCTCCAGTGGATTCTGAACATCGACCGCGCAAACCCTGCAACTGCACAAAATCACAATGTCTGAAATTGTAAGTATGCAACCACTGAAAAATTTCAGTCACTCAGAAATTTGAATCCTTTTGCAGACAGATGATTTCAGGAACTAGAAATCCATATCTTTGAGCAACACATGTTGTTGTCCATGAATTAGGACAAATAAAAGACACATTAACGAAAAATCGGCTAATTTATCAAGAAGTGTTAACATAAAACCAAATGTGATGTGGGCTTACTTAAAAATATTTTATGTCTTCAAACATCACCAGCGATAAAACCTTGGTTTAAAAGATTTAACTAAGTCCTTTTGAAGGCCTGTCTTTAAAAAAAAGTAGATTTTATAAATCATATTGTTTGCCTTAGCAGGGTTGTTAAAATAAGGATATTATTGTTGTTCCAAGCAGTCAAAACACACAATAAATTGCATTTTTTGGACGAAACAGGTTTTAGGGTCATTGCGTTTAAATGGTGATATTCTTTGAACGGATTGAGCAATTTCAGTAATTTTTTCATCTAAAACTAGTTTATGAAATTGGCTTTCCAGTCATTATTTTGGTGCTACATATTTTTTTAAATATGAAATATATTTTTGGGGTTTGGGTTCTGCTTTTTTCGACTCACCCTGTACTTGCTTCTCAACTATGAGTATTGTGAGTTTTAGTCTGAGTATTTTGATATTTGAGTATGAGCGCAAGTACACTCCCTCTAATCCTTCCTCCTTCCCCTTTGCTCCTAGGTACTGCGACTGCTTTGCCAACGGCGAGTTCTGCAACAGCTGCAACTGTAACAACTGCTACAACAACCTCGACCACGAGGACGACCGGGCCCGAGCCATCAAGGCGTGCCTTGATCGTAACCCTAACGCCTTCAAGCCCAAGATTGGCAAAGGGCGTAACGGAGAACTGGACCGTAGGCATAACAAGGGGTGTAACTGCAAGCGCTCGGGGTGTCTCAAGAACTACTGCGAGTGTTACGAGGTGAGGTAGCAATGTTGTAGTCGAATCCATTGCAAGTCCAAGAAAGTCAGTTTATGAATCCATCACTGGTCCAATCATAAGTCCAGTCACAAATCCAGTCTTTGTCATTAGTTGAGCGCTGTGGTCCAGTGGTTACGCTGTTCGACTCATGTGCCGTGGCACATAGGTTTGAACCCTGACGGGGAACATGGTGCTTGTGTTCTTAGGCAAGACACTTTACTACAATAGAGGCCAGAATGCACTGATGCCGAGCTGGTGCAAAAACTCCAAAGACCTTTGGTATAAAGTGCTATTATAAGCACCAAATTAATATTATTAAGTCAATCACAAGTCAATTTACAAGCCCAGTCACAAGTCAAGTCCATCACAAGTCCATCACAATTCCATCACAAGTCAATTTACATGTTCAGTCACAAGTCTTTTGAAAAGTCCAATCACAAGTCAATTCACAAGTTCATCGCCAGTCCAGTCAAAAGTCAGTTGATAAGTCCATCACAAGTCAAGTCAAACATCAGTTCACAAGTCCAGTCACAAGTCCACCACAAATTGGGTCACAAGATCAATTCACATGTCCGGTCACAGGGGATGAGCAATAACAAGAGAAATTTGTCAAAGTTAAAATTAGAGTAAATCATTTGTCATTTGTGCAATTATTTCGTTTGAAGCAACAAAAGTGCTCAAAATCTAAAGACCGGTGCTTAACAACTAACCTGATGGCGGTTCAGCTCAGTGAATGCTGTATATTCCGAGAAAGTAATATTCTAGATTCTCAATTTCAATTCAAAAGTTGCCGAGTCATATTTTGAATTGCGGCCAAACTCAGCATCAGGGACCGGTTCTCATTTGGCCAATTGCAGCTATGTGATGTCACGCACTGAACCGACAAATAACAGCAACAGCGTGGGTATGTGCGTCATGTCAACGCTGTCACACTCCCATTCATAGATTCGCAAAATTTCACACCAACGCAAATTTCCAAAAATGCGTCACTTGATTCATCTTTGGAAATGTCCTCCTTATATTATTTTCTTCAAAATGACAGCATGCCAGAAAGAATAGTTTCACAGGGAGTTTAGTGTCATTACTATCATTAAACCAAGTAAGCTTTTTAAAAATAATTTGGTCACTTACCTTTTGGATAGCTGCAAATGACCTACTCTACCTTGAAATAACTTGTGATTTAGGACTGGATGACTTGCGGTGGACTCAATTGCCATGTGTCTTGCAAACTCAAATATTTCTTTTTCAGTCGGACATCAACTGAAAAGTGTATGTTCGGTTTTTCACAGAGAATACATCAGCAAAACAACCATCAAGTCTGAGTCCTATGTAGACTTGGTGCCAAGTCGGTAATTGTTTTGCGTATGGTAACCGGTTACTGGCTCCACGCACGCAAAATGTCGCTGTGGTTGCAATGCGTGTAGTCCGGTTCCCAGACCAAATGATGCTGACTATTTCTGATAACATTACCAACTTGGCGAATACGTTTTCAGTTTTGTACACAACATATGGGAGTATTTTGAATCGCTAGCGAATTCTATGCGAGCACTCTGATTCAGATTCCAGAGTGTATTCTAGGCCGCCACGGAAGATCGTTCTCATTACTTCGAGGGTTTGTGTTGTGTAACATTACAAAATTCATTATAGGGCATACACGACTCAAATAAATCAAGAATATCGCAATGATACATTCTATTTCTTTACATTCTATACACGATTGACCAAGCTGAGTGTATTGGTCGTTAAAACGTCGCAAGATTTGCAAACATGTCCCTGATGTATTGAGAAGAACTCCCCATGTAACGGAATGAATGAGTTCTCATTTGCATAGCGGTGCGCGATTGGATCTCACTGCAAAAGTGTACTGCAGATGTATTGCGCTGCTTGCATATATGAATAATGGTGCGAGAATGTAATCGTCAAGTCGTTAGATTTGTCGCAACCCGGCCGATTACGTACTAGTCTTATACCAGCCGCGCCGATGGAGTTCAACTGAAGTTCATGGACAAAATACGACTATCTAATGACTTGTCATCAAGTCTGAGTTCTTTTAAGAAGAATCGCACAGGAGCTTTTTGTTTACAATGTGGCCATTTTTTTTTTGGCACAATGGCTATTTGACCTTTCAACCTTGACCTTTCCCATTCAGGCTAAGATCCTGTGCTCCAACAACTGCAAGTGTGTGGGCTGCAAGAACTTTGAGGAGAGTCCAGAGCGTAAGACCCTGATGCACCTTGCTGACGCGGCGGAGGTCCGCGTTCAGCAACAGACTGACGCCAACACCAAGCTACAGTTCCAAGACTTCCCGTCCCGGCCCGCGATAGTCAACGATTCCGGAAAAAGGTCAGATTCCCTGACTTTGGTTGATGTGGTTCAATACAGACAGGGTTTCGCTGATGAACACATCTACATATACACATGAAAATATTTGGTGCTTGCTGCGTGTTGGCAGTACCCCATATTCTTGGAACAATTCAGTTTCAAGAAACTAGGTCTAGAATATAAGATTTGAGGCTTTGTTTGGTGGAGTATCGGTATCGTTTCGGTTTGCTGTAACACGATGTGGTAATAACTACTGCTTAGAAGATATTTAGTTCTGAAAAGAACTTGTCCTGCTTATTATCAACTTTCGCTAAGTAGTTTTTGTTCTGATAAGAACAGTCCTGCTTTGAGTTTTAAAAGAACTTGTCCAGGTCTAGAATAAGTAGAAGTTTCCTCAACCCTTCTTCTGTCTGAAGAGTCCCATACAGTTAAAAATCCAATCCCATTCCTCTGCTATGCCAATACAAACAGGCTTTTCACTGAAGTAAGATCACATTTCGTGTAAGCAATGTGCCTAGCCAACTTCCATCAACAGACAAAAGCAGGCAGCTGGTTAATACAGCTGGCTTATCAATCTCCTACATTCAAGGCAAAGCGGTCTCCAGTTACGTAAACAGTCACAGCCAGTCAATTCCTGCTTCATGTAGGTATAAAAAAAGTCACTGGATTGATTTTTACAGTTGAAATTCCTCAATTTGTCAGCTAGAATTTATTATATAACTGACATACAGATCCTTGTCATTTGATTGGTGGAACTCACATCACGTGACATTCGTTTTGCTCCCATTAACGCCGGGGCGCAAATAGTCCCATTCGCCCATGGGGAATGGGAATAACTATTCAACAGTTAGGATCATTCTTGTTCCATGACGCGGTATTTGTGTGCAAATGCATGCTGGTGTGCGCGTTCAGCGTTGCGCGTAGCGCGTATTGTTCCAAAGAGCCAGCGCTACAGAGTTGGGTTCAAACGTTTTCGTGAAGGGGTGGTTTGGAAGAGAGAAGTACATTTTCCACCAATTTTTGTATTGAAATAAAAGTTCAAATATATCAAATGACAAGGATCTATATGTCAGTTATATAAAACAAATATTGAGTGGCTTTGAATTGTGAAATGGGAGGAATATTATCGCTCGGTAAAATCTGGACTTTTCCAGTTCACTCGGCCTCACCTCGTGAAATGGAAAAGTCCAGATTTTACCTTGCGATAATATTCCTCCCATTTCACTCTGAGCCACTCAATATTTGTATAATGGGCTCCGTGCGCCAACAAAGGAGGGCACCCTTTTACCTAGCAACAGCGTCCCATGGGCGGGACACATACATTTCGCTGGTTGACGCGCGCACCGCTCCTTGTGTCATGTGTGTGTGACGCACATACACCAGGGGATTTGTGCTATGTACACGCAGTGGCCGCGTCGCGTCGCGGCAAAATATTGCAGTCAGGCGTTCGGTCACCTCCAACTGTACTTTCTTTGCCGGTGAGGGGGTACTTGTGACCGGAGCGGATATCTAGCAGACACCATTTTGAGGCAATCTGTTGGCTTGCCATGGGCTCCGTGCGCAAACAAAAGAGGGCGCCCTTTTACCTTGCAACAACGTCCCATGGGCGGGACATTTAGCTGGTTGACACGCACCATTCCTTGTGTGTGACTCACGTGCACCAGGGGATTTGTACTATGTACATGAACACGCAGTGGTACGGCCGCGCGTCGCGGCAAAATTGCAGTCAGGCAAGATGGTGACGGTCGGTCACCCCATCTGTTCCTTCTTTGCTGGTGAGGGGGTACTTGTGAACGGAGCGGATAGGCAAAGAGCTAATGCTCTTTAGTCTGTGCGACAACCATATGAGTGCGGTGCCACTGTGGTAATGGCTTCTAATAAGCCAGTTGGGTATTTCAACTGCACATGCGCACAATGATATGGGACACGGGTCATTCAGGATAATCTAACAATCATCAAAGGCACATGAACGCGCAAGGAGATGGTTCAACGATGAGCATAACATCGTGTCATTGATTTTACCCCAAATGACCTTTAACCTGAACGACTTCATCAAGTGGCTTATTGTGTACATGTATGTTACATTTGTGTATTGTATGATTGCCTGAGTTGACAGTTTTAGAAGTATATAAAAAAAGAGATTTGCCTTAAAAGTAGTAAAAACGAACTCCACTGTAACAAACCCCACATGAACGCGCAAGGAGACGGTTCCACGATGAGCTTAACATCGCGTCATTGATTTTATCCCAAATGACCTTTGACCTAAACAACTTCATCAAAATACCAAGCTGGCTTATTGTATACATGTAGGTTCAACTAGGTTGCATTTGTATATTGTACGAATGCCTGAGTTTGCAGTTTTAGAAGTATATAAAAAAAAAATTGCCTTGAAAGCTGTAGAATAGAACACTACTGTAACGAACACCACTATACCAAATATTTGACCATTAAATGAACATCCCTTTTGGCTCAAGAATTTTATGGATCAAAACGGTCATTTGTGGAGCCCATTGTATTTGTTATGGCAAACTTTTACTGTGTGCAGTTTTTGACATCTTGATTTTATACGTTTGGCTGGTATCCACTCTGCAGGTTACCATTTTCCTTCATCACCAACGACGTCGCCGAGGCAACCTGCCAGTGCCTTCTAGCGCAGGCCGAGCAGACGGAGCAGAAGAGGACGAGTCAGGCCAAGGCAGAGAAACTCATCCTTGAGGAGTTTGGGCAGTGTCTGCGACAGGTCATCCATTCAGCTGGCAAAACCAAAGGTAGAGTAAAAATATAACATCATATTGACCCTAGCTCCCTAGCGTCTTTTACTAGGAACTGGACCATGTCCATCAAAATCCATCAGTCACTGTGCGTCCAATTCAAAACTGTACATGACATAATGGAATCCACCACTGACACACTGGTTGACATTCATGGACTTGCTACACATGGCTTTTATCGCAATAGCAGTACAGGAAGCTAGGCAAAATCAATTGGATACCCCTAGTACTGCTTCAGGCCATTAGGCCCAAGTCCATCATACTCCATCAATATTTAGTCATGCCAGGCCTTCTGGACCAGGTCCCCCAAAATCCACCAAAATGGGGGGATGGATTTTGATGGAGTTGGGGTGGTTAGGGTTAATGCATTTTTATAACGCGCACATATCCACCAAAATTGATACTCAAGGCCGATCATTATGACCCTGCAGCCGATTTCACGAAACTTTATGCAATGGTATAGGTCTACTCGCGACACAATTTATTGCGCAAGTTACGCACTATTTCACGCTGTTCAACATATCAGTTATGACAATTTCACAAAAGTTTCATAGTGCGTAAGTCTGCGACTTGCGTTACAAATTATGGCGTAACTTGCGCAATCATTTGAGGTAGCCTTAGTTGTGGCATAGCAACTGAAAATGACTAATTTTAACAGCAAATCGTGATTGTCATGGAGCCTGTTATTGAACAACTTATCAAAGTTGATACAAGACACTCACAGCTTTGTGTTGGAAGTAAAAGAATTGCTATTTTTTCTCGTGACAGAGTTTTAAGAGTTTCCGCACGATTCCGAAGAAAAACCGACTAAAATATTTTCAAAATGTCGGGCGGAGGTGACTCAACGACTGTTTCATGAATGAACAAAATCATACACAAACAGCCGTCGTTAATGCTGTTATTATCCTTGTCCAAGATGTTGAGATTATTTAAAACGTTGCCAGCTACGCCAAGTTTTGAGAAATCGATCGCAAGTTTATTGCCTTCTAGAAACACCACCATTTAACTTTTGATTTGCCCCCCCCCCCCCTTTACAGGCGTTGCTTCCTGAGCGATGTGATGGACCTGTGAGGGCGCTGTTCTCTTCCCATTGCGCATCCTTGTGATCGTTGTTTTCGAGGGAAACTTAAGATTACAGCAGGGACGGAGCATAGCTTTGTATGTATCGGAGTATTTTATGTAACATTGACAAATAACATCAGAAGCCTATAATGACAGTCTAGCATTAGAATCTTCCATAAACAAAACATGTATACACTGACTTTGTTCAATGTAATAATCATGCTTTTCAATTTCAAATCATTGTAAATAACATGTTTAATAAAACAAAAAAAACACACAATTAACTACCCATAAGCAATAGTCGATATTAACCAATGTATGTACCATGAATTCATTGTGAATAATCTGTACAGAGTTATGTAAGTGTTATGAAAGTACATGTATAGAGCTGTCACTTGTTTTGTATTTTTAACCTCTCCAGGGGCGGGCCTGGTATTTGTTAAGGGGGGCAACAGCCTGTAGACGTACTGCAGAAGTATGTCAGTGAAAGGGGGGGGGGTTTGCAGAACAGTAAAGAGGAGGATTTTGGAGGATACGGGAAATGTGTTGGGTTTTTTTTTACAAAAAAAGGACGATGTAGTTTTAGTAAATGTTGTGACTGGGGCCAATTTCACGGCGCTGCTAAGCACAAAAATTTGCTTTGCACAAAAAAAGTCTGGCTTATAAAAGCAGGTTACCAGCCAAAACTCCACGTGAAGTATATTGCTCGTGATTAGTATTCAGCTCTTGTTTGCTTAGCATGAAAAAACACATGGAGTTTTGGCTGATAACCTGCTTTTATAAGCCAGACTTTTTTGGTGCTAAGCAAATTTTTGTGCTGAGCAGCGCCATGAAATTGGGCCCAGTTGCCTTATTAAAGTTCGCTAAAGTCGCAATGAGCTCAATAAAATATTTTGTCAGTTTCTTGGAATGAACAATGCATGCGTGTAACATCTGTCCACCCCTGACTCTGCTCCACGAGCAGGGTCTGTGGTGGCTGACCCGGGTGAGCCCCGAGAATGACGTCAGCTAATCGAACGACACGGGGCTAACCCGAATCAACCCAAGTGAGCTAATAGAACGCACGATAGAACGCCAAAGATTAACTACTTCATCAAGTCCATTAGAGCAATGCCCAGTAACATTTGAGCCGACATATAAGCCTGCTACATGCAAACAGTAAAGAGTCTAATTGCATCACTGTAGAAATGTATTTTTCTTTTTATCGCAACATTATCGCAACATTCAAAATCAGAAAAATACGGACCCATTAAAAGCATGAAATATATTCCCTAGTAAAATTATTCATTGACTAATCATTAAGTATTATCAAAGATATGGTCAATTTTTTTTTAATAATTGAGAGGAGGCTTTTTTCCCAGACTCTTTTGATACTTGTAAATAGAAAATGACTTTTTCTTTAATGTAAAGGCATTTGATGTATGCACCTACTGTGCATGTATTGAATGTATGTAAAATGTTGTTAGGGTTTTTCTTTATTTAACTGTTTTTCTTTGTTTAACTGTGGGATCATTATTGAAATCTAATTTCAAATTTTTAATATACGATTAGTTTCTTTTCTGTCACTATCACTTGTTTTTCATTTATTCATCTGTTGTTAATTGTTTATGCTTACTTTTGCTTGATTGTTTCGGCAGTTTTCTTTTCTGTTTGTTGTTGTTTTTGTTTGTTTGTTTGTTTGTCTGTGGTTTCAGGTTTTTTCTTCATCTTTTTTCCTCTTTCCATTACAAATTGTTTTCAATCATAATCCCTGAAGTGTTAAAGAATAAGTTATTTGGTTAGTGTTATGTGAACGGTGTCATAGACAATGAAATAAGATCAGGACGCATGTTTAGCATTGTGACTAAAGAGAACAATTTGTTTAGGTACACCATTTGTAATGTTGTTTATGTTGTAGTAATGTAATCGGCCTGAAATCGTAAACACCTCGCCCTAAGAAAACATGTTAAGAAACAACCCTCAAAATATGATGAAAGGCATATATGATGTAGGATTATTTGCATTTATTCCAAAAGTAGCCTACCTAATATAGGTTTTCCCGGCAAATCTCCTAAAATGTTCATTCACCTCTGAAAATCGGTCATTCGTTTCCGTCTTAACTTGAATGCACGTCTTTAATCCCATTTCAATTCAACGAAAGTTCAATCGTTTTTATTGTCCGTGCGTTCGGTTTTGAGAAACAGACGGCCAATTACGTTACCTGTGCATGCATTTACGCAAGCGTGCCTTTTCTAAATTGATTTCAGGTTTAGCTAATTTGATTGACGGTTAATGAAAAAGAAACCCCTAATTGTATCTGGTGCCGATGGCATTAAACTAAAAGTGAAATAGAATTGTGAATGTTTGAAATCGCCCTCTAAAAGCGAAAAAGAAGTCGTGTAAACGAATCTGAATGAACATAGAGACGAAAGGTGCTGCTCAGTCACTTAATTGATTGAACTGAAATGGAATTGAATGCTCTGGTAGCGAAAATGAAACGCGTGTTCACAGCGATCCCAAATTCAGACGCAAATGAATGACCGATTTTCAGAAGTGAATGAACATGTTAGTAAATTGGCCGGGAAAACCTATACTATTACAAAGCTTACTTGGATTATTCAAAATCATACTGGCACTAAACATCCTGTGAAATTATTCCATCTAGCTTTCTGTTATTTAGAAGAAATCAAGAAATGCCTGTGATTTCCAACGCTCAGTTTATTAACTGATATTTAGAAGTGAAAGAGTGCTATGGACGAAATCGTGTTTCGTGATCAAAAAGTTGTGCATGGTTTTTCACTGTTTTCTCGAAAAGGAAAGTGTAATATCCACTGAGCTGAAACTTCAACAGGTTAGGTTTTGAACATTCTTCTTTGGATTTTGAGTGGTGTTATTGTTGCAAACGAACAAAATGCATGCAAAGCAAATGATCCTGATCATCCTATATGACTTTAGGATGGTATATTACAATTTGAAAAAAAGATATCTCTAAAACATATACCTATATCGACCGATTTCCTAGGACTTGTTCCATTGTTCAAAAATATCGTTACTGGTGCATGGTTGTGTACATGTACTACTTTTAGAATCTGCCACTTTCGACTAGTATTTGGCGATACAGCGCTGGAGACGATGGCGCAAGGCGTGTGCTGCGGCAGAAAGCTTCTAAAGGAATGCAGGATCACCCCTGATGTTATTGCACACCTCCTCGATCGTTTGGCGCAACACACGATCGAGGAGGTGTGCAAAGACATCAGGGGTGATACTGCATTCCTTCAGAAGCTTTCGTCCGCAGCACGCGCCTTCCGCCACCGTCTCCAGCGCTGTATCGACATTCTGAAAGTATTTTTTTTTGTATGGCGTTTAAATCTAGCCCTCTTGCACAAAGCTGATGAAAGTCGCTCCATAACATTTGTCATGCCTTGTTTACATGATCTGAAATGTTGGTTTAATTCCATTGGTGAACATCTGAGTTATTTAAGATCAAAAGTAGGACATTTTGTTTTGACACGTAGTATAGGTGAAGGATTTTCTGTACTAATTGTTTGTTTTCAACCACAAACAAATTCCAGCCCTATTCAAAATACATAAAGCATGGAGAAATAAAGTTACCACATTTCTTTAAGACGAAAACCAATATCAACAACCCAAGCAACTTAACCCCTTTTGGGATTTAGACAAACAAATTGGGGAAAATCCGTGTTTTACATTTAAGCCATGATGGTGTTTTGTTGTCTGTAAATGGGCATTGTATGTTAATAACATTTTAGTTGTATGTACATGAAATAGACGTTTGCCAGACTGTAAGTGGGAGGCGATGGTACAGTAACTGATTGAAAAAAATAAAATAATACATCGTCATTTGACGACTGTTTACTGTGTGACTGATCTCTGTCCCTGATCCAATCCATCAACCTTGTCCCCATGTCGTTGCGCAAATATACGCGTGCGCTATCGCTGGAACCATCACCCCCTACCCTGGCAGTATACTGGATATCTGACATCTTGGATTTTAAGCTAGGTGTGGAATAGTAGTTTGCTGTCAACAATACAACATGGTGGTCAATACTTTTCCTTTTAAAGGTTGAATACCCCTAGTCTATGAAATATCCCCATGCACAGCAAGGGTCTATGATATGCCAGCAGACTTGGACGATTATTTATGCAAAACAAGACTGCGTCGTGACCTCGATTCTGACCAAGGTCAATGTCATGAATAAGGGCAATGTCACGAGTAATTAGTTTTCCTTTGAATCATTGCAAGACATAGGTTCTCATTCTCTTTTCCCTTAAATTAAAATAATCTCTACGATAAGGTTTGGAGAAGAAAAATAGTCGATGAAAAAGAACAGCGACGACGAGGATTCGAACTAGGAATAGTATCCATATCTCATCTCGCTATCCACTAGACTACTATGTGCGGTAACTCGACGACAACCGTTCTTTAAAATGCTTTAATGTAACTGGTTGACTTAATTACAACGATGGTCTTAATATCATTGTTCTGTTCTCATGAATAAACATACTGCCCGTTGGGAACTAGTGAATTATTCATGACTTGGCCCTAACCATCCAGGGAGAAAATTACGCAACCTGTCAACCTCAATGCGCTATAAACGCCATCCATTCCTTCATGCATGTAAACATTGCGAGATACATGTAGGGTCACGTTATTCACAATTGAATGGAACAATCAAAGCAGCAGTCGCTGTTTGACATTAGCTATTGAAACTGAGCGATTTCCCGTGTGACATTCACGAATGCCTGGTGCATAGTAAATTAGTATAGTGGGAAGCGTATGTGCGTGCGCGACACGTACAGTGGACAAGATTAGACCGTGTCACATAGCTACAGCTATTTTTCATCAGGAATTACTGTGTTGCCGGTTTCATTGTATACAGGTAAGCCAGTTTTGTTGATGATATACGTTGCAGATACTTCTCCAGACGGTGTGCTGTGTTATTTTCATTTAGTAGCAATGATATACAAACTCGTTGCTCTTAACTCCGCCAGTATAGACGCAAGGTAGGCCTATTAATATTATGCAATGTTGATTATGGGTTGAATAACGAAAACCTAAACTTGTCTCACCCCTTATATTCTCCAATTTCAGAGAAATTCAACTGAATGTTTCGATACGGGTTGTGTAGGCAACGATTAATTTGTGTACACTGATAGAAGACGATGATGTGGTCTACTCATCTTTTCCGGATTCGTGAAATACATAAGAAAATCGAAAGGGGGAAAGCGTGCCCCCTAGAGTCACATGGGGTCCAAGGATGGATAATTATTTTTTAGAGATTCTCCAGTGCAACATTTGTCTTTCGACACAACATGTTTATAGTCAACGATTGTCGATTGCTTAATTTTAAAAACATGAAGAAAACAATAAGAAATAATTCACGTCACTGTCACTTTGGTTGTAGAGAGCCGTGCTGGGCAGTGCTATCGTATAGATTCCCCAACGTCACTGAATGGGCTTAGCCATGCCCTTTGCGAAGACCAGAGGTTCTGAATCAATGTGCGCTTTGACTTATTAAACTGGGTTAGCTTGCCTTGTAACCTTTTTTATACAGACAGCCGTTTTCTCCTTCATATACCACACGCATCATGGAGTCCGAGTCGCCATCGGTTGAAAACCTGAACATGCCACTCAGCTCATACGAATATTACATCATGGGCCTTGTACTGACCGCAGAAGGTAGGATTAGTGTGCTGGATTTGTCCTCCGTGACGAAATTGTAATCACATGTCATAATTATTGTTGTCAGCGAAGATAATACGGGGAATACGGCTTTAGACGAAGATATTGCATATGGACATTTTAAATGGAGATAAATTTATCGTCTTACGTTGTTTCTATATTCTATAAAATATTATACACCGGCATTAAATTCATATTACATGCTGAAACTAGTAGGCTGTAAAATTAGATAATGTGTGAAACTGTAGCCTTTTTTTGTTATTCAAAGCTTTCAAAATGCACTGACTCTCTTCTTTTTTTGGCCTGAGAGAAGGCAAATATGAAAAGAAAACCCGCTTGGATATGCTGGTAGACTGACGACAACATACATGTCGTAAACGCTATTTAATTATTGTAGAACTGTGACGGTAGACGTAGACCCGCGACTTTGCTTCAATAGGCTACTAAAATTAAAGATCAATTTCAGAAAATCCATGTTACACATGATTTTTATAGGCAAAATTAATAACATCGACTCTAAATTGATGCCACGTGCGACGACATATCAATCAAAACAAATGATGATCTCTAGCTCTTGAAACTTCTTTTGAAGATCTTCAAGAGAATCGAGCAAGTGAGAAAATGCAAAGCAATAAACAAAGAAACAATTTTAGATATAGGCCTAAGGAACAAATTATGCTTGAGTCATTGCATAAATCAAGATTTTTAACATGCATATCTTGATTTTATGAATCACGTAATACGTTGCCAATCGTCGACAATGTATACGTAGTATATAGCATGATTTTTTTTGGCACAGCTTGCAGTCCTTTAACTGTTTAAATTTATCTCCGTGTTTTTCTTGATTTTATCAATAATGGGAGATCACCTGCAAGATTTTGCTTTATAAATTGATGACCGAACAAAATAGACAATAAAAATATGTGCGTGTCTGCACCTGTGTCATTATGAATAATATATGGGCCTCTATGTGAATAAAACAAAATCTTTTATAATTGGTAGTCTAAATAAAAGATTTAAAAAAAAAACACACAATCGCTGCCATTCGGCACTTGTTCTACGTATTTTCTACTTATATGGGTCATGCAATTTACTTTTTTTTTAATGCAATCCTTGAAATTTTTGTTTTGCCATTTTCAAGGGTCTTTTTGCATGTTACGTTAATGCGAATTTGCTTTTTTTCATGAGTAAAAGTGTGGTGACATTGTTTTCAGGCAGAAACCTCAGTTATTTCAGCACCAACGTGCCAGAAGTTTGGAGATTTTGCTGTAGTAAATTTTCTCTTCTTTTGTGATTTGTGTTTGTGTCGGGACATGGCGGTAAGCCAATGAGCAAACATTTCTCGCAAATGTTTTCAATGAACAAAATAATGTTGGGTTCACAATTTGAACAGACAACTGAACAGTGTCTTCCTGAAATGACATCACAGCAACAGCTCCCTCAGTTGTCCGGAAAAGCATGGACAATTGTTAAATGTTTTCAAAAAGGCGATTCTGTTTATCTGATGACTATATCACAAAGGGTGTTTTTGGCGGGGGGGGGGGAGGGTTCAGTTTACTGAAACCAACTAAGATTCAGGAAAAGTTGCTCCTATTTTCGTTTATATTTTTTTCAAACTTTTGGATGCACGTATAACTATGCCAAATTCAACAAGATTGTGCATTTAACTTGTGACGGTGGGGTTTATAATTATGCTCATTACATGTACTCATGTAAAATAATTTATGAACTCCAACGTGGTAAAAACGGACGTATAAAGATGTTTCACTTTCAGATTTCAATACATTTAAAACACAAACCGGCTTTCTTTATTGTACAGGGTGAGTCAAAAAGGCGAAACCCAAATGTCGGGGCTATTGTTTTATTGAAGTTCTGCATGATTTTGTAAGTGCTACATGCAGAACTTCACTAAAGCAATAGTCCCAACATTTGGGTGTTTTTTTTTACTCAACCTAGTACATCTCAAAAGAAAGCAAATTATGTTTCAAACATCGTTGTTTATAATGACTGATAAGATTTCTAACTGTCCATACATTATGTCCACGTTTAATTTGTTCCTGTATCTCTGAACACACCAGGGCGCGAAATAATATATCAATTCCTCATTTTTCATAATTTATCCACAAAAAATTCTTTCATTACCTAGGTATTCTTGGAATTCTTTTCAACGGGATGCTTCTCGTCGTATTCCTGACTAACACATCCTTGCGCCGGCCCCAGTCTGTACTCGCTATCTCGCTCTGCATCGGCGATTTGGGTAAGACGGCAACATTCAAATTTATGTATGAAGATGACTCAAGGTCCGATGAGATAGTGTTACGTCTCGCGGGAAGAAAGGCTAAAGGGCTTAACAGATTTACGAGGTTAAAAATGACAGTAGAAGCATTACATTCACTGTGTGGACAAAAGATGTCCACATAAACCAGGTAGCAGCGACGTTGTGTGGACTTGCCCACGTCCACGTAATGTTTCCCCCTCTCTGGAGGTTAGGTTCGTCCGTGGCAAAATGAAGAGAAACACCAAAGGGAATCATAAGAAAAAGTATGGGTTGAAAGAGTTTTCACAGTGTGAGTAAAGTGAGTTTTTCACAGGTTTTCCTTAACTTACACGAAATCAAAGGGATGTCCACACTACGTATGTAACGTATTGTTCCCGTGCTGTTTTCGAGTTTCACCTGGAAAAAAAAAATTCAACTGCTGTATTCCTAGCAGTAAAAAAGTCATTCACTTATGAATGAGGCATGATCAGACATCGAAAAAAACACAGACTTTTAGTTATTGAATTATTTCTTTACGAAATTCGACTTATTGTCTGCCAGAAAATAATTCGCCTTTGGCAGGGTTGGTTCACTTGTGCACACAATGAAAACCCTCTTTTCAGAAGAGTTACAGACGCCTAAAAAAGTAAAGATATAGGCCTAGTTTTCTTCTTAAAACAAAACATACAAATTTAAAATTCGTATTCTAAATACCAGAATGTGGATGAATGATTTCATTCAGATGGTACTTATACATTTCTTTCTGTCGTAACTCCTGGAACGTCAGAATGATCTTTTTTAAAAGGAAAAGTTAAAATGCATTATTAATCCTGATGTTAAATTTACATATGATATCTTGACGCCATATTGACTTTAGTCAAGCAGGTCATCTGATCCGGTCATGTGACCGGTCAGACATACGTCACAACAGACGTTCTAATACAGGGTGAGTAAATAAAAAAAAAAACGGAACCAAAACCCAACTAAATATATTTCATATGTAAAAACAAATCTGTAGCACCCAAAACAATTAATTACATGTACTTAGATGAAAAGCCGTTTTCTTCACTTCGTTCAAATTATATCACCATTTAAACGAAATGGCCCTAAAATATGTTTCGTCCAAAAATTCGATTTCAAGAATGATCGCTATGCAATTGTTTTCAAACATCACCAGCGATATAATACAACCTCAGTTTAAAAGTTGAAAATATTCAACAAAGTCCTTTTGAAGTACCGTCTTTAAAAATAGAATGAGTGGATTTTATAAATCCTGTTGTTAGCCAATGCAAAATTGTTAATAAAGATATTGTGTACTACAGTTGTTGAAACAGGTATTCTGTATCAATTTTTCCGAACATGTCAGAACACACAATAAATTGTCCTTTTTTGGGACGAAACTGATTTAAGTGTTACTTCGTTTAAAGGGAATGTACAACATTTGCTTTTGCTTCAATTTTCAGAAACAAATGGATTTGGAGGATTAGTATGTTATAGCAAATATTGTTAAAATGACTTGTTTCACGTTTTGGGCTTGTAGATGCTGGAAAAACCAAGAAAATCATTCATTTTCTTGTAGTCTGGTTCCCTGACCCCACTTAAGATGAAACGGAGAATTTATAGACTTTGGGGGAATTGTCAGTTCAGAGAATCAGTCTAGCAGGCTTGTACCCCTTCACAGGTGTGTAATCAATTGCAAATAGTTTTTGCAGTTTTTGCAGCAAAGAGTTTGCAAGCAGTTTTTGAAAAAAGCCAGTTTTCTCCAACGCTGGTCGGCCGACCAGCGTTGGAAAAATTCAATTTTTCTTGAAAATGTTGGCTAACCAGGAGCCACGATTTTACAGGATGCTTTTAGATTGTCATTCCCTAACAATCCAGTAAAGTATTTTGTGATAGTTTGATCATTTCGTTTTGAGATGTTTGCAAATGTTGTATCTTCCCTTTAAAGAGTGATAACATTTCAACGTATAGAGCAGTTGACATAATTTTCTCACTTACAAGTAGTTTAATAAATGGGCTGCCCAGTCATAATTAATTTTGGTGCTACACATTTTTTTTATTTGAAATATATTTCTCTGTTTTCGGGTTCCTTTTGTTTTTACTCGCCCTGTACAAAATTGTAATAATACAATATTTGTTGAAGATTTAATTTTATGAAGAAAGCATCCCTCAAAAGCTGTTCCAGAAGTACAGTAGAAGATGTAATTAGGTTTGATACTCTCTAAATTCCAAAGAGTGAAAATTCACTCCATTCGAGTGAAGATTCACTCCCACAGTCGGAAACTAGGGACTAGACGTTTTAGAGAGAAATTCTTCAATCGTAAAGATCGAGTTTTCACTCGAGCTTCGACTGAAGTGGTTCATTTTTTCAGACTTTTTCAATCGAAAATGAGAGTGATTTTTCACTCTAAAACGTCTTATCCCTAATTTCACTCTTTGGAATTTAGAGAGTAATAGGTTTTTCCAGCTTTTTTAAAACGTTTATCATTCGAATTTAACCTTTGTAATACTTAAATTCGTCCGTCAACATCGATGTAGTGCACATCCAATGTTTAATTTCGTCTTTTGTCAGACAATTACAAATTCAGTTCAAGCAAATTCAAACAACGAGCACACGTTTTCGTCCGGGAATATTCGATTTCGTCTCGTCAACGCCAAACCTTGTTATTCAGAAATCAAATTCGTCTACTTGATTTATATCAGACAAATTCGATTTTTGAATGCTGCCATTCGGCAACAGCTTAGACGAATTCGATCTGTAATGACGAATATTCTCGACCCAGTGACTAAAGAGGGTGACCAAACTTTGACATTAAATGGTAAATGACTAATTTAGTTTTGCTAAAAGCGTGTGAATTTTTCGAGGACGAAACTGCACGTGAGAGTTAGTGAATTTGAATGAAAAATGTTTTAAAATATAGCCGGGAAAATGTATATAAACTGAAATTCTAAAATCTTGTTTGCATGCAGGTATTGGGCTGATGTGCCCATTTGCAGCCATGGCAAGCTTTAAGGAAAACTGGCTGTATGGGGACCAGGGATGTCAGCTGTACGCCTCCGCTGGGATGCTGTTTGGTACAGTCAGCATAACGTCGCTGGTGTCCGTCGCCGTGGATAAGTACTATTCAGCTATTGGTAACCCTGGAGGTATGATATTCAATTGTGCACAAAGACCATTTAATGTGACATAAATGAAATTATTTTGGTATAATGACGGTTTGTTATAAACAAGGTGGTGTACATTATTATGATCTATCATTTAGCATTGGGTTGGTGAAGGTTTTAAAGTTATTTAATGGGCTCATAATTTTCTGTAATGAAAATTGAAAATCCTCCTTTGTGTCCCATTAACCCTTTTTTCAATTCACGTTTTGCGATTTTCAAAGGTATTTTGTCGCTTTTTGGTTGTCATGCTAATGCGAATTTTCATACTCATGAGCAAATTGATGTCATATCAGGCAAAAACCGTAATGTTACAACTTTTCAGCGCTAAAAGTTTCGAGAATTTAGGATATTTTGCTGTTGTAAATTTTCTTTTCTTTGGTGATTCTTTGTAGTGTCAGTACATGGCAGTAAGCCAATGCGCAAACTTTTCTCACAGATGTTTTCAATGAGCAAATTTGTTGGGTTCACAATTTGAACAGAAACCCTAGACTGAACAGTGTCTTACTGAAATTACATCACAGCTAGCAACTGCGTCCTCAGCTGTCCGGGAAAAAAATTGAAAATGTTAAATGTTTAAAGAAGTGCACTTTGTTAAATAGTTTTCATAAGGAGTATAGAAAGTTGCAAATTAAGTGTTCCTGGGAAAAATTCAATCTCATGCACCCTTAAATTAAAAGAATATTTTTAGCAGAGACCCTCGGTCTTTGAAACAGAAAAAAAAATCCCTGTTTTTCCTTTACATAAAAATACTTTTTTGACCAGGCGGGAAAGCGTATCCGATCGTTGCATCTGCCATTTGGCTCAACGCCGTTTTCTGGGCCGTAACTCCCCTGCCTTTCGTCGGGTGGGGGCGCTACGCCATCGAGCCGCAAAAGACCACGTGCATGCTGGACTTTGCCGCCCATGGCGCCCCCTACGTCAGCTATCTGGTCGCCATGATGGGCGTGGTCTATGTGGTACCGATGGGCGTGGTCACATGGTGCTTGATGAAGCTACGGGAAGTGGGCAGAACGGAGGACACAAAGAAGATTGCCGCCAAGAAAGAAGCAGCAATGGTATATTCCAATTATACTCGTTATTTATGGCAAACCGTTATATTGAATAGAACTGCTTTTGTATTTTCATAAGCTCGGTGGTCGAGTGGTAAGACGTCTGCACTAGTAAGCAGAAGTTCGTGGGTTCTAGTCCCTCCCGAGTCTCTGGAATCTGTGAAATTACGTTAGCGGAAAACCACAACAAGCAAACACAACAAGCAAACATTTATTGAACTGGAAAACTGATAAAGTTAAAAAATAATATTCATAAATACTTATAAGACAGTTTACCCATTCCTATTGGTGGAGAGCCCGTCACGTGGCCGGTCTTAATCCATTGATAAAACCGCGCAATCTCCATACAAGGAGTTGTTTACGACTATTTGCAAGAGGCATATACCACAACATAGCTAGGGGGTGTTTAGAAAACATGAAGTAAACTTTGACTTGTTTTGACTGTTTGACCGAAAATGTAGTTCGGCTCGGGTCATTATCAGCATCCAGACTCCAGCCGGTCTTAAACATAGTGTTTAAGACCGGCCAGGCACACATTATTCCCTTTATAATGATCTATACTTTGCGTTGCAGTGTACATGTATGCGGACATTGGCGATACCATCATGATTTTGTTCATAATAAGTCACACATTTAAAATGTTTATTTTTAACACTTTTCAGACTTGTGTACTGGTTTTGCTGTCTCTGGTGGTCTACTGGGGAGCGTATGGCGTAGTGGCACTATGGGCCGCCGCTGACGATATCGACAACGTGCCAATCCAATTGGTTGCCGCCGCGCCACTCATGGCCAAGATCTGTCCAATAGGAAACGCCGTTCTGCAGGGGCTGACAAATCAGAGCCTTCGAAGCTTTGACGGGGAGGAGTCACGTGCTGCTGATAAAAAGAAGTAGTGCCAAGGCAGACGTTTCGCACTAGAGTTTACGTAAACGTCAATCATACAACGATATTTCAAGATTATATGTTTTAGTTAATGTTTTTACCAAAATTGTTGGCATTACAGAACTGATGTTGCATAAAGGTTCAAAATTTTCACAATTTCGAGCTATTGTGAAACAGTATTGTTATACCTCTGTCTTGTATACTGTATTTTCATTGGTCTAGATCGATCACGTGTTAAGTTAATGAAATGTCATGGCACACTCCCTGTGGGATATCACGTACGTGATATCCCACAGGGAGTGTGCTATGACTTTGTACGTACGGTACGTACTGAAACGCTTGTATCGTTGGTACCCACGCTATTTTCACAATGTTTTCACACAATGAGTGGGAGCAGCGAACTAGCAGACGATCAGCTGTTTCGAGCACGGTACGCGACATGCATGTGAGTTGACGTTCGATTGTCATGATTGTTGTGTTTACTGCTGTTTGTTTTCGTGTTTTCAAAGTCCAAAGAATCCAAGACAGAGGTATAACAAAACAATTGTTGACTGCTTTGATGTGTGATATGACGTTTTATTTAAACACCCTCGGAGCGCATAGCACCCGAGGCGAATATTCGCCCCTCGGTTGTTCAAAACGTCATGTCCCACATCACAGCAGTCAACAATTGTTAACTGTTTGTGTATCAATGTCTATACTTTGAAAGGTCGACATCTCACCATTGTATAAACTTGTGTCATAATACTACCATACTGAGCCATTAAGCCCCGCCCACTGCGCACGACGGAAACAACACGCGCACGTCAGCCAGTGCCTCACCGCACGTTCCATGATCCAGCTGCGCATCATGGTGCGTGCACGCACGTTGGACATTACTCCATGCAATCATCACGGCTATGATTGGTCGAAGCACCATTGGGCGGGGCTTAATGGATCAGTGGTCATGACTGGCACTTATAGCCTACACATGTAAATTTTATTGGACTATAACTTTTTATGTAGGGCTATAAATTATAACGCTGTGTTATGCACTAAAAAGCTTCAATTAAAGTTCGCGGTTTACTACACCCAGCTATATAGAATACGGCTACAACCAGCCGATTATTATGACGCTTGTATTATATGCCAATAACTGTTGTGCTCCAATTTCCTGCTTGAAAACAAAATAAAACAAAATGATTGGGCCAAACTTGTGCACCCGTCGTATAAATAATGAGGATGGTAGAAAATGGACGGCTGTTATCAAGACTACAACGGGAGCTTTGAGAAAGGTACTTGGACCTCTATTTACCCGTAAATAATGATTAGACTTGGATAAGACGTTAATTCTGAGTTTATTGCAAAAATAATTGTTAAAGATTATAAAGAAGAAAAATGAAGGGTTTACCCCTTGCACTTTTTCTTTTTCAATTTTTCTAAATATTAGGTTAATGTATTTGAAAACATGTTTATTTGAAATCGAGATGTATTTCTGAATCGTTTGCAGTAAATTTTGATATTTTATGTTCCTATTGTCAGGTTAACCCTTTGTATAAAATATGTTATGAGAATTTATCAAAAAATGTAATTGCTCTGAACATGCTGGAGAAATGCCAAATTGTTTCAGAAACACCTTGCAGTTTCTAAAAACGGATGTGCAATTCATGTCAAAAGAAAGAAATGATAGTTTATTCTATTTTTTATTTTTCCCCCCAAATTTGATTATTCAATGTTAGGTTATTAACCCCTTGAGTTTCGTTTTCAATTTTGGCTGAGATTTTTTTAACAGAGGAAATTGTTTCCAAACTTGTTAGAAAGAGGCCCAATAAAGACATTCCTATAACCTTTCAGGGCAGATGTGCCATTCAAAACAAATAATACGTCCGATTTGTGGTGGAAATCAGTCAACAAAGTAAAATTTATTACTTTTACCAAAATCTCAAATATAAAAAATTATACGTGTACACATGTATTGGGTTTGTGAATGTTAAAACACGCTCATCTTGCATAATTTACATGTATTTCTGAGTAGTTTTGCAGAAAAGGAAACTTTTGACCAATTTAATTACAAATGTAAGGTTAACCCCTTCAATTTTATTATTTTTTTCAATTTTGGCAGAAACTTTTTGAAAGATAATATTGCTCCATCTTTTCTGGAAAGATGCAAGGTAAACCCCTTATAATTTCAGACTTCGCAGAAAACTTCCAAGAAAAGTCACATTTTGCCTAAATTTGTTCACAATGCATGGTTGACCCCTTACCATTTCAAAGTTTCCCAACAAGTCACATTTTTCCTAATTTTGATGAAAATGCAAGGTTAACCCATTACAATTTTAAATATTCAAGAAAAGTCAAAGTTTGCCAACTTTTTATGAAAATGCAAGTTAACCCCTTACAATTTGAAATTTTCCAAAAAAGTCAACTTTTGCCCAGGTTTGATGAAAATGCAAGTTACCCCCTTACAATTTTAAAGAAAAGTCAATTTTTTTGCCCGTGGCCAGTTTTGATGAAAATGCAAGGTTAACCCCTTTTACAATATAAAACTGTTCAGAAAAGACAAATCTTGCCAAATTTTGATGAAAATGCAAGGTTAACCCCTTACACATTTAAGCTTCCCAGAAAAGACCAATTTGCCCAATTTCGATGGAAATGCAAGGTTTTACCCTTACGATTTCAAACTTCAAAACTTAAACAACAAATTTTGCCCAAATTTGATGAAAATGCAAGGTTAGCCCCTTACAATTTTAAACTTTCCAGAAAAGTCAAATTTTTACCAATATGGATGAAAATGCAAGGTTAACCCCTTACAATTTGAACTTTCCAAAAAAAGGTCACATTTTCCCATTTTGATGAAAATGCAAGGTAAACCCCTTATATATGTACATGTAATTTGAAAATTTGCAGAAAAAGTCATTGTTTCCCCAATTTTGATGAAGATGCAAGGTTAGCACCTTATATTTTTTAATTTCATAGAAAAATCTCCTTTTTCCCAATTTTGATGAAATTCAACATTCAAACACCCAATATTTAGAAGATTTGGGCAATTTTTTTTTATCACTTTGTCAGTATTTTTTTTAAAGGAGGCGGCCTCCAAAAAGGAAGCGGCCTCCAAAAAGGAAGCGGGCGGGGACGCTTAACATGTTCCTTTTTTTTTTTAGTTTGGCCTAACCTTAAAAAAAAACACATTAATGAATACAATCGTGACAAAAACCTTTCCTTCAAAACAGTGCTTTGAACAGCATTTATTGACCATTAAACAAACAGACTTCAATATTTACAAACAAGAAGTGTTACAGATAATCATGACTTTTAATTATTATCTCTGAAACAGCACAAAAGGAACCCTTTCTCCATTTGCAAAACCAACCCCAAAAATTTTCCTTCTGAAATCAATTTAAGATAGTTCGCTCTTTTCACGCTCCGCCATCAGCATGCAGAGCCTCGATCTGGCAACTTTACACAATAAAAATAGCCGCTTTTAATAGTGATTCCCATGTATAAATTGAACCCGACACTGGAATCACTGTTGGCTATATTGTGTAAAGTCGCCCAATCGAGGTTCTGCATGCTGATGGCGGAAGCGTGCAAACAGTGAATTATACTCAATTTGTAAGGTTACCATCAATACAAATTTTCTGGAAAAAAAAAAATTAATATTACATGTTAAGAACAATGTCCACAACATGACTTTATTGCCCCCCCCCCCCATTTTGAGGCCTAAAAAATGAACATACAAGGTCCATTCAAATGCGGCTATGCTCTCGACAAGATGGCCTTAAAAAAAACTTTTTGGAACATACCCCTTTGACAGTGTATTATCAATTTCCAAGTATTTAGATTTTATCTGAAACATGAAGTACTTCTTTCAAAAAAGTTTCCTTTACCGAACTTGATATGTATTAACCTTGAGAACGGCGTGAAATAATTTTTAATGAAATAACTTTTTTTTTTTTATCACAGATATATAAATTTGTTTCTGTTGTCAGAACGCAAACCTTTCAGTAACTGTACATATACATAAAAAGTCTTGTTACAAACACATAACTTCAAAGAATCTAACATAAATATGGTTTAAAACGCATAAACTTTAAAAAAAAAAATAGATACTTATACGATTTACATTTCAATAAGCAATGTGAATTCTTGTGGCGCGTGCAACAAATCAAATTAAAAAAAAAACCAAGAATTCTAGAAATCTTATTCCCAATAAATTTTTAGTTAACTTGGTCTTGGAAAAAAAATAAGGCTTAACATGAGTCAAAGCAAAATGCTTTTTATCGGAAGTACATGAACGATGAAATCCGCATGCCTTTTTCTACCTCAATTTACTGATTGAACTATTAACTAAAACGTTTCGTGGTGTTTCTTGGAGTGTCTTACAAGATCCTGGAGTGCGTTCACATGGGCTCCACCACTTGGTACCTCTCCTGAATCCGAGGCTTATTTGGGTTGTTACTAATCAGCCAATCAGCAAGCCACGTCTGGTCAAGAAAAATATGATTTCATACAAAGATGAAACTTAAAGGGAATGTACATCATTGGCTTTTGCTATAATTTTCAGAAATGAACTATTGTGGGGGTTAGTATAATAGATCATAAATTGATACATTGACATGTTTGAAGTTTTGTGTTGGAAAATGCTGGAAAAATCAATATAGAACAAAACTGTTCAAGTAGTCTGGATCCCTGACTCCACTAAAGATGAAATGGCTTAATTTATAGATGCTGGAAAATTGTATGATAAGGGAACCAGTCTAGCTGGCCTGCACCCGTTCATGAACATGTAACCAATAACAAACAAAATTTGGACTGAAAAAAAAAATGGTAAATTTGGAGCAGTAGTTGAAAAATAGTTAGGTTTTTCCAACGGTGGTCGGCTGACCACCGTTGGAAATGTAGACAAAAATACCATTTTCTTGAAAATGACTTCACACCAGATGCCCTGATTTTACAGGATGCTTTAGACTGTCATTTACCAACATCCTAGTGAGGTATTTCGTAAAAACTTGGTAGTTTTATTTTTCGATGTTTGCAAATGTTGCATTTTCCCTTTAAATTGAACTCCTGTCATACTGCATAGTGGTGATGTGTTCTGTCAACAAGACAAGGATCGGCTTGTATTATGCTGACCCTAGAGTCATGGGCGTCAATCCACTTTTTGAAGGATTGGGGATACAATATCAAATGTCCCCCCCCCCCCCTCCCAATGAATCTATTGCTACGAAAATATTGCTTATTAGTGGTCAGAATTTGCCTCGGATCGCACCACACAGCATCTAGAATCAATTTTTTGGGTGCCCGCTTCGTGCTTCGCACTCCCATTAGTTCTGATCAAGGTATGTCCCTACCCCCCCCCCCCCAATTTTGAAAAGCTATTGACGCCCTGCCCAGAGTACATACAATTTTATTCAATTGATTCAGAATGGCTATTCACTGGAAGTCTTTTCATGCAGCTGGTCAAACACAACAGACCGGATTTAACCCATTCATTGGCATTGTTGGGTAATCCTATACAACAGCACTGCTCGGTTCACAAGTGTCAGTCAGTCAGTCAGTCCGTCAGTAAGGTACAGAGAGGACACTAGGCTGGCCCTCTGGGACCAGCACAAGCTGAATATTGACGAGCATGGGGCAACGACTTTAAGACTCTGTCATGTGAAAGGGTTGTCAGATTGTTAAGGCTCTTACCACTGGGTCTTCAGGCTTCTGTTTGCAGAGTTCCGTTAGGCCTCTCAGCAGCGTCGGATTGACGACTTTGGTCAGGTAATCCTTGGCTGCTTGCCCAGCGGGGATCGGCTCAACAATACCTCAAATGAAAGAGATGACACTCGATCACACATATGTGATGCGATCAAGCTAAATGAGTCATTTGTCGACCCTGGTCAATTGTTTCTGTTTTTTTAACAGATTTGAAAAGAGCACAATCTCAGCAGTACTGCTGTGAAAACCGCATGCTGGTACCATCTTTAGCTCAAAAATTATGGAACACCAAGAGTTGTGATGAAGTGATGTGATGAAGTGGCCCGATTTTGACCCGAATCTCCAAATGAAAGTTCCTGACAAACTACTCGTTTAGCTTGATCGCATCACAAATGTTGTATAATTGCCTTCAACCATGAGAATTTTCATGAGCATCACTTGCATGGCACCAATGTGGTTAGTTGGGACACACTTTCAAAGTCTGGTATCTGGACTTACTGTCTGTAAACATGAATCTGATTTCTCTCTCTGCGCTGTACTGACTATCGCTGCCGTGCACGGCATTCTTCTGGTCATCGGTGCCATAGAGAGCTCGGATACTGTAACAAGATCAACCAGGGCAAATTAAACCAGCATTTTAGGGCGATCGTGTAGTGTAGGGCCCCTGTTTTGTTTCGAGCAAATTAGAATCAAGAATTTTTTTTATTCCTAAAAAATGACATTGTCCACCTAAAGCAGACTTCTCTAAATGTAATGACATCTTATTGGTAATTTTTGAACAGTTTCTTGGGGTAGGATTACAATTTTCCTATGCGGTTAACGGGCTGGTTGGTGCCGTGTAGCGCAATTTGCGTGCACACGTACATCACGCGGTGATCGCCATCTTTATTTTCGTGTTGCATTTTGTCGTTGTCATCGTCATTTTAACCCCAAATTTTCCTAGAGAATTCAAAACCCTGCCCTTTATCTATGACATACCTGTATGTTCATAATGTCGCCAACTAGTTTGGTAGGTCAAATAATTTAAAAGTGGATTTTGTTCCCTGATAGGAACCAGGCCCGTAGATACACGATCGCCCATTTTAGAGTATTTCACCACAGAATTTTCCTGACATCATAACAGTTTGCAAATCAGGCAAGCTGTACCCATTTTTCATCCAATAAACATCTCAGAGAATTCCATTATGAGGCGTCACTTAAATTTTGGGGCAGACTTTTCAACACTCGAGACTTTTAAGTGATGGGCAAAATCGGACATTGCAAAATCTGTGTTATCCTTTTTTTTTTCAAACTGATTTGTGATTGACTTGTGATTGGATTGTGATTGGATTGTGATTGGATTGTGATTGAGTTGTGATTGACTTGTGCTTGACTTGTGATTGGTTCGTGATTGGTTTGTGATTGGTTTGTGATTGACTTGTGATTGGCTTGTGATTGACTTGTGATTGACTTGTGATTGATTCGTGATGGACTCGTGATGGACTTGTGATTGGCTTGAAATTGACTTGTGATTGACTTGTGATGGACTTATGATTGACTTGTGATTGATTCGTGATGGACTCGTGATGGACTTGTGATTGGCTTGTGATTGGCTTGAAATTGACTAGTGATTGACATGTGATTGATTCGTGATTGACTTGTGATTGACTTGTGATTGGCTTGAAATTGACTTGTGATTGACTTGTGATGGACTTATGATTGACTTGTGATTGATTCGTGATGGACTCATGATGGACTTGTGATTGGCTTGTGATTGGCTCGTGATTGATTCGTGATGGACTTGTGATTGGCTTGTGATTGGCTTGTGATTGGCTTGAAATTGACTTGTGATTGACTTGTGATTGACTTGTGATTGATTAATAATGGACTTGTGATTGGCTTGTGATTGGCTTGTGATTGACTTGTAATTGACTTGTGATTGACTTGTGATGGACTTGTGATTGGCTTGTGATTGGCTTATGATTGACTTGTAATTGACTTGTGATTGACTTGTGATGGACTTGTGATTGACTTGTGATTGACTTGTGATTGATTTGTGATGGACTCTTGATGGACTTGTGATTGACTTGTGATTGACTTGTGACTGGACTCAATAGCACGATTTAGTCCCGACTAAGGCGTTTGTTTAAAAGGGCAATCCAGAACTATGAAATGAAGTGCAATATCAATGACAGAGCCAATTAACCATGATGTCTATAACTATGGAGTCAGAGAAATGATCCCAAACTCCTAGTCTGTAATCTCTTTGACCATTACTAGATGATGGATGAACTTAAGAATTTGAAAAGAACACTCCGTTCATAGGCGTAGCCAGCGTCCGTTAGTGTGCGTAATCATCAGTTTTGAACAGCGCCCCCATTGACAGATGGTACAGGCGCCCCCCCCCCCCCCCCCACCCTATTTGATTTTACGGAGGCCAAGTGTCCGGGGAAAAAAGTGTCTACATTTCAGCACGGATGTGCAAGTTGCCCCCACCCCCCTCCCCCCACCCCCAACCCCCACACTATTTGATTTCACGGAGGCCAAGTGTCCGGGGGAAAAAAGTGTCTACATTTCAGCACGGATGTGCAAGAGCCCTTTTGAAAAAAGATATACCCCCCCATAAAAATGACCGTGCTATGCCACTGCCGTTGCAAACATTACAAAACGTGAAAGTGCCCAATTATAATTAGATGTCCATCTTTGATACCATTACCAACCTGTCTGGGTGTGTCTCGCGCGCCTTGTTGGTATTGGTCGGTCCGCACAGCTCCCGCCAACAGGCAATGGCGTTATCCCTGGCGAGAACCATGGCCACGATGGGCCCACTGCTCATGTAGGCCACCAGCGAGGGGAAGAACATCTTGCCGTAATGCTCAGCGTAGAAATCACTGGTCTGCTCTGGAGTCAGATGCACACGTCGCTTCTGTGAAATTAGTAACAAGTGTACAAACCCAGTTGGAGTTTGGACAAAGGAACGTTTTTACTTTTTGTCGCAAAAGATTTCAAATTACGCACCTTTTAGTTACAAAACAATGACAGGCTGAAGTCACATTGGAACGAATGCTGCATCCTGACGCCACTTGTTTCATAATATTTATTATCTCATTCTCAATGAAGGCCAGTCAGAAAATACTTTGTACGCAACCAAAGAAGTGGCTTCTGGATACTACATTCTTTCCGTCACATTTTGTAAAAGGGGGTGAGGAAGGAGAAATGGGCACAGAAGGGATGGAGGACTGGGGGGGGGGCATGGGGGGCCCATGGGGGGGGGGGGGCACTGCACTGAGACCGGATGAAAACTCTGTGTAACTTGTTAAGCCTAGCTCAAAATTTACATGTCAAACTGATTCTGAATTCTACAGTTACAATTTTGGAAAAATGTTGCAACCGGACGCCACTTTTTTTCTTCATTTTCAACTCAATGAAGGTCGTTTATTGCAAAAATGATGATAAGACAAGAAATTGGGACTGTGAAAAAACATTTCCAATTTTGTTTGGAAATAAAAATGTTCTTGATTTTAGTTGATAGCCAGGGCCTGTAGGGCCTACTGTAGACTTTGTACACAATCGCAGAAGTGGCGTCAGGTTGCAAAAAAAATGTCCACAATTTTGAGTGATAAAACGCAGTTTAGTTCATGAAGTCTTATTTAGATAAATCAAGTCAGAAAACTTAAATCCTGAGTAAAGCTGAAGAAGTGAAGGCATTTTTGTCAGGCTACCTCGTAGTCGTACATGATGCCTAGCCTAGCCTACCTGCAAAATGGTGAAGCCAGACTGGAGAATAATTTCTTCGATTTCTTCGGCTCTGTCTACCGCTTCTGGCTTGATGAGGGCCAGTGTCCGCTCCACAAAAATCTGGGGGGGCTCCATCACTTCTGATTCGGGCATATCGCTGCTTCGGTATGAGTGCTACACAAAAAATAGCACTAAAAACTCAAAAATACTCAGTTCTCAGTCAAGATGAGAGTTTGTTGTTGCTATGTGGCCACAACAGTCTGGTTCGGGTCATGCCTCTCGCGCGTACAATTGGCATGCAAGGTACGGTTCGGGGAGTCTGCAGCCACGTCGATTTCAAACAGCGCCCTCTATCGCCTGCTGTGACGACCATTAAACCTACATAGCGCCCTCTAAATTCCTTGAATGTTCTCAACCCATAATAATCCTAATAATCGAGTAATAATTCGTTATTTTGATACGGGGCGTATGGTACGGTACGGAGCCCCTACAGGGACATTCAATATATTTTTTTAATTTCGTGCGCAAGAGGGCGCACGAGAAAATATTCCGCCTGTGCACAGTCTGGGGAAACCGTAATCAATCAACCATCATTTTCAGGGCCAGTGGCCGAAACTCCTTTTCATTTTCAGAATTGAAGAAAAACTCCGAAAGGCCTAAACAAATTGTTTTGTTAAAGGTTTTCTATTAATAACCCTATCAGAGCCGGCGGGGGGAGGGGGGGGGGGGGGGCACAGTGGCGGTTCAATGGGGGGGGGGGGGGGGGGGGGTCTAGGGGGCTCCCCCCGCCCCAATTTTTTTTGTCTACCCCCCTCCCCCACCAAGAATGTGACATACATGCGAACGGTCTTCCCCTAAATAGTCGTGAGAAGGGTGTTTTTGTACACTTTTAGTTAATAAAGTGTGCCTTATTGTATGATTTTATCAGTGCTCCCAATTGAAAATATGGTACGAGCCCCCCCCCCAACAAAAAGTTTGTTTGGAGCAACAAAAAATATGCATTTTTGTTGCTCAAAACCATGTTTTCTTTTTAAACGGCCACCAGCACTCTTCCCGCAAAAAGCTGCTTTGAATTTTCACCTTTTCTTCACTGATTGGTTTCGGGGTACATTTTGAACGTTCTTGCGCCCTCTTGTGGTGACTTTCGAAGCCCAAAAATGCTTGACTTTTGGAAGGACATTGACCTCAGGAATGCCTTATTGAGGGAATTTGAACGAAAAAAGTGGGAAAATTGTCAATACAACTTTTTTTTTTACCCAAAACGGGCAAAGATGCAGTAAAGCGCCCTCTTGTGTTAACCCGGCTTAACCAAATGATCATAATCAGCACACCACCAATCCTGGCAAATTTTCGGCCCATGCATATTGTAATTTTAGTACGGCATACAATGTGCCCCTCCCCCAAACGACATCCGTTTCCCATCTTCTGATTGCTCCACTTACATGCATATCTAATGCCTTGTTCTCCACAACACAAACCCAAGATAGGCTTTACGTCTTGAGAGTAATGTTCCTTCCTCACTTCAGTTATTTAAAAGGTAAAATAAGAGGAATCGAACTCGGATCACCTGATAAGTGCCCCCACCCCTGTTGTGCCCCTCTTGCGGATATATGTGCTCCCGAGATGAAAACAAAACTAGCAGTAAGAATTCGGAAAATTTGTTTTCAGTAACCATTTCCCCAAAATGGTATAGAGAGTTCTGATATGACCGAAGAATATGAAAACCAAGCGCCAAAACCCTCACAATGCGCCCTGAAAATGGGGACATTATGCGTACTTTGCATATCTATTGGCCGGTTTTGAAGAGCGCCCCCTATTTAGTAAGATGGTTCCAGCCCCCCCCCCCCCCCCCCCCCCGCACAACACACACACCCACTAGCACGTTTGTTTATGGTGTAAATAGAGGATTTTCTTTGTTTCTCTTTCCTTTTTCTTTGTTTGTACTGTTTGATGGGTAAACCATCAACTTTTCGAGACTTTTTCACAACAGCTCTCATTGATTTTGTACACGTTTTCTAATCGAGGTCGTTCTCGATTTGGTTCCTGTCCTCGATTCACCGATGATGTTGCACGTGTGTCCTCGATTTACACCATAAACAAACGCACCCATATACATGTGTATATACACACCACATTTATATTTGATTTTACGGAGGCCAAGTTTACATGTCCGGTGAAAACAAAACGTGTCGATTTTCAGCACGGATTTGCAAGTGCCCCTTTTTAGTGATGCCCCCTTCCCTCAAGTTTACCGTTCCGCCGTCGCTGGTCGTCTTTCATTTTCTTTTCATTTTTTGGGGGTTAACCATCAACTTTTCGAGATATTCTCACTCAAAGAAAACGACCTCTATTTTCCCCAAAGCGGAAGAGTAGCCTTTTGAAAAACGATCCCTCCATAACATGGCAAAATAGCGCCACTTACGAGCGCGATTACATCCAAAATGCTCATAATTGGAAGCCCCAAGTCCGGACCAGAGGTTCATTGCCACATCTCTTTAATACCCCAATTTTGTGGCTCTCATAACTCTCTAATATAGAATATTAAGGGTATAACTTTTATTCATAAGCTGGGCGGATGGATTTAGGCCTATTTACTGGTGTGCACCCCTAAAGCCACGGACATCATGAACATGCATAACGCAGAGAGAGAGCGCGCCCTCATTTCATATTGTCGGACCTTATGTGGAAAAAAAAATGCCCCCGGTCCTAATCAGACCCCAATAACCCCGGTCCCGATAGAGTGCAACAATCAGAAGGAATAAATACAGTCATAAAAACGTTCTGATACTTAAGTCGTGTTTTTCAAACAGCTATACACATTTTAAAATAAGTTCATCTTAACATTTTTTTGCACACTTTATACATTGAACGCAAGGTGATTATGTGAGAGGGGAAAAAGAACAATAAATGCTATGAATAAAAAGAGGAACCAATCAAGATTGGGGTACATAATTGTTAGTGTTGTAATATGAATGGGAAAGAAGGAGTAAATTTCATTATTTTTAATATATGATTCCTTAAAAAACATCATCCCCCAAATTCGTTTTAAGAGACAAATCCTACCCCCCACAAAAAAAAATCGTAGGCCTCACAACAATTAATTTTTAAAAAAATGAAATAACCGAAATGTTTTAAAAATTAAAGAAAATGCAAATACATTTGTACACAACATAAGATACAAAATATATATAATTATAAACGTACAGTTTAAATTGTAATAAAGCACAATATTTTGTGCTGAAAATGTGAGAGACGTGCTTTTTCTGTACAGTTTCACAAAATTACGACCATACAGGGCGAGTAAAAAAAAGAAACCCAAATGTCGGGACCATTGTTTTAGTGACGTTCTGCAGGTAGCACTTTCAAAATCTAGGATATGAAAGCCCAATTCATAAGCTTTCTTTTAGTACAAGAATCATTAAAATCACTTATGTACTTTGCAAGTTTTAAAGGCTCTGTCCACGGATCACAAAAAGTTCAGTGTTCTTTCAGCAATTTAACGAAAAAAAGCACATAAGGATGTGTGTGAATTGTTTCCGATTTGCTGAAAGAACCGTTTTAAAGTTCTGTCCACGAATCACAATAAGGTAAGTGTTCTTTCAGCAAAACGTATACATAGAGATGTGTGTGAATTGTTTTCGTTTTGCCGAAAGAATGCACACCTTTTTTTGTGATCCGAGGACAGAACTTTAAAACGGTGGTTGTGTTTAAAACTCCGCAACTTGAAAAGTCCATGAGTGATTTGAATGATTCTTGTACTAAAAGAAAGCTTATGAATTGGGCTTTCATATCCTACATTTTGAAAGTGCTACATGCAGAACTTCACTTAAACAATGGTCCCGACATTTGGGTTTCGTTTTTGTGACTCACCCTGTATTGAACAGAGGGTACATTATAAGTCGTTTCAAAGTAAGTTTAAAAAACAATGCATAATGCAAAAAAAAAAAACCTAGCGCTTGGGAAGCTTAAAATACGGTTATACTGATCCGTACAGAAATGATGATGAGTGACATTACTTGTACGCAAAGTTAAATATTGTTTGTAAATTGGTAAATTTAACGTGTTACATGTACATGTAATTCATAAGTAACCTTTTATGCGCGAAATTTGGTGATGAATATGTACACAAAAATAAACTTAGAAAAAAAACCCACCATTTTGCCATAGTAAGTCGAGTAGCTTACAAAAATAATAATGAGCTTACAAAATAATAATGAGCATTATTCAGGAGCACAAGCAATATCGGTCATTCCCTTGACTTCGTTACAGTAAATAAATAGCACTCCTGCGTCAGTCACCAGCCTGCTTTGCCGCTTGTGCGCAGGTGCGAAACTGGAAGGGTTTTGTCTGCAGGTGGCAGCAGACACATTCGAAGCAGGAAGAGCCATGAGCACAATGTTTTGAAATAAGCCAATGTAATTTTGAAGAAAAAAAAATCAAAAAGGTAAAAAACCTAACATGTGCTTCGATACTAGATCATGAGCAAAAAGTAGTGTCGAAAAGCTTTGCCGTATGTTTTTGAGTAGCCTTAATGCTCTGGTTTACCACAAAAGCGAAGATTTATTTTCTATAAGGCCATTATATACATGCACATGGCACAGGTCCGCACGCCACACCTGCGAGCGTTTCCAGTTTATTATAAAAGATGCGCATCAAAGTCTGTATACATGTAATAGCAAGATAGAGAAACGTATTGAGTAATCTCGTAAATAGTTTATACATAACTGTGATTACTTTTACATTAGGCAGTGTACTAGCGTGCCTGGGCATTGCCTTTGGGCAAACCCAGTCTGGTTTCAGCCGATATAATCGGCTCTTGACAAGTCCTTTGCATCAAACGATTATATACACCGAATCAAGACCAATCCTCGGCCGCCGTTCCTTCTCACGGTTCAATATACATGTACATATAAATTACAATGGTCGAAATAAATGCCTTCCCTCTCCAAAACAAAGTATATAGTACAAAGCAAGAATACCAGGTTTGCCATTAGCACTGAAGTTACGGTTATCAGTCTTTTGATTTACACAACCGTATACTGTCCTTTTCGTACAAGCGCTAAAAAAATGGAGCATCCGAACGCAGCCAATGTTCGCCTTGTCAACGTCACTTAGGAAAAAGTGGCACTCTTTAAAGCCGACCTGTCTATGAAACATCACAGCGCCCTCGTGTGAATGGATTTAGCACCAGTCGCGGTTTGCAATCGCAGCCTTATGGATCACAAACGTTTAAGTCTATCGCTTACGTCCTGGTATAATTGTATAATATTGTCTTGCCACTTGGTTCTCCATATCACGATATGTCGTCGTTCATGTGGTAAGTACTCAACAGAGGGCGTTCTTGTAGAGGGCGCCTCGTCGGTCGTACGGCAACGTTACAGTGAATTAAAGTCTCCACAGAGCTAAGTTTATATCTCGAATCAGCAGATTTTCTTCGTTGTGACTGTAGCACTCCTATACGCCAACGTTTGCTTACCAAAGCTGCTTACGTAAACATCGAAGATGTACGTCGTATCGGGCGACAACCCACTAACTTCCTCCATGAGAACATCCCTGTCGACATCTGTCCCACTGATGGATCTACAGATGACTTTTTCAGTTCTCTTTCTCATGTCAGGCTCCAGACACTGCCTGTTGCGACCTCGGGATCTTTTCGTGGGCCTCTTGGCCTGTTTGTCTACCCGCTTGTACAGGCAGTACTGCGACACCTCTTTGGTGCTAAGCCACGCCAACGTGACCGAGTCACACTGCCGGAGATTCTCAAAGACTTTGATTCGCTTATCGTCAGGCAGCCGGGGGAATGGGTACTTGTTGGGCCGCGTGGTGGCGAAGATTCTGAAATGCGTGGACCCTCTACGAAGGCTCTTGACCTTGATCTCGATGTCACCCGAGATGTCACGAATCCAGAAGTCCTTGAGGTTACGGATGTTGGAGCTCCGTATCTTGGTACCGTCTCGCCACACCTCTGCCTGAACGGACTCGATGCAGGGCTGCACAGTCACCATCACATCTTTCACCGTTTCACCCACGCTGAAGTCGAAGGTCTTGACTGGGGAGGACTTACGGACCGAGGACGTACGGAGCTTTCCATCCTTGAGGACGATATGTTTTCTGATCTCAGGTCCTGGCCGTGTGATGATGGAGGTACCAATGTAAGCCACACTCCTATTGTTGGTCTCATCCACAGCGAAGAGGTCGAAGTAGTATCGCTTTGCTGGCTCCAGGTTGGTGAAGGTGTGCAGTGTTTTCTTCCCCACACACTCCACAATGATATCCTCTTCTTCTCCTCCTTCTCTGTCACGTGCTCTTCCCTCCTTGTCCGCAGTTTTATCTCGCCGGTGCTGGCGCCTCTCCGCCCGCTCATGCTCGAACCCAAACCCGGTGTGTTCCGGCTGTGCGGGCGGCTGGTCTCCGTACAGACACGACTGCACGCTGCACCAGGTGTGGTAGTTCTGCCTGGAATTGATCGCCACGCAGTACACGATGGGCTCTCGGTAGATAACATCGGATGGGCTGGGCTTCCAGGCTAGTGACACTTTGTTCTTTCTGAACGAGGTGATGTCGAGTCGGGGATCAGTCGGCAGCTCCGGGTACAGGTGATCCGAATCCGGCGTGGTGGTTGCATAAATCTGGACGCTGGTGCTCTTCTCCGGACTCTTAATCTCCAGCGTGTAGATGCCTGCTGGGGAGTTGTAGGTGACGTAGGTGCTGACGTCATACCCCACGTACGTCTTGACCACCGTGCCCTGCTTTGGGTTCGGGTGACGGCGAGGGCGCTGTTCACTTAACTGGTCGTCACCTGTGGAGATGAGAAGAGAGAGATTAAGTTAAGTGGTTAAGTGACAGAACCTCACACATCTTTCAAAAGGGAGGCGTGGTGCTAACTTCAGGCTATACCCTTTTCACGGATGTTTCAAACTGGGGCCAAGTTCGCGCAAGGACTATAGTTAACCAATGGTTAACTAACGTTTGCCCGAACTCTGTCTAGTCGACGGTGGTTGACTACGCTAGTCGACTATTTGGAACCAGCCTACTGGGGTTGGTTGCTTCGCTGGTAACCAATAGCCGCGCGGATTCATAACGCTAGCAGAGAGCCAGGATCCAGAAGTTTTGCGATGACATTTTGACCAGCGTTTGACTAGAGACGTTCGCACGTTGCTATCAGTGCGCAGGCGTAAGGTACGTCACAAATCAACCACTAGTCGACTAATGGTCCTTGCCCGAACTTGGCCAACACTTTAGCAATAGGTAATTTCTGAGCGAAAGAGGGCGCTCTTACAATGCCATCCGGAGGGGAAAACCAAGCGTGATTTCAAGGTTAGTGACTTAAGTATACATGTTGCTAAAATTAAAACAATTAATATCTTTATTTATAGGTCTACATTGAAGTAAAGTTACAACATTGCTCCAATAAATGATATCTACTGTTTCCCTTCGTTTCATTGGCTCGAAACCTGATCTAATTATTTGCTTGTTTGACATTCCTGCAATCTGATTGGATACTCACTTGAGCCACTGCCGTCCTCAGGTAGATCCATGAGGGACAGGGTCCAGTCTAATTGGGCAGCACACGGCGTGACTGTGATGGCCACTGGTGCACTATCCTCCTCCACCACGAAGTAAAAACTGTGCAAAAAAAAGACAAGAAAACAAGAAAATGAAAGACGGGACTTCGAGAGGTCTCCTTGAACTGAGGGAATCTAGTATTTTTGGGACTGCATTGACTTAAAGTTAAAGGCATATAGGATCATTTGCTTTTCATGCGTTTTGTTCGTTTCCAATAATTACACCACTCAAAATCAAAAGAAGAATGTTCAAAACCTAACCTGTTGAAGTTTCAGCTCGGAGCTTAGTGGATATTACACTTTTCTATGAGATGTAAATCCCTTAAATTGCAAATCCGGAAGGGCGAAGTGCTTTGATAAAACGTAAAGTGAGTGAACCACAAATTAACTATTCAAAGAGATTCGAGGTGTAGGACAATAAATATTTGCATATTCCAAACAGGCCGCACATCTATGTCATTCGAGCAAGCCGTGCAACCCTTGTCGTTTCTTTGCACAACTATACAGGTTGAGTAAAAAAAAGAAGCGAAACCCAAATGTCGGGACTACTGCTTTAGTGAAGTTCTGCATGTAGCACTTTCAAAATCTAGGATATCAAATCCCAATTCATAAGCTTTCTTTTAGTACAAGAATCATTCAAATCACTAATGTACTTTTCAAGTTCGGAATTTTAAACACAACCACCGTTTTAAAGTTCTGTCCACGGATCACTGAGAAGGTAAGTGTTCTTTCAGCAAAACGAAAACAAATCACATGGATGTCTGTGAATTGTTTTCGTTTTGCTGAAAGAAGGCACACTTTTTTTGTGATCCGTGGACAAAACTTTAAACGGCGGTTGTGTTTAAAATTCCGAAACTTTAAAAGAACATGTCGCGATTTGAATGATTCTTGTACTAAAATGAAAGCTTATGAATTGGGCTTTCGTATCCTAGATTTTCAAAGTGCTACATGCATAACTTCGCTAAAACAATAGTCCCGACATTTGGGTTTCATTTTTTTGACTCACCCTGTAGGCTGTATACAAGTAAAAGTCGATGATTGTCTACCATTCAGCAACCGTGCTCAAGAAAAAGGAATTTCTAAAGGGCATTATTGCAAGAGTCGGGATTGTAAATTCAATGCTTGATGATAATACAGCTCTGAATCGAATCTTGCGTGCAGTGTTTTCAAGAGTTTCATTTTTGTGTTCCCGGTCGTACTCCACAGGAAGACAGGATAAGCCTCCCTTGCCCCAATGTTACCCAACTCTGCCATACCAAGCACCAAGGCTCCTGCCCGTTACATGATGTCATTATCGTGTTGGCAAGACAAATTCGGACAAATTGCCCGTCAAACGGAGTCCTGGATGACGGATCAGGGGCACACAAAAGTGCAGGGCGCGGGGACGACCCCACCCCCGGGGCGAGCAAATAGCTCGCGTGATTGTACCGAGTAGTTCGCGGCAGGGGACCCGACTAGTGGCTGGGCAAGACATCACTATCTCTCGGCGTTGTTGTTGCGTTCTCCGGTCAAAGTCATGGCGATTATGTACATCGCATATGCCCAGTATAGCCAAGCCGACGGCGTGGGCTTTTGTTTTCGGCGTGCAAGCTGGCCGTGATTCAAGTTTGACTATATTTTCCGTATATGAGAGAACATGAACCGCATGTTACTGAACTGCGCCATTTATGACTTAAACTTTCGAAGTCACAAAGCTTCCCACATCAAAATGTGAATGCTTACATTAATCTCGCTCGTGGACGTTTGTGCTGATCACAATCGCACCGACTTGTTTTTACGAACAGCAAAAAGTTCATGTTTTGTGTGTACGGCGCTATGGTTCCCTACTGTGTGGCGCCAAGAAGAACATCCGGGTTATTGCTACAACTGTGACGTCACAGGTCAAGCGCTGAATTTCAGAGTTTTACCCAATTGCTCTTGAACCAGTGCATGGGCCTTATTCACGAGTCGGCCATATTGAATTGAAAGTTAGGTAAAATCTTAATTTTTGGAACTTGCAAAGTGAAATGAAAGAAAGTTAAAATTATAATAAATTTCAGTCTGCTTCAATTAATAATTTAAAATTTGTAATTAAACATTCCCTGATGTTTAAAACCATATTTTAAAAAATGACAGTAAAATAAGGCTGCATTGTGCCTGCATAAATAGTCAGGCGCCATCCCATTCAACAGTTAACAATTAATGAAATGCATTCAGGGGACTCGACAAAAAGGCCCATTGGACGGCATCATCGCTTATTCTCATTACAATGTACCTGAAATATTACCGACTTATTGGTCTTGAAAGAGGGAATCAAAACGGTGCTTGGCCGGTTTTAAACAATATGTTTAAGACAGGTTGGAGTTTGGATGCTGATAATTACCCTAGCCGAATAAATACCTTTTCGGTAAAAAACAAAAAGCTTTCAGTCCAAAAGTCAAAACAAGTCAAAAACTATGAATTTCCAACAAATTTGTTTTTCTCGAAACCATGACCCTTTAGCTATGTTATGGCATGACCCACTCGCGAGAAAAATGTAAACAACTGGAGATTGGCGCGCGCGTTGACGCGGCGCAGAACGCAACTGTGCCGATGTAGCGTGAAGTAAGGACTATGAAATACTGACTCACTGGTACGGTATGCGCATGCCTGAGGATTTTCAACGTTCAACCAATAAAATGGTACTGGCACCACATTTCATAGGAGTCCAAATTTCATGTGACACTAGAAAAGTGTTTAAGACCAGCAAGCCGGTGTTGGTCAACTGTTTAAAACCAACCACGTGACGGGCTCTCGACCAATAGGAATTGGTAAACTGTCTTTATAGGTATTCTATGCGCTACGCAGTAACAACGGCAATTTAATACCAGCGAACATTGCTCTTCAAAAGCGTACGGCGGCCCAACTTGCTAACTCAAAAGGCAATAAACGAGAGTCGGGAAAAAAAACTTGACTTCCTGTAAACTCAACTCCACGTCTGGTGATCCGTGACAAATCTACGACAACCAAAAAAAAATTTCCCTTCCTAATCCTATCAACACAAACACAGAATCGCCGTCGGGCACATCTTGACGAAATCTCGAAGATGGGCCTCGACGCAAGATAAATAAACGTCGCGTCGTTTGCCATCCCTTGCCCCGACCTTTGTGCGCATGACCCCTGGGCACGACATCGCCAATGACATATCATGAGCGTGCATACGGAAACCATTGTAAGTGCAGGTTTTTCTTAAGTTGAACTAAACTAGTGCAAGTACATCACAATAATAAAACCAACAACGTCTCCAAATGTTACCAGATCAAAATGGAAATTATTGTAGCAGTAAATATTGCTTATATCTACAGGGTGAGTAAAAAAAGAAGAAGAGAAACCCAAATGTCGGGACTATTGTTTAAGTGAAGTTCTGCATGTAGCACTTTTTAAATCTAAAGGATATGAAAACCCAACTCATAAGCTTTCTTTTAGTACAAGAATCATTCAAATCACTTATGTACTTTTAAAGTTACGGAATTTTAAACACAACCACCATTTTAAAGTCCTTTCCATGGATCACAAAAAAGGTGTGCGTTCTTTCAGCAAAACGAACACAATTCACACACATCCCTATGTGATTTGTTTTCGCTTTGCTGAAAGAACACTTACCTTCTTGTGATCCGTGGACAGAACTTTAAAACCTTACGGTGGTTGTTTTTAAAATTCCTTAACTTGAAAAGTACATGAGTGATTTGAATGATTCTTTTACTAAAAGAAAGCTTATAAATTGGGCTTTCCAATCCTAGATTTTGAAAGTGCTACATGCAGAAATTCACTAAAACAGTGGACCGACATTTGCGTTTCGCGCTTTTTTTTTACTCACCCTGTATAATATGCAGTGCAATTTCGGGCCTGACCCTGATATTCGCAATTGCAAATTATTTTTTCCCCCTTGTGATTCGCATTTACATTTAGTTGCAGCAATGCAGGCCATTAAAGTTGTGTGAAGAAAAATTTTGAATTGAATTTTGGATCGGGCCCTAATTATTATGGGACAAAATGAACATTATACCGCATCATGTTGACAATAATTTCTGATCAATGAAGAAAAGTATACATGAACATTTCTATAAAAACGAATGTGAAAAAAGGGGGAAATAGTGATTATTTTTTTTCAATTGAGAAAAAAGGGAAGATATTGAGTATTACAAGACAATCCCTGCGCTTTGATTTATTATGTTTCGCACCCGATGCGCTGGAAGGGTTTATTTGGACAAAAAAAACTATAGCTATCTTCCAAAACATGCTTTCAAAGATATTGGTTTGTGACGCAGCATTCAGGATCAACTTACATGTAACACAGTGCACGTTATCTCTCGTGAAAGAGGCCACACTGCATGTCAACGAAATAATTATATCCAGGCTGCAGGTGTTGACTTTAATTATCATTGTGAGGATGCTGTATGACCATTGCAGTATGATTGAACGAAGCCATTGCGACTGAAATCGACTCTAAAAATCCTTAGCTTATGCCTGTCATATTAGCAATGCATGATTTCTACTTCAATTTCTTCATTTTTGACTGCCTCAAAATGTTTGCACAATGTTGTTTTCGGCGACATTATTCTGCTCTACAATTTTTCAAGAAAAGGATTTTTCTTTATTTTTCAGACTAAAATCTCTCTTCGGAGATCGGTAGTGAAAAGAGATATATCAGAACTAATTTTTGGAACAATCGTCAGGCGCGTAGTCGGGAAGAGGGGGAGGGGGGGGGGGAGGGGCGGACAAACGCACTTAAAAAAAAACTTCGCTTATCAATCAATACTGTGAACCGGCGACGAACATTTCAAGACAAGTTAAATCTTAGCAAATTTTTAAGCAAACATACTCTCTAAAATGTGAACAAGTAAAAAAAACCACCATTTTTAAGAGTGGTTTTGACTCTTGAGTGGTTTTACATTATGGTCCACAGTGAAAACCACTCTATTAAAAATAGTGAATTAACTTCCACCCTTTTTGAAGCCATAATATTTATGGGGGTAACTTCTAAGAGTGGTTTTGCCACCGATAAAACCTAACCCAAAAATGCCCCTAAACCTGTTTTCCAGAGAGGGGGGAAACATTGTGTGGACGTGGGCAAGTCCACACAACGTCGCTGCTACTTAGTTTATGTGGACCTCTTTTGTTCGGAAATTCACACAGTGAATGTAATGCTTGTACGTTTGGGGCACTTTTTCTTGGGGAAGTTTCTGGCAAATCGATTGGTTTGTGTTCCACTCTGGATCCGTGATATAGTCCAACCAGCGGGTCAGATCCTTCGCCGAGCCCGGCTTTAAAGCGCGCGGGTCAAGGCGGGGTTAAAAACAATATTTGCCCGGATCCCGTGGGGGATTTTGGGCATATTTTCGAAAGTCACAGAGCAAGCCGCCCGATTTCAAATATTTGTTTTACCCGACGTTCAGCGAGGGGATTTGAGGAGAAGCGGAGGGTGGGAAGTTAACCCAAAAGGTCAGTTGAAATAGAAGGGGATTCCTTAGGAACGGGACAGTTTTGTCAGGTAGGGTGTGAAAACAAAATTGGGTGCATTTTCTACTACTTTTTTTTTCTCGGAGTACAATTTTCATGGTCCAAGGACAACTTCCATGTGACACATAATTTTCTAGAGTGGAAAGATGCAAGCTCCAACCCCCTTAAACCCCCCCCCCCCAAAAAAAAACCAAATATAACAATTGTTCAGCAAACGTAATCTGCACAACGAAAATGACAACAATTCATTTCCATGAATACATATGGGGGAAGCGGAAATAGGGGGATTTGGCGCTGGGACGAAGTGGCAGTGGGGCTAAGTGGCAGTGGGGCGAAGTGGCAATGGGGCGAAGTGGCAATGGGAGGAAGCGGCGATGGGGCGAAGTGGTTTAGGGCGAATCGACATGAGGCGACCAGACCAGTAAATAGGCCCAAAATTGCCTACACCGGCCAAATCACGAGTTGCATGCCCTCAAATTCTTCGGTATTATTGCATTTTGTGGGCCATGAAATCGAGGGTTTATATAAAAGAAGGGTGGAAGCCGTGCACAGGACTGTGAGCTTGTATTACGGTGTAAAATTTAAATAAAATTGGGCACTAAAAGCGCTCTATTTTGCAATGGAGCGAAGGCATCGTTTTGCAAAATGGCGATGGGCTTCAGAAGTTCAGGACTAATTTTAGGATCATCTTCGGATGGAAATTTCGCCCAAAAGTTATCAGATATTAAACAAAAAAATGAAAGATGATGGAATAAGCTTTTAATTTGATGCCTGTCTGGAACTTCTTGGAGAGTTGTGAGTATCTTTAAGTAATTTTGGGAAGTGCGGGTAATTACCACTGATCTATGGCAGTCTATATTTACTGGTCTGGAACCATTACCGACATACAAACTGAACGGACCGCATATCAAGGACTACACTTACAATTTACGGGTGCCTTGAAAAACGTAGCCTTTCGTTTCAGCCCCATCCGGGAGCACCTTGGTATCCGCTACAGACTCTGGGTTGGCCATCTGCAGCTGGAATATTTCCTCGTCCCGCGTGGGCAGCTGTTGGCCCCATGTCAGCCTGGAGAGCGAGACTACCAGAAAGTGCAGCAGCAGCGTCATCGTGACGGTAGAGGGCGTAGGGCGGGGATACATGTTGTTGAATACGAGGCCTGTGAAATTGAATAAACAGTTCAATAAGCAATTATAGATTTCATCAACAACGGTTGGTCATCCATCACCGGTCGAATAAACAGGAAACTCAAGGCATTTTCAGACGACGCCTGAGGTATTATGATGACATGGCAAAGTTCGATCTGGGTCAACTGTGGGCTGAGGTCAACCAAAATAGCCATGTCAAAAGTGGACCACATCAAGACCATAGGAAATGCACCCCAACTGGAAAATGTGACGTTAACTACTGAAACAGTTCATTCGGAAATGGCCCCTTATTATCTAACCACTGAACGCTCGACCGTTGCCGATTCATTGATGATAAAAAAATAACCTTGATAAAAGCGCGTATATAGCTCATGAACCACTAAACACGTCGCCTTTCTTAAATCTAATATCTGAGGAAAAATATGTAAAAAAAAAACCCAAAAAACCCAGATAAATCAGTTCCGATAACAACATCGAAAAAATAACGTAACATTTAAACAATACCACTTATTACTTTCTTGGCGCCAGTCACCAAAACCAAGACAACTGAACTGACACTTCATTCGAAGTCCCATTGCCGTAACATTCAACAGTCAAAGCTTGACGTCAACTACACGTTGGGGCGGGCAATCAAACACGTGGTGACCAGATCGATCGCCTTGACATTCGATTTAAAACAACACGAGGGGATGGGGAACACGACCTCATTAGTAGAGGCTGATTAGTAGTAATTGTAGCCACTTATATGTTCTCTCCAGCTGAATTCAAGGACCTATAAATAGACGTTAGTAAAGACCTTTCCAACTAAACTAAAGAAATGTAAGTCTAGGATATACAAACGGATAGGGCCTAGACGTAAAATTGTAGCAATTGTACTTTAACACTGCAATTTTCATACACGTTTAACCTCCCTTTTGAAAGGCAAAATCTCGTTTTGGCCCATATATTACGATTTAGTACCGCATTTGTCACTTTAGAATGTGTTTTGGAGGAGTTGACGATGTGTTGACGGTATTGTGCGTGCTGACGGTGTGTCGACGGTGTTTTCAAGTTACGGACTTTAAACACAACAACCGTTTTAAAGTTCTGTCCACGGATCACAATAAGGTAAGTGTTCTTTCAGCAAAACGTATACATAGGGATGTGTGTGAATTGTTTTCGTTTTGCTGAAAGAACGCACACCATTTGTGTGATCCGTGGACAGAACTTTAAAACGGTGGTTGTGTTTAAAATCCCGTAAATTGGAAAGTACAAAAGTGATTTTAATGATTCTTGTACTAAAAGAAAGCTTATGAGTTGGGCTTTCATATCCTAGAGTTTGAAAGTGCTTCATGCAGAACTTCAATAAAACAATAGTTCCGACATTTGGGTTTCGTGTTTTTTGACTCACCATGTACAGATTTAAATTTGAGTTACCCAATGGTAAGTTAAAGATATGGGTCAATCTAATAGTTTTGGGGTCCACTTTTTACCGTCCCTGTATCCTACATCTGACCTCTATGATTGTATCATTCTGATGCACTCCTTAATACAGTCGTCCTCTAAAGAGTGATTGTGAATGACAATCTATACCAACCCAACAAAATGAGAAAAAAAAATCGTTTGAAATCATTCGATAACGATACTAGTATGGTAAATTACAAAGTACCAAGGTAAGGATAGGAAATATATACTTTCGACCACGGGCGTAAATCCTGGGGGTGGGGGGGGGGGTATATATCCCCATCACTTTTTGACCAGGGTTTATGGGCTACTGGATCATGCCCGCCAAAAGGCGTATGTAATAGCACTGAAAAGTGGAGAAACAAAGTACAAAATCTTTAAAAATGCGTCTTTTTGATGTTAGCGAGAGCATATATCATGATATACATGTACATATATCCTAAAGAGCGCCCCTATAATGTGGTGCCCTGCACCCACCCCCCTTTTCAAATTTCCACGGCCGGAAAATTTTTGGATTGTTGGATTGTGGTAATCCCCCATCCCCCCACTCGCCGGCACAGATTTACGCAACTGCTTTGGACCATATATAAAATGACCCGTATAAATACGGTAGCAAAATACACGTACATGCACGGCGTTTGCCATAGCAGGACCATAATTATGGATAAATTTACATGACCACGGTATTTATACGTACTTAGTGTCATATAAGTCACCTATTATACCCGATCACTTTGATGCGAAACAACACGATTTTGCTCACTTTAAATTAAGACACAGAAATAGCATTGCTTCAAAGCTATCGACAGCGTGAATTTCAATAGCTGTATTAGATTTAGAAAACACCTGTTCTTTGAAAGGTTTAAATGCGGATCTGATGCGCCTCAGCATCGATCTGAGTTAAGAAGCTAAATACAAACTTACTTTGCTTGGACGACTTTCCCGCTGCTACGTCTGTCCGCACTGAAAATATTTCAAAATGAAAGTGATACTATACAAGACTGTCTGGATGGCAGGTATGGGGATAATAAAAAAAGAATCCAGACTTGACGAGACAGACTATGCTCCCGGGACCTCCTTACGTGACCGAGCGACGCATCTTTGTGCCAGGCCGCAGAAATGGCAGTCGTTACGGTACAAGTTAACGACGGCTTCACTGGTGATAGGTGCTGCGTTTGCCGTACACTGATGTTGTCAAGACGGTAAAGTTATCTTGCGTGTGACTTCCACGTTTCTGCGAGGGTAGATTTCTGTTCCATGTACGATCGTCGTTTTTAGAAGAAAAAAAGATCCCAACGCTTTTGAATGCAATTCCTGCCCGAGCCTTCGTCGCGAGAGTAAATGGTGTTCCTCGCACGAAGCCAGTGGCTATTTACACTGTGCGGTAAAGCTGGGCTATGACACGTTGCCTTCAGTTGTAGCATGGCACACAGACTGAGAATCATAACTTCCGGATATCAAAAAGAAAAAAAACAGGACGGCATCCCGTCCCGGAACATCCGGGCGAGTCTGAACGACGACTCCAACAAACCTGGCAAGCAGGAGGCAGGCAAGACTTTCTTCTCCAAAGAGAGAGAGAGAAAAAAAGTAGAAAACCAAGAGTGAACTGGTGTATAGACGTACGAAGGAAGTGAAGAAAGCGAGCGGACGCCCGTTGGTAGACACGCCGGCTACGGGACACGATGTCGGGGCAAGCGACCTGCTAAACGCCCTTCGCTATACCAGTGTCGTAACCGATTTTGACGTCTCCCGCTGGTGCCCATGTGTGCTGTTGGTAGCCACGCAGCAGGACATCGGTTGACTGAAGTTCGTCAAGTATTACGACATATGTCAAAACCATGAACTACGCATTACTATATAAAATATCCCTTTATGTACCAATTTCTGGGTAAACAATCTCTGTAGGCCTGTAGGTTCAGGCCTTCCTTCCTCAACAGTTAACTTCAACTGGAAATCACATGTTTTGTTGGTGACACAAAAACACAATAACATAACCGAAAAAAAATCAAACACAAACACAATGAACTTGGTATCCATAATTCCTCCCCGCACGTCATTGAATGAATTCTTCAATACAACAAAGAAATGACACATATTTTGAGACAATATCGAGAAAATGTAGTTTCCTTCCGGTTTTAAGAGCCCCAGGCTACGAGGTTGACCGTCGGGTAGCGTGTCGAGTGGCTAACCCCGCCGGGCAGACAGCGCTGCGGGCCAGGCAGGAGCCTACCGTCTTCTAGTCGCCTCGGATCCTGGACCCTCCCGCGGTTAAATACCGCCAGTGGTGGGTGACCGACGCCCACCCCAGACTCGTTCAAATATGTCTTTGGCTTTTTCACCTCTGGCACGCGAGTGATGGTTAGAAAAAGCTACCGTACGCTTTCCAACAAAACACCTGAGCAAAACATGTTAAATATTTCGCAATCACCCAATTAATTGAACACAATATTATTATTATACACACAATATTATTATTAAAAAATACATATGGCTCCTGCCGGAAATACAAGAATAAAACTTTTTGGGGGGTTAGTTTAGTACCGGTACGTGGCATGAAAAAAATCTCACACACATACCTGAAAACAAATCGTTCTTCTTTAAAACAGGAAATATAACTAAATAACTTGACAACTTCGTGTCTTGTTTAAATAATGTTTTGGAAAACAGCGTCCTGTTTAATGTAAACCAACAATATCAGACAGCCTTTTGTGAAATGATGTAGTCAAATACATGTACTATTTTTATTCGTTTAATTAACAAGCACGAATACTTACAAGACCAACTCTCAGAACGCTAAGTTATTGTTTTGAACAAAGTATGCTGCAAAACCCGATAGAAGTTCATCGTACATTTTAAATTCCGAAGCGTTTATACGACACGTATACAAAGGCAAGCGACAGGCCTGAAAGTTCAGTCCAATAAAATACACAGACCAAAATAAGCACAAAATTTACGCAAACCAGATACGGCGCTGACAGACCGCAGTTATTAAACCATCTGTAATTTACAACTCTCCGCCTCTACGACCAATCAATTCTAAGGAGTGCCCCTGTTTTGGGTTACACTTTTTTTTTAACCTTTTTTTTTCAACTGGCAAGTAATGAATGTGCGATATGGCGTGCAAGCCTCCAATTTCCCGCCGGAACGAGAACAAATTTTTGATTTAAGCACCTCTCCTCAACGCGCAGTGTTCTCTTCCAATTCCGTTGTAGTCGAGTCCCGACCACTTGTCTGGACCTTATTACTCCGTCTCGAGTGGAAATTGCCGGTAACATTTCTGGCGTTGGAGACAATTACTGCCTCATATATGGCCTCCCGTCTTTCATATATGACACATTAAATGACTAAAAGCTCTTCCGGTTCCAATGTTCTGATCTTTTAATCAAAATGCATATTTCAGAACAGATTGACGATTGAGTGCTCAGCCCGCCTCGCTTTACATCCGATTTTGTTGTACTTTCCCCCCCCCCGGAATTGCAATAAACTTGAACGTTGAGATCCAACTGAATCGACAGGAAATCCGTTATTCCAACAACACGTTCCGTAGGAGGGGGAGAAAGTGGTTTACAAATTTCTGTGTAAAAGAAAAGATTCATAAACATGAATGAATTACGAAACCAGTAAAACGGGTAGGGACTAGCGGGAGTAGCCTTTCAGGAAATCAAGACATCGATGGTGTTTACCGGATCAAACTGATGAATCAACAAGCCTTGAAAATCGATTACGCCTTACAAACGTTACAAAAAGGCCTAAGCATCATCAAAACACCGAGTTTACAATGAACATGACCGTCAAAGGCTTTCAAATGTAATCACTCACTTTGTGACGTTCCGCTGGCCTTCTAAGAAATTACCGCCGGGGATAAACAAAATATGACGGATAAATAGATATAGGCATAATTGTGGGCGTCTGAATGGGCTCTGATCTGGAAGCACTCAACGTAATGGCGGTGATACGATTTTGTACGCAAAAAGAGCAGTATGTGCCCGACTGCCCGTCTGGAGGCACGTGTCCTTAGAAGCAATCGTGTAGTTTAGGACCCTGTTCCCGTACTAAGGAGAACGAAACGACACTTATGTTTTGGGACTTAATACCTAAACATTTGGTGATAATACAAGCAGGTAAAGTCACCTGATGAATTTGGAATCATCTAAATAGTTCGCTAAGATACAATGTTGACTTTGCAGCTAGCTTAATTTGTATGGAAAGAGGGCAGGTTTTGATTTATGAACGGAACTCGTTAAAGTACATTAGAGGTGTCCTCAAGTACACGATCCCAAAAAGAGTTGACTGGGTCGAAGACATTTTTGTGAATCAATATTATCATAACACAACTGGGTAAGCCAAGTTGGACCAAGACCAATTTGGCCTTACGGTTATAGGTGGTCATCTAAGTCACGTTTATGCTCACTTGCTTACTGTCATATACTGAAACAACAACGAATCACCAATAAAAGAGAAGTTTATAACAGCAAAACATCCAATATTCTGGCAAATTGTGGTGCTGAAAAAGCTGTACGAGGCCTACGCCATAAACAGTGAGCTTTCTGCCCGAAATGACATCACACTTTTGATAATGAATATGGAAATTTCCATTAGCATGAAAATCCAAAAGGCACCACTGCAAAATGCCCTTAAAATGGCAAAATGTTAATTGAAAATAAGGTTAAATGGGAAACAATGGTGCATTTTCAAGGGTTGCATTAAAAATAATTACATTGCATGGGCCTAATAGGCCTAAAGCACAACCGAACAGGTATTATTTAACTGGTGGTACGACATTTTGAAACACTTTTCACGTAAAAGGTAATTTTCATTTGGGTGATATGAAATTTGGGCGATATGAAATTTAAGACTGCCTTTGAATTTTAAGCGACTCTGTATGCAAATTAAAGAATTGATTTGATTTATATCCCCGTGCACGTACAATACTCCGTTATTTTGGAATGTCATGTTGCCAAATTGTATCAGTGACTGCATTAAAACTATTAGCATAGAAATATGACCTCCGTTGCACAATCAAACTATAGACCATTATCATGTTTCAGGCATCGTTATTTTTTTCCCATTATCAACGCCACCAAAGCGGAGCTGGAAGGTGTGAGGTAATATAGTCTGGTCCTTTTTGCACAAAAAAGTCATCATTCAGTACTGTTATTGGATACAGGGAACATGACTGAAATGGTGGCAGCAGGTTCTATGGAAGAAGTGTTCAATTTCCCAACCGTTTGCGTAATTAACTGCCAAGCCCCTCCTACTTTTTGGGGAGGGGCGGGGTTAGAGGTGCGCAGACGGAGTGAACTCGGGGGAAATGGGTGGGTAAAATGTGGGCTTGGGGTGTCGACAGCTCCCGTTTATATGGGTGTCAGGTATGTCGCGGTATTATCGCGCCCTAGGTTAATGGGCCAGACGAGCGTAAACAGACGATAAATCAGCCCCTATGGGTACACCTGGGGTGGCCTTTGAACCGGCACAACCACCGCAAAGTAAATTATTGTCACACCTTGTCGTTGGGTAACCTTACGGGGCTTCGAAATGGGGTCCGGTGGTGACGATGCTGCAAAAGAGGTGTGACGATTTAGACAGAACTGTCATCTTGAGAAAAAAAAAAGATTGTGAGTTAGAACACATCACGCAACATATTTTGCCGCCACTGCAGATTTCGAGTGTAAACCACTGTTGTCGTATGAGAAAGTTGTTATAAAGAGGTCATTGGCATGCTTAAACCTCGTCCAACCCTTTGGCACAGTTGACAGGTATTTTAATGACACTTTGGAATAAAAGATCTTTTTTCCCCTCTAATGTTGACCTTTAAGGTGCGATTACAAATGTTATTTATATGAGCTTGAAATTATTTACGAGGTGCGCCGCACGGTTTATGTGCAAATGCAGAACCCGCACGTACCAATGGCCTGGCGCTACGATAAACTCCAGTTTGGAATTTAGAACAAATTAGACCATACTAATCACTCTCGCTCCTTGAAGAAGTATCAATTAAAACAAAGACGATGTTTTTTCCTCTCCGGAATTCTGAGAACAGCGCATTAATAACAGCTAATGCATTGACTTCCGCTCCGTTGGTGTTTCCAAGAAAATAAAACTGTTGCTGGTTCGCCCAGCGGACTGTGAAAGTGTCTAGTCTGGTGCCGAGGTGACACAACTCAGCTGACACTGCTAAAAGTGACCTATTTCCCCGAACCCTATACTCCAACTGACAGGTCTGCATGCCACACAACTGAGAGGATTATGACTTGCCCTCCGATTGAACTGTGCTGGAATTACTGTTAAAGGGGTTTCTGGTAAAGCCCTAACTCTGATGTGGAACATTTTTTACTAACAGTCATAAATAATGAAAAAAATGTTACATGCTCGACCATGATTCCTCAGAATGAAAATGCTTTGTGTGGCTAAGTCCGAGTTCCGGTTTTCTAAGTGCACCAGTTAATTGGAAAGTACTTTATTTCACGAAGGAACTTTTTTCTTTTATCCGGGGGGGGGGCACAACCCCGCCCCTTGATTTTCATCATATTCACGAATTCAAATTGACATGCTTGAGACTGCACCACTTCTTTCTTTTTGATTCAAGGAGTGGCATCCAACCCTAATGGGAGCCCTTGACTCCGTCCATTTATTTCACATTCCCAAGTACAAATGTTCGCATTTTTTTATACATTCCCAAGTACGAATGTTCCCATTTTGTTACACATTCCCAAGTATATACGAATGTTCCCATTTTATTACACA